AGCGATCTAATATGAGATCGTGAAGAGTATATAACGTGGGATCTTGGAGAGCTGAGCTGTGTTCTTGATGATGATAGCCTTGTTATCGCTTAATTTCTCCGTAGTATTCTCCGCTTTTACCTGCTGTAGTGACTTCTCTTACACTAGCTGAGTAAATTGATATGAGATTGTAGAGAGCTGAGCCGTGTTCTTAATAATGGTGGTCTTATTATCACTTAATTTCTCCGTAGTATTCTCCGCTTTTGTCTGCTGTAGATCGAAGTATCCTATCTCTTCTACTCGTAAGTAGTCTAAATTTGCATGATAAGACGAGTCGTTCGTGTAAAAGAGTTTCTGCTGTGGTATTTCAATGCTAATAAGCGGAGTCGCATTGAGAGACGGAGTAGAATTGGGAGATGGAGTAGGATTTTGATATAGTGCGAGGTTTAAAAACTATTCGATTCTCTCTAATCTCTGCTTAAATCTCTGCTTAAATCTCTATATTTCTTAATATATTATATTATTAAATGTAGTTATTAGATTATTAATCGTAGCTTATAAGAGATCGAAGACTATTTAGCTATTAAAAGATATAATATAATATTAAATAGTCTATTAAAAGGATTAACTTAATTAACTAGTTTTTATATAGATTAAATCTAGTTACGTAGCGAAAGCGCGAGAGCTAACTATTAATATATCGTAACTACGAGTTAAGTAACGATATAGACGACTTAAAAGAGAATCTAAGTTAGATATAACTATTAATTATTATAAAAATAAATAATTAAATTATGAATTCATATATAATATAAAAGATATTTATTATTCTATATATCTATAGAATAGATATATACGATATTAAAAAAATTTTTTTAAAAAAATTTTTTTTTTTTTTTTTTTTTAATTAAAATATTAAATTAATATAAAGCATATTAATATAAATGAGATAGATTAAGAATAATAAGACTATCGAATTATATATATAGAAAGAAGATATAATATAATAGAAGATATCTTCGTTAAGATTTACTAGCTATAGGGCTAAGAGCTAAGTAATATATTAAGAATACGCTTATAATATTATTCTCTCTCTCTTAATAGCTATAGCCTCTATAGCTAATAGATCGAAGATATACGTCTACTATTTATCTTATATTTTTAAATATTTATAATTCTTATAGATCTTAATTAAAGAAGATTTATCGAGATATAGTAATATTATTAAGTCGTATACTAGTCTTAACTATACTTATATATACTATATTATTCTATAGAGATTTAAAAGATATAGTTTATATCTTATCTACGTATTAGTAAGATTCTTCGAAGTTCTTCTTCTTATCTAGTCTTCTTATTATAATTCTTTAATAGAATTAAAGAAAATTTAACGTATATATTTATCTTTAATATCTTTTAATAGTCTAACCTAGAAGCTTTACTATAGATTTACTCTATATCTTTTATACTCTTATTATTAAAAATTTATTCTTTATTTTATTCTTTATCTTAACTTAGTCTTATCGATTCGTAGATTTAATAGAAAGATAGAGAAAGAATTAAATATATTAAATGTTATTTAATAGTAGACTTATTATATATATTATCGATATACTTAATAAAGAGATTAAATCGTAATCGTTTTATGAGCTATTTTCGTCGCTATTATAGTAGACTTATTATAAGTATATTATCGATATACTTAATAAAGAGATTATATGTTTACTATTATTATAGTAGACTTACTATAAGTATAAGAGTATTTATTTATTATATAGATTATTATATATAAGATAGAGCTAGTCGCGATATATAGATAATCGACGATATAAAGAGAGATATCTTAATGTTAATATAGGTGAATTTAAAGAATTTATAATATTTTAAATATAGATAAGAACGAAGCGAAGAGATCGATATTCGATGCGAAGCGGAGAAGAATTTCTTATATTCGATATAGGGGACTCGTTTTTTAATAAATTAAACTATCGTTAATAATAAAGGTTATTTAATATAGATTCTTTCGAATAATATAGATAATTTAATAATTTAAATATATAATAGAGATTTCTATATAGTAGAAATACTTAGCGTTTTCTTTATTAGGCTCGGTCGCTTACTTTAAATAGAAAGTAAAATATTTAATAGCTATTTAGTTACTCTACTATCCTCGAGTATATAATTAAAATTAGTATAATGTTAAGTTTCTCTTCGTCGAGAGATATACGAAGAAGTCTTATTATAATATTAGAACTAGTATAAATACGATACTAGTATAAATAAGATAGATTATAAAATAATAAGACTATCGAATTATATATATAAAAAGAATATAATATAATAGAAAAAAATAAAAAAGATATCTTCGTTAAGACTCGCTAGCTATAGAGTTACTTAAGTAATATATTAAGAATACGCTCGTAATAAAGAAGACTTATAGAAAGACTTATAGAAAGGCTTATAGAAAGGCTTATAGAAAGACTTATAGAAAGATTTATAGAAAGACTTATAGAAAGACTTATAGAAAGACTTATAGAAGGCTTATATATATCTATTTTAAATAATAGAAGATATTTAACTTATAATGTTAATAGGCTATTAATAGCTCGAATATCGTATTTTTAAACGATTTAAATTTATTCGAAGTCTTTAAAAAGTCTCTTAAAGTCTTATTTTTCTATATTTAGAAATCGATTACTTAGACTCTTATTATTTAATAATTACTTCATATAAGACTTATCGAGTATACTATTCTTATTATTCTATTTATAAAGAACTTTTAAAGTTATATCGCGTTATTATTCGATCTTACTATTATTATCTAATACTCTATAACGATTTCATAAATATAATATCTTAAGAAGAAATTTATTTGATATTAATTTAAGAATTAAAGACTACGACTCGATTCGACTTAAGAGTATCTAAACTAATTAGAGCGTATTATTCTACGATTTCTTCTCCGCTTAAAGATATAATATTAAATAGTTATTCTATAGCAAAATACGTTTATAATTATTATTTCTTTATTTCTTTATTAAATCTCTTTAAAGTTAAAGCTCTACGATATTATAATATTAAATAATAGAATTATTACGTAAGATATATCGTAATCTCTATTCTATATAACGTTTTAAAGTATTAAAAAAGAAGTTTAAAAGTCTAATTAAGAGTAAGTTAATAGAGATCTAATAAATTTCAAATATATATAAATAGATTTTAGCTATAAATTAGAATAAACTATATATTTATAATATAAACTCTCTTATAGTTACGAGAAATTAAATATCAAGTTATTATTTTTCATTATTTTCGAAATTATTAAAGTATTTAATAGATTTAAACTTATAGTTATACGTCGAGAGACTAATTACTAATTAGATAATTTATAATATTTTTAATAGATATTCTACTATATTATATAGTTTAAATAAAATATCGTATACTATTTAAATATATATATCGCTAAAATAAAAATAGATTATATCTAAGTTTAGAGTAGAAATATCTACTATATTAGATTTATAGACGACGACTATAATATTATAGTATTAATTATTATAATAGACTATAGTAGTAGATTATTTAAATAAGTAATAGTAATAATTATAATAGTAATAGTTATCTAAGTCAAATTTATCGAATTTAAAAATTTCGTATTTTCTAGTATTTCGCGTTTTCTTATAAAATTAAGTAGATAGTAGATATTTAAGTATAATAAGCGTATTTTTAATAATAAGTAGAGAGAATAGCTAGTTAATTAGCTATCGCTATAGAAATTATTTAAAAATCTTATTAATCGACGAATTGAAATCGTTCGATGTTATAAATCTATAAGAAGAGATATAGAGAGACTTACTCTACTATTACTAAGCATCTTTATAAGAAGCTCGAAGAGACTAGATACGAATTCTTTATTATTTTCGATTAGTATTCGTTAGTCTATACGAGTTCTTTATTATTTTCGATTAATATTCGTTAGCTTCCGCGCGGCTACTAACTTAATTTAGAGAGCTATATATTTAATAGATAGAGGCTATACGTTTATTAAGGTTTTTTTTTTTTTTTTTATAAAAAATTTTTTGGTTTTTTTTTTTTTTTTTTTTTTTTAAAATATATCTTATTTCTTTATTTTCAATCTAAACGCGACTCTATATATCCATAAGAGAAAGCTCGAAAAGAACTTTAAAATCTTCAAATCTATCTTTTTTGATTTCTTTTCTTTTATTAAAGAAATAATAATAAAGTAAGTTTGTAGAATTATAGAGTTAATTATGCGCTTTCAAATAATATAGCGTATATAAAATTTGTTAAAGTATTCGTAAAGATATAGTTACTAAAGACTAAGATTTATGTGAATTGTCGAGCTTGTGAGAAGAGCCCCCGAGGGAGGGGGTTTAGGGGGTCTCCCCTAAGAATACTGCTACGTATTTCAAATCATTCTAATCTTAATGACACTTCGAGCTTGCTTCGGCAGCCCGTTCGACAGTAGTTCTCGGAGAGCTCTCAGAGAGTCCCCGAATAATTAGAATGATTTACCCGTAGTGATGAATCATATGTAAGGCAGTGTTGAGTGGTCTTCCCACGGTGCCACGGTATCGACAAGCTTTCCACTACTGGGTAGCCCCGCGCCCCAGCACATATTTGGGACTAGTGTGGCAGGAGGTGAAAACTCTGGCTCGCAGGCAGTTTAACAGGCGTGGCTTCCTTGCAGGCATTTGCAGCTAGTCCATATGTAGTATAGCTTGGCCTGGTGGGATAAATATCCTGCTGCCGTAGGCTTCCATCCATAGATTCTACATCCTTCTTCTACCCACACGATCCTTCATACCTTGTTCTTTAGTGTGGCCAGGAGGTGAAAACTCTGGCTCGCAGGCCTCACTGTTAGATAACTAATCAACTATACATTGGTTCCACCACACTAGTCGGCCATCCCTTTCAATAGCAACCCTCAAATTAATTAAGAGGCATTGACTGATTCTCACAGCGAACGAAGCATCAACAGCCTCACGAACATCGACATGTCATGCAACTTCTTCAGCCTCTCCCGCGAACTTCGCGATCAGATCTATGAGCTGGTCTTATTGCACCAAGAACTAATCGATCCCTGGGTTGATTACTATTTACGACGGAAGCTGACCCCTGAGCTCCTCCACGTGAACAAGACTATCCACCGCGAAGCCAGCTCGGTATTCTACGCCCAGAATCGCTTCGATTTTACCACGCGCACCCCTGAGGACGTAGCCTCGTTCCTCGGGCAAATCGGCCGAAACAACGCAGACTATATCCGACATATCTGTGTCGACTTTCCGAAATTCCTCTATCTAGACCCCGGTGATGTCACCCTCGAGGACGATAGCGTTGTCACCCTCGAGGACGATAGCGTTAGCATCCTCGCGAACATACAGAGCCGCTGCGCCAATTTGAGCACGCTCACGACGTCCCTATATAGCACAAATGCCATGGAGCTTAGGCTCGACGCACTAGACAACCCCAAGGTCGTTATTGAGGCTTTAAAGCTGGTCAATACTCACTTCAGAGCCATTTCGTCCCTACAAGAGGTCATCGTTGAGGTGTATGAAGACGGCCCGAGTGATCATATACGAAGGAAAATGGAGAGTCACGGATGGACAATCAGTATTGCAGAATATGTGGAAGAGGACTCCGACAGGAATTTCAGTGACTTTGGAAATGATGATTATGGCTATCATAGGAGTCGTGATGATGATGACGATAATTATGATTTTGACAATGATAGTGACTTTTGGAGAAGAGCGGCTGACTGAATTCATCTACATTCACCAAAACAAGCGACAATTGTGAAAGCAATCTTTGCCTGTGGCTGCTCAAACATGGAGAGGAAGACACGTGTCCACTATTAGGAGGTCATTGTAATTCCTCTTCCATTGCGCCAAAGGTGCGACCCAAAGGCCCACTCTCTACTGTACAGCAACAGGTCGCGGCCTGCGCGAGCCTGCCTCAAAAGGATCCAGGCTGAAGAACAGAGCAAAGATTCTCCATCCCTTATGCGGCAATCCAATCTTCCACGACCATCCGCGCCACCGGGGCCCTCCATGGCTCTGGCACTTCGCTCATCCGCGCCACTTTGGTCTTTGGCTCTGGTGCAGGACTCTTGCGCTTACGACCGCGTTTTCCCTTGCCCTCGCTAGCTTTATCTTTCGCAGCACGCTTCACTCGTGCCTCGCTGAGGTCCTCATAGCTCATCACCTTCGCCTTCCCTAGGACCACTGACTTGGTCGATCGGCGAACTTGGGCTTCGTTGTTCATTCTGGACAAGAATCGATTTTATCCTGAAGGAGGGCCCGTCCGGCAAATGATATTTGGGTCGAGGGTGGCACTTGCTAGCTTCTGTACGTGCCTCTGTGGGCGCTGTTTGCTCGTTTCATCAAGTGTATAAGCGTCCCGTTTGTGTCACCATCAGACAAAAGAGAATCGGCAGGATACGGCGATCACACTTTCTCAACGATCGTTATCAATGACAGCGATAGCGAGCATCACCCCTCTCACAGTCGTCGAATATCTTGCTACCCTCGTCGATCGGTAACCCATGTGTAGATACGAACTACTCGACCTTCGGTCGAAGTCGTGCGTATGAAACTCTCTGCAGAAGGTGGACCAGACAAGAAAGCTATCCAATGTGCTAAAACTTAAAGTGCCCTGCGCCTAGCACTGGGAGCTGCTGGAGCAGACCCAACTTTATCGCGACGCATCCCGAAGACATACCCTCTATGGGTAAAGCCATAGGCATGCACATAACCCCAAGGCGCTAAGCATGCACCCCGCAATCATTTTTCGCCCTGAATCTAATGCGCGTAATACGCAGTCGCTGGTGTTGATCCTGTAGAGGGTTCCCTGGAGGCTAGAGTTTAAATAGTCGATAAGCCTTATCATTTGGATTCGGCAATCCTCACTGCTCTCTCTCTTACGTTAGGTATACAATGAGGATCTAGACGTCAGTGTGTATGTAGTGGATTATTCAGACTAGGATTCGGTTAGACGGAAGCTCGAGGGTGAAGAGATGTGGACTGCAGAGTGTACTGGTATCTGGTTGCAGTTGGGGCCCCAAACATTTGCACTATGGCTAGAGGGGCGGCTATACAAACACACACACACACAACCACGCATACCTGGTACACGCAATTGAATGATCTACTAAGTACCCAAACGAATGTGGCAGGAGGGCTGAATGGGGGAACTCAGGTAGAATGACGGGATTAAAACGCTCAGGCTCCTCGCAAACATCCACTCTGGACGGGCAGAGCATTGAAGGTTTTCAGGCAAACGCTCGGAGTCTGCTTTAAAGCTACCGAGAGGCTATTCAGAGCGGCCAGAAATGTGGTAGCGCGCTCTTGCACACGACTCAGCAACGAAGTAGGAGTCATAACTTTGTACCAATCCACCCGCGACTTCAAAGTTCTCTGCCTCCAGCGATTCAGCCGTCTCTTCGCCTACAGTGGCACAACCCTGATCCTGACGCTGTTTCTAGCAGATCTTGGGCTTTCAGACACAAAGATCGGGCTGTTCATGACCCTGACGCTGCTCGGTGATATCCTTTTCAGTGTCCTTCTTACCTTCACGGCCAATCGATTGGGAAGGCGCAATGTGCTATGTCTAGGTGCTCTCGCAATTACGATGAGTGGCGTTGTTTTTGGACTGAGCAATAACTTCTGGGTGCTGCTCGCCGCGGCGACTGTTGGGGTCATAAGTCCCAGGTATGGTTTCACCAAACGTACATCGGAGATGATCAGGTCTGGGACAGCTATCAATGGTTCATCTTGGTGCGAGTGAGATTGGGCCCTTTCGTGCCATTGAGGTATCCGCACTCGCTCAGCTTACCCCAGTGTCGGCGCGTAGCGAGGCTTTTTCCCGGTATAGTCTTATTGGCATGATTGGACAGGCCCTTGGTACCATTGTGTCTGGCTCGGTGATCGAGGCCCTCGAATCGAGAGACGGCTGGACGACGGCCCGCGCGTATCGTATCATCTTCTTTGGTTACGGGGTTCTCGGAAGAGTCAAAATTGTACTGTGTTTGATGCTCAGTCAGGCTTGCGAGATTGATATCAAGTCGGTCAATCTTGCGCATCGGGGAAAGTGCTTCAGTGCCACCATCTGAAAATTCACGCTTATTGCCGGATGACGGCAAGAAAGACAAAGGAAGAAGGGGCTGGCAGGTTGCATCTTCAACAAGCAAGGAGTCTTTGGCAGCACTTGGAAAGATAACTTTCCTCCTGGCACTAGAAGCCGTTGGTTCGGGGCTGCTTGTTACGTGAGATCTTTTAGACTTTTGGAGAGTGTGAATGCTCTGAAGCTGATCACAGGAGCAGGTCTTGGCTTACATGTTTCTTCAATCAGAAGTTTGCCATGCGAGAGAAAACCATCTACACCCTTCTCTTCATCGTATATATACCCCAAGCATTGTCCAATCACGGAGCATCGACAATATCTAAGCGCTCAGGCATTAAAGGTGACCCTCGTATTCCAGCAGGCAATATGCCGTGCTGACATTTTCTCTCCAGGCAATGACAATTGCGAGCCTCCTGCGCGGAGTGACAAGTGCTTTGATACCAATCTCACCATCCGCCACCCTAGCCATAGTTTTTCTAATCCTGCAGTCATGTACCCGCGTCATTGGACTACGCACTGCCTTTGTGGCGTCTATGTTCCCCCCAGCAGAACGTACCGCTTTCATGGGAATTACTAATGTTGCGAGGACGTATAGCCAGAGCATTGGAACTATTGTTACTGGAGCATTAGGTGAATCGCGCATGTTTTGGGTGACATTTGTGCTTTCGGGGTCGATGTACGCGGCTTATGGTGTTGGGACACTAGTCCTGTTCACGGGTCGTAAGCCGGGAGAAGGGAGACAGGACGAACATGATGAGGAGGGTCGTGGAGAAGAGGACAGTGAAGCGGGAAGGCAACGTCAAGATAGATCTTCTGCCTGAGTGCTTCGGCTCTGTACCGATTACATTCGCTAGATACATTACATAACTATAGGCTACAAAGATGGTTCTAGAATTTTAAGTCTTGCCAAGACCAGCTCGTTTACCTCCAAACCTTACCAATTCACTTTACGAGTATGTGGCCTGGGTACCTTATTGTCTTCTATACGGAGAGGTCCATTCACACTGGCGGGCGACCTGGAACCTGGGGGTAGAAAGGCTGGTGGCGTACCTTAGACCTTAGAGTACCCGAGGCCGGGGCGGCTTATGTAATATCTTGGCGCTCCGAGCTGTCTTGCCCGCCTTTTCTTGACTGCTTTATTTACGCAGTACCACCCACACACTCGCCCGACAATCATATACTGTTACCGCAGCAAGAATGGTGCTCGCCAAATCCAAGAATGCAGTGGGGCTGGGGAACAGCCTCATGAATGACCGTTTCGGCAGAGGCAAAGGCAACGACCGCAAGAAGGTCTCGGCAGGAATACACAGAACAGATCAAGAGGGACAGACCTATGTCACAAATGCCCCCAAAGAAGCATCATGGGTAAAAATGCGAAGTGTAACAGAGCAAGGTGCTCTTGATGAGTTTCTCAGCACTGCAGAGCTTGCTGGGACAGACTTTACCGCGGAGAAAATGAACAATGTGAAGATCATACATACCGATCAACGCAATCCATACCTCTTGTCAGCAGCCGAGGAAAGATCAGCTATCAGAAAGCAAAACGCGAACAAGAATCGTTTGACTGTACCAAGGCGGCCACCTTGGGACGAGACCACTACACCGCAAGCGTTGGATCAGAAAGAGAGAGCGAGTCTGCTCGATTGGAGAAGAGGCTTAGCTGAGTTACAAGAAAATAATGACCTCTTGATGACGCCCTTCGAGAGGAATTTGGAAGTATGGAGGCAGTTGTGGAGGGTCATCGAGAGGTCAGATCTTGTGGTGCAGATTGTGGATGCCAGAAACCCATTGCTCTTCCGGTCAGAAGATCTTGAAAAGTATGTGAAGGAGGTCGATCCCAAGAAGAATAATCTACTATTGGTCAACAAGGCGGACATGATGACTTTGCCGCAAAGAGAAGCTTGGGCAAACTATTTCCAAAGAGTAGGGATCAACTACAAGTTCTTCTCGGCTTCGCTGGCGAAGGAGATGAATGAGGCAATGGACATAGATGCAGAGCCGACCGAGAATGCTTCGGCGGTGCCAGACAAAGCTGTCGAGGAAGTAGTAGATGGTGCGGGTGACAAGCTCGCTAATGAGGCCGAGAAGTTGGATGTACAAGATGCAGAGGAGGACGAAGAGCAGTGGGCAAGTGAGGAGGATCTTGATGAAGAAGTGGATCAGCGAACGAGGATCTTGACTGTAGATGAACTTGAGGCTTTATTCCTAGAGAATGCTCCAGACGTCGAGAACACAGACCCGGAACATCCACGGAAGACGACAATTGGTCTCGTGGGCTACCCCAATGTTGGTAAATCCTCTACCATTAACGCACTTATCGGAGCGAAGAAGGTCTCTGTCTCATCAACGCCGGGCAAGACGAAGCATTTCCAAACCATACATCTCAGCTCGGAAGTCATACTTTGCGATTGCCCTGGACTTGTCTTCCCCAATTTTGCCACTACGAAAGCAGAGCTTGTCTGCAATGGAATCTTACCAATTGACCAGCTCCGAGAGTTTACGGGACCCGCAGGGCTCGTTGCCCAGCGCATCCCCCAATCATTCTATGAGGCTCTTTACGGCGTCAAAGTGCAGATTCGACCCCTGGAAGAAGGCGGCACCGGAACACCAACGGCCGAGGAGATCTTGATCGCTTACGCTGTTGCTCGAGGATTCGCAAAGACAGGACAAGGACAACCGGATGAATCGAGAGCTGCGCGTTACGTGCTCAAGGACTACGTGAGTGGCAAACTATTGTTCTGTCACCCACCTCCCAGTGATCCTCCGGTTGATCCACGAGAGTTCAATCGAGATCTTTACGATGTCGAGCATCTTCCGCAGAAGCGGCGGGCCATGTTAGCAGCACAGGTAGAAGCTTCGATATCCGGCTCGGAGAATCCTTCATTGATGGATGATGCGGAGTCGCTTCCTGCAGTGCCTCTACAAGGAGAGAAGTCAAACGGGCTTGATAAGAGGTTCTTCGGACCTGGGCAAGGCAGTGCCGGACATTTGACTATGCCTTTTAATCACCAGTACAGTGAGCAGGGGAAAAGGCAGCTGACGGGTAGGAAGCTGCAGACAATGACGGCATTGGAAAAAAACATTGATCCTGCAGAATTGAAGCTGCTGAATTCCAAGAAGCATGGCAACGGAGGGAAGAGGAAGCACAAGGCGTCGCGAGCTGAAAAGGCGTGAGTTACACTGTCTATCTTGGCTGCATAGCATCGGCTGGCGTTCAAGATTTTCATAGACGTTTGTTCTCCAGATACCCTCAGATAGACAAGGAACGTTCCGAAGCCTTTAAACGCCCGAAGTGTCCTAGTTTCGAACCGTTGTAATTCCGACCTCCTAAGGCCAAGTCTTGGCACGGAAAGAAGACCCAATTCTGCGCCCACCAGTTAGCTGCTCTCCAGGGCTGCCGCTTTCACGCTGGGTAAGCAAGGGTGATACAGCACACCCCACCAGGATGATCAGCAGTCCAGTTGAGCATCTTCGGCATACCACCCCCCCATTCCCCGCTTATTCCCCGCTTCATGTTTTTCTGCCCAGCTCCGTCGAATAGGCTCGGAGATGGCTGCCATGATAGGATAAGAAAAAGACAAAAACAAAAACAAAATCAAAATGTCCAAAATCTGAGCCACACCTGATTTGAACAGATAACCTTTCGATCTGGAGTCGAACGCGCTACCTAAACCAGGGTTAGGAGAAGGTCAAACATACTGAGGTCGGGAGAACAAACCGTTGCGCCAGCGGCCCATTAACAAGACATTTAGATTTCCACAAATATCATATATATTTACAAAACAGTTTCCTAGAAGATCCAATTCATTGCCGCATAAATACCTCTGTATAACAACCTTACCACTGAGCTATATGTGAATATATCAAAAGTGGGAAACGCGTTTGTGATTATTCTGCCCAGTGCGCTTAATTGTCCTTGCCCTACCCTTGATTGCTTGCGACCCAATCCATGATCAATGACTTTGACTCATCTGGGCATGACCTTATTGAGATTTGGCCGTTGTTTATCAAGTGAACTTGAGCTCGTCATCGCATAATGGCTAACGCTACGAAACGAGAAAGGAAAAACGACTGTGGTGTTACTACATAACTTTGGGGCTTTGAGCTGGATACGCTATCAAGAAGAGACTTGCGTGGTCCGGAGATGATTTCAGTGGCTCAATATCTCTTCCGTGTTGTCTTCAGTACCTCGAGATGCAGAATCTTTTTCTCAGTCACATAGTCGAGATTGAGAACTGTGCCTGATAGTCTGGATCCTAATGTCCTGGACGTACCAAAACGGTGGTTGATCCATTTCGACATCCAGACAAACCTAGTCCTGGCGTCAGCTACTCGTTTACGAGTACAGGTACTTTTGACCTAAAGATTCGTACATCTCGATGGCATCTTTTACGCTCGAAGCCAAGTTCAAAGGTTCCTTTGCCCGTTCATCCGATAATCTATCTGCCAGGCTGGACGAGACAACCTTCAGGAAACACTTCGTCAATATCTTAATGAATTTTGACAAGATTTCTGAGGGTGAGGTTGGGGTGGATTTCCGTATTGGCGGAGTCAGCAGTGCCCAGTGCCGAGGCAAGTGAGTGTACGGTTTGTGGGGTAGACCGTAGAGCTGTAGTTCCGGCCGCAGCATGGCAAGGGTATTTCGTACTGGAACGCAGGCTGTTTCTTTCATGCACGATGCTCCTCATGTTCATCTGTCAACTACACTCATTCTTGTAAGCAATTATGTCCAAGAGTGACTTCAGCCAGAATCTGCTCGCCAGCAGCCGCAAGCCTCAGACGGCTGCCGAGAAGATCCCCATCATTGCTCGGGGTGCTGTCAGTGATCGAGCAAAGGAGACTCTGAACTTGGTACTTCCCGACAATCTCAATTGCATTGCAGTCAATTACTAATTGTCGCAACACAGGTAGAAAAGTTCGTTGAGGAAGAATGCGTTCCCGCAGACGTACTCTTCCACGCACAGGTGGGGGAGGGCGAGAAAAGATGGAGCACATACCCACCCGTAATCGATGAATTGAAAGCCAGGGCTAAAAAGCTGGGACTTTGGAATATGTTTCTACCCAAGAATCACTTCAAGGAGGGGGCAGGCTTCTCGAATTTGGAGTATGGGTTGATGGCAGAGTATATGGGGAAATGCAGGACAGCTTCTGAGGTACGAGACCGCTTTCAAAAGGTTACAGACCCTTTGATATTGAAGAATAATATAGGCCACCAACTGTGCAGCACCAGATACTGGTAACATGGAGGTTTTGGCGAAATACGGCAACGAGGCTCAAAAGAAGCAATGGCTCACTCCGCTTTTGAACGGCGACATCAGATCCGCTTTCCTCATGACCGAACCAGATGTTGCGTCTAGCGATGCTACGAACATCACATTATCTATGACAAAACAAGGCAATGACTACATATTGAATGGCTCGGTACGGTGTTCGCTTTCCCAGAAGCTGCTGGCCTTTACTTACCGACGTCACAGAAATGGTGGAGCAGTGGCGCCGGCGACCCACGATGCAAGATCTACATAGTCATGGGCAAAAGCGATCCCAACAACTCAAATGTATACAAGCAACAATCCGTGATCCTTGTCCCAGCAGGCACCAAAGGTGTAACCGTCAAGCGAGTCCTATCCGTCTACGGCTACGACGACGCTCCTCACGGCCACGCCCACATCACCTTCGAGAACGTCCGCGTACCTGCCTCAAATATGGTCCTCGGCGAAGGCCGCGGCTTCGAAATCATCCAAGGCCGTCTTGGCCCCGGACGCATTCACCACGCCATGCGCTCTATCGGCGCCGCAGAAAAAGCCTTGGATTGGATGATTGCCCGCGTGAACGACCCTACCAAGAAGCCGTTTGGCAAATTGCTCGCTGAGCACGGCGTCATACTCGAATGGATTGCCAAGTCCCGCCTTGAAATCGACGCCGCCCGCCTGATTGTGCTCAACGCCGCTATGAAGATTGATGAAAAAGACGCGAAGAGTGCTCTCAAAGAGATCGCGGAGGCGAAGGTCATGGTGCCCCAAATGGCATTGACGGTCATCGATCGGGCTGTCCAGAGTTATGGAGGGGCGGGTGTGTGTCAGGATACGCCGCTAGCAAATATGTGGGCGCAGATCAGGACATTAAGGATTGCGGATGGCCCTGATGAGGTGCATCTACAGCAGATGGGGAAGAATGAGAATAAGAGGGGCGCGGAGGTTAGGGAGAAGTTGGATAGGCAGAAGCAAATGGGGGAGAGGTTGTTGAGGGAGAGTGGGGTGCAGCAGAAGTCGAAGTTGTAGATGTGGATTTGGGTCCGGGAAAAGGCGCCATGATATTATGATGTATAGCATGTAGAGCAAGCATCGATTCATCTTTTCCACTGACCTTAGTACTACTATTTTGCAGCATTCAAGCTACCAGCGAGCCAGCGGAGCCTTTTACGATTGCCTTCGCAATGGTTGCCCCTCACAACAGCCCTACGTAAATAGTCAAAACCAGCAGCCCTTGTCCACCAACTCAACCCCAAATCCCACACACTCCACACTCCCCCACAAGCCTTCACAGAACCTGCCCCATACCCACAAACACCCTCCCCTTCCACCAAACCCACCCTCTCCCCCAAAAATCCCCCTTCATCCACCAGCGAACCACCACCAGACCTCACACACACAAAAATGTCCTCCTCTCCCACCAAACCCCTCGCCTCCCGCGACATCAACACCTCGGGCCCCTCGCCCACGAAGCCCAAGGCCGACCAGGTGTCCAACACGGTGGGGAAAGAGAGCGCCAACAAGCCGCAGAGCATGGAGTATCACCGGCAGGTACTGCAGAGTCGGTTGGAGGAGGACAAGTAAGTCGGGCCAGCTTCCCGTATCGTTGTCAGAACATATTGTGGGGGGAGGGGGGGCGAGGCTTGTGGTGAGGGATGGGGATGGGGATGGGGATGGGTTGGGTTTGAATTAAAGAGGGAGGGACGACGGCTAACGAGCGTTTTTGGACTACAGGGCGAAGCAAGTCTACGTCTCACCCTCGGACACGATCATGAGCCCATGCACGGCCAAGCTGTCGGCGTACAAGAGCAAGCAGTTTGGGAAGTGAGTGTTTCCTCTTTCCCTCAACCCCGACCCAACCCGATCAGGCAAGCGTCAAAGATCGATGGTCTGATTGTGGTGCCGATGCAGAGCGAAGCCGCAATCCCTCTTCGCGAAGATGGAAGCGTCCAAGAAATCCGAGGCGGCCAAGTCGAGCGAGGGCAAGGAGGGTCATGACGGTGGTCCTTAGATGTCGCAGCTGATGGAATGGAAGGCTAGAAGTGGTTGCATTCACGCGTAAGCATGCATAGCGAAGCATTTTGCTTGACGGTATGCCTTGGACATACGAACGGCTGCAAGGGATGGACAGACAGATGCTGGAGGCGTGACGAACTGCAGGTGCTTTCATAGGAGTTGAAGGATTGCATGGTATAGGCGTTGAAGTAATATTGCCCAAACCATGATTGCATGCTAGACTGTCTCCCGTGGAAATGCTCTTGTGAATGCTACAGAGAGTCGCTAAGGAAAAGCTGGGAAAGGATACCATCCGCCGTGATGCTGCCCTCGCCAATTGAACCCGGCTGCCGTGACGGACTGTGTGCTGGCTTGTACCCGTCTCCTTTACTTGTCCTCGGGCTTCTTGCCATAGGCGACGTGTCTATGAAGGGAGTCAAACCTCATTCATGAGTAGGGACGAGTAGCCTTACAGATAGAAGTATGCGTGCATCTTAGGATTTTTCATTTCTTTCCTGATCTTCGCACATACAACATCGACCTCTTGCTGCGAGTAGCCCAGAACACGCGTGAAAAGAGCGTAAGTGAAAGCTTCGAGACCTTCCATGATCTGGAGGTAGTTCCAGGCGCCAACTTCTTTCTGCAATATTGGATCAGTAGTGCATAGATATCGAGACGTTTAGGTATTGTTGGTACCAGATATCTGTCAGCAGGCCAGGTTCCCACAGGCCAAACATGCCTCTCAGCCGCAACATCCTTGAAACCAGCGTCTCTCAACCAGCCTTCGAGAAGAGGTCCAGGGCAAGGCTCCATGCCGCCTTCTCGTGAAGCCGCAAGGAAGGTGGTATTGAAGTGTTTAGAAGCGAGGTCGGGGGTGAGAGAACCGTCTGGAGAGTTCCATTCCAGGTCGAGATCGATGCATTCGACCCAGCCGCCTGGTTTGGTATGCCTATTTGAATGTTAATGAATGGATTTTCATTTTGTTTGTGTTCCCGCCTTGGAACGGACACCCCGAGAAACTTCATTGCTTTAGTTGCCCTTGATGTTCTGAGAAATTCCTTAGGAAGTGGGCGATAGAGTGACCTACTCAAAGCATTGACGGACCAACCGAGGCCAGTTGCGAATAGCATTGCCCATGAAGCGGCAGTGGATGTAGTCGAATGTCTGATGATATGTCCAATTTGCCTCCACGTCATCGATCTCAAAGCGTACATTGGGCGGTACCCTATGAGTTTCGGTGGCATTAGTTGAAAAAGACGAAGCCGGGAAGATCAATATTGGCACCATATACAAGGAGAATGCAAAAGGTAGCAACAGCAGCAAGGCAAAAGGAGAGGACTTCATAGTTAAAGCCTCTAGCTAGGGTGGCCTGGCTAAAGAGCGCCGTAAGGTTCATGATATCTGATGGGGTTGAAGCGATTGCAGCCAGTCGTTTGTGGATATTGGTAGTTTAGTGGAAAGGAATACAAAGATGCAGTGAAAATTTGAGGATGGTGTATCTTGCTTGTAGTGGATAATCGCCCCTGACGAATAGTACAGGATTCTGTAAACAGACAATGTTTGTAAAACGTAGCACTTGTGCACATAACTTGACAGTTATAGAGAGTCACCGTGCACGAATATAGCACTTAGAACTTACCATCGCGGTTGAATTGCACTTAGGTCATTGCCCAATATCTGTGTGTTCAGCCATAAGCCAATGTCTCTTTACGTGATGAATCTCTATACCTCAGCATTCGGGTATTTGTCTCCTGTCAACACGATGTCAGTGATCAATTGACCCGTACATGCAGTCCGTGTTTTCAGATGCAGTATTGGAAATCCTCACCCATCTCCATTGCCCATATTCCCGTCCCCGTGCCAATGTCGAGTATACGCTGAAGGTTGGAGGGCACAGGAGCCAGGTTTAGCTTTCCTCCCAGGCTGACCTCTGTCAACTTGTGCATGATGTCTAAGCGGTCACTCTCTTTCTATTGTCGAGCTTAGTGCTACTATTTGAACTTCACTACTGGCGCACGTGTACCTCATCGTTGGGGTAAAGGTAGCCTTTTTTGTGTTAGAAGGGTGGTGGGGGTGGTCTCAACAGCTAGGGAGACACGACGTACTGCCTTCTTTGTAGGCATGGTATCTCCGATTGTTTTCGATTTTGTAGTCTGTGATGTTGGACGCCAGTGATGTTGTGTAACTTCCTCTATGATCCAGTTTACTTCGTCAACGTTGTTTTCCCCGGGAAGAGTTTGGACCTGCTCAGTTGAACATACACTTCGTCACCGTAGGCGGAATCAGGGTCATCGCCGTACTGGGAGGCGTCCATCAGCAAACTTTTCAATCCGAAATGTCTCTGTTGAGCGAGAATACAAACATTGGACGCCTGCAGATAGGGTTCCACGGCGATTGATTCTGTCGTTGTTGCCATTCTCGGAAGATGCCTGCAAGCAGAGAATACAAAGGCAAGAGCGACGAAAATGCTGTCTCAATTGCAATCCCGACCTTCGACGGTCGACTATATATGCAAGCTTTTCAATCAGGCGGGCTTTTGATTCTCGTTCGGTCGGACCAAGTCTCGCGCGCTTCGATCCTTCCTACTGCACCTGGACGCCATTGCTGAACCAATCCGAGACCCTTTTCTCCACGGGCGTCGGGCGATTAGGTTTGATGCACCTATAATTCTGGTGCCGCTGCCTAGTCGTCGACTTGCATTTCGGCCGTTGTTTGAGCAGTGTATGATTGCTCAGAAGCCTTCACTAAACGCACGGAGGAATGCTTATAACAGCGTTGCAATAGCAAACGAGAGGTGTCGAGGGGTGCCTTAAAGCTTTGTAAGAAAGGTGGGGGTTGGGGGGGGTTCTCTCTCTCTCTCTCTCTTTGCCCTTCGGGTTGGTTGCGAGGCTGCTGGGCCCTCCGAACCCCCTACCCAAACACCTCGCCGCTCGCTTGGCGCCCCACGACAGCGCTTTTAAGCATAAAAAACAAGTTGAGGACCCTTCCCTTCCATGCTCCGATCCTTAACCCGCATCAGGATCGTAGCTTGAAGACTTCCAACATCAAGCTGGGGGTGCATACAAGTACTACAGCTTATTATATCACCTTGTTATTGCAGGAATGCATCTGTCTTCCGAGGAAGCCAAGAAGTATGCAACTACGCATAGCCCAAGGACTGACTAGTCTACCTCCTCGTTTTACATGAATCAAAGCGTGCTGTACATGGCAATGTGACAGGAAAGTCGCACAATGGAAGGCTTTCCAGCAGACTGTGCCCCCTTCGTGCTGCTCAGTCGAGAGGTTGGCTGTCTGAAATCTGAACATTGAGCATAGAACGCTTCCCCTCAAATGGGACAAAATAGCATCAGTTGTAGTATCTTATACAAGTAGACCGTCATACCGCTACAGGCGTGGACAAAGAAGATTGGCAGCCGAAGCGGGATCAACACTCCAGCCATCAGGACCAGCAAGAAGGCTTTTGGCGCCAACATTCCCTGTTTGAACATCCTTTCTACAGCACATCTACTCATCAACACTGATGTAGATGTATCCCGGTTATAATTACCCATAGATTAAGCTATCACGGCTATGTGTGGTTTTCGGGGGCACAAAGGGAAACTTTAGCCCACTCGGTAAGACGGGACCGCGGTTGCATGAGTGACTATCACCTTAATGCCGGTTGAGCGGTGAACTTGTGAAGTAAGGTATGTCGCAGATAAGGACTAAAGACTAAAGACTAAAGACCATACCTGCATCGCAAACATTAGACTGCTTACTTCCTAATATATAAACTTGCTACTCTTCCTCTCGTGCTTGTGATGGATTACCTCAATTCCCTAGGTATTTGACAAGTCAACTTCTTGGGATCGACCATGTTCGGGGAATGTGGCGAGCCAGTATGGAGTGGGGACGACTTCTCAGTCTGCTTCCAAAGAGAGTTTGTGGTACAATGATTTGGATAGCATGTGTCTTACCGCTAACCTCGAGTAGCTACCTTCAAGTCCTTCTTCCTCTCATATTCTCCGGCATATCCTTATTCTGCCTCCTAATACAGTCCATACAGAGAACCGCAAAATTAAAACAGAAGAACGGCTACGCACCATTGAAGCCATCATATAATTCGGTCGAAAGTCATGGTCGCTATAGGGATGATCCAGACCGCCCAGAAGAAGTGCAGGACATCGATGATGACAGTGATGATAGTGATCGGTTGGCGCTACACCTAGCGAAAGTCCAGACAAAGGAATCCCTGGTTGAAGTCAATAAACCTCGTGGCCATGTCTGGGTGGTCGTGATCGAGATTTTGGCTGTTGCGGTAGAGTTGGGTATCAATCTGGCCGCCCTATTGACACAGGCTTGGGGCCACAAAGGCACGGTTGCTGCCATTGGAGAGGTCACCACATGGGCGTACATCTTCGTCCTGGTGTTCATAAGGCTACTGACTACAGCAAGAAAACCTTCTTGGATTCCCAACCTTTGGTACCATACGGCTCTTCTCTATCTTATGCAATGGATTTTAGTCGCCCTCCTCTTTCGCTCCGAGGTTCTCCATCCTCGGTCACACAGGGCCCAGGGTCTGAGGATAGCCGACTTTGTTACGGCCACTCTACTTGCGATTATCGCTGTCACCTCTCGAAAAGGGAACAAGGTTGTGGTGCTAGATTACGAAGATGACCTCGAACCGTCTCACGAGCCTCTAGCCAATCTTTTCTCGATTGCGACTTTCGGCTGGGTAGATGCTATTGTCTGGCAGGGTTACAGGAAGACGTTCGAGCTCTCCGATGTATGGAACCTTGCAGCCAAAGACAAAGCAGCTGCGGTGACCGCAGACTTTAGACAATTCAAGAAGACGACAAAACTGGCATGGCATTTGCTGAAATACTTCAAGCGCGATCTCTTAATCCAGGCAGCATGGGCAATGGTCTCGGGTCTTTTCACTTTCGCTCCGACCCTTCTCCTAAAAGCATTTCTCGAGTATGTCGAGGACCCTGCAGGCACGCCTGTGAACGCTGCGTGGTTTTACATGATTTTATTGGCCATGTCCTCATGCATAAAAGCCATTACTGATGGCCAAGCGCTGTGGCTGGGAAGGAGAATATGTATCCGACTGCGTGCTGTGATAGTTGGAGAAATCTACGCAAAGGCACTAAGACGAAAGGCAGCTGCCGGAACAGACACCGTCTTGGGAGAAGAGAAGAAGAAGTCCGAAAAGGAGAAAGACCCCAACGAGCAGAACTTAAAAGGCAATTCATTCCAATTCCCGCATGCAGGAGGCAAGAAGAAGGGGGGCTCCAAGAAGAAAAAGCAAGCGGACATCAACCCTTCCCCAGACTCTACCGACTCGCAAGTTAACGTCGGGACAATCATCAATCTCATGGCTGTCGACTCTTTTAAAGTAAGCGAGATCAGTGCGTATCTGCACTTTCTATGGGGCAGCACTCCTGTGCAGTTGGTCATATGTATTGTGCTTCTTTATCGCATCTTGGGACGGAGTGCTCTGGCGAGTGTTGTCATGATGGTTCTTGTCATGCCGCTCAACCTCTTCATTGCCAAGCAATTTACCAAAGTACAAAAGAAGGTCATGGCTGCAACCGATGTGCGTATTCATACAACAAACGAAATCCTTCAGAACATCCGAATTATCAAATACTTTGCTTGGGAACGACGCTTCGGTCAAACTGTCAGCGAGAAGCGAGCGGTAGAGTTACGGGCTCTTCGGAACAAGTACATCCTTTATACGTTTGCTGCCACTGTGTGGTTTGGGGTGCCGTTACTCATCACGTTCTTCTCCTTCCTGCTGTATACAGTGGTTGAAAAGAGGCCTCTGATACCATCGGTGGCCTTCACTGCGCTTTCGCTTTTCGGGATTCTTCGCTATCCACTGGATCAATTGGCAGATATGATTGCTCACGTGCAGGAGTCCAAAGTATCCGTGGATCGGGTAGAAGAATTCTTGAACGAGGATGAAACCGAGAAATATGAGCAGCTTTCTCAAGGACGCAAAGACGAAAATGGGGATCCAATCATTGGCTTCAACAAGGCAACATTGACCTGGGGAGGTAAAGACGCTCAAAAAGCAGATGGGCAAACGGCTTTTCGTATGATCGATATGGACATTCGCTTCTTGATAGGATGCCTTAACATCATCGTTGGACCTACTGGGTCTGGCAAGACGTCTCTTCTCATGGCGTTGCTTGGGGAGATGACGCTCATCGAAGGTTTCGTATTTCTTCCAGGCGGACAGAGCCGGGAGACACTTAGAGAGGACCCAGAAACCCATCTTACCGAGAGCATAGCATACTGCGCTCAGCAAGCATGGCTTGCTAACGATACCATCAAACAAAACATCCTATTCGCTGCACCGCTCGATGAACTGCGCTACACATCCGTTATTGCAGCCTGTGCGTTGGAAAGAGACCTCGAGATCCTTGACAATGGCGACTCCACCCTAGTCGGAGAGAAAGGCATAACTCTGTCAGGAGGGCAGAAACAACGAATCTCGCTAGCAAGGGCACTCTATTGCAATTCAAGACATGTACTCTTGGATGACTGCCTAAGTGCTGTTGACTCTCACACTGCTAAGCACATATTCGAGCACTGCATCATGGGTCCCTTGATGCTCGGCAGGACTTGCATACTCGTCACTCACAATATCGCGCTTTGTGTTCCGCGTTCCCATTATGTCGTGGCCTTGCTGAATGGCAAAATTTCGGCTCAAGGTTCTCCTGACGAGGTGCTGGCTTCGGGGGCTCTTGGAGATGAACTTCTCATACCCAGACCGGGTTCTAGGGGTGGCTCGCAGATACATTCAAGAAACTTGTCGGCGCTGAACCTAGATGGTGAAACTAAAAAAGATACCGATGGACACATTCCGGAAGCGAACGGTCATGCAAATACAGCACCAAAGGAACCGAACTCCAAATCGAAGACTAAGGATGAGAATGCCAACATTAGGACCGAAGCCAAAGCCACGGGCAGTGTCAATACCAAAGTCATCAAGATGTATCTTGTCTCCATGGGTCCATGGCATTACTGGCTGCTTGCTTTTGTCGCTTTCGGACTGCAACAAGTAGGTTCCGTGGCCTGCAACGTCTGGATTCGAACATGGGCCAATCGGTACACAAGAAGTATCCAGAGTGTGGATTTGATGGCAACTGGAACGGACCTACATACCACCAGCCATCTCCATGGTGCGGCTTTCTCCTCGAAATCTTTCTCCACCGGCTCATCTTTCTGGAGTCTACCTCTCTCCTCCAAATCACCATCGTCCATCAATACTATGGCATCGTCGGATGACAAGATAGATGCGTGGTATTATTTGATCATATACGCATTGCTTTCGCTCTTCTACATCTTCGTATCTCTGATACGGGAAGGCTACATCTTCTGGGGTTCTTTGAGAGCATCCAGGACACTTCATAGGCGCCTACTTGAATCGGTGGCAAGAGCTAAGCTACAGTTCTTTGACACTACTCCTCTAGGTCAGCTTATGAACAGATTCTCGAAAGACATAGAGGCCATCGATCAGGATGTCGCTCCCGTTGCTGTCGGTGTGCTTGGCTGCTTGTTTTCACTGATAAGTATCGTCATTTTGATCTCCGTTATTACACCAGGATTCCTCATCGCAGGCTTCTTCATTACTATCATCTACTTTGCAATTGGGCAGTTCTATTTGAGATCTTCCCGAGACCTGAAACGTTTGGAGTCAGTCCAGCGAAGTCCTCTCTACCAGCAATTTGGAGAGACACTGAGCGGCATCGTCACGATTCGAGCTTACGGAGAGGAGAGGCGCTTTATCCGAGACAACCAAACTCGTGTCGACACTCACAACAGGCCATTCATCTACCTCTGGGCTGCCAACCGCTGGCTTGCCTTACGAGTGGATTTCACTGGTGCTCTCGTAGCATTCTTCGCTGGCGTCTTTGTCATATTGAGCATAGGAACTATTGATGCTGGCTCCGCAGGTCTCTCTTTGACTTACGCCGTCATGTTCACTGAGAATGTCCTCTGGCTAGTCCGTTTGTACTCCATGAACGAGCAAAACATGAACTCTGTGGAGCGTGTGAAGGAATACATCGAAGTAGAGCAGGAAGCCAAGGCAATAATTGATGAGGCTCGCCCGGCAGGGAATTGGCCTAGTCAAGGGGCAATTCAATTTATGAATTACACAACGCGATACCGGCCTGATCTGGAGCCTGTACTCACAAATCTAACTTTCAACGTTCAGCCTGGAGAAAGGGTAGGTATCGTGGGAAGAACAGGGGCTGGGAAGAGCTCTCTGGCTCTCGCACTGTTCCGTGGCTTGGAGGCAGTAGAGGGAAAGATTGTTATTGACGACGTTGATATTGGTCTAATCGGCCTTCAAGACTTACGAGAAGCAATAACCATTGTTCCGCAAGACCCAACGTTGTTTACCGGCACAGTCAGGAGCAACCTCGACCCTTTCAGTCTCTTCACAGATGAGGAAATCTTTGCTACTCTACGCCGAGTACAGCTAATAGGGATTCCAACTTCCGATGCTGGATCGTCCTCGGCAACCTCCATTGTGCCTGACCTTCCTACTCCACCGGATTCTCCTCCATCTTCGAACAACGATTCCGATGATAACAATGATAACGACCTTGCGAAGAAGATGACAAATACCCTGGAAAATGCCAATGTCTTTACCAATTTATCCTCACCCATTGCCGAGTCTGGATCCAATTTGTCACAAGGTCAACGTCAACTTCTCTGTCTGGCACGTGCTCTCCTTAAAGCTCCACGTGTCCTGCTCATGGACGAGGCTACCGCTTCGATTGACTACGCCACCGACAGCAAGATTCAAGACACGCTACGAGACGTCAAGGAAAGCACTATCCTTACGATTGCGCATCGTCTGCAAACGATCATTGATTATGACAAAGTACTTGTCCTGGAGAAGGGCGAGGTCATTGAGTACGACGCCCCTTGGGAGCTCATTTCGAGGGAAGGGGGTATCTTCCGAGGCATGTGCGAAATGAGTGGTGATTTGGAGGCCTTGACTGAAGGAGCTAACAAGGCGGCCCAAAAGAAGAAGCTGATTGATGTTTGAGACCTTATACTCCTTTCTCTGTATATATGCCCTGGTACCTCCCTACCTGCTTCGTTGTGCATAGCGGGCGGCGTTCTACAGCGGATTGCTCTCGGTAATGCATAGATAGAGGTTGCTTCAATACATCGCTAGGTGTATGTTGCAACCAAGTAATCACAGGACCGTATTTGGCGAGTTGCCAACTTTGATCAAAGCGCGAACATTGGGAAACATCCTGGCAAATTGTCAGCAAGAATGATTCTATCGTAAGATACACACGTCCTCTCTGCTTCATGCACTTCTCAAGGCCTCAAACCGAAAAATGTGCTACCTTCTGTCTGATCTACGAGCCTGCCAAAACAACCATCTCGCGATCTGCTCTTCGCTGCCTGCTGCTGTATCCCACAGCTTTCAGGGGGGGTTCGGACCGCGGCGACTGCCCCTCCTTCCTGACAGCTTACCTCAAAGTTTGGCGAGAAGGCAAGAAGACAGGTGTAACGGTCTATCGCTGTGACAGTTGGCCTCCATCCCGATCATCTTCGGCAAAATGATCCACGGAAGAGTGTCATCTGCCGTCCATCTCGGGGCATGTGACCTTTTCGACGCGTACGGTCAAGCGTTCCTATTATCACAAACGACAAGTTCGAAAGCCCCTTGAACATTTTCGATAATTGGGGGAGGCGGAATCCCCATCATCGGCATCCAGCACATGAACAACCGCGTTGCCCAGGAATCGTTGCACCCAAGGTTTTTTAATCGGCCGAAGTCGAATCCCCGGGTTCTGAGCCATGACGACCGCAGGATATAACGACGGACGGCCTACGGACGCCGGAAACGAAAGTCCGTCGCGAGCTCCTGATCGAGCGGATATCCAGGACCGCTGCGTTTGATGAAGAGCCAGCCTGCAAGACTTGGTTGGACGAAGTCGCTGACTCTGTCCGATCTACGAGCGATCGCATCGCCGTTTATGGGATGTTTCGAGCCCGGGAAGCAGAGTTCTTGAGGTAGTCTGGCGGGAAAGAAGTACGAAGATACTGTATGCGACTGCGCGGAGGGAAAGCATTTGTGGTTGTCCAGTCTTGGGGGGATCACGTGACCTTGTGCATTGCTTTGAAATCAAATTGATATCTGGGATCCTTCTGTAAAAGGTCTTGTTTTACAATACTTCCAACACGATACACCTAAGCAAACCCAACACGCCTCGTTCAAATAGATCTGCACAATGCCTCAACAGTGGCAAGTTCACCAAAGAATCACAAATGCATCACGGCAATCTCCCGAAGCCCTTGTCAACCTTGAACTCCGAGACGTTCCCAAGCCTGTTCCTGGACCGAAAGAAACCTTAGTTCGTATCCACGCAGGTCTGTGGGAGGGTTGAATTGTACCTTAACGGCGGTACTACTCTACTTACCGTTAGCTAACCTCCTTTCGCATAGTCGCCCTCAACGCCCGGGACCTCCTCGTTTTGACCTCCTCACCCCTTTATCCCGTGCCAACTTCTGCGGGTCTAGTACCCTGCAGTGATGCCGCAGGCATCGTAGAAGAACTCGGCACAGATTCCGTTTGGAAAGCAGGTGATAGGGTGATCTTGCATCCCAACACCTGGCTCAATGGACGAGACGAGAGAGGCTTTGACATTACGAAAGCCTTTGGTGCGGGCACGGTGGCGGGGACTTTGACAGAGTATATGGTCGTTGGTGATGAGAGACTGATCAAAGTTCCTGAGCATCTGAGCTTGGAGGAAGCGAGCGTGTTGCCTACTGCTGGGAGCACGGCTTGCCATTCGCTTTTCTTTGTGCCAGAGCAGCCAGTTGGGGATGGTACATGGGTTCTGGTTCAGGGAACTGGTGGTGTTAGTACCATCGCTATCCAGGTGCGTGATCGAATGATAATGTTGTGGACACGAGTTGACGAACTCTTCCTGGCCAGCTTGCAGCGGCAGCCGGTGCGACTGTTATTGCTACCTCTAGTTCCGACGAGAAGCTTGCGCTTTCGAAGCAGTTAGGCGCCCACCATACAATCAACTACCGACACACTCCAAACTGGGAGGAAGAGGTGACGAAGATGACCGATGGCAAAGGCGTGGATTTTGTACTCGACGTTGGTGGAGCAGGGACCATTGAGCATTCGTTGGGTAGTCTCCGGCAGGGCGGGATCGTGTCCATTGTAGGTATTTTGACGCCAGCGAAGGAGATTGATATCGTTCCGGCGATCCTCTATGGTGCAAAGACAGGTGAGTCCGGCGTGGATATGCGATGACAAGTCCGGACCTTTTCTCCACTGACTTCGCGTGTCTCGTAGTGCGAGGACAACTGGGTTCGAGCAAGACGATGAGCGAGGAATTAGTCCGGAGAGTAGACGCTGACAAGATCCGCCCTGTTATTGCAAAGACTTTCGAATGGAGAGAAGCGAAAGATGCTTTTGAGTTGTTGATGAATCAGTCTGAAGTGGGAAAGATAGTTGTCAAGGGAGTCACTGCTGGGTCTGCGTGATATTTAGAAACAGTCACGCCCAAATAATGGGACCTCCTTGAGGCGCGAGAATCAAAGGCAAAGCAAGCAGCTTTACTATGATGCAATTGGTGGATTAGCCTGAGGATTGCGCATAAGAGACTTGGACTTGGTGCAGCTGTCTAATGAGTATATTTTTTCCATGGGGCTGATACTCGTATGGAGCTTGATCGTTGTCCGTGTGAGAGTAGATCTTGGGCTGCCTATATGTAGTAAGCAAAAGCTGTGGAGATGCTCATCCGCGGCTTATTTTATGATCCAAGCATTCCATCTATGGTCTGGGATATGGACCATGGACCATGGTCGACAGATTACCTCAGGGTGCTTGGTTAACCCATGGGACGAGCTGCTACACAAGACTCTAGGTTGGGGATAGAGCTGATCTTGAATATCTACGGTGCTGACCTCAAAGTAACTTATCCTCTGGTGACTCTAGGACTAGAGTCTAGAGTACGGAGGCTGGCACCAAAAGTCCTGCACCGCCTCGTCGCTGGCAGAACAAAGTTGTGGCGTTCGGCAAGTCCCGGCGCCTAATCTGACAGATAGACTTTAATCTTACATAGAAGCGTGAACTTGAGGCGCCCGGTTTGCGTCTGCTGGGCTTGCAGTCTTGCCAGATGTTCGATCGTTCGAGGGTCGCAACATTTCCGTTATCTATCTATTTACAACATTCATCATCCCAGAAAGTACCTAGATCGGAGAAGCTCCTGCTCTCTGAACTTCAGCTCCAGTATATGTATGCAGTAAACATGAATGAGGAATGGCCAGGTCACGCGGCCATGCTTTCGCAGCAGCGGCACTGCTGCTGCTTGCCATCACCGCTTCGGGCTCACAGGTCGACACAGGGACCTCCATACCCTCTGTAACTGGCCCATCGACATGTCCATCTCGAAGCATCAACTACATCACGCAGACTCTGCCACAGCAATGCCTTACAACAAGCTGGGCGAGCAAGCCGAAACTACAAGAGGTATCCCCGACGGAGACTCCCTCCACGTCGCACCGATCCGTGGATGCGCCTTCAAACACACAAGATGCAACAATACCAGTTCCTGAACTGCAACGTGACACCCAGCCGGCGGCCTCTGACTCGTCCACATCATCCGGAAGCGCGACTGCTGCTACGAGCCATCAGCAAGGTCCCGCTTCAGCACCTTTTGCTTCCGAAATTACACAGCAAGCTAAGACAACGATCGAAGTCGAGCAGGAGACCGAGTCTGACTCGCCCCTGGACAATGCCAACTTTCTTTCGTTTGAAGAATGGAAGAGCCGGAATCTGGCCAAAGCCGGGCAATCTGCAGAAAATTTGGGTGCAAGGGCTGGAGGTGGCGCAGAGCAAAGACGGAGGCCCGGAGGTATCAATAACGCGTTGGACTCGTTGGGCGAGGACACGGAGATTGAGATAGATTTTGGCGGATTCGTCGACCCGGGCAACCCACCACCTACCCAATCTCCGCCACACCACGGCACTGCTCAAGTTTCGAAGGGTGAGCGCAGTGAAGATAAGTCAGCGGACGAGCCATCAGGCCCCCGTAAGAGGGGAAAGGATGCTGGGAAGACTTGCAAGGAAAGGTCCAACTACGCATCCTTTGACTGTGCCTCCACCGTCCTGAAAACAAACCCAGAGTGCAAAGGGTCTACTAGTGTCCTAGTGGAGAACAAAGATAGCTACATGCTCAACATCTGTTCTGCGAAGAACAAATTCTTCATCGTCGAACTCTGCGATGATATCCTGATCGATACCGTGGTACTAGCAAACTTCGAGTTCTTCAGCTCAATGTTCCGGACATTTCGCGTCAGTGTCTCGGATCGATATCCTGTGAAGCTCGACAAGTGGAGGGAGCTTGGAACCTTTGAGGCAAGGAACAGTCGAGATGTGCAAGCTTTCCTGGTTGATAACCCTTTGATCTGGGCAAGATATCTGCGAGTTGAGTTCTTGGCGCACTTTGGGAACGAGTACTACTGCCCCGTCAGTCTTTTGAGAGTCCATGGCACTACGATGATGGAGGAGTTCAATCACGACGTGAAGGGGTCAAGGAACGATGATGACTCGGATAGTGAAGCTGGCGATGTCGAAGAAGGAGGTTTAGTAGATTCGGTACTAGCAGACCTTGTCAGTGCCGATGCATTGAAAGAGAAAGTCCAGGAGACCTTGGAAGAAGCTGATGCAACACCGACTGGACCTTCAAGTGCCACAACAGCGAGCTCGGTTAACCTACCGTCGAGCACCCCTTCAAGAATGTCAGATGCCACCGTGTCTTCGAGTCCCGACCCCTTGTCGTCGCCAGGCTTCACGTCCTATAACTTCTCTGTGGCTATGCAAATGGTACTTTCGCCTGCTTCATCTGCTCACAACAAGTCTGTCTGCAACCCTGAGGACCGGCCGAATGATGCTGTACCTCCGCCACCAGCCTCGGTACCTATTGGTCAGACTGAAAGGATCCCTGGGGCGTCATCGGTTGTTATAGCCATTCAGACGCCCTCTCACGGGACCTTTTCCACCAACGAAACCACCACCAGACTCTCAGAGTCTTCAAAGACTGTACTCCCAGTCGTCTCGGACAAGGGTGCAATTCAGAACAAGTCGGAACCAACAAGATCATCGAATCAGACGTCGGCGTCCATCGTGAGAGGTCATTCATCCTCCACGCAACCTGCCAACCCTAGTCCTACCACACAAGAATCATTCTTCAAATCTGTCCACAAACGCCTGCAGCTCCTCGAATCGAATTCTACACTTTCACTTCAATATATTGAAGAACAATCTCGCATTCTGCGCGATGCTTTCTCAAAAGTCGAAAAGCGACAGTTGGGAAAAACCACTGCTTTTCTGGAAATTCTGAATACGACTGTCTTGACTGAGCTCCGTGATTTCCGCCACCAGTACGATCAGATCTGGCAATCCACTGTACTCGAGCTCTCATCTCAACGTGAACAATCTCAGCATGAGGTCCTCGCCCTCAGCGCCCGCCTCAGCCTTTTAGCAGACGAGATTGTCTTCCAAAAACGGATGGCAATCGTTCAATTCGGTCTCATCCTACTGTGTTTGGGCCTCATAATCTTCTCCCGTCACAGCTCACAAGCTACCTACCTCGAGCTCCCACCAGTGGTGCAGCATGCTGTCAACAAGTCTTCTGCTAACTTGTCGCGCTACGCTCCTTCTATCGAGAGTTCGCCCAATAGTCCATCATCCACAAGACCTTCGTCACGACATGGTCTGTTTCGCGACTTGACACACCGCAGTAGTCCGTCAGAAGAGTCACAGCTCGATGATGGAAGGAAGAACCCCAACATCACCATCGAATATGCGCCTCCAACGCCGACGTCTCTGCCTTCGTCTGGAGAGCACCAAAACGAGCCTGCCAGTGATGGCGATGATCACTCGAGGGATTGTTCACCGGAGCCGGAAGAGGGAGCAGTATGGCAGACGAGGAGCAGCCCTTCTACGCCGAGTGGACAGCGGGATGAGCAGCGGGAGCTTGGAAAAAGGACATTGTTGCCACCAGAGGCCGTCGGGGTGACTTAGCTAGGCCATAGCGATGTCGATACGGGATGCGACTGGCTCTGCGGATCAAGCGGAGGCGTTGGGGTTATTTTGGCCTTTGGTATAGAAAGTATAGCATTGCATAGCGCAGGTGTTCGGTGGTTTCTGCTAGCGTTTGGATGCTGCAGAGCTTTGTTTGGAATGAGTATCAATGCGAAGGCTAGAATTCGACGCAATCAAGGAATTGTGCTTTCACCGTGTGTAAAAGGTGCATAAGTATTTATCCAGACCATCACCAGGGAGCAAAAGTTTTGCACACCCATCAAGCAAGGAGTGAATGAGACGGAAAGAGACGGCAATGATGTCTACATGAGATAGCAACGTTCCTATCGCCCTGGGGAAACGCCTACCCCAACGACTGTGGTATGGAATCCCTTCAATGCTGTCTTCGTAGGACGTGAGTGGCACAAAGGGAACTGTAGCAACGTCTGAGTTTTATGCATTTGAGAGCTTTCTCCTTTTGTGTCCTGCTTCTTGTTCCCCCTGCTGTTTTCTCTGCTTCTCCGTCGTCCCCGATCTTCCGCTCAATCAGCTCGGGAATTGACCATCAGAGGTAGACAAAGGGTGAACGTCAGTACCGTTCTTCTGATTGGACCTTTTCCATAAGTTGACGAACCATTTGACGATCAGAAGAGGGCTCGGTGCTGTGTATTTCTGTAGTAATAGGAGCATACGGGACGCAGGGTAACACCGCGGTCTCGATAGATCTTGATACCTGCATACCCAATTCCATCACAGCGTCCCTTTTTGCACCATCGTCCCCTTCACACGCTCAAAGCGCACCTCCCAATACTTTCACCAACCACATCGCCACTCGGACCTTCCACCCCGCTTTCCTCTCCTTCGTCTCGAGATCTTCCTCCTTCACAAGGTTCGTGTGGCTCATCAACAGCTCTCCTTCTCTCTTCAATTTCCGCATCAGTCCTTCATCTTTTGTCACCACTATAGCGCCAACTTCCAGGTCCAGCCCGTAGCTACGTGTAGTGTAATTAGAAGATCCGATAAGAGTAACGCTCGGACCTGCTGGGGTGCTCGGGTCCTTGCTCTCAAAATCGGTACTAAGCTCTGATGAAGTCTTATTGGAAGTGCTCGATGACGTCCCCTGTTGTAGATCCGCCTGCAGAGTCACCCATAACCCCTTCGCGTGATACGTCCATCCATTCTGTTGCCCCACAATTCCACGCTGCCATTCCCGCAGCTGAATATTCTTGCCGCGTGCAGCCTGCAAAAACCTGAGGGAGAGATGCGTATATGCTGCGGGCAGAAGCCCTGAAATGCCTTTGGAGCCAAAGAATCCATTGGCGTATGGCGAAGCTGTCAAGATGGAGCCTGGCGCCGAGATTGGGAGAGAAGAGGCAGCCAAAAGCGAGGACGTAATTACTGGGTGGGGATTGAAGTAGCCGGCTGTGAAAGTGTAAGACACAATATGTCGAGCGAGAAGGGCCGTGAATGCAGGGAGCTCAGTGTTGATTGTTGGTGGATGACATATAACAGGGTAGACGGATGTAGATGTTGTAGGAGGCGACTGGGAGGAGGCCGGTTTCACGAAGGGGAGGAGTAGGGAGGTCGCCGCTTCTATATAGCCTTTCGGAGCCTCAAGGGGGTTTGGAGCTGGACTGGACGTCGGCCATTCCAAAGTGAACTTTGAGGGGGTAGCCCTTGGCCGTAGCAGAAAGCTGATGCTGCAGACAGCATCGTGGATGCGTGCGAAGTAGTCAGCGACTCGCTTCGAACTGAAGACATGGTAGCGATCTTGACGGTTTGTAAAGTAGTCATTCGAAAGATTTGCCCCAGAAAGGATCACTTCGTCGTCAATTCCATACAGCTTAATATGCTGCAATCCCCAACCCTCATTGATGCGTTTCGGTATCAATGCTTTGCGCAGCCCCGTCAAGTTGGGCGTATGGTACATGCGGACCTCGACTCGGTCTGGAAACTCCTCGACCAAGGAGGCCAACAATGAAGCACACGAGGGATTTGGGGCCTCTCGAGTTCCCCGTAGCGCATCTGTGAGGATGGAGACCTTGAGCTCGGAACCCTGTTGGAGTAAAGCATCCCGTATAGTTGAAATGAGCTCATTCTCTGTTTTGCCAATGTAGAGAGTCGAGAGATATATCCTCCTCCTCGCCCTTCTTATTTTGCTTCTTAGACTTTCGTAAAATTCCGTTGGTCCATCGAGTATCTCAATCTGATCAGCGTTGATATCGATCCGGGGGGCAAGACGGTCCAGGTCTGATGTGAGCGCTGCCAGAGGTGATGCATGCGTAGACGTCTGAGGGAAGTCTAGCGGGGATGTAGTAGAGTGCGCTCTCAGGCGGAGCTGCCATGGCAGTCGTCTTGTTGAAGATGGAAGCCATGGACGTGGGTTTGCTCGAATCCGGCGGACGAGCATCTATTCGATGCCTATATTCAGGTTGCCAGACTGTTCATGTTTTCAATACTTCAACACTTCTCTGACTGCCGTCGGCCATGTGAAGTCTGTTGGTACCTGTTGTGCAATGAGGAAAGAGGTTCAATGTAGTGCTTAAGGACGGTGTAGTTCGGGCTACAAGATTCGAAATTCCGTCCTGTCTAGAGTACTTTATATTCTGTATCTACATTGCCCCTATTGCTCAAATCCATCTCTTATAAATTGGCGAACACCTCGCCATGGCTCTCATCACGCTCACATTTGCGGTTTTTGTACATGAAAGTCCTTCGAATCTTGCCGATATTCGTATCTAAAAAGCAAGCGGCTCTGAACCTTGTAAGGGAATCCGATTTTCTTTGAGGTGTCATTCTAAAGTGACTCCGCTCAACGCTAAGTCTTATGGACTGGTACTCGGGAAGAAGACCTAGGCTCCCAGGTAAGCCTGTTAAGAGGATGTCTCTATTCTAGGAGCCTTTCTACCGAGCTGCCCTCGTTCGTTCCGCTCTCATCCATTTTCACCCACGTCCACTTGATCCTCGTCCACTTGACCCTCGTCCATTTCGCTCTTAGCCAATGCCAATTCCTTCATGGCCATCCGGACACATTTCTCTTTGGACCGCAAGCAGAAGATACAGTCTGTATCTCCGGGGTAGCGAGGGTGCAACAGGAAGTCTCGATTGGCGGGTGTAACCCTTGTGGAGTGTTGAATCAACGTTGCCTGCACAAGAAACGAGGACAAGTGTTGCCAGTACTCGTAGTTAACGGCACATCCTGTGGACTGGTGACCATTGAAGGCAACAAACGAACAAAGCTCGAAGCCGTTTGTCTTTGAGAAGCGGTTCGAGCGCTTTCCCTAGAAGCGCCTGATCCAGCATTTTCAATAACCGAATCATGCCAACCGCTTCGAACACTTGCGCCATTGCCCCACCGCATCCAGCTCAGCCTGTGCGATTAGTTTTAAGGCCAAGTTTTGACCATTGACAAAAGAACGTGACGTCAAGTCAAATTTGTCAGGTAGGCAAGTGAAGCGGACAACGCAGATTTGAATATGACTGGGTAAACTAGAATGAAGAGATTGTTCTTTTTAAATTGTCGTCTTCGAAGCGCTGGCGTCTAATTTCCTCCTGGAAGGCATTATTGCTCCCTCCTTGGTAGGGCTAGAATTCGTGTCAGCATCTGTCATCTCATGTTTTTGGACTGTGGGAGCTAACTTCATCCGAGAAGGCGTCCTGGCCACTGCGGTCGTACTCGTCAAGTTGGATGGCACCATCCTTTTCTAGTCTCCCTCTCCTACGAGCTCTTCTCGCCATGTAGTCTCTCGAGTGGCCCCTGACGTCGCTCCACGCATGCTTCCTCATTCCACACCAAATACCGAGAATGATGAGGATCACAGCAACGATTCTGATGGCGCTCCGGTCAGCAATCACTCGTTTCGGGGAAGCATTGGATTTCATATAACAAGTGTCTCGAGTACAAAAGTCCCGAAACATGTCTCGGGGCTCCGAAAGACGTCCAAATGAGGAAGATTGGGGATAGGGAAGTCCTACGCGATTGGCAATCCTATTTCCAGACCATATATAGAGTCTATCTTTGGAATCAATACTCGCGGGAGAGTTTTGGGATCAACAGTCTATCAGTCATCTCGGAGTCAGCATTTCTCCATCAGGGTTCTAAGTGAACTAAAAGAAAGGGTTTGGAGTGTTGAAGGCGAGACAGGGGTAGCCTGCCAGAAAATGTCTTGCGACTCAAGAAGGATTGAATACTAGGGCAATGTAAAAGAGAAATAAGCTATACCAAGCTGATCATAGGACCCAATTTTGAGATGTTTTGACCTCCAGCAGGTGTACTAGACAGATATTCCTCAGTCAGCATTACCTATTCAGGAAGGCTTTCCAGTCTCAGAACATGTCTCAGGAGCAAACAAACGTACGAGATCAAAGAAAAGGTGAGGTTCTGGCCTATTTCAGAGTCAGCGTTCCATCTCAAAGGCAAAGGGAAGAGCGATAATAGCCAGGAAATATCAAGAGCCCTTTGGTCCCAGACCATTTCTTTTGACCCAGGAAATGGATAAGATAGGAATCATTTGCTCCATATATGTACATACCTAATGAGGTGTCATTGCCAGAAGCCCCTAGTAGCCAATCTTTGTCCATATACACGTTGACATAGCCTCGTACATTCGCCACGTCGGGGGAATACCATGCGACCTGTTGATCGGCTGTAATATAGGTCAACTCGACTGTCGTCGTGGCATTGTCTGGGAAAAGTGTTGGGTTCCATGTAACTAGAAACCATAAGCTTCTGCAATGTTGACGAGTATTTCCCACCTGCCTCCGTATGTGTACCCGGTGAACAGGTTTTGACCGTGAATGGGAGAGCAAAATGGTCCATTATCAGGCTCAGTACCATTGATTCTGCAAGCTGTCAAGTCGTTTTGCGGAATTCCGGGAGCAGTAGCATTGGCCGTGGCAAGGTCTTTAAGTTTGGCGTCAGTATATCCACTTCAAAACAGAGTAACGGGAAAATTTCAGGGAATTGGGGGGAAAGGATGATCCGAGGACAGCTTTTGCAAGCCGGATTTTGGTCAATCAGGAAGGAGTTAGGGAAAGCTAGACTCACAGGCAGAAGCAGTGAAAGTAGAAGTTTGCGTCTCGCTATGCGAAACTGTGATATGTGTAGCGTTCACACCTGGAGAGTGGGGATGAGCAAGCTTGCATTTCTGCACTTCTTGAGAGAGACCAAATACCATGGGCTGTGTATGCTGTTGATTCGGTCTTGGTGAAGGCTGGAATGTTGCGAAATTCCGTTACCGTAACAGGTCCACCAGTGGCCGAAGGTGCGGCCGCAACCGTATCTGAAGAACTAGAAGAGAGTGTAGAGGAGGCAGAGGGATGCTGCTGCTGCTGCGGTTGAAGCAGGCGAAGTGGAGGAAGAAGATATGGAAGATGCCGCTGTGAATCAGAAAGATGACTGATTAGCCAGTTATCAAGAAGCTTACGGGGCTCCCAGCGTTGAGACAAAAAAGCTCAATGGGATCAACTCACTGTTACTTCTGTCTTGTCGCCGTTCCAGAGGTCCCGCAATTGCTTCTTTCGCGAACCCCAGAGCTCTATTGTAGAACTGCATATCTTCTCCCCCAATGGACGGTTGATGGAGATCAGCGATCGATTGAAAGGAAACAGCCTAGATTGTCATATAGAAGTAAAATTGCTCGAGATACTAGAGTCTTTTGTGTGTTGTAGATACCATATAAAATTTCTGAGAGGGTCGCGTTTTTGACAGGAAACGTCTCACCAAAGGATTAATCACTCATTATCGCCGCTCCCCGGCTATATCCGTGCGTGCGCCTAATCCGGCCAAACGCTAAGGGCATCGGCTTCCTTCCATTCATTCGTTCGCTCTCACCTCAACCCATTATTCTGCTCAAGCTCCATGGGCCTTACCCATTCTCACAACTCACAATGTCGACAATCATGCGCACCCTGCGGAATCTCCGCAAAGTCGGCATAAAAGAATACGCCCATCAAATGCAATACATTGGCGATACCAAAGCTGGCACCTACATCGCAACGGACAAATACGGCAACAAATACTACGAGAACCAAGAACAAGAGCTACCTCGTCAGTCTCTCCCTCGACTCACCACAGCACCCGATTGCACCCTCGCTGACTGTAGCAACCAGTACGAACAAGATGGGTAGATTACAAACAAAAAGAATACGACCCCGCACAAATTGAGCCAGGATGGCACGCGTGGATGTCGTATTTGGTCGACAAGCCACCGACTGAGGATGCCGTGCTGAAGACAGGGCAGAGGAGTTGGGAGATTCCGGAGCATAGGCCAAATCTGACGGCCAGCAGGGCGGCGTATAAGACTTATTCAACGTTAGTCTTCTTTATTCATGAAGGGTTGTGAGGAGTGTGGAGAGGGTAACGGCGATTGGAGAGGAGGATCGAGATATCGATTGGGCTGTGACAGCGCATCCAGCTTAGAAGATGTCAAGGCTGGCAGCTACACATGATGAATTCGAGTGCTGACTTTTTGTGTGCGTAGGGTGAAGCCAAAAACACACGCTTGGCAGCCCGTGGCGAAGCCGAGGTAGCATTGCCAACCGATTGGAATCTGAAGGCAGAAGGCAGGAAGAGATGTAGATAAAGAACACGTGGAGCAGGGCGTTTGGGCGCATATGAAGCATCGTCGACAGAAGTTGACCATTCCCCAGTTGCTATTAATTGAGCAATACTTGATTTTTCAGTTCAAGTCTCGATACTAAGAATGTACAGAGCTGTAGATATCTGCCTATGAACGAGAAGAATAAGTACATTGTTAGAAGATTAAATGTGTATATTCGAGGCCGGCTCACGCCACACCAAATCACCGTTGCCAAACGGCTCCGCCTTTTGTACTGCAAAAAGGCCCCGTTCACTTCTTCCAAGGCGAGATAGCAGCTGCTCCAAACGTCTTCATGGTATTCGTCGGTGCCTCGCTATTCCCATCCAGTGTATGACAGAGTGTGCCACGTCCGCCTTCCCAATCAGAATAACAGTACCATGGCTCATACCACAACATTCCCATAAAAGCGGAGAAAGGCTTCACTGTCTTCCACATCAACTCCGTAAGAGACTGCTCCTGGGGAATCTGTTGATACGTAAAGCTAGTAGCATATTCAACGCCCAGACCTTGTAATTTGTACTGGCCCGCCCATGGACCGTCAGTGTATGTGCCGTAGGCTTCAGCGTAACCCTGCAACTGAGTGAGAGTTTTGGTCAGTCGGGTCAAGGTATCGGCCATGCTGGGTTCGGAGTCGATGTCGGATGGTGTCATTGGGTCTGGATATGAAGAGAAACCCATGATGGTAAGCATCTCCGAGGCATTTGGAGAGAGAATGCTTCGAGGAATGACAGAATTGCTGCAGGCCGCACCCGAGGAGTCTTTCAGCTCAGTCTGGCTTAATGGATTCGGACCATGTACACAAGCTTCCTTCCACTGGACATATTGGACATGAGAGTGAAGACCATAACGGGTTGTGGCCGTGGAAAAGCCTGACGCCGTGATGGCCTCGTTGCAGGCTATGACTTCGGCCTTGAGGTAGCCCGCGTATTGCGGGTAGGAAGCCATGTTGCCGGTAGGAATCTTGCCGCACATCTCAAGGTCTACTTTGGCCGCGCTGGCTTTGCCGTCATTAGTACCGCGAACATGGCCGGTAGACTCCTCAGTAAAGAGGAAGCCATCAGAACCTTCATTCTCGAAGAGGATGATATCAGGTACAATTTTGGCATCAAGAAAGGGCTGGAGTTGGCGTATTGCCTCTTCTTGAACAGCGCCAACCATACCGTCATAGTCAAGAGACTCGAGGTCTTTAGGTATTGTGAACCCCTGATTGATGGTGAGCTGAATTCTCATGCCCAGAGCTGCAGCCCGTTGCGCAGTCTTGACCGCAATATCGATACCTCCAAAATCAAGCTGGAAAAGCAACTCTTCACCACGAGTTGATGCATTATTTGTGAATACGGTAGGCCCTAGACTCATGTCACGAGAGGTCTCGACCCGGATAGCATTGAAACCTGAGTCTGCAAGAGTTTTGATGGGGTCCTTGACGGTGACGCCATCATAATCGTAGAAGACACGGCCTGGGATAGCTTCCATTCGCATCAGAGTACCTATAGTACCTACGCAGGATCTGGAGTCAGCATTGCTTCTTCAATCCAAGAACATTAATTGCTAAACAGATCTCAAGGGTAAAAAAGAACTTTTGCTCCCAAAACATGTCTTGTAACTCAGGCCTCGGTTATTGCGAAAAAAAAATCAAAAATCAAAAACAATCGCAGAAATGTACGAACCTCCCGCCCAGAACTCGCCCTGAAGATTGGCATCTGTGGTGTCGTTCGTCTCTACTATAGTATTGGATCTAGGCAGGGACACAGTAGGGTTGCTGCTCGTACCTGAGCCCAAAGGTGAAGAAGCGTTCGCAGCAGTGGGGTACTTTGAACCTTGAAGCGTGCCATTGCCGCAGAGACCTCCCAAAACGGCAGATGCACTTGCAACGGGCGTACCAGAGGCATTTGCTTTGCTGCACTTCGTACGTTTAGGACCAGTTGAGCCGCTTGCAGAGACGCCATTTTCCAATGGGTTAGCAGAGCCATTCGAGCCGTTGCCTGACCCGTTCTGTGCCAGGCAGCCGGGACCTGTTGAGCCATTGACAGTCGACCCCTTTTGCAACAGGCCTGCTGGACCAGCTGTCGTAGCTACTGCCGCAGCTTGTGTCACAGTGACAGTATACTGAGTGGTGATTGTCACTGTTGACTGCAATGGGCAGATCCCTGGCGAGCCCCCAGCGTTACCGCTTCCGGCTACAGGTGAGCCAGAACTGCCGTTTTCGAGACCACCAGGAGCGCCATTCCCAGTTGATGGGGATCCAGAAGTTGGTCCTTGGCCCGCGGGTTGCTGCGAGGGTATATTTGGGTTTCCTTGACTGGGTAGGGTGCTTGCAGTTCGGGAATAGGGAAGCTGGTAAGCTAAAGTAGAGGCGTTGTTTCCAGGATAGCCATACACGGATCCGGTGGCTGAGGCAAGGTCACAAATACGAGAATGAGAGCACTTCCTCCTGCGTTTTGCAGCTAAGGCTTGGGCAGGAGCCCCGTCATCAAGACGAGGTTGCAGACGAGCAGCGGCTTCAATGTGTCAGTAAATGCTATGCTCTAAAGCTCAGATCTGGACGGCATACCTACCATTCGAATCAATCGACGCAACGAAAGGGAGCTGGAAAGTAATGAGCGACAATGCGAGAAAGGCAAATGAGTGTGTGAATGAGGGAACTTTCATGTTGAATGCTTCTTTCCCAAACATTATATAATGAAGCAAAACAAGGAAGGCAGATTAATATCACCCGGTAGAGGACCAATGTCGCCTTTATCATACAAATGCATGATTTCATTTTCAGGAGAAAAGGTCATATCGTGTTGACCCGATATTATTCCGAACTTATTCTACTGCGACGGGATATTTGTACAAGCCGCGGCTGTTGAGGATTGAGACGGTCAGTGGAGCGGCTCAGAGTATCAAGATGAGACTTGGATTTCAATCTGCTGTCTTGGCTGTTCCGGTGTTTCACACGCCTGTGGTGGAGATTTTGTGCCACAGGAAATCGACAAAGGAAGTACTTGTAAGCATACTTAGCAGCATTCAACGAGTTTGATTCTACGCATCGAGATCATGAGATGGAAAACACAAATGTGTACTTGACCACAGGCGTCGTTGACAGCGGCGTTGGCTCGGGCAAGGTGTGCGCCTTTGCAGGCCCGCCCGTAAGGGAGCTCTAAGTCGGGTAAAGCGTTATCAGTACGAGTACTACTATTTGCCAAATACAGTACTAGTACATGTAGTAAGGTAAAATATTTGGCAGTTGCCTCACCGGCTCCACATTGTTCCGCTGCCGAGACCTGTCCTTGTTAAGTAAGATTACCTTACGGTACAGGAGAATTAGCGGGCCGCTTTTCCGCTTTGCCATAAAGTCCACAGCTACGGAGACTGACTCTCGATATTTTCTTTCCATATTAATTTCCCTGATCGCAATTGCTATCCCTAGAATGACAGTCATGTGTGGCCAAATAACCGCACTAATAAATTTCTACCACTATTATTGCTATATTTTGATTGGTCAGGCAAACATCGGACGGTTTCAATTCGTTGAAATAGCCAAAGTATCGTCCGGGGATCCTCCACCCAAATTCGGCCCTCATTTGGTGTGCAATCCCCACTTCTCCTTCTTCTATTGATCGATGAACTGTGTGAAAGCACTATGGATGAGTGTGTCTAATAGAGGTATCATGCGCCTAGCTATGCTTGATATCAGGTCTCTATTAACTGTGTGGTGATAGAGAATAAGAGTGGTAAATGAATATCGAGTGCTTTGTGGGGGAAATGTGAGGGTATTCGGCGTTCGGCTAAACCTCGCGCCGATCAAGATCTAACCTAATCAGGCTAGCGTCTGATATGTCATGTCAAAGGGAATGTCAGCCTATGACCGTCAGCTGACTGTCATAGTGGTCAAATGTCATTCATTAGGCATCCCTAATCACTTCTGTATTTTAGGATTGCTTACTTGCAATTTCGGTGTTGGCGATCTGACATCGGGGGAGGCGCAGGTCTGAGATGAAGGGTTCCTCGTCCATTCACGTGTCAGAAAAAGGGATCGGAAATGGCTCTGAGCGGGTTTCAGGCGGAGGCTGAGGTGGCTCCTTCTTCATAGGGCCCCCACCCCCCTCCAACGATTAGACGAGAATATCGTGATGTGATATTACGATCCCTATTCTCTGATATAGATTGGATGCCAATAACATGGATTCCTGGTTTCCTAATCTCTCACTCCGAAGGGATTGCCAACAAAATGAGCCTCGGCGAGTCGTCGATGCTTCTACTGTGGCCCAATGGCATGACACTGCCAATGGCATGACACTGCCAATGGCATGACACTGCCAATGGCCCTCGTCCGAATCACACCGCACAGTCACACGTCTAATATCGAGGCCCCTGCTCGCTTCGGACGTGGCGGCACCTACTTTCACGTCTCTGGTCCACCATGTGGCTCATTTCGGTGACACAGATTCAGAATCAATGCTGTGCCATGTTTCACAACATTCGGAGAGCTTTACCACTGAACGGGTACTGCGTGTCCACTGTTGGTCTGACATTCAGTGCATTTTGAATCTTCATTCATCATGCCAATCTTATTTTTCTTGTAGCGGATTTTTTCGCCGCAGTGGTTCTTTCACTTTGTATAAATGCAGTATCTACTGCATCGAATCTGGTCATATTTCAATCCGTTATTCCCCCAATTGGTCTTCAGCATGCAGCATTTGACTTTAGTCTCTTCGGTGCTGTTGAGCACCATTTCCTACGTCTACGGCCAAGTCCCGAGTGCAGGCGCTTGCGGGCCCACCAGCGTTGCCAATGTTCCTGGTAAGACTCTCTTGCCTACTTAAGCCAAAGGAGAGCAATGCTGAACAATGTAAACCAGGGTGCTGGGGTCTTCCGGTATTGACGCCGATATTGAAGGTGAGAGATTATTGTTGACGGTAATAGGGCTGTGCGTATGTCATTGCAGGACCAGGTGCGGCATGCAGCTATGATTATTGCAGTATGTCGCCCCCTTTGATCTCTTTCACGCATGTTTTAAATTTTCGGGGTAGACTGTGGAGGGACCAACGTGCCTCTTCTCCCTCAGACTTTGTCCAACACACCGACAATTGGATGTAATTCGTATACTACCCAGCCGTCTGCAAACAACTGTCCCACTGCGGCCATCGTAGCTCCAGGTCCAGGTGCTCCTAGTTCCGGTCCTTCTTCCGCGGTTCCTTCGACGACCGCTCCTTCAAACCCTCCCTCATCTCTACCAATTGGGGCGACTGTGGTCACTAGCACCATAAGTGGGCAGACGGTAATCGAGACCTTTGCGCCAACCACCTACACCCAGTTTGCTACAGTCACAACCACCATAACAACCACGATCCTTGGCGCATCAAGCAGTCCTATCACGATTACAGTTGGTCCATCTGGGGTGGCTTGGACACCCTTCAACCAAAGCCCAGGAGTCCCTAATGTGGCGCCTCCATCACTCTTGCCCGGAGCTCCTCCGCCGTCCAGCGTGCCATTGCCACCAGGAGGAACGGTAGTGACCGCCACAATTGGCTCGACGGTCCTTACCGAAACATTTGTGCCGACTACTCTCTCAGGCTACGCATCCCTGGCGTCAACGATAACTACTACAACTTTGGATGCTCAAAGCAGCCCTGTTACAATACTGATTGGTCCGGGCGGCATCAGATGGATTCCCGTCAGTCTACCTTCCGGAGTTCCCGAAGTCCCTCCGCCCACAGTGCTGCCCTTCAACCCAAATGCCCCTTCAATAAGGCCGCCCGGCAGCACACTATCTAGCAGTGCGCCGAGCTCAACTGCCTCAAGCCCTAATCCATCAACCACCACCCCCGCAAGTGCCTCCCCAAGTGGCACAGCTGATGCAGGTCAGGCTTCAATAACAGACGCCTTCGGTAATACAGCCCTATCTGAGACTACCATTATCGCTGGAGGCGTAACAGAGTATTGGTCAAAGGCCACCTTTGCAGATCTAAGCACTGTAACAGCACCGACGACAGTAACAACACCGATTGCGCAAACCAATCAAGACGGTAGCCAATTTACAATCTCTGCAGCAATCATAATTGTTGGGCCAGGTGGTGTCTGGTAAGCAACACTCTCCAGGAAAACCCTCTTGCGAGACATTTATGAGACCGAGACTGATCATGCTGAACAGGTGGAATGGAGGCACCGGTGGTTGGGGATTGCACGGCCCCTCTTGTATCTGGCCTTTCTGCCCGCCAGGACCACCTGGCGGAGGAGATGTCGGTGGTGCTGGCTCTGCTACTAACCCCAATGACCCCAATAGCCCTAACAGCCCCGAGAAACCCAGCGATCCCGATGATGATGACGACAACAAATCCCAGTCCCAAAAGAGTTCGGACCCCTCAAGTACAATCACCTCGCAATTCTCAAGCTCCTCAGCATCCTTTTCATCCTGCAGTGCAAGCACTATCGCTTCAGATTGCTCGGTCATCTGTTCAATGCCAACCAGCGCCTCATCCCAATCTTGCTCTACTACATGCTACTCTACTGTCACCGGGTGCGGTGCTACAGGCACAACCGAATATTCGACCGCTACCGGAGCCTCCTGCACAAAACCGACAGGCTGGGGCAACGTGGTTGACGGAGATGACTCTCCCGATTACGAGCCCCTTGGCACAGCGGGTATAGCTGCCCCTGGCGGTGTCATTGGTGGTGCGTTGGGCTCTTCATCAGCCACCGGCAGCTCTGGAACCTCCCGTGGATCTACAGCTACCAGTGCTAGCTCTTCAAGCCCTTCGAGTGCACCACTCACGTCGATTGTGCCCAACCCTACTTGCATGGCAGATGGGGCTCCGTGGTACAGCCCGACAAGTTGGTGCGACTGTGGACCGAGTTCAACCTACCCAACGCTGTCGGCTACGTCTGGCGCTACTACAGCAAATTGTGCATATGCTTCGCTGCCAGCGTCGACCATCCAGCCAGTCAGTACCAGCGCTGCGCCAACGAATATACCTGGCCAAGGTGGTATCCCTGGCTGTGCAGCGGTTGTCTCAACTAGTGGTACGTCAGCCTACTGCAACTGCGGTGGCACACCAGCTCCCACCCTCAGTCCTATATCCTCGGGACTCTTGAACTGTGACTACACCATCCAGCCAACAAGCTCCTACAACCCAGCAATACCGCCGCCGCCGTCATCAGCTGCTCCACTGTCACCATCATCGTCGGCAGCTGCCCCAGCACCCCCCGTACGCGACCGGAAAGTGCAATGTCCACATCTGGCAAGGTCTCGGACAGGAGCTAGGCGATCCTGAGGTAGTCATTGACGTCAACATCAGCGATGCCAAGGGCAGCGTCATTGGCTATGCCGCCAGCAAGTTAAACTGGGCTCAGGGATTTGGAGTAGACAGCAAGCTCCCATACGTAATGGAAGTAACTCCGCAGACAGGCCTCTCCAACAGCAGACGCTTCACCAGGGCATCTCTTGGAAAGAGACTGGCCCCTGGTCTACAGCCTCGGCCATTGTTCGAGAAAGGTCCAGTCGATTTCGCTATTGGTTCGCAATCGTGGGATTCTACCTCCTCCCAATGCTCTGTTGGAGCCTGGGATAACGGCGATGCGAACGACTTCTTTGGAGCCCTAATTTTCGGTGACGACCCGCTTCCCAACCGCCAAATGGACTGTAAATTCGACTGTCCCAGTCCCAGCAGTAAGAAACGGGCCGTTGCCGAACGACTCGAGCCTTTTCTTGAGCGGGACGACGAATCGAAGCGGGATCTGAAAAACCACGTCGCCAGATATCCTTCGCCGACAACCGACAACGATCCATCACCCGTAGACGAGCAACTGTTCGATGTGCGAGCACTGAATCCTCGCGCACCCCACGGCGCTGCATGGGTCAAGTACGCGCCGAGCGGAGCTCGATACTATCAAGCCTGGCAAGACAAGACGGGCGATGATGCAGTCTACCAATGTAACTTTGACGACGACTTCGACGTTACCCTGCCCGTCAAATTTGCGCTCCCCGCAAGGGGTATCCAGCCCGTCCTACAGGCCCAGGGCTACGGCATCGGACGGGAATACTACGCTATCACTGCAACGGGCCCTAAGAACGCGGCCGACGGGCCCTTCGCCGACTTCTCAAACACCATCAGCGCCACCCAGGGGGTATTCCTGGCCAACGCCAATAGCCGCGGCGCGCTGCCCTCGGACCCGAACGATCCTATGTACAACCCGGCCTTCCCCAACGGCCGCCAGCCCGTGCCCTGGCAGTTCTCCTCGGTCGCCTGGTGGATGTGGACCAAGACCGTGCTGACGCAGAACCCAGCCTGGGCGGAGAACCCGTCGCAAGCAGACTACTCCGGCATCAAGTCCTTCTGGCGTCGCGAGATCGACAACGCGGATACCAAATCTATCCTCGACGACGCCTTCGCCGGCAAAGATATCAGTTCCACTCAGACGTGGACGCCCGAGGATACGGACCAGGACACCAACCCTTTCTGGGCGCTGGTGGGGAGCCCGAATGGCAACGGGATCCAGTATTTCTTGACGGACAATAAGGTCGCGCTCAAGGGCAAGGGGATCATCAGTCTAAGTGCGACGACGGTGCAGAGTAGTGATGCGAGATTCTATTCGATGTGGGCTACGTTTGGGTAAATTATATCCTAACGTTAATCGTGATATTGAGAAGCCGTGAATGTAAAATGCGGAGTTCGGTCACACACTGTAACACCAATAAGATTCTAAAGATGGAATATTTGAGATTAGATGACACGGTAGATCGCTTATTTTCGCTGACGCTGATAACGGACTGCGACTCCCTAAAGGCGTTGATGTACCTACTTATTTTGAGGAACCCGCCGAGATTGCATTGGGCGTAGGAGGGTGCGGAGGAGAGCGTCTTTCATTTGTGTCGGAATCGCTGTGCGCGGTGTTTTGAGATGGTTGAAACCCACTAGCGGATATACTTGCACGCCTCTTCTACATTATTCTCGTATCGAATAGTGAATTTCGCTGTATTCGCAAAGGATGTAGAGGCTCAGCGCGGAGGAGTTGGGATCGGGGTCTAAACGCGACCTCGATAGAAGCTCAGCCGACGGATTAAATCTAGAATTGAAGACTGCTCGGAGAGAAGTAGCAGCCTCGGTTGAAAGGCTACTCCTGGTCGTCGTCGTCGTCGCGCCATCGTCTTCACCAAGTGTCTCCTCCAACATCTCGTTGTATTCTGCCCGTCGCTTAGCCCTCTCCGGGTCCGTCGAGACGATAAGTTGCATCGCGCGCTTGAGTGGGCACCGGAACACACACGTTTGGCCCAAGTCACCGCCATCGCTGCCATCGTATCCAGTTATTTCTCCACCTTCCTCGCAACTGTATCTCGACGCAAGATCCTCGCTCCTCCAGGCAAGCAGAACACCGCGCTCCTGCCACCCAGTATCCAGCACGATGAAGGCCATCGAAAACGTCTCCCTCAGCTTATACTCCGCCACTGACCGAGCCTGGCCAGGCCGGACTTCACACGGATCGACCGGTTTCGTGTCCGGTATCTCCTTCTCCAGCTCGCACAACTTCTCACACAGCGCCGCGTGGAAGCGCACGATCTCCTGCAATGTCCCCACCGGGGGGTGAAGCGCATGAATTTCCCAAAGAAACTGCCCTCACTCACATCCTTGTCCTGCGCCCGGTGCGGGAACCACTCCCGGTAAACGTCATCCAGCAGTGCGACATGGTCCTTTCCCGTCAGCCCGCCGTTGCCGTAGATAGCGCAGTCCTTCCAGCAGAAAGCGCGGCCGTCGTCCGGGCTCAGCTGATCGAGTCGCCGAGCCACGTTTCTGTTGAAGTGGTCGCGGAAGTCGAGGCGGCGGGCGGCGTCGGTGGGGGAAGCGGGGTGGATGTAGAGGGGGATGTGGAAGGCGTTGCGTTGGGGCTCGTAGTGGGCTTCTTCGGCGCAGGCCCGGAGGTAGGAGGGGTTGTTCCACTGGGGGTCATCTTTGAGGCGCGGGTCCGTTTGCTTCCAGACCGTTCTGGGCATACTACTTGTTGATGGGAGACGAGCGTCTGAGACGCAAGCCGTGGCTCTATCAGGTTTTGTCGTTCGAGGGTCAGTGGAGCGGGGAGAGTGTTAAGAAATGTCTTGGTCTCGTGATGGGATGCTGAATAGCCCTAGAGCGGTGAAGCTATTGAGTTGAGCCCGAAAAGGCCTAGCCGTGGGGCAATACTCTGGGTAAGCAGGTAAGGTACTTTAGGTAGTGATGCTGTACCAGGCACCACCCGAGCCACCACACCTCCATTTGGTTCGAAGATTGTTTGCAATCCTCTATTCTCCACCATCTCCGAAAGGTGTGTAAGACCGCTGTGGTCGATTCGGTTCTAGCGTCTCTTCCACGTTTCCTATACGAGATCTTGGCTCTGGCAGATCTATGTGAATTACCGAACTCACCGAGGCGGCTGCGCTAAGATTAACGCTTAAATAGGTAAGAGTAGGGCGCGTCACTTGACGAAATAGTCAAAAAATTCAGTTTTAAACCCCTGGACATCAGGACTATCAAAACATCAAGGTATTTAATCAGTACTTGATCAACTAAATACAAGGAATATACGAAAGCCTGGTGAGTGGCTAGGTTCAAGATGCCTACTCTATCTACCGATTGCATGTTTTGTGAGAGAAGTCAGCATCTATTGCGTTCCTGCACAAGCTGAAATGCCCGGGCTGATGTTTTGCCAGCTCATCCATCACGTCGCATGTTGTTAAAAGCGCACACGATCCCGCTCGCCGAAGCTTCTTCTCTCATCCGCAATGCCTCACGAGAGTGTTCAGTTCCGGTTTTCATGAATCCCTGAACCTTTGCATAGAAAGAAATCGATCTCTGAACATCTTCGTCTAGTCTCGCAGCCCTAAAGATAAAAGTACGCAAGTCAGGTCGCGAGGCAACTCGATACCAGGAGGTCGGGTGAGCCTCTCCAGGTTTCAAAAATTGTATCCAAACACGGTGGACTTGGCCAAGTTCGATCCCGCGCTGGGCATGAGCGGCGCCGAAGTTCCACACCACTTTTTGGCCTAGAAGATTGAGACTTTCTGTCTGCAAGACGCGTCCACTCCGTATCATTTCAGAGACCCTGCCCTCACCTTTGAGGTTCCATTTACTACCTGTGACGCCCGATGTTGTTCCCGAATTCATTGGCACGGCGCACTTGGTTAGCAGAGAAGTCAGGGAATTGGGAGCAGATCGTCTCGAAAGCCTGGCCTTAGGCTTTCAAATGAGCGACAGCATCAAGGTTTTGATGCAATCTGTCCGGTCGCTTGGCTTTGAGCGCCTTAACTTGCCTCCGTAAGAGCTGATCTTGCACAAGGGTCCCGACCTGAGCGAGCCGAGTCTCTATTGCTGGGAAAGTTATTTCGCTGGAACGTGCAATCCGAGCGTTCTGAGACTTGGCCAGGTACATAGCCATCTCTGTATCAGAAGAAAGATCCCCCATCTCCTTTTCGTTATTTTCCTTAGTGACTGTACGCAGCGCCATATCGTCCAAAATCTCTTATGTTGGCTTTGCTCCGACTAGAGCCGGCGTAAAAGTACGACGACGTTGTATCTGAATACGCAGTTTCTCCTGCTCTTGTCCTATCTTTCGATACCAAAGATTCGCAATAGCCACTTGCATGCGCTTTGAAAAAAGTGGACCATCTCCGAACGTAATATTGGGCCGTTTCCAAGTAGCAAGAGGTTGATTTTGAGGAATTCTTGAGCAAACGAATCTTAGTACGCAGTAAAGAGTGTGCAGTGGTTGGCCTAGAGTTCCGCCGCCGATTGTTACAAGGTCATTAATGTCCTCGGTGGTTTTGAAACCCCTGCGGCCTAGCCAGTCTCTAGCAGCCTCGCTCAGTGAGTCCAACGAAAAAAATTCGCCTTTCCTTGCCTTCATGATCGCTTCAAAGACTCCATCTTTGGCTTTGGCAATTCCATAGAACCTGTGAATGAAACTCATGGAGCCTAAGAAGAGAGAAGCGAGCTTAAGAGCACCACTCATGCTTTTCCTTTGGACCCACCCATATCCCTGTACCACAGTCTCTAATTCTAGAGCGTTCATGTATATCCTTCGCATGATGCCATTGAGCTCCTCAGTGCGAAAAGTAATCTCTTGACTTTGGAGCTGCATCTGCTGGGGCTGTGAGAGATTTAGGCTTTCAGCGTAGTCGGAAATAAATCGCTGGGCGTGCTTGCCACTGACTATGACAACCTTCGCGGAACTAGCATTTAGCATGTCCACTGGAAAGAGTATCAAGATTATCGCATATCGAGCTTGATTATCCCAATCTGCTTGAATCAATGTTCTTCAGTGTTCCAAATTCTAGCGGCCAGACAAGCGAGTTTTCTGCTGTCAACCCGACTTTTTCCAGGTCGAATGGGAACTGCTTTGTGCATTGACGTGGCTGTCCGTTATCGTAAGCGTAGTTGCGCGAAATACCATATATGACTGCAAGCGATCCTTGGAGACTCCCGTTGGGTTGGTCTAGTGTGACATCCAGGTCGCATTTTCACCAATCGCTTTGCAGGACCTCTTGAGTGCTGCAGCCATATTGAATGTTTTAGCTTGGATTTGCGTGATCTTTGATGCAGAATCCTGGATTGATGTGGGCGAGATTTTGGGAAATGCTTTGTGTATAACGCTAGAAACCTTTTCCCTAAGCTCCTCGAAGGTGGGAGATCCTTTCTTGGTCTTAGGCTGTCTGCTCAAAATATCTTGACGGAATCTGGGCCAAGTCCGAATTTCGGGGTCCGACGAAAACTCCAATTGGTCCACGGGCCTGTCTTCTTGCGTGCTGAGATTGCTCATGCCCTTGCTCGAGGGGGCTAAGAAAATTTAATTGCATATGATTTCGTTCAGGTGGCATGGGAATTTTCGAGAATTGATTGTAAATATTGTTCGGTAGAGATCGGAACGCCAGACCCATAGCCAACTCAATGAATAGGAGGGCGCGATTTTCCCTTGTGAGGTGTAAATCAAGGGTCTCTAAAAAAAAAAAATGAAGATAGGTCACTTCTCCTCTGATGAGGTTTAAACTGTGTTGACGAACATATTCCGCTACGTCGACGGATTAACCAACGTAGAACTTAAGATAGTCATAGTCACGAGCATCGGTAAGGATATCCAGGTAGCCTCCTGCACCATTGAACATACACTTTCGCAAGCTTTGCCGACATTTGACTTCTTGCATTGCTTCAACGGTCAAAGACTTGCCCTGCAAATTTTGGATCACGACGTCAATACATTCCGACAGGATTTCAGGAAGCTCATGCTTGACAAACTTTTGATCGATAAAACTGCCATAGCCTTGTAGCAGTCTGTCATCCGAAGAACACAGTACATCGATCACTCGCTTGCAGAGGTCGTTTAGGTCTGGAAACACATCTGAAAAGCTTTCAGTGGTTGTGAACTTTGAAGATGTCGCCATGATAAGATCGGTACTACTTTCGAGTCTCGTGCGCTTGGGAGATCGATCGCCTTGTCCGCATTCCTGATTGTAACGCGCATGCTTTTCGCTTTTTACAAGCGGCGATTCTCCGGCTAGCACGCCTGTAGCCTTGTACGTTCTTGACTGGTTCTTTCTCTTGACTTTCGGGCATTCCATGTAAGAGTGTTCATCAGACTTGCAGTAAGTGCATCGACATTGAGTGCAAGTTCGACGATTTACCCCAATTGTCCCGCACCCGCGACAGCAATTGTTTGGTTTGTCTTCAGGATGAAAAAACATTTTTAACGGACTTATGCACTTGACTAGGCATCCTGTTTTTGAAAGGAATGATTGCTTGAAGTCTGACGTAAGCTTTGTCCTCAGCAGAACGCACTTTCCCGCAAAGTTTCAGATCCTGTAGGAGGCTAATGATGTAAGAGCTCCGAGTGAGAAAGATTGCTCGCAGCGAGAGAGGGAAGACAGCATCCTTTTAAGTACCTCCCAGTGCGCTAGAAGCGTTCGGCGCGCCAATCACTTTACCCCTTTATCACCTAACTTCCGATGCCAAGCCTAAAGTACGTACTTGTAAGTGGTGCGATGATGCCAGCCTTCGCGCGATGCGACAGTAACAATAGAATAATGAGCCGACAGTAACGGCTTCTCTCAACAGTACATCTGTAAAGGATTGTCGATTCCTGCTTCACCAAATTTCTTTTGAGTAATAAGCCCAGGCCTTGATTAAGCAGCGAGCTACCTCTTTAGTCGCGACGTGCCAAGATCACAGTGCGTCGCAAACCAGTCAAAGGCCAAAAAAGGTTGACTTTTTGGGGAAAAGAAAGAGAAAGACAAAAAAAAAAAGAAAAAAATAATTCAACGGTTCTAGTTAGGATTGAACTAACAACTAGAATCGTATGTTAGGATAGTGCAATTATTCCATTCAGAAACGTTGTACTCACCCTCCTGATTTATTGTAGTAACAGTCACTGTCTCGATGATCAGATTCGAACAATGAACTCAGGATAATTCTACTCACGACGCGCTAACCACTAGAATTTTAATTAGCGTGCTGTCGAAAGAGGAAATGTTACCAACTTACATTGCGCCATAGAACCCAGATCTTAGCCGAAAATTATTATTATGTTGTATATAGATTACCAAGCGAGCCCGTAACAAGATTAGCTTGTTAAGCCTACAATTATCGAAATTCAAAGTCTTCAAGCCTCGAAGCGCATTTTGATTAGACTGTGATCTGTACGTTAAGGAGCTTTTATAGAGCGACAACACTCCTAGAAGAATTTTCCGGCCAATTACTTTGTACCCTCTAAAGGGTATGGTTCCGGCGTCCTCGTGGTACATTTCTCCGTCCTTAATCCAGTCCCTTGCGGGAATTGTTCCCCCAGTGCAGCTTTCTCCTCAAGAAATACGTCGATCGATAGCTGCCCGGCTGATCCCCTACGGTCACTGTACCCCCCAGACAAGGTGCATCCTCGTACTACGATATTTCTCGAGGTGACTGCTTTTTTTTTTTTTTTTTTCTCTTTATTCAAAAACATTCTAGTCCTTCGGGTCATTCGTTACTGTTGCGCATTACTCATGGGTAGCCCGCACCAATGAATACAACAGCCATCTATGGGCAACACAGACACTCATGATACTGTTGAATTCATCTCATGGACAATATTATTATCAATAACCACCTCCGGGGGCGGAGGAAAAACAGAAAATGAAATGTTGTCGGCCGAAAGATGAGAAGCGTTGTCACTCCTCAAGACATTTAAGACGTGCTGTTTATCTTCTTGTTCATGATGATTAAGAGCGATCTCTCATATCTTGCCGGACAGGCCCCAGCTTCGCCTAGACCTTATTATGGCTATGCCAACATGTATAATAGCTTAAGGGATAGAAATGAAATAGTATGATAGCCCAGGAATGTTAGGAGCAGCGAGAAAATTTGGTGAATTGGAGGTCGAAATTGTCGAGGATGCGTAAAGCGGCTGTGGCCGATCCGATTCTAGCGTCCTCTTCCACGTTTCCTGTAAGGCTGTACCTGTTCTTGGCGCAGGGGTCTTGGCATGCGCCGGCAGGCTTGGCGTCGGGCCTCGAGACATGTGACTGGGCGAGGGGCGCGAATGCTTTTTTGTTGCTACTGTCAGTCTTCTGTGCACTTTGTGACGACACAGCCTGTCCACCATTACAGAAGCTTGCGGAATTCTGGCAACTATCGACTGATTCCAGGATCGGGGACTTTGGCGGCATGGATGAGATCTAGCAATGGCAGGGAAGAGAAAGAGGCATGGTGGTGAGGACGCTGTGGACCAGGGAGAAGTCTTCTCAACACGGAAGAGGACGTGTCACGCCGTGCTTGCGAACCCACATCACAGCGGAGATGACGCTCTATCGGATATAGCTTCGCCGGAGGGAACACCTACCAAGGCTCGACGCGGAAGACCTCCTGGAAGCGCCCAGAAAGCGAAAGCTCTTCCCAATGGTGTAGGATCCAGATCTCAACAGGGCACTCCTTTAAAGTCAAAGGGCAACGATCTCGTTTCGACTCCCGTCAAGGCTGCTTCAGGTGCCAATGGACACGGTGCAGTTGCAGCAGTCGGAAATGCAGATCGATCCGCTCGCAGGAAAAGTGCGAGAAGCGTTGTCGAACGGACAGCGACTGATGGATTCAGTGATGAGGAGGACGTTGAAGAGGAGGACATTCTGGCTAGGAAAATATGGGATGCGGATGAGGCAGAAAGCGAGGACCAGCAGGAAGAAGCAGATGGTGAGCTAAGAGCAGATGATGCTGTCCCCACGACCCCTTCGAAGCGTAAAAGTGGTCGACGGAAAAAGTCTCCGACACCTCCTCAAAACCTCCCACCTCACGAGCAATACTTCTGGCAACATCGGCCAGGAAAGATCAAGACCTCGAATAACACATTGTCCTCACTCTCCCTACTCACCCACGAAGAGTATCACAACCAAATCAACGCCTACGAAGATCCGCACGCCTCCTCCTATGCCTTTTTGCATTCTTTGCATTCTCGCTCGTTTCCCCAATGGCGCTTCGAGCTCTCTCAATCCTTCAACATCTGCCTCTACGGCTACGGCTCAAAACGCAGGCTCGTTACGGCCTTCGCCAAATACCTCCACACCACATCTCGCTCGGACCCGCCAAGAATCCTCATGGTAAATGGCTACACGCCCACACTTACCCTAAGGCAAGTCCTTAGCACCCTTGCCCCTCTCGTCTTCGACTGCACACCCAGTACTATACCTTCAAAGCTCGGCACGCAGCCCCGCGAAATTCTCACCACGCTTCTGAGCCAGCTCAATACTTCTCCTCCGCCCTCTCCATACTTTGTATTCATCAATTCGCTCGACGCGCCGCCTCTCCGACGTTCTCCAACCCCATCTCTCCTAGCACAACTGGCTGCAAGTCCACACATCCACCTTCTAGCAACCTGCGATACGCCCAACTTCCCTTTGCTGTGGGACACCAACCTGCGCGACCAATACAACTTCCTTTTCCACGATACCACAACCTTTGAATCTTACTCCCCGGTCGAAATCGGTTCCGTCATCGACGACGTGAATGAACTCCTCGGCCGCAGTGGGCGCAGCGTCAAAGGCAAAGAAGGTGTGGGATTTGTGCTCCGCTCGTTACCAGAGAACGCGAGGAGTCTCTATCGTGTGCTCATTGCGGAGCTTTTGGCTGCGATGGACGAGGAAGGTGGAGGAGAAGGAGGAGAATGGAGTATAAAGTGCTGTATCAGAAAGTGGTGGAGGAGTTTATATGCAGCAATGAGATGGGGTTTCGCCAGTTGCTGAAGGAATTTTACGATCATCAAATGGTTGTCAGTAGAAGAGATGGGTCAGGGGCGGAGTTACTGGGAGTGCCGTGGCGGAGGGAGGAGATGGAGGCTATTTTGGAGGATCTCGTGGTTTGAACCCATCTCGAGGGAGGAGGACCGAGAAGAGCGTTATGATACCCCCCTGTATAACATTTCAAACGTATCTAGAATCCGACATGTCTGGTCAATGAGCAAAGGGCTACTCAGAACTCCTACTAGAGCGCAGCAGTCTCCCTCTCCAGCCACTTCATCGTCCTCTCATCCCCCTCGAAAAACCCCTTCGTCTTCCCCATAACCTCTTTGTGATAGTCGTCAATCCACTCCCTCTCCTTCCCACTCAGCAACTCCACATCGATCAACCTCCGACACATCGGCACCATGGTCACATGCTCGAATCCCAGATACGGCTTGTCTCCGAAATGATGCTTCGTCTCCACTTCCTTCGCCATGATGATGTTTTCGATCCGGATGCCAAAGTTGCCGTCCTCGTAGTAGCCCGGCTCATCGGACAGCACGTTGCCGGCCGAGAGGGGCACTTCGCTGTATTGGATGCGAGTGCCGACTCCGATGGGACCTTCGTGGACATTGAGGTAAGATCCAACGCCGTGACCGGTGCCGTGTCGGTAGTCGAGGCCCTCCCCCCAGAGGAACTGGCGAGCGAGGGTGTCTAGCGCGAAGCCGGATGTACCTTTGGGGAACACGGCGGTGTCGAGAGCTATGACGCCTTTCAGGACCAAGGTGTATGACTTCCGTTCCATGTCCGTTGGGGTGCCGAAATGCAAGGTACGCGTTGTGTCGGTCGTGCCGTCAAGGTACTGAGCGCCAGAATCGCAGAGGTAGACGGCCTTGGGGTCGATGACGGAGCAGTTGCCCGGTTCGGGTTTGTAGTGGATGACGGCTGCGTTGGCGCCTGTGGAGGAGATGGTGTCGAAGGAGAGGCCGGCGAAGTTGCGCTTGGTCCTGATGCATTTCTTATTAGACAGCATCCTTTTCGATTGAACAATTCACGACTTACGCCCGTATTGATTCAAGCTTGTCGGCTGCCTGGACCTCATCTAGTTCTGTCCCCTTTCCTACCAGTTCTTCTTCTAGCCATGCAAAGTACTCGCTCAACGCTGCTCCGTCTCGAACATGACAAGCTCGCATCCCTTCTAGCTCAGTCTTGTTCTTGACCGCCTTGGCATCACCTACTAGACTTCGCAGTTCTTCCACCTCGTTTTCTCCGCCTAGCTCTAGACTCAGAGCCCATGATGCTTTGGTTGAGATCATGAACTTCCGTTTTGGCTCCTTAGACTGCTTCTCCGCAATGTTCGTCTCCATACTTTGTTCTATCTCTGGCTTTAGACTCAGCGTCTTGGTGTCTTCCAAGATCGCATTGTAGGGTCTGACTTGGACTTTGTCTCCAAGATGAGATTCTACATCGGGGCTGAATTTTTCGGAATCGACGTAGAGAGTAGCAGTCGCAGGTGTGATGATAGCGTATGAGAAAAATACCGGATTATAAGGAATGCTGTAGTTCAATCAGCATCCTCGCTTCAAGTGGCCTCTTGGATCAATTGGCATACTCATTTCCTCGAAGATTATAGAGCCATGCAACTTCATCCAACATAGCTGAAATCATTATTAGTACCATCTCGCCAACGACATCGATCTGACCGCGAGCACATACAAACAATGAGACCAGCGCTCTTCTTCTTTTCGAGCTCTTTTCTGAGGTCTTCAATCTTTTCCTCAAAATTCTTGCCTGTAAATTCCAATGGCAGTGTCCTGACCTTCTCCTTCGGTCGCGGAGGGCGGCTGTCGCCCCATACATGGTCGACTAGATTCGTCTTGACTCCACAAAGACCAGCACCGCCTTTCTTCTCGATCTTCTCTGCCAGCTTTCGGGCATCAGCTGCATGGTGTTAGGTTGCCCGTCTGCATCATCACGTTCGGGAGTTTCCATACGAGCTGTGATTACCGTTGGGTCTACGCCTACGGTCTTGTTGCCGTCAGATTGGTCGGCTGTCCTGTAGCAGGTCAAAATTCCGAAGGGTCAAGAAGATTGTCCCGGCAATCTGACCACTCTTGCCACGTTGGAACCTCCTCTAGACCTTGTTTCAACAACTCCCAATTGGAGTCAAGCTGTTTCGAAGCTTGGTTGAAGTATCGTCCATCAGTGGCCATGGCGGCTTTGTCATGGGTAATCACAGCTGTCCCCGCAGAACCAGAGAAGCCGCATATGTATGCTATCAAGATAAGCTAGACATTCAAACACGGTGTATCATCATTCTGACCTCGACGGGCATCACAAGGTGCAATGTATTCAGACTGATGGCTATCTTCGGAGGGCACAACTTGAAAAAGATGAGATTCAAGTTCTTCCAAGAAAAAAATACTCTTCAGATCATACTATATACATCGATCTTATTCTCGGACATAAGATGTCGAAGGCTTTTCAGGCGCTCCGTTGTGTTTACAGTCTCCATGTCCAAGGTGTCGATGGCAAGAACCCTTGTACTAAAAAACGATCTCCAAAGGCGGAGCTTAGGCGGGCAAGTCAATGAAGAGCTAGATAGGAGTCGACGAGGTAGAAGTCGAGACAAGAGCATTACCGGTGTAGGATAAGAATTGTTTGATGGAAACAGGTGTGAGGAAATCAGCATCAGGCTAGCCTGATTAGGCCAACGTGAACCGCGCGTCTCAATAATCTTAGGCTTTGCTAAAGTGATGGCGAATCAATTAGTTTGACATTGCTCAAGATACTAATCTGTATATGCGAAATTTTGCCTAACCGGTTCAACAAGCAAGTATTCACGCAAAAGCTAAGCTCCAAAACAAGTACCCATACAATTCGCACAACCTCAACGGTCAAGCGTGCAGTTTCTCGGATACTGCACCCACCCCGTAAGACGATTCGCAATGTCCGAAGCATAACAATGCGTCGCTATCCCTTTCCCCAGATCCCCTGAGTCATCGATAGACCCAGAATTATATTTCCTCGCCGCCCTGTAAAACGCAGAAACATCCGACGTGCCAGCTTGATTCAGACACTGCGCCAGTCCATCACCCCACGTAGTTCCGCCCGTCCCCTCTTGAACCATTTGCGTAATCGTCTCCCCCGGGCAGGGTTTCTGCGTCTTCCCGTTGTTACAAGAGGCCGTGCCGTTATGGTCTTGCATGATGCCCGGATTCGGGACTCCGTAATTGGATGTAGGGGCGCGGACACAGCCGCCAGATTCTTGCATTATTACCGCAAGGATGAAGCGGTGGTCGACAAATGTGGCAGCGGCGACGAACTGGATGGCTTCGTACATGTCTATGATTTCCTGGTGGGTGTTGAGGTCGACGTTAAATTGGTGGCACGACCTTTCCATGTGCCATCTGCTGTTGTTGAACCTGGACGTTTTTCAATAAAACGTCAACTAGTGATGGAACGGTTTCATGGAACGCACATATCCATGAACGATATCCATTTGTCCTTTGCAGGCCAGCCATGATCCGTTGAGCCATTGCCGTTGTATTGTGTGTAGTAATCTATGAGTATGCCGTCCAGGTTGTTGACAGACGGTACGCCAATGCCGCTATTCGTTACTTTTCCTCCACCTGGGTCCGTGGTTTGCGTTGTATTGTGATAGCGATAAGCCTCGATACGTGAAAGGCTGCTGTGGCGCTGAGCTTGATTATGCATAGGAAGCCCGTCTTGGTCATTAACGGAAGTCACGGCAACGACACCATCGTCCACCTTGGCCATGAGTAGAGACTGCAAGTTCGAAGGGGCAGGGGCAGGGCCAGAAAGAGTGGGAGCCAGGAGGGAAGAACCGACGAGTAGCTAGACACGGTGAGCATCGTCTTATGTTGGCTGGATGCATGTTGACTCCTTGCCTTCCTTAGAAGCATCTTGAACTAGATTAAAATATGTGCTTTGATCAAAGTCTGTATCACTGGGGGTTTTGATTGCTATTCCGAAGACACCACTTGTATATGATGAAGGATATCCCCATCTTTCACTGACGAGGTTGGGTCATGAGGCAGGTGCTGCTGTGTCACGTTGTGTAAAAATCATGTAGCCTCAAGGGGGCTTCTGCAAATACGATACGACAACCTTGCGTCTGCACTTGACCGTTAGCAATCAAAGGTGTATACGTCGCTCTGGATATCAATGCTTGATCATACCGGGTAAATCGATGTAAGGCAGTGCAACGCCGTCGGCGATGTTCCCGCATCCTGCCCGCAAGGGCTACGCTTTGTTTTACAATCTTCTGCCAGTCATAAATCCACCTCTAGTATGCCGTTGATTGTTTTGGTTACGCGTTCGCGTTGTGGTGGCAATCTGTCAGCCAACGAACTTCATTGGCTTAGCGTGCGCACGTTTGAGGTGCAAACGGTCCAGACTTCGAATCGCCAGAGCTGACACGGCGTACTGCTTTCGTTCTTCTGTACAGAAATAGGCGTGCTGGCTGTGCACATCTCCACTCCGTAATTAAGAGGCGTGAAGGCAGCCAACTGTAAATGAGCTCATTCTTCAAAGCCAGTCGTATGGCTGCACCGAAACTTTGGCGGCGCCCGAACACCCCATTGAATCCGTAACACACATTTCAAGACTGTGCACAATCCAGGCCTCTAAGTAGTTATGAGCTCAGCCATACATGATTGTACTGCGAAGCCTCCAACAGCCACTCATACAACATAGTAAAGAACATACAACGGAGACGTAGCTACGTCTTGAATGACGTTGAGGTGCATAGTGTCCAATCAACAGCACGTAGAAGGCCAAAGCTGCTGTGTGAAAGAAGCAACACAGATTTCCAATGACATAGAAGGCCTCATCGGGCAGCTGAAAAGAGCAGACCGGAGATCCTGATAGATGGTGGGGCTCTCTCAAGAATGCACAATTCGAACTAAGGATATAAAGTATTAATCCTTGAACATACAGATGTCTCTTTCATGCTGTAAAGACTAAAGGCGGTCGTTGCCGACGTTGCTGCAACAACATAGCGAGCGTGTTTTGTTCTTCCTGATACATTTGAAGCAAGGCCACTATTTTTGAGGAACGTTTGAGAGAGGAGATACTGCTTCATTGAGTCGAATTGGAGTACCTGGATGTTGTCTTCGGTTCGGGGCCTTGAGGTAATAGTAGGTGGGCGAAGGTGAAGGAAGGCATGCGAAAAATATTGGAAGAGGAGACTAATCTTAAGTTGGTTAGCGTGCATCCTTCCAAATTAGGTCTAGTTTATATCAACATCTTTACTGCCATTCACTTCATTACACTGGCAAAGACCTACAAATGTTTAACAGAATATGCTGGATTTCGAATGCCTCCTCGTCGGTATACTAACGCTCGAAGTTTCTACATCTCCTTTGTCAATCAAGTGTTTCCCAAGCAGCCTTTTCCTACTCCAAGAGGTTGCGGTCTTGGCTCCTTCGTGCAACAGGATCTGCGTATGCGCGGTCTTTTTCAAATGATAAGAAACTATTCGTCCATATCATCTCTTCTGCTTTCTCTGTTGCCATGACTCTGAACGGAGAGAGGGGGGCTCAATCGATCGAGCCCCATACATTTGCAGACGCAGAGAAGGTGTGCTGATCCTGTCATTTAGATCTTACGAAAGCTAATAGCTTTCTCATATACCAGCTTGTTCAGAAGTTATACCAACCAGGTTCGCCGCAGGAAATTTCGAGGATACAAAATGCTCTGCAAAAGCTACAAAGATCGCAACAAGGCTGGCAATTCGCCGATGCGCTTCTTCAAAGCCAAGATGAGAAAGTTCGCTTCTTTGGCGCCCTGACATTTACTATTAAGATCAACCAGGACTGGCAAGGGTTTTCTACGTTTTAGATGGCCAGGACGAAGGCTTATCCGCTACCAGGAACTCCTTAAGTGACGCCGATGCAACGTTACTCTTGGACAGACTCATAGAATGGCTCATTCGACTCGTCAACGCCGGAGAATCCCAGCTGGTTATCAGAAAGCTGTGCTCCTCACTGATAGCCTACTATCTACGGCCTGCGGGTAGATGGAAGCAATGTATTAGACACCTCGTTCTAAGCTTCAATGAAGGACATGTCATTCCCAGCGATACGCTTAGTCAAGGGCCTGAGACAGGCCCAGTAGCCGCTAAGCTCAGCCTACCTTGTCTAATGGCCACACTGTGGTTTGCTGGGGGTCTTGTAGAAGAAGTTGGCAAAACGAATGCCACCAGCATCCAGACGTACTACTACGTACTTTCCATCGTGACCCATCGTTGATGCTGACCGAAACCTCGTAGGCACAAATACCATGAGAGGGTTTCTTCGAATATTGGAGATGCAGTGGCTATACTAAACTGTTCAATGACCATCACACCAGGCCAAGACGTGAAAATCACCGAAGAGAGTGTGAAATGCTTTCAAGTTTGTATCATCTTTCCCTCTATGCATGCCTTGCTGACTCTTCCTAGTCATGGGTCATGTATGCACACCGAGCATGGATCGACAAAGCTTTGGAATTAGCACCACTCAGATCACTTACGCCCTTGGCAATACAGGCCTTACATCATGAAAATTCATATGATGTGACCGTCGAACTCTTCACCGATGTTCTGACTAACTTTTCAGCCTTTCTTACTGCTGGTGATCTCGAGTCCCTGTCGACGTTACTTGCGTCTACTCGGGCCCGACAGATTGTCTCGGGGCTCAAAGGAGGCGATTACGACCCCGAAGCATTATCTTTTGCCAGGTTTTTGCTAGCGTACGGAGATGCAACTGTTCAAGATTTGGCGAAGAAGTCAGAGGACCCTTTGCTAAGCCAAATCGTGCATCAGCTTCTAGAGTTGTTGAGGTGTGAGGGATATGCGGGGGCTGAAGACGAGATATGCGCTCAAGCTCTTGAATTCTGGATGACCTATACAGAATTCCTCATTGACTCGCTTTTTGCCGCTGGAGAAGAGAAGCCAGCCTGGATGGACAGTGCCCGGCAGCGCGTTGTAGAAGTCATTGAAGCCTCTTGGGTAAAGATCCGGATACCTCCCCACGAAGTGGCAGCCTCTTGGGATTCCGACGCTCGCGCCGGCTTCAAGGCCTTTCGAGCGGACGTTCAAGATCTACTCCAGTCCTCCTATACCCTCTTGGGTGTAGATGTCTTCGAGAATCTTGCACGGCTTGCTCTGCAATCACTCGAGGACCGTGCTTGGCTCCATCTGGAAGCTACGCTGTTCTGCCTCAATGCACTTTCAGGCTCGACCTCGGACGAAGACTCGGTCGATACTATGCTATCCAGACTTTTCGGCTCCTCACTTTTCGCTGATATGAGCAGTACGGTCGAGCCTATTCCGGCCAAGACAAGGCAAACGGCTGTGAACATGATCACCAAGTACACGGCCTTCTTTGAACGTCATTTCGAATACCTACCCGCTATGTTGAACTTCCTCTTCGAGTCCTTGAAAGCCCCTGCATTGGCGAGCGTTGCAGCAAACGCTATCCTGTCGAGTTGTTCGTCATGTCGCCAGGTCTTGATACCAGAGCTTGGTGCCTTCCTGCACCAATACGAGGTTCTCCTGACATGGGCTACTGCCGAGGTCTACACGAAAGAAAAAGTTATTGGTGGAATCGCAGCAATCGTTCAAGCGATTCCAAGGGACGAGGATAAATACGGGTCACTGTCAACGCTGGTTGAATTCGTCGAAAGGGACGTGAACGACTGCATCAAATTCATGGAGGCTTCTCAAGCTGAAGAATTCCAAGCTAGCGGGGTTTGTGCCTTGAAGTGCTTGGCGAGCATGGGGAAAGCCCTAAGAGCACCAGATAATGCCGTTATCGATCTTGACGGAGATGCCCCTCAGTCGGTCTACTGGGCGAAAGGTCCAGGTGCTTCGTTGCAAGCGAAAGTGGTCCAAATAATGGAGACAGTAACAGGCCTGATGAGATGGAACAGTGATGTCGTGGAAGCAAGTTGTCAGATACTCAGGTCTGGCTACAAAGAGAGTGCCCCTGGGTTATTCGTATTTCCACCCAAAGTGACTGTGGACTTGGTGCTCGCCAGCAAACTGGATACCGCACGATTAGACTATGTCCTGGACACGGCTTGTGCGATGCTCAGCAGGCAAGTCCACGAGCCAGAAAGCACAGTCAAGAGTGCTGCTTCTGCATTCCTGGAATACCTACTCGGTGTAATCCATCTGATGGGTGGTAAGCATACGAATGAACGTGTCATTCACGGCGCTCATCGCTGATGTGAAATTCCAGGTGAACCTTCGTCGGATCCAGAGGTCGCTTCGAGTGGGATCGACCTAGCGGACAAGATGGTCCCGCACTATCTTGATTGCATGATGAATACGCAGAATATCCAGGGGCTCTTTGATTTCACCCTCAAGGCCCTTACAGCGGCAGAGATCATGCCCAAGCGGGCTGCGGCTCACTTCTGGGTGAGCATTCACTCCTGTCTCCAAGTCATTTAGTTTGACGATGGATGTAGGCCACCTTCGTCCAAAATTTCGAAGTGTCAGGAGAGGTCGCCATGTTCGCTGCAGCTGTCACGCAACAGTACGGACCGCAGCTGTGCCACCTTTTAGTCCGAAACATTGGCGGAGAAGCAGCACGCAGCGAGTTAGACGTTCTGGCCGAACCACTGAAAAAGCTGATCTTTGCACAACCCCAGGCAAAGATGTGGCTTTCGAATGCGCTGAGCAGCGAGGATTTCCCAAGCCAAAAAGTGGGATCGACGGAAAAGCGAATCTGGCTACAGAAGATCATCAAGTAAGCATTCCCACGTCTGGTTCGCCTAGATGTACGCTGAAGAAAACCATTTAGCCTGAGAGGAGCTAGAGCAACCAATTCCGCGGTCAAAGACTTCTGGATAGCGTGTCGGGGAGCGGAGTTTGCATACGCATCGTGATATCTATTCCAACTGTGCAGAAGCTTTGCTGCAAGAGGGTTAAAGGCATAGCGATGGCGCTTTCGCAAGATACCAAAGTTCATTCAATGCTTGTGCCCACTATATCTTACATATCAAAATGACGCCAGCGATGCCAACGCAAAGGTCAACCCAAAGCTGAGCTTGAATGCCACATTATCTTCTACTGCTGATCTCAGATCTATTCCCTTCACATACCGTTGTAGCTTCGTTGTCGGTATGATGTTATATCCTTGCGACGCCATATACTGTGCAAATATCAGCCTTCCGTGTCTCTTTTCCTTGCGCGCGCAGCGACATACCTGCACACCAAACACCAGCAACCCGAACAGCATCGCCAACGTCTTCGAAAACGTACTCACAGCCACGCCCCCCAGCAAACCTATCATCACCAGCGCATTAGCCATACCCCCACCCAAAGTTTCCTCTGACCCGACGACGTCTCCTGCTCGATCCCAACGACTACTCCCCCCCCCCCACATCCGAAACACAAGCTCTCACATACCAACAATACTCCCCGCACTAATCTGCCTGTACGCCCGTGGGTTCGGCCTCCCATCCTTGAAGACGGGCACCTTCGCATCGCGGGAATACGCCTTGAAGCTCTCCGAGACCGTCGTCAACGGTGTCGCGCCCGGGCCTTCGCACAGGCGCGGGGTTTGCCGGTAGAGGGCCTGCGATGCGTAGAGGGAGGAGAGGCCGAGGCCAAGGGTGAGGGAGAAGAGGGGACGGGATCGGGGGGGGGAGGAATGATGCCATTGAGTTGGTCGATTTGGTTTGGTTCGGTTTGGTGGGGGGGTTGGAGAGGCGGTGAAGAGGGAGCTCGAGGGAGGATGGTTGGTGAGAATGGGGTCCGGAGGTCAATCGGTGCCGCTGTTTGGGGTAACTGGTGCTGGGATAAGGTAGGTAGGCAGTGAGGGAGCTTCAGCTCGACGCGGTGATGACATTGACTAGCGCGCTCGGGAGTCGGGGATGATGGGATTGGCGCTAAGATAATGCAAGATTATCGCTGGGCCGAGGCTAGCCGCATTCCGAGGAAAACATTTTCTCCGATTTTCGGGGGCTTTGGTTTTGATTGAGAGGGTCATCGACTCTGTGCTTCCTCTCCTCTGACACATAGATCTGGTAGAATATCTTCTTTATATCTGTTTACTGCATTCAATTTGGAGGCAAGCTTTTCAACCATTCTTTTGCATTGAACTGCTAAGATACCGGCATTTCATCAGCGTCTTTCACAGTCTACCCTCTTCCATCCGTGTGGCGAAAATTCCCCAAGTCACACAAAGACTTTTTCATCAAGACATCTCCATTTCAGCGCTCATCACTCTGAACAAGAATTCAAGCATTCATTCTTCAACCAAACCCATTTTCCTACAGCTCATCCACCTCACACAACATGGCCATCAATGACTCCCCCTCCACTCTCGTCGCTCCCTCTACCTCCACCCCAACCCAAGACAACGCCCCCACACCCGCCTCAACCTCAAATCGAGACGATGCTCCCTCGCCCCACACCAGCACCCAAGACACCTCCCCAAACTTCACCGTCAAAGACGGCTTGGCAAAGATGTTCAAAGGGGGCGTCATCATGGACGTCGTCAACGCCGACCAAGCCCGCATCGCCGAAGAAGCCGGCGCCTGCGCCGTCATGGCCCTCGAGCGCGTCCCCGCCGACATCCGCGCCCAGGGCGGCGTCGCCCGCATGTCCGACCCGCAGCTCGTCACCGAGATCATGGACGCCGTCACCATCCCCGTCATGGCCAAGGCCCGCATCGGCCACTTCGTCGAGTGCCAGATCCTGCAGGAGCTGGGGGTCGACTACATCGACGAAAGCGAGGTGCTGACGCCGGCGGACAATGCCTTCCACGTGGAGAAGCACGCGTTCAGGACGCCGTTTGTGTGCGGGTGTCGGGGTCTGGGGGAGGCGCTGAGGAGGATCGACGAGGGGGCGGCGATGATCAGGACGAAGGGCGAAGCGGGGACGGGGGACGTGGTGGAGGCCGTGAGGCACATGCGGACCGTGACGACGGAGATCAACAAGGCGAGGGGGATGAGCGACATGGAGCTCAGGGGTTATGCAAAGGAGTTGAATGCGCCTTTTCGGCTTCTGAAGGAGACGGCGCAGCTGGGACGCTTGCCGGTGGTCAATTTCGCGGCTGGCGGTGTGGCGACGCCGGCGGATGCGGCGTTGATGATGCAGCTCGGGTGCGATGGTGTCTTTGTAGGCAGCGGGATCTTCAAGAGTGGGAATGCGGCCAAGAGGGCGAACGCTATCGTGCAGGCGGTGACCCACTTCAAGGACCCGGCCGTGTTGGCTGAGGTTAGTGGAGGGCTGGGAGAGGCGATGGTGGGCCTGAATGTCGGGAGAATGGCAGAGGGCGAAAAGATGGCGGGGAGAGGGTGGTAGCGGGGAGAAAATGGATAGATAGGTAGGTCCAGCTGTTTGTATTGGGGTAGAAATCTTAGTAGACACTCTGTATTTCGCTCATGAAACACACCCGAGTAGGACATGCCCATGAATACGCAAGTAGAAGATCTAGAAGTTGGCCAACGGAAAGTGCAGGGACGATCGAACTCCAACCCATGAGAAAACACCCTTGCACATGTGACAGGAACAACCGTTTCCGATTCCGCGGCAAGACATCCCGGACTGCGGCTTCGGGCCCCCATTTCGAACCTGCTTGATAGGAGTAGTAGTCTGGAGGCCTGCTGCCGGCTTGATGGAGATCGCTTTGGCGATGGATTGGCGCGACAAGCACATTTGGTACCGACGCGGTGGGATCTGGCTTGGTGAGCGCCGGGTTGATGGTGATGCGGTTCGTTCGTACAATAATCAAGTGGTTAGTGCATTGGTACGGCAGCGGAAAAGTTGGCGAAAGCGTCGGCCGAAAAACGCGTTGCGCTGTGAGAATACGTGCATTCCTTGAATCCTTCTTTCGACCGATTACCTATTCCATAAACATTCACTGAGCACCAACAGCTTGTCACCCAACTCCCTCCTACTCTTGATTTGCACCTCTCGTGCTCCACTCTCAATGCCATCTCTGTACCACAGCTCCACCAGCGCTTTCAATTCTTCAAGGTCAAATCCTTCCAATCCCTCTCCGCCACGGTCCTTTGCTCGCTCCACGATGCTGTCTGCACCCTCCAGGAAAAGATCATAGAAACGCGCACTGCGGTCAAGCTCATTACGATGGTCATCGCTGCTCGTCTCAATCGATTTTAGGTTTTGTGAAAGGACCAAGATATTGAGATGCATCCTGCCGCATCCGTGATCATTCATGCCTGCTGTGATCTGGAAAGCGTTGGAGACAAGTAAGGTATCGATGAGCAGAGCAAGACCATTGGTGATGAATTGTTGGGCTGGAGTGTCGAGATGTGTGGTCAGATTGTCGGCGAACGAGAGGAGGTCAGCGTTGAGGGAGAGAATCGAAGGATCCGGATCCTGAGCTCGCTGGGCGAGTAGGTAAGGCGCATGAAGTGTCCGAGTGAGCATGTGGATTACGCCTAGGCGTATGTCGATGTGGAGGGTCAAGAGGGCTGTACTAGCAAGCGTACGCATGGAGGCCAAGATGCTGTCGAAAGCTTCGACGGTTTCCTGGGTCATGGGGAGATATATAGGGGTATTTGGGTCGACGCGCTGGGGTGAACTGAGAAGGGATAATTGTCGTGTGTGCTGAGGCTTCGTTGAGTCGCGGTGTGATCGCGAAGACTCCGGGATAATGCGTCGAAGCTGCTGGAACTGGATTACAAGCCATTGCTGCAACAACTCAGTCAGTAGTGTGCTTCTGAAGCCACGCTTGTTTGTAAAAAAAAAAGAAAGACGCTTACCATGCTAGAGTACATTAAGCAGAGAGCTGTGACCGATCGTCGATCGGAGATAATATCGAATGGATCTAGCGGCTCCTCATTGGTCCTGGCGATGAGCAATTTGGCCTCCTAAGGACCGTCAGCGGAATGGATTGTCAAAGATGATCTGTCTATACCTTCTGGAAAAGATCGTGTTCTTCCTCTTCGACAACGCCTTTCAACAATTTCTCGGCAACTTCCCGAAAGTCTCCTGAGTCTGCCAATGCGGCTGCGGTCTTCAATCGCACCTCATCCTGTGCATGTAGCTGTGGCCTTCTGACCAGAGCTAGAGCTTTTTAGCTATACATCCGCAAGACCTGGGGGTTTGCATACCTCTGTAGCATTCACAGCATTTATCGTAATAAGCAACCATTTGTGTAATTATTAATTGCGTAGAAGCGAAATCAGGGGGTATAGTATCGAGCAATTTGCAGAAAGACTTAATTAACGTGGAGAAATGAAACGTGCCCTGAAGAAGTTAGCAAAGTCATCGAAGAAGAAGGCTATCGGCGACATGCTCTGAATATTGGCCGCACAACAGCGTGCTGGGACCATTGGGAATCTTTTTGAAACGCATCAAGCTCAGCGAACGACTGAGTACACGACTCCGTGACAGTCTCCTCGAGCTGAGGTTGGAACACATTAACGAGAAACTCATCAAGGAACGAGGTCAGTGTGCTCATCGCGATACCCGAGTCATGAGGGACGATATCTCTTAGTCGCTGGAGGAAGGACAACGATGGTGGGAGAAGAGAGCTAATGTTGAAGACATTGGGATCCACAAGCAGCTTGTGACTCGCAACCGGACCATCAGTGGTGACGTTGGTGTTATTATGCAAAACCCCAGACCGCCTCTGTGATTTAGAGACTAGCCCGGGTACAGAAGCCTGGAGTATTTGGTCAAGATCTCGTTGATCCGCGGCCAAATCGGCAGACTTCTGATCTATCTCGGACAATTTGAAGACACGCTTTAGTTGGTCAGCACTACCCTTGGATTCCGATGAACGATGAGTACCTTGTTTCTCTCTCGGTGATTCTTGTGGAACATGTTTGCTTCTGCGGCAGGCTGGCGACCAAGCCTATACGATGGATTTTCGTCCGTTGCCAAATAATCATGGAGCAAAGATCGCATCTAGATGTATCAGCGGAGATACAGGCTTTCTCTTCTGGGATACAAGTCCTACCTCACTTTGGTACAGTTTCCACATCTCTTTGAATCCCCTTGTCAGACTTTCGGGATGCCCTAGTCTTTCCCGCTTCACAATGCCTGCAACAACGTCATGAAATGCCCGATGTCCTTCAGCAATTGCTTCAAATTTGGAGAACAGTGTCCACAAAAGGTCATTGAGTATAACGCTCCCACCAGTCGTATCATTCCATGTGGATCCAAGAAGTTTTTTCTCGGGGTTAAGCGGCGCACGCTTATGCGCTGGGTGGCGCAGATCGACCTCTTGGTTGGTTCTATCGACAATGGCAAACAGCTCGACGGGAAGTCGCTGCTCCATGCGGTCAACCGCCACATCTAAATGGCCCAGCTTATTCAACGACTCGATGACCATGTGGATGTAGTGAAAGCTGTCGGTCTCCGGGTTTTGAGATGCATCGTCTTCCAGTGGCGAAGTCGTATCGAGATTGTCCAAGAATCGATACAAAGGCCTGCCCCAGGTGTTGGGTAACGACACCTTGCCTGTTTCGGATGCGCTAATGTTCGCCGAATCTCCAGTATATGGGTTCCAACGGTCTTGGCAATAAGGGGACTTCAAATAAAGATGATCATGGAGCTCCTCGATAAGTATGTCAGTCAACGAGGTCTCTTGGTTACTGAAATAAATCTGAAGATCTGTCAAGGCACCAATGTTTTCCATGTCGGATCTTCGTATGATCCTCAAGGCATCTTGTAGAAGATCAACAGCGGGTAGGAAATGCTTGTCTGATATCCGAGCGTCCAGCTTTTCAGGGACCAACTGTAGCTTCTCAATCTGTCCCAAGATCTGCAGCATATCGTCATATTTCTGCGAAGACGAGCCCAATCCTTTCAGCTCGGGTTTCGTGACCATTAGACTGGATTTTGCGCCTTGGACTGAGTCCCTCAATGACCGGACACGGCCTTGCGATGCTTGGATGCTGGCCTGTATCTTGTGAAAAGTTCCAATGGAGCTGTTGAAACCTTGATGGTGTTCTGAAAGTCTTCAGCCAATGCATAACGTATTCTAACCCAAGAGAAGAGTCTGACCGTTCACAATTGCCTTGAGCGCTTTCTGCAGGTGTCTATTTGTCCGTTGGAAGTCTTGGTAATCATTGCCGCGCCCAAGAGAGCTGTAGTCCATCAACTGCAGTGCGATATGGACAGGCACACAGTCATCCTTGGTTATGATATCCCAGTTTTCATGTATGTGGTCGAGAACTCCTGATTGTAGAAAAGCATCAGTCGTATGTGTAAATCATGGATCGGTATGCTTGTCAAAAGCAAGGTAGGGTCCAATTAGATGGCAAAAATGCGCCGAGTGTTTTCTGTTGCTCTTTTGTTTGGCGTCTAACAGTGACTAACCTTCAATCTGTCTGCCTCCTGGTCCACTGCCATGCTGCCTTGCACCGTTCTGACCACGCGCTCCTCTGTCACGACTCCTACTTGTATCATAACCGTCGATATCCCTTGTTCTCGATACCGATAGCCCCGTTCCTCCAGTTGAGTGATCGGTGCCTTGCCGTCGAAAGGAGGGTGGAGGTGGCTGAGCCTGGGGTTCTGCTGAGACCGAGGGAGCGCCGTCATAGAATCCTCCATAACCTCCAGCACGGCGTTGCCGGCTGCCTCCCAATGAATCGCTATCCTCTTGTAAATCTTCATAGCGATTGGTCCTGTAGCTGCCATTGGTGTAGCCGTTGCTATATGACATGGTAGGATATACGATCAAGGTTTAGTCGATGCCTGAGCATTGTCGAAACCTGTTTTCCCGAGGTGAATTCTTTTTAATTATGGGATTGCGGCCGACCTGACCTGCTCGCACACGAACAATTACTGGCACAAGTTTGAAACAGAATGCAACGACTGCTGGATGTTTCTAAGCTTGGCTGAGATCGACTAAGCCATAAGTATGGTAGCGCAATGCGCGTAGGTGGGTACTAGTAGGGGACGGCCCGTGGCCGTTCTCTTGGTGGTTCCTTAGTCGGAACTTGTGGGGATGAGAGTCAATTCGCTTAGGCACGAAGGGGAAAAAAAAAGAAACCCATGTTGTCGGTCTAACACCTAGGGATTGATCATCTTCATACAACAACCATCAATTTACTCCGAGTCCATATTGGACAAACCATACTTGAGATGGTATCTCTCACAAACGTTTATTTGGCTATCACCCTGCATCTTGGCTTGTAGTACCCCAACTTTGTTGTTAACATTGCCTAGGCACGACTCACCGAAACACCATATAACCTTGCTTTACTCCCCTTTCTCTTTCACAAATGTCATGTTGAGTGTCTTCACTTGGTCTGTTTCTACGCATCCATTATGACAGCTTTCCGAAAAACATGTCAGACCCCCTCTTTTCTCTATCTCTTTAATCTATTAATGTCATTGATTTCTGGCGTTAACAATGAGCAGTCTCCAGCGGTGGTCATGCTTCTCGATCAGCGTGTAGACAAACGAGGCAATACTCCGCCCCCGTGGACGGGTCCATTCCCGTGGCGAAACAGAAATATGTCCCTACAACAGGCACCTACCCCAAAGGATTCCTCGTTTCTGGCACCCATGTGGGTGTAAAAGCGTCCAACACACGCTTTCCAGACCTCGCACTCTTGACATCCGAAAGGCCGGCATCCGCTGCTGCAGTATTCACGCAGAACATTTTTCAAGCCGCCCCTGTCACAATTAGCCGAAACATCCTCCAGAAACGTTCCGGCGAGGGTATCAGATCCGTAATAATCAATTCCGGCTGCGCAAATGCCGTCACAGGGAAAGGCGGGCTCGAGGATGCTACTAGCATGGCGGCATCCCTTGATGGGCTACTACCCGACTCTTCGTCCCCGGACCGTACTCTCGTCATGTCCACTGGAGTAATTGGCCAACGCCTTCCCATCAAGAAGATTCTCCAGGCCGTGCCCAAAGCGGTGTCCAATCTCGAAAACACGCACGACTCATGGCTTACGACCGCCCGATCGATATGTACTACCGACACCTTCCCTAAACTCCTCTCCATGACATTCACCCTCCCCTCTTCTCCAACTATCACCTACTCAATAGCAGGAATGACCAAAGGTGCCGGCATGATCCATCCAAACATGGCCACGCTCCTCGGCATCCTTTGCACCGACGCTCCCATCCCAGCCTCAACCCTCCAACCTCTTCTCACCCACGCCGTCGAGCGCTCCTTCAACGCCATAAGCATAGACGGCAGCACAAGCACCAATGATACCCTCGCCGTCCTCGCTAATGGCGCCGCTGGCGGCCAGCCCGTCACTTCGCCTGCTTCAGAGGATGGAAGAGCAATGCAAAGGTTGCTCACAGACTTCACGCAGCAGCTCTCCCAACTAGTTGTGCGAGACGGCGAGGGAGCTACCAAATTCGTGCGAGTCAAGGTCATCAACTCACCCTCTTTCGCGGATACCAAACTCATAGCTTCATCTATCGCCCGTGATCCCTTGGTGAAAACAGCCCTCTACGGGAAAGACGCAAACTGGGGCCGAATTCTGTGCGCAATCGGCTACACACAAGGCCTTTCATCGTCAAAAACAGTCATTCCAGCCCGAACATCCGTAAGTTTTGTACCAACCGACGGGTCCGAGCCCCTCAAACTCGTCGTAAACGGGGAGCCCGAGGCCGTGGATGAGATGCGTGCGGCCCAGATCCTCGCCGAAGAGGACCTCGAAATACTCGTAGACCTGGGAGGCGGAGGGGACGGAACCGGTAAGGAAGAGGCGAGTTATTGGTTTTGCGATTTCAGCCACGAATACGGTGTGTTACGCCCCGTTTGGATCGCACCGTCTGGGGCCAGGGACTGACCGTGAACAGTGACAATAAATGGAGATTATCGGACTTGAGGTTGGAGGAGGGGGCCAGGTGGAACGGTCCTACCCGTGGTTTATTTTAGATCTCTGCTTGGATGCTGACGCTGATGCTGTAAATATGCACCGTGGGCGATGGACCGCGCACCAGGATATCGGGGTACGGACGGGATGTAGGTCTCTCGAATGAGACAGAAAGAGGGACATTGCCCATGAAACAACGATCCTCGCCAGAACATGCAACAGTAAATCCTGATATGATTGGACTACCGGCTTCGATCTCTTTGCAATTGGTCTAATATACCGTCGAGATCCCACTTGCAACAAGACACGGCGATTCTTCCTCAGCGATGACCGGATTCTCTAGATGTTTGCCCGCACACATATAAAGGTGAGAGCAGTGTCTGGGAATTTAGAACTATAATTCAGGCATCGATCCAGTCGTACATGTATATATACAGATGTATACCTCATCATATGCAAGCTTTTACCAGACCTTGGCCTCCATCTTCAACCACCTCCATAGTCTCTTCCCCACATACTCTTTTCCTCCATACGTCGGATGATCTGTAAACATGGGGAATCCAAAGACTTCATCTTTTCACCCCATCACCATCCCCTTCAGCCCTGCCATATCACCTTCCTTCGCGGCAATTTCGAAATACCCGTAGATAATGCTGCCATCCAGTCAGTTCAAATCATCAAACATTTGCAACATAGCAAGATTGGGACAGTACGCACGTCACGGCTAGTAGTATACCCGTCCCTGAGCCTAGAGCACCCATAAGATCACTGGCGACGGACAGAGCACCGATACACGCTCCGCCGAATGCTGCCGCAGTAGGGATGATCCTCTTGAGCTCTCTGTACATGCTCTGTTCCCTGTGACCCGCCATGCTAATAGCGCGTTTGTCAGCTTGCCGCCATCCACGGGCATCTACCGGCGGTACTCACACTAGCCCTTGTTCCTTGAGCTGCTTTGCTACATCTCGGGGTGCAGAGCCGCTGACTTCGATCCAGGTCTTCGAAAAGATAGCGCAGGCGGTCAACATAAATACGATATAGATTGCAGTCTTCTGCAATGGGGCAGCATCTCCAGTCAGTAACTTCCTTGAGACTGTGTCGTGGAACAGTTTCGGGAGTTTTTTCCAAACTCCCCAACTGTGTTTCATGACTCAAAACATGACATGTTTTAGGGATTTGGAGTTGGAGAAGTTGCTTACAACGGGATCAAGGATTGCTTCCGTAAAGTTGAGTGGTGGGGACATCTGCAGATTTTCCAAGTCAGCACTCCATTCTAGACTGAGATTAGGACGTGAGAATTATCAGAGGAGTAAGAATACACTCAAAACATGCATTAGAACTCAAAATGCTGTAGGTTTGAGGGGGGAACACTCCGAAGAGTAGACTTACATAATAGGCAATCCCAGAGCTAGCATAGAGCTGAGCGCTGCCTGATCTCTGGTCAGTCAAGTGCGAACCCAGCCGATTACAAGGTATGAATGTGTCAATGTGGAAAGAGCTATATGTACATACCTTCTCTTGGTTCCCAGACTCCAAGCAACTTGACAAGGAGGTTTTCACTGAATCTAGAGTACAACATCTGCGACATGAGGAAAATGTTGGAGCTGAGCGCCGACTGTAACATGATGGGCATGTTAGAGGTGCTATCCAAGAAATTTAGTTAGCGTGCTTTCCAAGATTGTCTTTTGAGGCATAAAGAAGTGAGGGAAATTCGTACTAGAACAATCGGATTGGATAGGAACCTACGCAGATTTCGGAGTCAGCATGGTTCTTTTTAGGTGATGAACTGAGAAAGAGACACGTTTGAGGAGTAGAAGAAAAAAAATTCGCTGCCGAAATATGTCGTTTCTTTCACCCAAGAAGATAATTCTGGAAAATGATGTAGCTTTCTGCTCTCGAAATATAAAGTTTGACGCCCAATTTAATATCGAATAGAAAGGATGTACTTTGAAAGGTACGTACCACGCATTCCGCGCTGTCGTGAGCTCTTGACTGGTATTTCTACGCGGAACCCCTGGAGGTAGATCACCGCGGCAAAGACCACCAAGGTTGCAAGTAGGTTCATGATATTGGGAAGATTCTGGCGATAAAACGCCTCTTGCAACGCTCGCTGCTTGTCTGGCCATGTGAGGAGGAGGTGGAAGAGTGCAATGACAGCGCCTTCAAACTCAGGACCACGGCCTGTGTTGATGGTCGTGGGAGAAAAAGCTTTCCAAACTATGGATTCACAAATATTCGTAGCGATGAACAGAGAAATGCCGCTACAGATTCATTAGCAATTAGACCATAGTATTCCAAGGAGCACCGTTTACCTTCCTAATCCGTAGCCCTTCTGCAACAGCTCGTCTAGAAGAATAACGATGAGACCACTAAGGCACAACTGGACTATAAGTAAAACGCAGACGCCCGCGCCCAAATCGGCCGGTTGGCCGTAGAGACCCGTCAGCACGAACACCATGGCCTGACCAAAGGATAGGATGAGCGCGAATAGCTTTTGGGCAGTCTGGTAGAGTTCTCGGTCCGTCTTCAGATCCAAGTTCACATCAATGAGGTGGGTGCCTGCAAGACTGTCCGTTGATTTTAGCAGTTGTTCAGGCGCAGATCAAGACCTTCGCGCAAAATCTTACAGCTGAAAAACCATGCCCGAAGAAATTATCGGCGTTGTACCAAGTTCCATAAGAGTTCCACGGTTGCTGGCCAGCATCATGCGAAGCCAGTAGAGAGGATCCGAAGTATCAGAGGATACTATACCGTAAAGAGGCATCTAGCCAGATGTTAGATCTACCACCTCAGCGGCCTCCGTGATCAACGTACCTGACTCATCACGAGAAATATTAAGAGGGTCAGGCCCGTCCACATCTATCCATTTTTAGCTTCCATATCCTCCTACGCTGAGCTCAGGGCATTGTCTCACGAGCTTCTGGTTGAAAGGGGTTTTGGTTTCTGGAGCCGACACTTCGGGAAGCAAAGGAGTGAAAGGCTTGATCAGGTCGAGGAACCGTACTGTAGCAGAAGACGTCAGCAATTGCTGGTGATTGACAACAGATGTACAGAGCGAGTTGGATGCTAAGGGCAGGGAAGAGGACTGACGGCCGCTCATCTTTGCAAGGTCGCCGCAGAGCGGACTTCAGCTATTGAAGTATTCCGATGGGTGGCCGATAGTTCCAGCTTCGCGTCACTTCTAGCGATGTGCTGTCCGAATGGTTGTGGCAGGGTGGTAAAAGAATGTCTGTATACAAAACCGTGGTGGTCGTGGGATTTTAGAGAGGACACATTTCGGATCGCGCTAATCCTTAGAAGGCATCTAGAGCTGCCAAGCCCAGAATACGGCAGTCTTAATATCACATCATGCACGTTTTATGGCGCAAGACTTCTTCCACTTGTGAAGTCAGGCAAACCAGTGTATAGATGTTTTCTACTGTAAGACATGAGCTGTGTACGCCCCTGGAAAGGGCGTTCTCATCAGCTTTAGACGCCGTAGTATTCCCAACTGCAGTTCGAACCATCATCATTCGAAATGTGAGAAAAGAAAGACCTACCACCCAGGGCCGCCGACGCCTAGTTAAATAAAACTACTAATGCCGTAGGAAGCATGTGAATGTGTTTCGTGAAACGAGCAAGCCAGAATCGAAGTAGTAGAGGAGCAAATCGGTTATCTCGTAGCAGCGTAGGTGAAGCATATACACGCGAGGATCGGATTCAAAGCTGAGGACACCGGCCAAAGGCATACCACAAGCGTCGGACTATCAATTAATGACCAATGCTTGGGTAATTACGGCGAGTGTTGGTGTCGTGGTAGGCTTCGTTAGTAGTAGTATGCGATGAATCATATCAATACTACCGCACTGACTGTGCCTTAACGAGTAGTTCAGGTTTCGCCGTCGTCAGTGCCACCACCGTCCTCATCTTTCGGCTCCAAGCCAGCGTTCTGACAGGCCGTCCTCCAACGCGCAACTTCTCCATGCGTGCGTTGTAGCTCGTCTTTCAATCTGTCGACACTGGAGCTCAGTTCCGAAATGGCCTGATCTGTCAACAGCTTCTCGAGTGTCCATTTCTCAATGTTTCGTGTCTCATTGTCCTTCAGCTGTGTAATGTACTCGACGCCGCGTTGTAATATCGAGCCCTTGTTTTTCTCGCAGCCCGGGACTATCTTTGCGAGCTCGTTGATGCCTTCATTGATGGTTTCTCGACGTCTTCGTTCCACTATTGATTTGGTAAGTCCAGATCTTGATTGAGCTACTCGACTACTCACCTTCCTTGTGGTTGTCTCTTCGGACTTTGTGCCACTCCTCTGATCCTACAGGGGGCTTCCCGCCATTATCCGCATCCTGTCCGTGTGCGGCAGCCCCACCTTGATAGGCGTCAAGGTTGTATGGAGTCCCTTGGGTGTGATGGGCTTGACCCTCATCTGACCCTCCGCCCATATCAAACGAAGAATCCAATTGCCGGTCCGGATCGGTGCCAGAGCCTGAGTTAGAGAATGAAAAGTCCGTGGGCTGCGGTACCGTTAATTGAGGCATACTCGCAGCAAGTGCTGCAGCTGCTGTAGTGGGAGCCGCATTGGCATTGACATTGGCAATGTGTCGAGAGAGCTGCTCAGACATGCTGGCAAAGTCGTGGTTATTCGAGTCGTTGGAGTATGGATCGTGCGAGGAACTCGAGGTATCTTGTCCGTTCCCATGAACGTTGTTTGAAGCAGGTGCATGTCGTGAGCCAGGCTGCCTCACGCTACCAGTGTGGTCCGAAGATTCGCGTTTCCTCTTATTGGATGACTTGTGGTGGTGGACGTGCTGCATACCCTCGTGGTCAGGATAGCCGCGTGTAGACATTTAGGCAATCAGAGTGAAAGGCGGCCGGTGGATTTGGGAGCGGAGAAGGAGTCTAATTGAGAGAATCAGTATCGCTAGGCTCGGTAGCGCTACCACGACTATGGTTACCGGTTGATGCTCTTAACACCAGAATCTGCCGGCTTGCTAAGTACCAGGACCGACAGGCCAAGACAAACAAACACCTGCTTTGCACAGCGTTCCTCTTACACTGGAGCCTCTTACGACTGTCGACCGTGGAATGAAGTGATTGTTGGATCCGTGATCTCGAGGCTGATGAGCGATTCTCGTCTCGTTCATGTAAGACTCAAGGTGCTCGTGGTGGAGCGCGATTGAGGAGCAGTGAAGTAGGTCCCGATGGAACTGTTGACAGCCATGGTCAGCGGGTCTCAACACGCGGTCATGTGCAAAGAAAGCATCACGAGGCAAGTGAGCGCGATACCGAAATCAAAATGCTCTAAACAATCCATGTCTTATCTCACAACTCTCGAGCATCATGGCGTCATTATAGCACCGGTCTACCCTTGGCAAATATGTACAGGAAGCCTTTGTCATGGATGGATAGGTCACAGAATGTTGCACTTGTAGTATGGCAGCACAGCATCCAGCGAGACTTCTTGGTCCAGAACCTTGGAGGATGCCAGCGAAGGATACACAACGAATTCGTCGGTGAGTACATCATGCAACAGACAATGGGGTAGTGCTGGATCGACAGAGTGGGGGGTTACTCACTTGGTGGATCACGCGCTTGGTGGTCGAGTCCTGAGATCAAAGTCACGGGATTCAAGGTGGGGTGCAAAACCCTGGGGCATGTCTCGGCACGGAATTTGGAGGAGCGAAATTGGCGTGTGATCACTTCTGAAAGATGTTTGCTTTTTCAACACTCCTTTTCCCCTACGATATGGACCGTATGTACGAAGTGATTTTCAACGAATCGAACAAGGTCACATGTTGCCTTTCTCGACGGTCTCTTGGGGTTCTGTGATTGGCTCGAACGTTCGACAAATTGACTAAGAATTTGACTACAGTGCGGGGCCTTGAGAGTGGTGTGCACGAACTCCTACCTTACTAGAGGAAGATAGACACCAAGCGTGAGCTCCGAAACATCAAAGTGGTGTAAATACAGGTCTAGATTTTCCGGCTTAATGCTTATGCGAGTCATCTCAAGACGCGGGCCGTTTGCTTCGCACTAGGCGCCGGTCACCGTCTCATTAAAGCGTGGTGTAGTTGCACCTCAATGAGCACAAATATGCATACGGTTAAAGGAGAAATTGATCCAGATATGCCTCTAACCAGTTGTTGAACTCCGAGGGACTTTCCAAGTTGATCATGTGCGCGATGTCGAACTCTTTCAGCTTCGCGCCAGGTATTCGTTGAGCAGCGTATTTCATTGCTTCATTCGTGCTGGTCTCATCGTACCTTCCATATGCCACCATGCTTGGGACGCTGATGTCGGACAGTCTTCCTGCTGCGGCTGGCTTGAGGTCCTCTACGTGAATATTGGGGTTAGCAAGACAAGTCCCACAAGTAGAAAGGTCCTCTTGCTCCCAAAACATGTCTTGGGACTCAATTTCAATCAAACGAAGAGGATCAGCTCCGAAATGTACGTACCAGCAGGAATTGCGGAGCCTTCGTTCCCTGCGATCTCTCGTTGAGCTATCATTCTATACCAGTCAAAGAGTTTGTCTGCTACCACTCTCGAAAGCCGACCGTCGTTATGACTTTGAGTACCTCGACCCCAAATCATCACATTCATCATCGCAGCGCTGTGAGCGTCTCCTTTACCTATAAAATCGTCATAGCGTTCAAACATTGAAATTTCCTGCGTGGTATCGGCGAAGTCAAAGCCCCCTAGTCCACCCGCGCATAAAACAAGCCCGGCAATGAGATGCGGAGGTTGCAAAGCGAAGTCGACAGCGTGATCTGTCTCATGTCAGGCGAATCCAATATAGTCTTGTTGAGATCCGTACTCGCGCCTCGACTCAGTCCGATCACTACGAATTTATCATCAATAGCTGCACGGCCTCTGCAAAGACTATACTCTTTTATAACCGCCAGTGCATGATCATGATGCTTCACAGCAGGAGTGCAGCCTCTCTGGACATAGCTCTCACTGGGTAGCGGCTGGCCATATCCGAGCAGGTCGAATCTTAGCAAATACCAACCTCTAGCTGTGTAGTATATTACTTGCTCATCCCATCTGCAGAAGATGAGTTTGGACGGATTCTCGGTCTGGGAATCGGGTTTGCTGACACTGTATGGTCTGAGACACCCGACTACAGCAATTCAGAATCAGCATTCCCTTTTGCAGACGCGTTCTTGAGTTTGAAGGACTTTCCGAGGAGTAGACCATGTGTACATACTCCTCAAACTTGTCTTTGGACTCGAAAAGGAATAAAAAGTGGAAGACATGAACCAGAAAGGGTGGTTACATGAATCAATAGCAATACTGGGCGTGGACGAGGGCCGCTGTCGGCGCTGTCCTCGTGGTCCACTGGGGGATCGTATTTCCAGAAGAGCCGGCCTTCATCGACTTCAATAAAGCCTGTTTTGGCCATTGCGAGAGTCGTGGGTAGTAAGATAATGGGTTAAAAGTGAGAAGTCGTGAATAGAGGGAACCTCGAATATTCAAGTCCCACTGCGGCTAGTTTGCCAGTTCAGACCGACGAGAATTTGTTTTCCCCCCGGTTTAACGCTCAAAATGTAGTGATCCTCATGCAACGATCTGTGGGACTTGCGACGGTTCAACTCCTTGCCTTCCAAGGTTTCCCTCCACCACCTCTATTCATGCGTCATGATCTAAAGGATTAATGTCAAGGCTCCGTTCTGGGGCAAATTACAAAATCATACCCCAAACTGTGGGATTCTTACAAATTCATACCCCATCTTACACTCTCATACCCCAATGGGGTATGAATTTGTAAGATACCATTAATAGGGGTATGATTTTGTAAGTTACCATAGTAACCTGGAATTATTATCTTTTTCTCGCGGGTAGCGTTAGCATCAAATAGGGACGGAGTTTTGGGGTAAGATTTCGGGGCGTAATGGGGTAGGTAGGTAGCATAATACCCGCCTTGAGCCGGTAACCCGATAGCCTATTAGCAGCCCGAGTTACCGCTAGACTAAAAAGCTATACCCGGGGGTATCTTATCTATAGCGTGAAGTGTAGACACCCCCAGGTATAGCTTTTTAGCCTCTCAGCCGGTGTAAGGATAACTAAATCTACAAGTTGATGGTATCTTATATTTTCATACTCCAAGAAATGGTAACTTACAAATTCATACCCCAAGGACTGGCAACTTACAGATTCATACCCCATTTTTTTGGTGAGGGGTATGAAAATGTAAGATGGGGTATGAATTTGTAAGAATCCCATAGCCGTTCTGGCATGCACAAGCATCAAGGCGGGCAGCTGCAAAGAGTCGTCCCAAGACGGATGATATGTGTGAGGGTTACTCGTAGTAATTGGTACTGAATGCCACACTTGGCTCAGAATTTCGACAGCTGGAGCAGAAAAAGAAGAAAATTAATTGACTGGGGGACGAAACGACGCCGAAGTTTCTTTTTTCAGGGGCAGAGGCCGCTCTCAGCGCCTCGTCGGAGATGACTTTCACTTTCCCGCCCTTCTCTCTCTCTCCCTCCAACACGCCTGATTTGCTTGACAAATTTATCTAAGGTAAACAAGGTATCTATTCCATGAGATTAAGGGACAGCAAGGCTTGTGGAAGGAGCCAGCATGCTGATAATAATTGAGGGGTCATCGTCTCAGGTCAACCAGAATCGCTGACCGTGCGGCGATGCTGCATGCACTGGTATCAGATACCATGGCCGCTCACTCCGTCTCCTTTTCTACTTCCTCCCTCTTTCAATCCTTTCGCGAATCCTCTTTCTTTGCCTCTTGAGCTTCCCACTGTCCTTTGTGATTGGTCTATTTGCTTTTGGTCACTTTTTCGCTGTTCGAATACCACGGTCATTACCTTGTCATCAAGCCTTCAATTCTTCTCCTTCATTTACAATCAGGCAGTGCCTGTAAATATATCATTTGTCCCTCAAGGCAAATTTCGTTTCACCGTTCTAAATCAACATGGTCAGTCCTGTTGTTCTCACTCTTTGTTTAGCTCTTCAAGCGCTGGCCCGTCCGCAAGGCCCTTGGCAAGGTCCCCCACAGGTCCGCCCTCAAGGTCCATGGAGTCAGTACAACCAACATGGACAATGGAACCATCATTACGTCCCAAAAACGTCCTCGACATCGGCATACACTCAAATCTCATCCTCTTCGAAGGCGCAAGCCCAGAAGAGCGAAAGCACTACGAGCTACCGCACTGGCTCTTTCACAACTTCTGGTTCCGCATATCCTTCCGGGACTGGAATCTCCTTTGGGACAAGGACAGCCGTGGGAACGGGCTATATTCCTGGGACAAGCCTAGCCTCGGTCCAATCATCGCCTACTGCGGTGGTCACCTTCTCCAGTGAGACATCTACAGCATCCACTATCAGTACTTTTGGCTACACTGCGGCATCCAAGCAGATCTCGACGCCAGTCGGAGCATCCCGTCGCTACAGCTGCGGCCTCGTCGAACAGCCCAACAAGTACCGGATTCGTGAGAGGTGTCAACATTGGAGGCTGGGTACGTATATTCGGAGTCCACATCTCCTCTTCTATACTGAGCATTGAGTCTTGAGGCATGTCCTGGGGGTGTTCCGTCTCTAGGCATGCTCTGAGGCTCGATATATACTCTTCGACAAGCAATACTGACTCTGGTTATTCAAATCAGTTACTTGTTGAAAAGTTCATGAATGGTGATGACCTATTTACCGGCATCGGAGAAGACGCGGTCGATCAGTGGACGTTAGATCAAACCAGTGGAGCCGCCGCTGCTCTGCAGAAACACTGGGTGTGTACACCTGTCGTAGCAGATCCTTCCTAATATGGACCACTTTACGGGTTGCCAAACACAACCCGCGTGAAAAGGCTCCTAATAGCCGTTCCAGCTGTCTTAGTCCTCGAATTTTTGCCTCTAAGAAGTACTGACTGTGAAACTTCTGCAGGACACTTATTTCACCGAGGCAGACGTTCAAACTCTTAAGGGTTACGGCATCAACGCCCTCAGAATCCCTATTGGCTTTTGGTACGTACATTTCTTATTCGCCTTCCCTAGAAGCGAATGTCTCTTCCCAGCCCCAGATAAGTCTCATGGCTTATGCTTTAACCTTACAGAGAGAACGCTGACCCCGGATTGTGCGTAGGGCTTATGACAATACTGGCACACCATATGTTTCTTACGGGATTGGACAGGGGGCAGATTCTTACCTCGAAAAGGCGATAGGATGGGCTCAAACTGCAGGCCTTAGGGTCTGGGTCGATTGCCATGGTAGCCCGGGCAGTCAGAACGGGTGGGTATCATTCCCCTCTTCTTTCCAAGACTAGCTGCAATTCGATCCTTGACGCACAAATTCGCTAACGTCAAACCTAGCTACGATAATTCTGGTCACAAAGGAGACGTCGAGTGGCAACAAGGCGACAACCTCGCCAAATCGATTGCGGTCTTAACTACCATGGCCCTAAAATATGGCTCCAAAGAGTACAGCGACACTGTCATGGGTATAGAGCTTGTCAACGAACCAATATCGTGGGGTAATAACACCCTCAGTACCACCCAAACATGGGCCCAAGAGGCGTACCATGCTGTCAAAGGCAATTCTACCAATGAGAATTTGATGGTAGTCATGCATGACGCGTTTGCCCCTAACGGTCCAAGCGATTGGACCACCATTGCCAAGTCTCTAGGCCCAAGAGGAGTCTTTGGAATCGACACACATATGTATCAAACTCTTGTTGCTGCAGACATCGCTCTTACACAAGCTGAGCACATCACTACAGCGTGTCAACGAGGCATGGCACTCAAGAGCGCAAATGTATTGGCTCCGGTCTACGTGGGCGAATGGTCTTCAACGACGAATGCCTGTATCAACCCCGACGGAACCAGTACAGCTGGCACTTGCAGTACTGAAGGATGTGTATGTGTGACTGACCCAATGGATACGTGGACGGATGTAGTGGTGGAGGAAGTCAGGAAATTCGTGGAAGCACAACTTGAAAGCTTCGAGGCTAGCACGAGTGGTTATATGCTCTGGAGCTGGGCGGGTAGGGTTGCCCTCATGGATTTGGGTAGGAAATATCATAAAGCTGACCGCTTCGATAGATGATGATATGGGGACGTGGTCCATCAAAGACGGGATCAACAAGGTACGTACATTTCGGAGCGGTTTCTTCTTCATCGGTAGTAAGATGGAGTCACGAGACATGTCTCGGGGGCAAAAGGACTTTTCCACTCCCATGACCTGTCTTGCAAGTCCAATCTCTGCCTCGAATAAGCTTCGCTGACTCCGAAATCTGCTCTGCGTAGGGAATTATTCCAAACCCATTAGATGACCCAAGTCAACGCAAATATCCAGGACAATGCAGCTCTTGACTCTCTTGTGAAAACACAAGGTGGGTGTTGAGATGTGGCTGATCAGCGGATCTGAGATCTCACTATATTCATTGTGTAAATATGTTGCCAAAATAGCCGCCAATATTTAGTAAAAACATGGGCTACCTTCGTGAACTGTAACTGGCGCCTTAGCAACGATCGAAGTACTTGCCGCCAACCGGTTTGGGCAATCTGGACAGTGCTGGGTGCTGAGCCTTTATGCTGCTCTTAATTTGGTATTCTAGCCTGCTGTGTTGGTGCCCTCGACACTCTTGTGAATCAAGTCCATACCATTTGATCCAGGTCCAGATTCAGCAGACGACCGCGAAAATCTTCTTCCTTACGCAGGCTTGGTCACATCAACAGACCGACTCTTTGGAACGCGTCTATGTTTGATTCTGGCGCTTCCAACTATTGTCCTCCTCAACACTGCCTCAGTTGACCTACGTCTTCGCATCTCTTCCTTTCCCATTCCACTCTTCTCACCAGCAACATGGAACGCAACCATTTTGATAGGCTTTCCGCCGAGCTTATCACGCCAATACTGCTTGAGCTTCCCACCACTCAAACTCTCTACTCGCTGATACGAGCCTCGCCCAAAGCTTATCAAGTCTTTTTGGCGTCAAAAGAAACAATCCTCATCTCACTTATGCGCCGAAGGATCAGACCTGCAGCATTCATCGATGCTTTGGCGGCTGTGCAAGCCTCGCAACTCAAAGACGTAGGCCCGGACCGAAAGGCTGTCCTGGCTTTTCTGCGAACTTATGAGAACAAGAGACACAAAACTGTTGAACAAAAAGGGCAGCACTATTCACTACCTATAGCGGTGCCCTTGTGCCAGCTGTACCAATCCACGCAGTACTTCATCGAGGATCTGACTAGTCGGTCGAATTACTACCTTCGTCGATGCAGAGACACCGCATTTGTTCAGAACCACACCTCGCCACAAGATGGTTGCATTGTCCTACCGAAATCCAACGGCCTCTGGAGAAGCCATCCTATAGACCGAGACCACTGCTATGCCCCTCTTTCCGATGTGGAGGAGGGCCGCCTTCAGCGAGCGTTCTTTCGGTACGAATTATACACAAATATCTTTAGTTCGGACATGGAGTACAGCGGAGAAAAATTGTGGGAACTTCCGTCAGATTCTCACTTCTTCTTGGAAAATTATCAGCAGTGGGAGATCGAGGAGCTAGCTTGCGTCGAAGATTACCGCTGCTCCCTGCTCTCCAACTCTTTCGATCGGATCGAGTCCAGTTTCGTAGGCATCCAGTTGCCTGAGCCGCCATTGGAACCTGCGGCAATCACCAGTTTTCGATCCTACGAGCGGTCAGCAGCGTTACGTGAAGCCAAATTCCAGATCCATAGCCTATACACGGATTACCTATCGAATTTGAGCTTACCGTTCTTACACCATGCTCTCCGACTCGACCGTTTGAATATGCAGCGGGAGATGTCTTCTCATATCTATTACGACGGGCAGAAGCGTTCTCTATCAACTGCATTGGAAGGATTTTGGAAAGAGATGTCCCGCAAAGATAGCAATCTGATTCACAATTACATTCACGCAGTTGCCCGCAATAACCTTTTCCCATTTAAAGACACCATTGATGGATCAAACGAAGGTTGGCTTTGCGTGTATGGTAATACTCATTTCGTTTCTCCGCACGGAATTCGACACACTACACGAAGCCTTGGTTACGCTTTTTGGGATAGTAAGCGCTTGAGAAATTCTGGTTTCGTGGGTCCAGGGTATGTTTAGGGAGTCTGCACCGTGTTTCAAAGCTAAATTTCTATTGCAGACTGGTCGGAATTGAGGCACGATGCCAAATAAAGAAGAACGTATGGCCGTCAACTACTGCACCATTAGTCTGACCTTCCGTGGAGGTAGAAGGTACTCCACGATATGTTATACCTTCAAGGGAGCAGCTTCGTGAACCGGATGTAGAAGATGCTTTGAGGAGCGTGCAAGAGCAAGCCTATACGGGGAATGGAGCCGCACGGGGGAAGACGTTTAGTTGGGGTCAAAGCATGCCTATATCGGCTTTGAAGGCGTAGCTTATGGTCTACATTGTACAATATTCCGAGGGTGCCTATCAGACAAATAGACCGGAGAGTAGTGGTAGAATTGCAAAGTAAAGTCTCCATTGGTGTGACCAGACCTATGGTCGTCCGTTCCTAGTGCTTTTCCTTCCCAACTATACTGAACGCACCAAAAGATGTTCCAAAGAAATCTGGTAAGCTCGTTTTGGGCTATGATAGCATACATATTAGAGCTTCATTATAGACATCTATCATGGTGATGGTGAGAGTAGATAGGTAGCTACAACTTGGGCTGCAGCAGATCCTTTGATCTTCATCTTCAACTCCAAAGCTTCATCCTCTCTTCTTCCAGGGTTTCGCGCAACATGCGCATAGCCTGCCTACAATTCAACCCTGAGCTAGGCAGGCTTCCTGAGAACATCGCCCGCGTTAACGCCCTACTGGAGGCAGCATCTCCGCAAAACATTGACCTACTAGTTCTTCCCGAGCTCGCTTTCACAGGTACTACCTCTTCACCTCGTCCTGTTCTATTCCGAGCCCAATGTTCATCTCATTGATTACTAGACAGGGTACAATTACCCTTCCTTCTCGTCCATATTGCCCCACCTCGAACCCACCGCCTCTGGTCCCTCCACAAATTGGGCCAGGGCGACCGCCAGCCGTCTCAATTGCATTGTCACAGTCGGCTACCCCGAGCTCTGCACCCCACCCCCTGCTTCCAGCACAAAGACTCAAGACCTCTCGCCTGCCGGGGAAGCCATAGCCTATAATTCCACAGTCACTGTCTCCCCCACCAGCCAAATTTTGGCCCATTACCGCAAGACGCATCTTTACTACACGGATGAAACATGGGCTCAAGAATCACCGTCAGGATGGCTCTCAACCTCTTTGACATTCGCTCCTAAGACTTGCCCAGAGCGGGGTGTACGGGCGAATTTTGGCATATGCATGGACCTGAACCCACACAAATTCGAGGCTCCGTGGGAAGCGTATGAGTTTGCATCTCACGCTCTGGCTTCTGGGTCGGAGTTGCTTGTACTCTCAATGGCCTGGCTGACAGGGTTGGATGCCTTAGAGTTGGCTGCTCATGCAGAGGAACCGGATTTATCTACATTGAGCTATTGGGTGGGAAGGCTGAAACCGCTTGTGGAAGCGGAGAAGGAAGTGATTGCAGTATTTGGGAACAGATGCGGGCAAGAAGCGGGCAAGAACCCACTAGGCATTGAGGAGGGCGTGAGGTATGCTGGAAGTTCCTGGATTGGGAAAGTAGGAAACGGGGTTGTCAAGATCTGGGACATTATGGGAAGAGCGGAAGAGGGTGTCGTTGTTGCAGATACGGAGAAGGAGCCGAAGTGGGCTCTACGGTTGCAATCCCGTGATAAAGAGCTCGCAGAATGAGACCGAGGTCATCCATTTGCTCCTTTACGGGTTCCATTAGACTTCCAGAAGGGGCGTGACCGAGGATATTACACACCTTGAGCAATTACAACGGCCTTCCGCAGCAGGTTCCTCAGAAACACTGTTCGCGAAATTAGCAAACTAGGGACTTCGTGAAGCCAGACTGAGTGTCATAAAGGCGTAGGGTCGTTGGCGTCGCCATGAACAAATATTGATAACGGCCGTTTCAGGCCTCGGATACCAGCATACAAGTTCACAATCCTACATGATCCTGATTCCGACCTAGCAACTAGATTGCCTTCCAATACGAAGCAATCTTCAGCGACAACACAACATGACCGGAACGCAATCAGCAGCAGCGACCGACGAAGGGTCTCCAAAGCAGGAGAGCGCCGATGAGCAAACCCCGTAAGTTATCTGGATTCTGGCCAAGGCCATCTTCGAACAACGCTAATCGATACCAAGGTTCCTTTATGACACCATGGTGGTCGTGCTCGTCGGTCCTGTAAAGCAACGCTTTGAAATACACAAGCGCCTCATCTGCAGTCGATCCGACTTCTTTAAGGCAGCATTCACCGGTAACTTCAAGGAGGCCGACGATGGAACACTCACGCTTCCTGAGGAGGATCCTGCGACCTTCAAGTACTTCGTCTATTGGCTGTACACCGGCAGTCTCAGAGGTTTTCATTACTCAAAGTCGCTCAATCCATCTCTGAAGGAGTTGACAAATAAAGTGCGCTCAGAAGTGATATCTCGAAAGTTGCTACATGCAGAATGGCTCCCACTCACTAATCCACACCGAAAGTTGTGGGAGCATGCTAACTATCGCGACCTTCCATTCGCTTCTCTCATCGCTCTGTACATTCTGGCCGACGCACTTCAGGTTCCACGCTTGAAAGATGCTGGCATTACGGCATTGGTTGAGGTTTACGGTTTCAGCTCTACTGATAAAGGCCATTGCAAGATGTACTGGGCAGCGGATGGGCCGGATGATGTGGGAGGACCTATGGAAGGCATAAACATGGCCTGGGAGACCTTGCCGAAAGAGTCCAACTTCTGTCAACTACTTCTGCAACTTTTCTGCGACAACACCGACGGCATCTACGACGCTGGAGATGGTATAAGCTACCATGCAGGTTTTGTGCTGTCTATGGCCAATTTGTTTGCCTACCGGTGGGTGAATGATCTCCCCCCAACCGACTGGACCAAAACAGGAGCTATCTGCTCTTTTCACGAGCACGAGGGAGCTAGCTGCGATCTGACTGAAGATTACTTGGAGGATAGAAAAGCGATGGCACGGGAATGACTAGGACTCGGCTAGCTGGCGTTTCCCTGCGGTCTCGGTTTCCATTACGGTGAACAGGGCGTTGTGAACGGGGTACGTTTAGAGCATCGAGAACGAATGACTTGCGCCAGGCGAGATGCCAGAGAACAATGGCAGCAGTGCGATACAGATCCTCAAGACATAGACAATAGCAGCTCTTCAATGAAACACCAATCGCTTTCCGTCCATCCATGACACATCCAGACGGTTCCATACCCAAAAACGAACCATTAAAACGACAGAGACCAGCACCCAATCCTTCTCCCCTTTCCAACAGCTCCCTCTTATCCCTAGCGAACGAACCTCCCAAAAGCGAAGACACGCCAGCTTCACGGACCCTCGTCAACACCACCAGCGCCACGTTCCTGCACCCTTCTTTCCCGTTATCGCACGAACCCGAGTTCCGGGATCATAACCATGTACCATGTAGCCAAAACCACCGATCCTTCTTTTTCATCCGCAGCTACCAGGTCCACCCAGCCCTTTGCTAGCAACCCCCACGCCACGGTCAATGGACCACGTCGTCCCACCGCGCAAAGACCTCGTTCAGCAACAACGGATGGCCAAAACGGGCACCGAAATCAATCGACTCTTGCGCATGGGAAGGAAACACCAACTTCAGCCCCGGATGCGGATCATCGTTCCGCCAATCCGGGCACGGCGTCGCACGTTCAGTGGGACAAGACTCGGGGCACCGTGGCCTCCAAGAACGCGGGCGGGAATTCTTGGCCGTGCGGACTACAAGTAGCTCTCTATACCGGCCGGTTCTACAACTTGTCAACACCTGCTGCGTAGCTCGAACTTTACGGCCGCTTATCCAACGGGATCATGGACGGAGAGGGACGGAGAGGTGGCTGAGATCGGGTAGGTTTCCATCGGGGGGGTAGAAGCGGAGGCGGTGGTAGGTCACGGTTCGGATGGATGGACGGATTCGAGCTTCAACAGTGTCTGGTGCAGCTCAAGCGAGCTGCTCGGGCCTTCGTTTCTCGATCCGGAGTCTCGCATTGACACCCAAGAAGATCTAACGGTACTGTACATAAAAGCGCGGCTCTTGGCATATCACACTCTTTGCGCCATCGCTATGCAAAATTCCATGTGCACCTTCCAAAGCGTGCACAATTTTTTCCTCCTTCAAAGCTCAATCGCATCCTCCGCACTCGAGCCCGCCTGCTTCTGCGCCTCTGCCGCTTGCTGTTTCAGATGATGTGCAGGTCGAGATGGACCACTCATGAACCCATTCATCTGCGTTTGCCTCTCCAAGGCTGCGAATCCCCTTGGCGCCGTTCCGACCTGCTCTCGCTGTTGACTTGATGGAAGAGGCGTAGCCACTTCCTTCTGCTTCCCCTTCCCTACCAAACTCATCCCCATCCCTTCGCCATCCCAAAAGCCCTTCGGCAGAAGGGCTTTGTCGCCCATAGCTCTCAACCTAAGCTCCGTTCTCGAAGGTGTCGTCCCTCGTTCCCTAATTTCCCTGAGTTTACGCTGTGCCGTTGTCTCGTTGTTAGGCGGGAAATTTTCGGGTTGAGGTGTCATACTCTTCTCGATACTTTGTCGTTCGGATCTACACCATTGCTCTGACTCTGCCAATGCTTCGCGGACAGAACGTATCTGCGCAAAGAGCTCTTCGTCGTCATCATCCACTGATCTTGAAACTCTACTTGAACTGGGCTGATTCTGTGTATCTGGTTGAGAGACGGATAGTCGCGTGCCATAGCTGGGAGGAGGGCTTAATAAAGTTGTCTCCATCGAGCGATCGACTTCATCAATTTCCATCTTACCCCTCGTTCGCTTCTTCGTTGACGGTATAACGGGAGTGTCTGGATCGATGCCAAGAGCCTTGAGCTGGAAATAGTCTGTACGTGTTGTGTCTGATCTAGCCTTGGGAGCTAGGCGACGGGCTTGCTTCATGAGTATGTCGCTGAGAAGCGACCTATCCTTTATCTTCGAGACATCCATTCGGGACTTGTAAGGCGGACGTGTCATAGGATGTGGAGGAGCAGACATGGTCGGGTCCCCAATAGTGCGGGATCTCTTGTGATGAATTTTCGTACGCCTTGGAGTGCCTTGATCAACGCTTCTAGTGGGGTCTTCTCGTTTGCGTTTTGTCCCTGTGGAGTTCTCTAGTTGGCTTTGCTCATTGTCGAAATCTGCAGGTAAGCTCTGTCGCTTCTGCAGCGGAGTCAGGGGCGGTGGCATCATGTTTCCAGGGTGACTTTGGTGCCCAATTGGGCTTTTTGAGCCTCCCATACTCGATGCGAGCGAGGAGAGTGAAGAATTACGATCATTGTGCTTTTGGCGCTCGGCCTTGACGGAATTCTGGATCGACTTCGCAAAATCCCTTCTTCGTTGTTTGGCTTTGCGCATGAGACTCATATTCCAGGCATTGGCTTTCCACCTCTTAAAAAACTTCTTGGCCAACAAGATAGCACGACATTCCCCTACTCCCAATCAGCATTCGCTCACCACACCGAGACCCAGATGGCGAAGACTGACTTGATTCCTTCCAAGACGATTCGTCGTCGAATTGAGTAATCGAGGCCTTGATGATAGGTCCGACAGTGAATTCAATGAAATGCTGTATGATTCCATTATCTTCAAGCAGCATATTTCTGGAGAGCTTGTTTAAAGCTACAGATCTTGGATCTAGTCGCGAAGGGGCGGAAGTTGATTTTTTCTGGCTAGGTTGAGATCCTGAAGACTTAATCAATGTCGAGCCGGGGAAAGCTCGTGAACTCGAAGTGGTAGGCTCTGATACTGAGGTCGGCCTTTGGATTTCTGCGAAAGGTCTGGTGGAGGACGAAGAAAGAGGCGACTGAAAGGTAGGAGCGGTATATGAAGGAAAGATTGAGGAGGGTTGCGAAGACCTCAAATTGGATTGAGATTCTGGCGTTAGCAGCAGAGTATCGTTGGATGGAGGAAATTTGAGAGGTGCTGCTGGAGGGAGATTTGTCTCTTTGGTGAGTAAATCTGACGGTGGGAATAGATCGAAAGGAGTTGATTTGGGGGCCAGTAGAGTCGTAGAAGTCGGAAGCTTGATTGCCGCATCTTTCTGCTGTGGAGCCGAAATGTTGGGAGTCTTTTCTTCCAAGGTTGGAAACGGGTTGGCCTTGCTATCGTGGGCCTTTGGCTCTATTCCGGCTGATTCGAACAATGGAGAGGTTCCAAACGAAAAGACAGGGGAAGCTGACGAGGCTGCTGGTTGATCAAAAATACCATTTGGTTTCGGAGGTACAGCTGCTTCATTTGAGGTTGGTGCTTTTTCGGCGACGGCCTTCGTTGGTTCTGGGGTCGTCGTAGCAGGAAATTTGGCTGAGGGTTGACCAAAGGTGGTTTTCTTTTCCACGGGTGGAGCAAATGGTGAAAGCACAGAGCTGTTGCTGTTTCCTTCTGTCTTGGGAGCCGACTGTGAGGGAAAGAAATTGAATTTTGGGGTTTCTTTGCTGCCCAAAATACCAGGGGTGCCTTTGGACTCCCCGGCTTTGATCGTGTCTGCATTTGGGGGAAATTTGAATTTAGGGGGTTCTTTGCTCTCGAAAGGATTATGAGCTGCTTGATTAGTAGGGTTGGAGTTGAAATCGAAAACAGGTGTCGAGTTGGACTGGATCTGCGGCCTGCTAGGCTTGCCAAAAGTTGCCGCGGCTGAAAAGGGGTTCGACTGGGCAGGAGCTGCGGATCCGGTTGATTTCGGATCGAAAGGCGTTGCTGTAGCGTTGAGCTGAGGAGCCTTGCCATTGACATCTCGAATCTTCTGCGGACTTCCAGATCTCGACTGGGATGATGTGCTTTCATCATCGGACTCGCCAACGAAAAGAGATTCGCTATTCGCCATAGAAGCAGTATCGGCATCTGAGGCTACTTCAATGAATCCTTGCGATTGTGCTTGAGCAGCACTTAATCCGTTGATCACGGCTGGTAAGTTTCGACCGAGCCGTTTTGATTCCACCAATCTTATGGAGAATTTGTGACTCTCCCAAGCATCGTCACCTAGAAGAGGTTTGCAAATGATCGAGGTATGTAAAGTGCGAGGACTAACCTATATCGTCCATCACTGATCCAACATCTATGAACTCAGTACCATCCTCTTTCTTGTGTATAACAACGTTGTTGAACCTGAAGTACTTGTGCGTCTCACTCTCATCATCAAAACCGAGAGCTTCCGCCAGATCTTCTAGTGTCCAGTCATCCATTCTCGTTTGACCAAGTCGTTTTGCCCTGTACGCCTTCGAGATAGCTTGCAGTGCTGTTCTTCGCACAAGCCCAAAGTATATCTCTGCAACGCATGCCATCATGTAGGAAACCGCGTTCGACTGCACCAACTTCCAGAAGCCTCCGGTATTTGCTTGCGCGGTTAGGAATAGAGTACGCGGCCGTAAGGGTCCTTGTTCGTCTGACGTATTCCCAGCCGCAGCATACAGCTTGAGCGCGATCTGAACCCGTGGATCCTTAAGTATAGGTCTTGGCAAATTCTGTGCGCGGTCCTCCAAGTCTGGTCGTTGGTCTTGGATCTCAAAGATGATGCAGTAGGCCCGGAATTCGGCTTCATTGAGCGAGGTTAACTTGTGCCGACTGTCATCGTAGTAATACATTAGAGAGAGCAGGGTGTTGTTCAGCTGCTCGCGTTCTTGGTGATGGTCGAAGCCAGTGCCCGAAGATTTTGACAGCTGGTGTAAGGACAGAATGTGGAAGCGTGCGATGCGCTCAAAGCAATCAATAGCAATTCGTAAGTCGTCTACCTTTGTGACTTGTTGGATGGAGAAGTCGTTCCGGATGCCTCGCGTACGGTCCCATACGAATTTGTGCACTTTGTGAAGAGACTCTGGTCCACCAATGACATCGTTGATGAGATAATCTAAAGTCTTTTGGAGAACAGCTGGGGGTCTAATATCAGATGGAAGTTGCTCGTCGTAGCCAGCTGCAGATCGTCGAAACCTCTTGACCATAATCTCTTCGGAGGGCACCATGGTGTCCGAATCCGACGACGGTGATATCTATGCCAAAAATCAGCACCATTATCCCCGTGTGACCTGTTGCCTATCTTTGCCCATACCTTCTCGCTTCCATCGACCATGAGTTGTACAATCCTCTCGACACGCTCATATTCAGGGCACATATCTTGGCAAGTCCCTACTGGTGTGATGGCATGGGCCAGCGAAGTTGGCTTGTCCGGGTCCGCGAGAAAGCCATCTTTGATTGCATCTTTCCGTTCTTGTTCTCGATTTTGTTTGAGCTGTGGGCACGACGGAAGGCCAAATGTCACTATGTATGTCTTCGTGTTAGTAGTTGTAGGAGGGAATACGTACCGTCTGATAGAGATCGCTCATGCGCTGCTTGTAGGTCCGGCTATCTTCCACGGCTGGGTTGCGCCAAGTCTGGCTCGACGGGTTCGACATTCTGCCTGCGTGACTCTGGAACGCCGTGGAGAGGGAAGACGAGTTCGTCCATGAGTTGTTGTGGTGGAGATCCTGATTGGGAGGTGGTTTGAGATGATGGGAGGATTGGCGGTCTGTTGTCGCATTGGTAGGCGCCCCCTTAAGAGGCTGCCTTTCTCTTCCCCCATGAGCAGCTGCTCTTGATCTAACGCCTGGCCGTGCATTTCCACGTCCTCTACTACCACTCCTGGAACGTGGCCCTTGAGGCGCTGACATTGCGCCAGTCGTCCAGCAGGTGACCACGCGGCAGAGTACATCAAGGTGCAATTCTCGACGAGTGTTGATGAATGCGATGTTGATTCGCGTTACGGAGAGACGAACGCTTTGATGCCGCCAAATGCGGAACGCTTGGTATGTCTTGGCAAGGCTGAACCTACGGAGCTTAAACGGCCCGAAGGCCTGATGAATCCTGTTCAAACAGTCTAACCATACGCATTATTTGCTGGTTCAATTGACGATGGTTGCTTGTGGATGGAGAGGCGATTATCATTGTACCGAAGTACATATTTACTCGTCGCTAGCTCAGGCGACGAAGAGGTGAAAAGCCATCACAAATAGATCAGCAGCTCCTAAAAGGCTTTACCTTCATTTCCATTCACCAACCTCACCAACTCATGATAGAAACCTTGCCCCTTCTTGCACAATCGTACGAGAGAGTCTACTGACAACATGTGCCATCACCCACTCTACTAGTTGATGACTCGTTCGAAGTGAACAATTATCTGCGACAGGCTCTCCAAATGCCCACAGCTTTACAGCTTCCCCTAACATCCGTCTCAACTCTTCACAATTGACAAAGAGCAGAAGCACAAAATGACGTACAACCTCTTCCCCTAGGTACCAAAATGCCGTCAATAACATTGCTCCCAAAGACACTGATGTCTATGCAAAGTGCAGTTCGAACGCGTCTATATCTTGGGTGAGCAGTGCTGTGATTCGTTCTTGTTGACCTTTCGTGCTGCTTGTTGGAGCCAAACCCACTGTCACCACCACCACCTGGTATTCAACCTCTCCAGTGATTGGAAATCGTGTGGAGCCGTTTCAAGCCTGTTGCATCTCTCGGCGTGTTATTCCACCTTGTACCTCTCTCTTTGGATTTTTCATTTAGCGCAAGTCAAAAGCTTCTCATGGGATCAATGATACATGTGAAGGCGACTAAGTTAATTCTCGGCAGACTCGGGCCTTTGTAGAAGGAGAAAGCTTTAGAATTTCGGCATGGGAATACCATATACTATTCGTGATTGGACAAGTCGGGAGGAGAGCTGGAAACACTGTCACGGAGATGGGCCACAAGTTTCCGTGCTCGACCGTTGAGACGTACAGAAATGTGTTCCACGGCATCAGATGCTGGGAGGTACGAATAATCGACGGTGGTATCTCCGAGCCTCAAAAGCAGACGGATGCAGAATAGGTAATGGAAGAAGTCTGTGCAGGACTCGACCCCCACTGACCGCCAATGCCATGGTAGCAGCAGGACGCGGTGAGACACATAGGAAGATCGAAAAGTCAATCGAGTGGAGTAAGGTGTCCCAGGTTGTTAGGGAGTAGACGCAGGATCGAATTCTACATACTCGGTCGAGCATGGTGGCGCAAAGCCCCTTGCACAAGTTGACATGGAAGGAAGACGAGCATGCACACTACTCAACAATCAAATCAATTACCTGCATCTGTCGGCGTGCATTTCCGCTCTGTTTTCCGGTTTCAGTGTGATCATTACTGGGTTTGGTATGGCATCAATCAGTGCCATTGATCACTGATACACATGCACCTCTCCTTCCTTGATAAGGTGATGGCCTAGCCCTGCAAGGTCTGTTGCCCTGCAGACTGAATGTGAGGTTATACCTAGCAAAGGCACCCAAATCACCTGCATCGTGCATGTGCACTAATCAGTGGTAGGGCATGATGCGAGGCACCTAGTCTATCGATTTCGCGGAAATCGAAAGAGTGGGTGTGGAGAGAGAAGGAAGGAGTAAGTGAAAGTGGGTCTTGCCGAGCCGAGAGCCGACCCAATATAAATAGTACCCTGCATGGGAATCTGCACGCCTTACTTTACGGAGTTCCGCATACCGATTGTAGAACCGGCTAACGTCCCTTTTCATACCTTATCCAGCGTCACTTGTGCGTGCATGTGCTGTTAAAAAGAAGCAGGAGCAGGACTGTGAAAGACAGGTAGCAGAGCATTCCCACTCGTTTACGCCGTCTAGCGACAGAGAGAGGGGAGAAAGAGGAAAAGAGAAAAGGGGCGAATGCCTAAGGAGAGACGTGTTTTCATTTATCGTGACTTTAAGCTACCCAATACTTTTCACGCACTACCTATTCCAATGAAAGACAAGATGAAGCAAGGTACTCGTAAAAATAGGAAGAAGAAAAGGAAAAAAGGAAAAACCAGTCAACAGCCAACTGTCCCAACTACCCTCTGTGATCTTCAAAGTACCGTGATTCCAAAAAAATTGTCATCCGTAGATACTCGCTTTGTGAACCAGCGTCACGTATTAACAGTAGGGCGTGGCGTTTGGCGTATGGAGGCGCTGGGGTACCTAATCGAAATTCCAAATAAATATCCTCGAGGGTGAACAGAAGCGAAGCAATAAATATGAAATCGTAATTAGAATCCATCTTTGGTGGAACAATAAGCGACGCGAATCATATAGTCGTAAAAGTCCGGTCCGAAAACTCTCAGCGAGCCAGCCGGGTCAAAAGAGCGTGGGTTAAATCGACCGTGAGAGGGAAAGATCACATGACAAAATCAGAGCTGTTGTTGATCCTGGAAGACCGGCTCAAACTTGTGCTCGGCGTCCAACGAGGTATGGGGGCGGAAGCCAGTGGGCAAGACTTGGTTTGCCAGAGCTGGATTACCACTGGATGGTGTGTTCAAGCTCAAGGGCTCGTACCATGGCATACCGACTGCCTGTAGGTTGAGGCAGTGTTGTACGTCCTCGTCAACGCCTTGATGGTACGGTGGCATTCCAGTCTGGTTCCCATCATTCCAGATGTCCAACGGCAGGCCGCTGGAGAAATTTGCGCCGCTATAGCCATTGCTAAAGGAGCCATTCGTACATGGCAGAAGAGAGGTGCTGGGACCAGGGACGGCCGAATACATTGAGGGTTCCGCTTGAGGGTTCCAGGGGTCGTCAGTCTGCCAGCTCGAGTACTCCGTACCTGTGGAGAAAGCTCCAACCAGGCCTGATGAAGACGCGACAAACGTTGGGGGACGGGCGTGTTCCACCCTTGTTGCGACGGGCCCGGCTGGAGGGCTGCGGGTAAATGCTCCGTTCGGACGCATTGGATTTGCGACTACCTGAGAGGCAGTCGACTCATGATCGTACTGGCGGCGTACGAATTCTTGGCTGGGGAAGCTCTGCATCCAGGAGCCAAAAAAGTTTGGGTGCGTAAAGACGGTAGGGTCTTGCGTTAGGTCTGCTGGTTGCGTACTCCAGTTTTCCTGGGCCGAGTTGTGGCGTTTTTGTTTTGGCGATGGCGAATCATAGAAAGGCAACCCATGCTGAATTGTGCGAGCTTTGCACAACCTAGGTTTAGGGGAACTCGCCTGTGGAGCAACCCTTTCAGACGACGAAGATGCCAGGTCTTCATCCCCGATTTGCACATTGATGCCCATTTTTGCAACAGGCGCATGACATGCTGTAGAGCTCATCACCTCTGGCTGAGGCTCTTTTTTGATCTGCTCGCGGGGTAGTCCTGAGGCCTTGACGGCTGACTTTGGTACCTTGCGAATTTTACGTCGGGTTCTGAGCATCCGGACAGATACCAGAGTACTTCCATCTGACGCAGTATTAGCACACCACGAGTGCCACCAGGTTAGTGAAACTTACCAATTTCACCCGCCTCATATTTCATCTCCATAGCCCTCACCCGATATATTTCCTTAAGGCGTTCGACACATTGCGTGGTCCAGCGCCCTGGATACTCCAGATGAATACCCTTGGTGCTTTTCGCCATCTTGTCAAGAGTGAAAACGCCATCCTTGAAACCTCTATTTTGACTTCGGAGAAGGTGGACAAGAAGTAAAAGTCTTTCTGGATGGGAAATTAGCTCCAACATCGGGGCAAGCTCATAAGTAGACTGACCAGGTTTCTTCTCGTGATCTGGCTCTATGTGCCGACACGCTGGCTCTGTTTGCCGACGCGGTGACGCTGTAAACGCTTTCCAACCTGCATCGGATGGCCAGTAATCTGGTTTGGTGAAGTGCCCTAAGTATCCATGCTCTGCCTGTGACTTCTTACTGGTAGACTTCTCACTGGTAGACTTCCCACCATTATAAGGGTGGGTAGTCTGCTTTCCTGGATGACAAAAGCGGATCCACAACTTCGAAATGTCCTTGCAGACAAGCTGGTTGATCGACCGGAAGGCAGGTTCGTAATAGCGAAGGAATACCTCGTCTATCCTGAACTGTTCCATTTCCGTTTCGGCACCTTCCAACTCATCGATTTCGTCCTCAAAGTCGGAGTCGGAGTCGGAGTCGTCCTCGGCGTTGTCCGCGTCCTCGTCCGCGTCCTCGTCATCGTTCTCGTTCTCGTCCACGGATTCGGAGTTGCAACCTGATTTAATTGCGGCTCGGCGGTTTTCAGCAGGTCTCCGCTTTATGCGTGAAGCAGGAGTATGGGAGCTGGAGCCTTTCCTCTTCCTCTTCGTGGTCTGACTACGACGATCTGCAATTGGCAGGCTGCGAGCCTTTCCGCTTCCGGAAGCAGTTTCTTCCTGATCAAAATCTACGAGCGTGTCAGTGAGATTGCTCACCGTTCACCACAGACCGTGTGAGGATACGGAAATGCTGACCTTCAACTGTATACACGGATGAGCGAGAAACTTGGCGTGTCAGGAGCTCCTCATCGTGAACTTCTTGGGGTTCCGGGCGCGTTGTGGTGGCCTGAAACACCTTGCCGGAGTCGAGACGGAACGTTATCTCACAGGCGTGGATGTTGCAGTGATCTATTAGAGCCTGTAGGGGAAGCTGGAGACTGTCACATCAGCATTGATCAATCAATGAGCAGTATCGGTTACAGACCGTTGACAACGCATTCGAAGAACCTTCTGTGACTGGGAGGCGTGAAGTCCGATTTGCATCATCATTGAATGAGTCGATGGTCGTCTTCGAAAGTGCCACAACTGGTCTGCAGGGACCCCTGTCCCCAAGTACTCGCTGGACCATGATGTCGAGTGCAATGGTCAGGCGACGTTCAGTGAAGTCCCTTGGGCAAAGGAATCGAAGCAAAGGTTGTAACGATTTTATGTTCGACGGTTTCTCTGGCGAGCTAAAGGCTCGAAAGAGTTTGTTGGACTTGTTCGGTACTGGATATGCTCGGGTTTTGTTGGTGCACCTAAAGCATACTGTATCTGTTAGTTGGAACATCGAGCAACAAGTGCAGTCCAATGATGATTTTCGGGCGAAGACCGAGATATGGAGCGAGCGTCTCGCCGACGCGATACCATCCCAAGGCCCAGCCAGGAGAGACAGAGAGCATCGTTTGTGTTGGGAATAACAAGTAGCGAAGCAGCAGAGTTCCACATCAAGACCTAGTCTGTTGTTTTGCTGGCAGAGAAGTTCAAGAGCTCAAGATAGGAAGTAAATCGGAAAAGTAGAGGTAGAGCGGGACTAACCAAAACAGAGAGTCCACAAAAGATTTGTATAGTAATGTTTTGCGGGACGCCGGTTATTCCCAGCAAACGAATTACCATTGGCGTTTTAACAACCCCAACATCTGACGGTCGAAAGACATATTTGTGTGCAAAATGCAATCATGGAATTACCAGAGTTTGTCCAATAGTAGGAATAAGGGGAGAGAGCAGAGCTTGGATAAAGAGGAAGCAAATTGGGCGAGGAAAGGACTTGATATGCAAGCAAGATGAGCTGAGATTGCATCTCGATCAATTCGCAGCGATCTCAGATCCTTGAAACAACATCTGACTGAGGGCGCACTAGGGGAAGACGGCTTGCATCCGTCAACGTCAAACACTGCAATTTTGAGCTCCCGCGGCCGTCATGTAGGAACAGGAGATGCTATCAAGCAACAAACTCATTTTACATGGTCATGGTTGTTAGTTGTGGACAAGGATTTCAAAATAAGACCAGTGAATATGTGCATCATGGCATGCAAGCCCTTTTTGGCGGCCTTTGCCGTATGCGGGGTCGGGTAATACCCCAGTCTTCCATGCGAGCATATCCGCGGAAAGTCATTAGCCAATGACGAAGTGAGACTGAGAGATGGTCATGGTTTTAGAAGCAAGCAGCTTTTCCGTGCACCAACCTGAGCTTACCTGTATCGCAATGCAAGTCATAACTTCGAAGCTCAGCAGCAAGACCCACGGCTGAAGGAGAACAACGAGGCGTTTTCTGTGAGGGACCAAATCTGAGAGTGCGTAAATATGCATTCTGTCCAATCGGCCGAGCAGCAGGATGAATATCCCCAAAGGAGCCCAAAGGGGACTTTTGCATGAGACATGGTCACATGAGGCAAAAGACGTACTAGTAAGCGAGTGCGAGCGCTTAGCGCTTGGGGACCATCGGAACCCTGCTTCCGATCCATCTTTCTACCAATTTAAAAGAAGGCAATTTTAGAACGGGAACAACGGTCAACGGGTACGCGGCTCGGCGACGGGCGACGGAATCCGTAGAACCTCGAGGCGTACTACTGCTAGTACCTCAAACCCGGATTTGAACGAGATCTCATTCATTGGAGACATGCACACACATTGTAGCCCCTATCTTCCTTGCAAATGTGGAGAGAAAACCCCGCCTGGTGCCGCCAATATGAAGTCCCAGAAAACTTCGCTACTGATGCATGTGATTTATTGCCGAAGCATTCCTTATGCTTCAACACTGTCGAGCAAGCCAGCTTCTTTGACTAATTCATAAAATAGTCCCCTATGACGGACTAAAGCCGAGGGAGTATCGAATTCTGCAACAGTCCCGTGGTTCAAAACGACGATCCGATCCGAGTCAATGATGGTGTTGATCCGATGCGCAATGGTTATAATAGTGCGGTCCTTGAACATATTGCTTCTCAGGGTAGTCTGCAGCATAGCATCTGTCTCCACGTCTACCGCTGCGGTCGCCTCGTCAAGCACTGCCAAGGATTGTCAGTAGACGTAACATGATTGACACATCATCAAACTTACCTAGAATGCTCGTAGGTGTTAGCAGTGCTCTGGCTAGGGAGACCAGTTGCCGCTGTCCTGCTGACAGGTTCGAGCCTGCTCCGATACGTCAGAAAATACTCCTGGAGACTCTACTTTATCGGATAACGTTAGTTGCAGACTCACCTCCTTCATTCACACCGGCTTCGAGCCTACCCTGCATGCTTGAGACGTGCTCTTTGAGCCGTGCGTGATCTTGCACGTATTAGTGCGCGAGCAGGAACAAGTCATCGGACAAGGCAGCAGACTCACCTAGCACGCTCCAAAGTTCCGTATCATCGTGAATGTGACCTGGGTCCAAGTTGTCTCGGATAGTACCTTCGAAGAGAGCTGCATCCTGAGGAATGATAGCCAGCCTGCCTCGGAGATCGAGAAGGCCAATGGTCGATGTGTTCAGGTCATCGATCGAGATGTTTCCAGCGTCAGGCTCAATGATCCTGAACAAAGCCAAGGTAAGGGAGGATTTTCCCGCTCCAGTACGGCCGACGACGCCGATCTTCTCGTGGGATTTAATATGGATGTTGATGTTTTTGAGGATCAGGTCTAATCCTGGTCGATATCTTGCCGAATAGTTGTTGAACTTGACAGCCCCTTGCCCAGGCCAGCTGATCTTGGGTCTGTGCTTTGAGATAACATCAGGCGCCTCGCTCGGTAGCCTAGCATACTCCAAGACACGTTCGACCGAGACTATGTTCGTCTCTACCTCCACAGTCTGCCTCACAATCCAATTCAGACTAGTGGTAATCTGCAAGGCATATGACATTGCTAGACCCACTAAGCCTGCTGACAAGCCACTGCCTGTAGAAACAGATATGATAGCAAAAGAAGCTGCCGCCAGGATGATAAAGGAACCGATGAACTCGAGTCGAACTGCAAGCCACCGGTTTGCATTGATGGACGGAAAGTACGCCCGAAGATTTGCATCCACCCGCCATTCGTTCTCTAAAGCAAACCTGCTCTGCTGGCGATAAGCACGGATCGTTGTGATGCCGCCCAAAGACTCTTGAAAATGTGCATAAATCGGACTTCTGCTAATGCTATCGAGGCGTTTCAGCTCCCTTGATGTACGTAAGTAGTAACGCTGAATGTAGAGGTAGACGGCTCCGAGAGGAATGATCAACGCTACGAAGACTGGGGTGGAGACAGCAATCAGGATGAGTGTGTAAAAGGCCCGAGCACTGTTGACAAACAACATGTTGAAGGTTCTCGCCAGCACCTCATCGACTCGGTAAATGTCACTGGAGAAACGATTCAGGATCCGTCCGGAAGGGGTGGTCTCGAAGAAACTCATTGGGGATCTGAATATCGCGTAGGCCATCCTTTCGTGGAGTTTACGCGAAGCCTCTATCGAGCAAAATATCCACAGTATGAGCGTCTGTATCACGACAAGACCAGCGCCACCAATTCCAAAGGCAAAATAGATTCCGATGTATTTGCCGACCTGGGGATTGCCACCGTATTCCTGATTGACCTCGGACCACTGCTTCAACCATAAGCTACCCCCAATTTGAGCCGTTTGTGCGCCAATGAGTGTGATCAGGTAGATGCACACAGCAATCAGATTGCTGGTCTTTGCATACTCCAAATATACGTTCCACTTCACTTTGCCTTGTTCAGAAAACTCTTTGCTCTGCTTTGATTTGACGGCTTCTCCTTCCTCATCGGTCACCTTGCCACGGGGGCCCTTGAATGATGCTGTGCTTGCGCGTCTTAACGTATTGCTGCTCGCTCTTCGCCCAGTGCCTGCGTTGGCTCGTATGGGGGGCCAGTTGAGTGATGCCTTCTTGAGCTTCGTCCTTCTCTTCCGTCAATGAGTCGCCGGTGCCTGTACCAAAGACAGTGTTGGATTCCTCACTCTCTGAGCTTGTGGAATCTCTGCTGTCTTCCACGCTAGGAGATGGAGTCTCTTGGTCTTCTTCATTATTGGCGGTCCTGATCAAATTTGCAACCTCTCCCTTCATTGCGATGAGCTGTTCATACGTCCCTTTTTCTAAGATTCTGCCATCACGAATTAGGGTAACGAAGTCCGCCTCAAAAAGTACTGGAATTGAGTTGGTCGCTAGTATTCTAGTTTTCCCCGCCAACAAACCTTTCGATCCGAGTACGTTCTCGATCAAGTGTCTTCCCACATGCTGATCTACAGCGGAAAGACAATCGTCAAAAAGGTAGACATCAGCCCGGGCGTACACAGCTCTTGCCAGAGTCAGACGAGCTTTCTGTCCCCCAGATAAAGATATTCCTCGTTCTCCCACCTCGGTCTGGTCTCCATCCGGCAGTGTCTTTAGGTCTTCAGTCAAAGCGCAGGCATTGATTGTTCGCTCGTAGAAGTGTGGATCCCAGCGATGGCCGAATACAATATTCTCCTTGAAGCTTGCATTCATGACCCATGCTTGCTGCGCCACGTATGCAGTACGACCATGTACAACGACCTCGCCATGAATTTTCCAGATGTCTCCGAGAATGGCTTCTAGGAAAGACGACTTTCCTGCTCCAACTCGACCTACAATACAGCTGAGTTCCGCTTTGCGCGCGACAAAATTGATGTTCTCTAAACAGTGGCGACCTTCATTACGATCCCATGTGAAAGTAGCATCCCGGACACGGACTGATTCATCCCCGTTATTTGCAGCCGCATCCTTCGTCTGCACGGCATTGGCTTGCAATTCCTCTGCCGTGAAGAAGCTAGTAAGGCGCCCTACTGCTACCGTGGCCTCGATGATGGACGTAATCACCATGGGAAGGATGGCCAAAGGGAAGCCGAGCATATTGAAAAGCGTTAGAGCCGGAAAGACAAGTTCCGTTGTCAAAGGTTCGTCTCTCGTGAGAACGAAGACGGTGAAAGTAGAGCACGATACCAGGAAAGGAGTCGTCGACCAAGTGAAGTTCGCAAAAGCTTGGGAAGCGCCAATCTTGCGGAGAGTCTTCAATTCCTGCTCGTTGCGGACGAAGTTGAGCTTGTTCATGAATGCTTGAGACCAGGCGAACAATTTAATGCTTTTCATGTTGTTTAGTATCTCCGTCACAAGCCGTGTCCTCGCATCCTTATTTTTCATCTGTTTCTTTTGAAGATTTTTCATGATCCTGGCAATCAACCCGTTGATAGGTACCATGAGTAACATAGCAGCGACACCTGCTAGCATGCTAATACCAACCAATTGATATAATGACAGCATACACAAAACAATCTGAAATGGTGCGGACCATAGCATCTGTCCATACTGCGTAAGGTCCTGTAGTCGTTGCGTGTCAACAGCCATGTAGTTAACAATGTCTCCTGTAGACTTTGAGGCCCGGCCTTCGTTCGATAATCGCATTGACTTGGCGTATATCATGGAAGTCAATGACGACTTAACCCTCATGCCTGTTTCAAAAGCACGCTGGAAATACTGGTGGAGCAAAGCTGTTTGTGCTACTGACACGGCAAACATAGCAAGCGAGATCGCCGCTCCTCTGATCGCAGGCTGAGGATGAGGATTGCCACCCCGATAGGAGTCAACGAAAGAAATCAAGAGCCTCAGCAATTGTGGCTGTACGAATGATAAAGTATCACTAAAAGTTTTGATGACGGAGCCCCAGAAGTAGGGCCCACCAAAACCCCGGAATAGAGCTATCCACAAAGACGGGCGTTTCTTTTCAAGCTCATCAGCCCATGTCTGCTCCAATATATCCCCAGTCACTTTTGTAGTATCCCTCCTTCTAAGATTCCATAGGTCATCCTGCGTGAGGTACTCCTTATACCCATATTTCATCATTGGGGTCATCCAGCTGAATGTAAGGATACTGAAAATATCTGCATATTCAATTGGACATTCGTCTTCGTCACCCAGCGCATCGTATGCGGACTGTTTCTTCGGAACCAGGTACTCCAGAGCGAATTCCAACACAGCAAGCCCAAAGCTGACACAGAATGTGACAAAGTATGGTAGCCGGGTTCGGAACGCTTGCTGTGAGATGAGCGACCGAAGCTTCACACCGAAAGCTATCAGCAGGAACAGCCAGTAGAATAGCACTATGCCATTTGGCTGCCGACTCCGCCAGTGCTCAATGTATTGAATGCCGCCAATGATTGCCAGCGAGACCAACGTGATGATTGAGGTCCAGAAGCGAAAGTCGCCGATCCATACCCCAGGAAGCGCATTGATCTGTAGGCACGCTTGAAGTGCGGTGGTGACGAGCAAAGCAGCGAGGACTGCGAGTTTGGTGTAGAAATGCCAGTTTCGAGTGACGGGTGACGGACTTCTTTTCTTCAGGAGCCACCAGATGGCAATTGCGCCAAATATGATGCCAAATGCCGCCACAACACTGATCCACACGTCGAGGAAGCAGGGTGTAAAGTCGTACCGGAAGGGGCTAATTGGGCCCCATCCTTCTTTATTACCGCAAAAAGGCTGTGTTTTCTCGTCTCTGGCTGCCGCACCGAGGTAATCTGGCCGAAACGGCTCCTGAATAACACTTGTAGAGAGGACCGTCTGCGGCACTGCTGCTGACCGCATGCTCATGCTCATGTGCAGTCAGTCGTTGTACCTGTACTTGGCTGTCTCGTCCCAGCTCCCAAGGCCTCCCGTCTCTTCTTCGAATTGCCTCACCAGCCTTCCACTAGCGGATGCACCTTATCAACGTGGTTAGGAGATATCCTGCAGCGGTCGTGTGTATGATAATTGCGACTCTATGGTGGTAGAGTAAATAAGTTTAAAGTGACGCAAAACCCACAGCTTATTCCATACATTAGTGTAAGGCTGACCAATTGCCGGCAGCAGTCGGCTTTCCTGGATACCTTGCCGTACAGTACAGTATACTATAAATACACACTACTCGGGATTCGGGATGCATGTCTTTCAGCTTCTTGGAGCCAACATCAGTCAAGTACTCAAAGCCAGGTTTTCAGATAGTGTACACTAGTGATAAAGATGCTCCAAAGATGCTCCAAAGGAATGCAATTCCTCCACGCTTACAGTCCGCTTATGGACGGGGTATCTCAGCAACAAAATCAAATGCTCGCGCGCTTATCTGTCCCTACTGCCTCTCTGATCTTCATCTTCTTCGTCGTCCTCCATAGTAATCTCGGGTATATAGCTCCCAAGCGAGTATTCTTGCTTTTCTTGGACCTTCTTTTGCCGGTGTAGTAGGCCGTTCTGGCCTCCGCGTTCTTTCATCTCTTGGCCGTAGTCATTTGTCCCATCCGGGTCAAGCGCCATAGAGGTAGGGTCGATCGTTGGTCCAGTGGCTCTGAGACTTGTTGGAATCACATCATCATAACTTCCAGTCACGCCAGATTTGCGAGGACTGATGCGTGGGTAGATAGGCATATGTGGAGGGGACGGACTACTATCATAGCCAGGTGGATTGGGATCAGGGTTGTCATTCGAGATCGCATCGTAGGTCCTATCATACGGAGGAGATCGATGATTGTTCATGTCAAGTTCACCATCGTCGGCCTTTCTTTTTGTTGGCGTGGCAGGCGCCGGTGGATCCAACCCATCCAGCTCTGCGCTGAAGCTGAGATTGTCTGCCCGGACGAAGTTCTGGCACAGTCAGTTTGTGAAGAGACGGTTGGAATTAGCATAGACATACATAGAGCGGGGACGGCAGATCCCCAGAATCATAAGAGATTGCCTTGTCATTGGCGTACACTAAGAGAGCACTCTGGGAGTCGGTACTCGCAGCCTTAAGAACATTGGCTTCGGTCACCTTCTGCAGACCATCAAGTCAGCATTTGGTCGGTGGAGTAGCAGCTAAGCTCACGAGTCTATTGTCTTCCGGCGTGGACATCGGGACCTTGACCATGATGGAAGGTAACTTGCCTTGGGTACCACTGGCTTCGTCTCCGTGCTCAAATACTGAATCTTCCACCACTGCCAGTCTTTGGCTTCTGTGCTGAGCATATCATCTTCTTCATCTGGTCTCGTCCTTTCGAGAACGTAAACTATGTTTGCACCTGTCGAGACTCCTCGAAGTGTGTACTTCTCATGAGGAGGCTGCTTTGGATCATTGGAGGCCATCGTGTACAGTTGCGAAATCTCTTTCAGCTTTTCTTGAGCACGATCTCGGCCTTCTTCGTAAGCTAATCAACATTAGTCAGCAGACAAGTCGTGATCACCGAGCTTTACATACTCTTCAACCTGTCCGATATACGAGCCGTCAACGCTCTGAGCTCTTTGGATACTGGGTCAGTATGAGCCTGGCTCTGCTCAAGACCTTCTTGAGAACGCTGCTGTGTCAACGATGGTTCCTTGGCGGCATCTTGGTACGCCTTCTTCCGCTCGAAATATGCAGCTGCTTTTGCAAGTAGTTTGGCAACGTCCATTTGTGCGCCACTCCCGGGCTTTTGGAATCTTGAGATTCCCGTTTGGAGCTTCTCCTCGTTCTGGAGTTGGGTCGTCACGGCAGCCTTACGAGCCAGCATATCTTTCGCTTGTTGTGTGTGTAACGGCAGGTACCGATCAGCATACCAGATGGGTGGGATCTCAATGCCGAGTCCAGAAACATTCTCGACCTGATTGTTAATCTCCAGTATAAAAACTTCTCCAACTTTCTCAAGATAGACCTCGTGGTCTTCTCTAGCGTCTACCCACAATATGTGGTCCAAAGCCTCATACAGCGTCAGCCCCTTGCCTGAGGTCTCATTATCGACGCTGACAGTAAGATAAGGGACATGCTCTGAGCGCGCGTCTTCTGGATTGTTGGGATCCAGCTTGGTCCCAACAGACTCAAAAATATTGGCCAACGGTGATCCAGAGCGAGCTGTGGCCGCTTGCCATATGCTCATAAAATTCGAGGCCTTCCCATCGTCTTGCAGCCCGACACTTTCCAACCCTGCCAAGGCGTTGGTGCTGCCATAAGCTCTATCGGTTTTGTCAAGGAAAGCCATGAGGCGTTGGGCTTCATGGATAACCTCATCCTCGTTGGTATTTCGCCCATCACCATCCATATTGACGATCCTCAGCACTTTCACCGGAGTCCCATCCCACCAGTCTTTCTCGTGACCGTAGTCCTGCAGCGTCCGAGTTCTGTTGAGCAGAGCCTCTCTTGCAATTGGTATTGTGTGAAGTATCTTGATGAGAGCTGATAGACGGTGACCCGTCGAAGGTGTCTTGAAGAAGGCTGGGGTGTTTGGCTGCCGCTTACGGTCATGAGGCTCGGGATTGAGCAGTATCTCTTGAGTTTGAGCTGCAGGGTAGGTCATCGCCCACTTATCAGCCTCGTAGTGTTCTCGATTTGCAGGACCAAACGTCTGCTTGCCATAATCAATCGTCCCTGTCTCTTGGCCAGGAAGAGTTTGACTCTCGCTCATCGATATCGCCATTGCCCGGTTCAACTCCTCATCTTCCGGCTCGTCAAAATTCATATTCTGAGACGCCCCTGGGTCGAACTGGTCAGCCAGCCTTCTCGCGAAACAATTTGAAACAAATGTTCTAACCAATGTCATTACCCCGTGTGCTTACTCTCGAAGGCGGTCTTGAGGGTGCGGTATCACTGAAGACATTGGGCTTGAGCGTATCGGGAGGATGGACTGTAAGAGCTTTCGGGCACAAGTCAGCTTGGTTGTTACACATCTGAAATAGATGCCCAATGATTTGCATGCATTATGTGTGACTAAGGAGGCTTACAAGGTTGGCCCTGGTTTTGGGGGCCCTCCGCCTTATCTGTATGAAATTGACTTTCATCATAGAAGACCTGGCTCTGCTGATTTTTGGTAAGCCACCAGACTTGGCGCATGCAAGGAGGAGAGCTTACCTGATCAAAAACAGCACTAGGGTCGTCAAAGTAGGCATTGATGGCCCTTGCGAGATCTTTGTTGTGAGCCTATGGCCGCATCAGCTTGACAATGGCTCGAAAAGTTTCCTGAAGTCGAACCTTTAGATATTGTATGGCTCTGCTGGGGTGAGCACTAGTGACAGCGACGAAGCCTTGGATATCTTCGTCGCTGGGCTCGTAACTGGACGCCATCGCAGTAGCACTGCCATTCAGGTAGGACCACACAGAACGATCATTACACACTGCAAGACAAGAGCAGAAAGCAAAAAGAGAAGGTCATACGGGCAAACAAAGGACAGAGTGTTGGCTCCGCAGAAAATGAGAAAGGTAAGGTAGCCAAGGTAAGTAGGTTGTGGAATATTCCGAATGTCAGACGGCGCGGGCCGCATTTACAAGTATCCGTAAATGTTGTGTTCCGCGCCATGCATATGGAGGCTGTTTGTATGTAGTACCAGCTTTACCGAATTAATTGACTTATAATGTAGTATTGCATATAAAGTATGGTTCCAAATGACTATTTTGAAACCACTGGGGTTTTTGGTCATATAAGGTACCTTACCCGTAGGTATTTCTGAGACGGTATATATATTACTTAGTCATCTATATAGCCAATCAAGTACCCCCTCCAGTTGCCATGCTTCTACCACCACTATTTATTATCCTCGCTCTCTACATCTGACTCAGGATTAAGTAGAGCCTCTTCGATATAGTCCATACAGTAGATAGACTCGATATCTATAGGAATAGACTTATTGAATGAAGGGTGATGCGATTGAGATAGTGAAAGTAGTGGAAGTAGCTGAATAGATAGAAGTTGAGGTGTTGATGGAGAAGATACCTGAGAATTACGTCTCTACGCGGATCAATTTGGTAGGCAGCACGCTATTTATCTCTGTTTCCCAGCTTATTAACTAGCGGCGACAGGTATAAAGTCCTACTGGAGTAGTCTTGAACAGATTTGCCCCTGCGAATCACACCGGCGAACCGTGAGAGCTTATACGAAGGCTGGGGCCACTCATGAGGCGTAAGTAGGCAACAGTCTGCGATACAAGGATACGAGCATCGAAGGTTGAGAAATCACCCCACTGACATGCTTTCAGATCGCCGCGATGGTGGTTCGTAATTTGTAGTCCTCAACATTACTTTCTGTCTTCGAGCGGAGTGCCCGAGCCGAAGCCCCAATTCCGTGTACACTGCAACAAGGTCCCGGCCGATTCCGCAGATTATGTTCCCCTTGGCCTTAGGAAGCTCCATCAAGCTTCAAAGAGAGGTTTGACGGCTCGAAGGATCGAGATAGAGACTGCCTACAGGCTGGGAGGGTCTTGAGGTTGGCGAGGAAGTATTTCTCATCATAGTTTGATTAAAACACATCAGGTCTGGTCCATGGCCTTTGGAGCCACGAGCGACAGATCAAAGCTAAGGGACGAGAACGCTTTGTGACGGCTTGCTTTTTGAAGATAAGGGATGGATGTAGAAGCTGGCCGCAGAGTAGACAAAGGGACTCTGAGCAAGTCCACCTTTGTTCCGAAAGCACTTCGCAAACATAAGAAGGAGACACTGCTTCATTGCTGGTTTGTAGTACAAATACAATTCTGTCAATTGATTTGGCATTATTGCTTGCTCCTGAATTACCCAGGGCGCCTATCGCGCTTAAAAAAGTCGCCGAGACTGAATATTGAGCCGAGAGGATGACAAAGTCCAACAAGTGGACAAAAGCATCCTCGCCTCCCTCAACGCCCTCACCTATTCCAAAGCCTCCAAGTGTAGCTGACCCACAACGCATGCTCCGTCGGCCCCTCTTGGTCGCCTCGCTCGGCAATCCACCCCCACTATACAAAAATACCCTTCACTCCGCCGGCCACACACTACTATCCTCCCTCCAGCAGTATCTCTCCTACCCGCCCTTCGCCAAAAGCCGCCCTCACGGCAACGGTCTTTTCTCTAGTGGCAATGATATCACCCTCTGGCAATCACCCACTCTGATGAACGTCAGCGGCCCAGCCGTTGCTACTGCCTGGAAGACCTTCCTACGAGACCTGCCAAACGAAGATCGCACAAGGGCGAAGTTGGTCGTTGTACACGATGAACTAGAGAGTCCGCTGGGGAAAATAAAGCTCAAGGTTGGTGGGAGCGCGAGGGGGCATAACGGGCTCAAGAGTTGTGTAAGCAGCCTGGGAGGCATGGCATTTTCGCGGATTGGAGTTGGGATTGGTAGACCAGAGAGTAGGGAGAGCAGGGATGTTGCGAACTATGTTCTGAAGAAGATGAGTGTGGTGGAAGTGCAGAAGGTCATCAAAGGGGTGGAGGAGGTAGTAGAGATTCTCATGAAAATGCAGGAAGAATGATTCTCTGGTATTAAATGGACAATCAAAAGTTCAATTCATATCAAGATTGAGACTTACTGCCTTGTCATCGAGAGCAGAGTATTAGTGGGACAGGTGTGTGGTTTATATCCACCCAGTCAAGACGGCTGAACTTATCGTCGAACTGATGTTGCTCTTCACAGCACCAGATATCGAGGCACAGGACAAGCATCTCCAAGCGGCCACTGCGTCCTAAGATTGATGCAGGATTGCGAGACCGACCCTTTGGAGGATTCGGCGATTCACAAAGCTTTGGGGTTTTCAACTGACCTTTTCCTGCCATGTGTGCTGGGAATATTGCTGGGAATATTTGGCATGGATCCTGCCCTTGGGGTTCGGAATCAGATAGACTTAAGCTTACGACGGAGAACAAATCATGTATATGGTAAAGACGAGCTCCCCTAGTACAGTCAGACGTATCTTGGATCCGGGTATTGACTAGGCCCGATGACAAGGCGGATCGGAGATTTGGCCGAGACAGGTATTGAAAAATGGTTAAAATCGGATTTAGATGAAATGGGGTATCATGCTTTCAAAATATCTGCGATCTCGGTTACTCTCCCTTCCCTGCAGTCTTCGGCGTCCACCCTTCCCTCAACCCACTCATCCGTGGTGTCTTCCCCTCCCGCGGCGTTGCGCCTATGCCTCCAATCTTAGTGATCAACCTTTGCGCCGCAGGAGTCATCCCACTTTTTTTAATCCGCGGACTGCTTGTAAACCGTGGTACTGGCGTCTTCAACTCTACTTCTCTTTTCCCAATTGCAGCTCGCTTTCCTTTTGCCACTTTGTCTACCATGCGATGATGCAGTGCTTCTCGCTTGCTGTTTTCGTGGAGCTTAAACGGGTTGGGGTTGCTATCTCCACTGCCAAGGAGGAGGGGAGAGGGGCTGTCGAATGATGGGGGCGGCTCTGGCTCGGAGTCGACAAATGCGTAGCCGTTAACGCGAGGCGTAGACGCGCCGTTAAATGATGCCTCAGAGGCGGTGGGGCGAGGGCGACCTGCTATGGCGTCCTGGACTGCGGAGAGGGACGGTGATGGAGGGATATCATGTGAGGATTCTGTGGTAATTGGAGGGGGAATACGGGTATTGTCGTAGACTACCGTTCTTGGGGGAGCCCTCGAGGTTTCTTCGTTCTTCTGGGTGACTGTCTGGGTTGTGTCTTCAATAGATCCAGGAGCGAACATGAACGGGTTGTCGGGACGAGATGGCCAGGAGTCAGGCATGGCTTTCCGTGTGTCTCGGGGTTCGATAGTAGCAAGCTCCTTCCCGTCCTCAGATTCTTCTGAAGCTTTGTTGGCAGCAAGGAGCCGCTCTCGTTTCCGGTGGGCGATCTGGCGGGCAGCAGGGATTTTGTTGCCAGCCCACATCCAGGCATACTTTTCTGCTCTCTTGAGATTCTGTTTGTCCAGGAGTTTGTAAAAACTTTCATTGTCTTCACTTGTATACCTCTGCTGAAATGCGCTGAGACTCATGTTCGTGTCGACCTCTGGTCCGTTGGATTGAGTGCTGGCGGTGCTTTCGGCCGTGGACACTATTGACATAGGTGTCTCACCTTGCCATGCTTTCGGCGTCTCACCACCCCTCCCGTAAAGTCCAGACGCCGGTGTCATGCTCGTGCCTCTTCTTCCCCGCAGTCTTCTCCCATCTGGTCCAGGTGTCATAACCTCAGTGAGCTTCCGCCCCGCAGCCGCAATCCATTCGTGATCTTGCGAGTCCAGCGCATTGAGATAGTCTTGCTTCGACTCTGTCTCCAACAATCCAGGAAAGAAATCTCGAGCTATGATGTGTGATAGAGCCTCCGTGTAATCGTCCTCGTCAAGAACCTTTGCGGGGCGTTTTATTCGCTTTGGAGGTGGCGGTGGGGGCATGAGCGAGGTGTCGAAGGAACGCTTGGCGAGCGCCTTTGAATGGGAAGTCAATGCCATGATATTGCCGCATTTCTCTGTTCTCCTACTGAGCAGTTCAAGGGGTGGAGAGCCAGTCCCAGAAGTTGAGTCGGTTTGGTTGGTGAAAACTAATCAACTCAACGTGAGGATAGAAAGGGCAGCCGCTGCCGAGCACGCTAGGCATCCGGCGCTAATGCATCTCGTCGATCTCCCTCACCAAACTCAATGCCATCCTCACCATTTGTACTCAGCAATGGCATCTGTCTTAGAGGCCGAACCACTACCGCCAAAAGGAAGGATTACCATCCGCAATCCACCATTCACATACCTCCACCTCGTCCTCCTGTCCTCCAGCAACCCGCTTCCAATTTCCAACTCGCCCCCTATAGACATTCTCACAGCTCGAGCGCACCTCACCTCTGCTCTCAGTCAGTTTCTCGGAATCACGGGGACAGCTATCCCGATTGACTTTCTCAAACATGAGGGCAGAGACGTGTGGATAAGGGTTCCAAGGGAAGATGCAGCTGCTGTTGTGGGTGCACTGAGCCAGTGGGTTGGGAAGGACGGTGGAGTTAGTTGGAGGGTGAAGGGGAAAGGGCAATGGCTGGGTTTAGTTGCCGCAGAGGACGGGCATGAACTCTTCCAACCTTGAAGATGCCGAGTATTCGAGACATTGGTTCTGGGCAATGTGGGCTTAAGGAGCTTTTGGCACTGAAATCATAGCTGAGAGTGGAATCCTATGATTGATAATTCTATTGGTATCCGTGATGTCGTGTAAGTTTTACATCTCGAATGCATGATCCACTCATATCTACTCCAACCACCAGTTATGCAAGATGGAACGCCAAATTTTGATGCAGATTCGCTAACGATGATGATACCAACCAGTGCTCCATATGTTGTAGGATATACCATCTACATCATGGACATAAGTGAGCTTTGGGCATATGCCTGTTGGGGCACTGTCAGTTTTACTCGGAAGGCAGCAATCGACAGAATGACATACCATGGGCTTTATATCAGGATGCGGAACGGCATCAAATTTGTGGAATTCGAGCTTGTGCTCCGGCCCAATGTTGATATATGCTCCTTTGTTCTCGGTACTATCGCAGTACTTGGGTGCTGAAAAGACTGTAATGCAGTGTCCATCATGCTCCACCTCATACCCTTCCATTCGGACCTCGTGGCTTCGGATGACAGCTTCTAGACCGTTCGCCTCGCAAAACCTCTTGGTGACATCCGGACCAAATTGCAAGCCCACGCCTCTCTTGCTAGGGCCCCGACCAGGCATGGGCTGTGGATCTGTCCAAAGCATCTCCATCATTAGGCCTTGTTGTCCAGGTTGCCGTTGCTGATGTCTATTGAGTTTCCGAACGTCGTCAAGTGAGATCTTGTCATCAGAGAACAGACCACCGTGTAGTGTGAAGAACTTTTTGCCGATCAGAGTCGCAAGAGGTAAAGCAGAAAATGACTCTGAGAATAATTTGAACACTCGTTCTGAGTACTTGGCTTTGCATTCGCCTTCGAATCCATATACCCTGTTCATGTCGTCCGTCTCGTGGTTGCCACGATTTAGGAAGAAAGCCTTGGGATGTAACCATTTGTACGCGTAGAGAAGGAGAGCGATTTCCGTGGACCAAGAGCCTCGATCGACAAAGTCGCCGTTGAAGAGGTAGTAGTGGGATTCGGTAGGAAAGCCGTTGAGCCTGAATAGCTCCATCAAGTCGAAGAATTGACCATGGGTATCTCCGCAGACGGTTAATTGATGTCCTTTGTGCACCTCCATCTCCACCATTGTCGGTTCATCATAGACGATCTTCCTCACCGCTGCTATTATTTGGTAGACGTACTTCCGGTGCAACTTCTTGCCATTCTTGAATCTCGAGATCGTGTCATCGATGAATTCTTGCGTCATTTCCTTCCCCAGCTTAGCTCCATCGTAACTCGGATCTACGACCATAGAATCTATGTCCAGTCCCTCGAATGCAGATGGTGGGTCCCCAACTTCGATCGCCCTCAAGAATTCCACCCTCTTGACCATTTTTTCGCATTCTGCAAGCTTGAGCTTCGCATCTTTATTGCTCGGCTCTAATCTCACGACGGCTTTGAAATCTTTGACGGCGGCACGGGAGTTGAGGATGGCGGTGTTGGCGACTGCTCTCCGATAATATGCCTGTAATGATCAGTAACTGTCACTTTCTTTCTCGATGAGAAACATCACATACTTTGGCGTAGCCTGAATCAAGCTCGATGGCTTTGGTTGCGTCAGTGATGGCATAGCCATACTGCTCGAGTTTGATATTGGCCTGAGAATCATTCACGTGAGCGAAGAAAGTCCAACAAGTCTGCGATTCTGGGCGAAATAACCTGCGCTCTATTGCAGTAATAGGATGGATCTTGGTCGTACATCTCTATAGCTTTTGTGTAGGAATCTATAGCATTCAGCCATTCATGGCTCGCAAAGTATTTGTTGCCCTTTGCTTTCAGCTCGGCGGACTCGTCTTTCGGAGCCATTTTGTGAGGTTGTGATACTCGTAAGAATGGATGGTCTGAAGTAAGCCAATTTTATAGATTAAGAAGTGGATAAGTTTTACAATAACGAGCAACTCCGAGACCCAGTCTTCCACCATTCTTGTACTCTAGATCGGATATTCTTCGGTTAAATGCCGCTAACCCTTTGCAGGCGTGCTCTCCTTCTCCTTTCAGCCTCTTACTCCCTACGGTGAGCGACACCTTAATTCTTGATGAACCACGTTTTGCGTGGGAGAATTTAAACCTTCATAATGTCATCCGCCTTCGTTCCAGGGTCGCAACAACGCTACCTTCGTGCTTGTATGGTCTGTTCTATCGTTCAAACCCATGCTGTGAGTTCACTACGCTCGGCTAGGTCCCTTGTCCGTCTGGAACGAGGCACTACTTCTACCCTCAGTGAGAAACTATACTGAAGACCGCGTGTTTCTAGCGCTTCCTACGTGACGGCTGCCCGAACTGCGAGTCTTTCCTAGGTCTCGCCAACTCCTCCGACGCCGTTCAAGAATGCACATCGCAAGTCTTTGAGGGACTAATTACGCTCGCGGATCCCACAACTAGCTGGGTGGCTAGATGGCAGAGGTTGGAGGGCTGTGTAAGTGGGGTCTATGCTGTCAAGGTCGTTGGAACGGTGAGTGGGAGCATAAAAAAGCGTCGGAGCCCCTGGTCTTGTGGGGCAGGCTAGAGGCAAAGGCAGGAAATCTATAGCTCAACAGTAAGAGAGGATTACGAGCAATGCTGACATTTCTCCTTGCTACAGTTACCAGATGACGTCAAGCAAAACATTGAGGATGCGGGAGCGAGATATATTCCGTATGTAACGAGACTCTCTGAACCTACTGGGCGAGCATGCTGATCCAGATGTAGGAGAGATGGTACTGCCGATGATGATGACACAGGATGATCAGGTCCAGGATCAAGAGACTGATGGGTTTGGACCACTATGCAAGGCGCTTTGGCATGGATACATTGATTGCGTGGTTCATAGCGTATACCCGGAATAGATCCTTTAAAAGCTGCTAACGAAGAAGGGTCCTGATTGGCTTGGATTTTTGCGTTCGCGAAGGCAAGCATTGACAGGACTTTTTCAGAGAACCATCTTTCTCGCTTGAGCACTGGGATTTCATACCCGCGATGTTTTCTACGGGCCACCTCTCCGTAGCTTCTCATCAGGCTGTTGATCCAGTAGGCAGATTAAGAGCTTTTCGTCAAATCGACACCTATTCATGTTGAACCGTTAGGCCTTGTTTTGCGGACAAATATCTTCCTTCCGATGGACACACTTTCTGCTGTTCTGTGACAATCAGGCCCAAGCTCTCGTGAGATTCGATTATTTCTAATTATACAGTGCAGGTCAAAAAGGTGTCTAATCTATGTAAAAGCTGCGAAAGAAACCCTTTTAATGGCTGCAGAATTTGGGGTTTCATGCATCGAGAGAAAAGAAAGAAATGGTCTGTCGAGGCTTGATAGCCGTGAGCGTCGTAAGGCCATACATAAGCGTATTCCAAGACGTTAAAGTAAATTGGCCGTGTGAAGGGTCGAGGCAGAAAACCGAACGAAATGCTAGATGGATAGCCGCCAACGCTGATATTTATGAGTGTGTTGTCTTACGCTCAAAGTTGCAGGACAATAGCCGCTATCTTATTTCGGTCCGCATAAAATGCATAGTGTCGTGGAAAGTCGTTGACCCCGAATAGTCGCTCCCGCCTCTTTCTCATAGAACTTGCTGTTATCCTGTTGTTGCTGGGTCTCTTATTGGCCCCTGGTATGATATGAAGTCGTTCTGTGGTGTGAAGTCGTGCTGGAGTGTCATAGTGCTCTGAACAGTATCTGGCGCAGTAGGCTCTGCATGCTCTCGCATATCAGCGGAAAGTCTCTCCCGGGCCTCGACCTCCGAAACCTGGGTCTCGGGAATAGTGCTTTTGACGGGTTTGCCCTCGTCGATTCGCATCTGATCCGCAGCACGCGCTGTTGCCTCAAGAGCAAGACTCCTAGCAGAAGGCTCAGAAGCTAGACTGCTTGCCTCTTCAGGTGCTACTCCCGGCTTTTGAGCTTTCTCCTTGCCAGTAGAACCTTCGCCTGCAGCGCCAACCTCGGTCATGCTAGGGGAGGCCATGCCCTGGTTTGGCGCACCCTGTAGTGATGGTCGCGGGGTCTTCTTCCTCTTTGGAAGGGGTTGATATTCTTCTCCGCGCGCTGCAGCTTCTGCAACCTTGGCTTCGTATTCTGCCTTACTTGGACGTCCTCGCTTCTTCTTCGGTGGTCCCCCAGAAATCGAAGCTGTAGCGCCTTGACCAGTGGCAGGATCGCTCGAAGTGTTTACTGGAGGAAAGTTGAATGGCTGTATCACTCGGTCCGCTACTGAGGGAACGTTTTCGCCGGGAGCTGGACGCTTTGTCTTTGGCTTCGAAGCACTCTGCGGGGACGGTTGTTCGAAAGCGACCATAGGTTGGACAGGGACCGTGAATCGAACGCGGGCGTTTGCTAGGAGGTGTTGCCAGACTACTATGCATGAGGAGACGGAGCGACCTGTAAGCAAGATATTCAGCCCCTGCCAACTCTTCACGGTCCATTCCCTGCGCACCATTTGGCAATGCTATCTCGTACCAGCTAGGCTGAATACCTCTTTCTTGAATGAGGTTCATTAGGTCAAGAGGATTTATCGAAGAGCTCTTGAGGATCTCAGCGAGAAAGTAACGCTGTCCCACATTAGTCTCAGAACATACCACAGCAGGTCAGCGTATGAGGACATGATGGAACAGCAACAGGAATCTGAGGGGCTTGTAGGGTCACTTACTACTTCGTTATCGCCAAAAGGCTGCTCCATAGCAGCCATTGCGAATAATGATTGTGGTTTGATTGTGGTTTGATAGGGCCTGAGCCGTGTGTAGAAAGCGCAGGAGGGTGCAAAACTGAGGAAATAGAAATGAAGATTCAAAGAGTATTACGGATAGTACGGTTGGAAGGAAAGTGATTGAGGGTTTGATTTGTCCTCAAAGGTCATGGAAGTAAAGTGCATTAAAGATTGGGAGTAACGACTGTTGTTGTGACAAGGCACGGCGAAGTTCAATAGACTCCAAAAGAAGGAAAGCTGAGACGTGGCCAAAGAGACAAGAAGGAGAGAAGAATTAAAGAGAAAATGGGTCACGCGGATTATAGGATGTTGCAAGTTAAAAAGTGCTCTTTGGCCATGAGAGCTCCCTTTACCTCGTAAGTAGCTTTCTGTCGCTGCACGACCAAGTACCAACGGGATTTTTTAGATTTTTAGCCGCTATTCTCTGCCTAAGAAACGTGGCCGATGCAAGCTTCCCTTTCTTGAAGCTTCGTTTGCTTCGTTGCTTTTTCTCAGCAACACACATGGAACATTTCAATGTGTCGCGGACAAACTCGGCCTCGAGAAGCGTGTCGGATTTTGAGGGTATCCGGAAGAAGTATCCCAATGCCTTGGTAGGATTGGTCAACCCATCTGCCGAATCGGAGAAGAGAGTCCTCTGCAAGCCCCCCTGACTAGCTTTGAACGATCAGACCCTCGAGCCCTCGACCTCGTTCTGAATGAAAGTACATGGCTTCCATATGTACGTGCTGGAAGATGCAAAGGATGGAGGATGGCATGGTTGGAATCGTCAAAGTGTTTACAAGTTGAAGAATTTCTGCTTCCCTCGGTCATATTATTATATACTACTGGTTCCCCACGGGAGAATGCGCGAAAATGGTCGCGACCAACAGTATCGAGACACATCATCATCATGCAACGTGGTTTCCTTTAAGTCTTAGTCCATGTACCTCCCTCATCCTCATCCGTCAAGTGTTTGGCCAGGCGGTGCGATTGAGACGAGCGATTGTTGCCTGTGCTATGAGTACTATCAGGTATCGTTCTGAAGCCATTGCACTTGCTCTATTCTTCTTCTGAAATCCATGTTGCTTAGTTGAAGCGCAGCGCTGGCTATGTGTGTGGTGCTTTGCCTTGCATCTACCATTATGCGCTTCTTGAAATGCCATGAACACGGCTCGTTCCTGTATTTAGATTTCGAAAATAAATCAATTTCTATAAATTTCAATATTCTGGAACTGCTAGGCCGTACTTGCCGAGGAGGTGTGAATCTCAAAAAAGCCGAAGCGTTTCCCAATTCACCTTCATCACGAACTCACCCGTGAACTGAACTGACCACCAGAGATCGAAAAGTTGTGGGACTGTGAACAGTGAATGCGATAGAAAGTTTGCCTTTGCTGTGTGCTCCAGTGGGATTTGGGTGAGATCTACCTACATTTAATGGGGCTAGAGACCTGGTGAGACGGCCCTGGGAAGCAATACTGGTTCTTTCAAAGCTACCTACTGCATTCACTCTTTTCGACACGTGAATGTATCAGAGTTGGCTGTAGTTATTTGCTTGGCAACATTGCCCGTCCTTCATTCGTATCATCACGGTCTCTCCCTCCAGTGGCATGTGAGCAAGGAAAGAAAAGAAGCTTGCAGAAGATCGTATGCCCTCACAAACGCGGTTACCTGTCAGTAGAGTCTGGATCACTATCCTGTGTTTGCCATGTGCGGGGATCATCCTCAGCGACCCTTCAATCGCCATTCATCATTCACCGTATTGCAACCTCACCCTCAACACTCCTTTCATCGTACCGCCTTATGCCGAGGCCCACCACCATGACGGAACCCAAACGATCAAGAAGACATAAGATCTTGGAGAATAGGGTTGAAGAGCTACATTTGGAGAATGGAGATGCCCCGGGCAGGTTGGGGAAAGAGATCAAGGAGGAGGCTACAAATAGCGACGGGTCCTCACCTAAGGATACTTCCATGAAATCCTTTTCACAATCGCCCATAAAGACAGAAATACCTACGCAGTCACCTTCTACGTCAAGCGAGAAGCATGAGGAGGTCGTGGGTGGCGAAGTGACTGTGAAGCTGGAGCCAGGTCATCCCCCCAAGCTCGCTCGCAGCACCTCCCACAAGATTATATCTAAGCCAGCTCCTTTATTTCACGATCACCCGAGTAAGACCGAAGAGTCCAGACATACCTTCCAGGTGCTAGAACAATGTTCCTACACCTCGAAGTACATTGGGTCTACGGAGCATGGCTCTATGGATTGCGACTGCGCAGAGGAGTGGGGTAAGCCAACTCCACATGCTTGTAACCCTGTTTGTGCAGGCATACTGAATATTCGGTATAGATAGCTTCACGAAGACCAACTCAGCATGTGGGAACGACTCAGACTGCATCAATCGTGCGACGAAGATGGAATGTGTCAGCGATTGTGGATGTGGAGCTGAGTGCCAAAACCAAAGATTCCAACGACGACAATTCGCAGACGTGACGGTCTTCAAAACAGAGAAGAAAGGTTATGGTCTACGAGCTGATACAGATCTTAATCCTGATGATTTCATTTACGAGTATATTGGAGAGGTCATCGACGAAGCCCGCTTCCGCCGCCGCATGGTCCAATACGACGAAGAAGGCATAAAGCATTTCTACTTCATGTCCCTCACGAAAGGTGAATTCGTCGATGCCACTAAGAAAGGCAACTTGGGGAGATTCTGCAACCATTCCTGTAATCCAAATTGTTACGTGGACAAGTGGGTGGTGGGTGAAAAACTTCGAATGGGTATCTTTGCTGAGCGGAAAATCAAAGCCGGTGAAGAACTTGTATTCAATTACAACGTTGATAGGTATGGTACTGATCCACAGCCTTGCTATTGTGGTGAGCCCAATTGCACTGGCTTCATCGGTGGTAAGACTCAAACCGAGCGTGCAACTAAATTGTCAAATACAACAATCGAGGCCCTCGGTATCGAAGATGGCGATGGTTGGGATACCGCCGTCGCGAAGAAGTCCCGCAAGAAGAAGGTTGGGGAAGAGGATGAAGAGTACGTCAACAATGTCCAACCCAAATCCCTGGATGAGGATGGCGTCACCAAGGTCATGGCCACCTTAATGCAATGCAGGGAGAAATGGATCGCCGTCAAGCTGCTAGGTCGAATCCAGCGCTGCGATGACGAACGAGTGCGTAATCGGGTCGTCAAGATGCATGGGTATCAAATCCTCAATTCGACCCTAATTCTATGGAAAGAGGACTTCAACGTCGTTCTACAAGTCTTCGATATCCTCGGCAAATTCCCTCTTCTAACACGAAACAAGATCAACGACTCCAAGATAGAAGCAACTGTCGAGAGTTTGAAAGATTGTGGCGATGACATGGTGAATTCACAAGCTCAGGGGCTCTTGGATGCATGGAGTAAACTCGAAGTCGCTTACCGCATACCTCGTAAGAAGCGCGATGTACTAAACAACACGACTACCACCACCCCGGAATTTACGAATCGCTCGGGACGGCGGGATTCAAGTCGCGAAGAACGAAAGGCGCGCTCCAGGTCCCGTTCACGATCGAAGTCCAGGTCACGCTCACGATCAATCGACGCTCCAAAAGGACCAGCAGCACCCAATGGCCCACGGTCAAACTTCCCTCAGCGAGGTCCTGGTTTCTATAATGGGCCCAGAGGTTCCTATCGGTCGCGACCTTTCGGTGCGTTGCCTGAAGGCTGGTTTGCGGCGCAGGATGACGACGGCAGGACGTATTACTACGATCTGAGTGGCAAAACGACGTGGCAGAGACCCACGATGGTAGCGCGGCCACCACCCCCCTCCTAAACCTACTTCTACAAACAAAGCGCTTGAAGACATAATCAACCAGATCACGAGTGCGAAAGCCAATACTCCGAAAGAGAAACCAGCACCCTCGGCGACCCCGCAGGCCGTCAATGGCAACGCAAAAAAGGATACCAAAGGTGGCCCAGAAAAGTGGCGTACTTACGGGGAAGAGAAGCAGAAGAAATTATATGAGAACACGGTAAGCCAAGAATGACTAGGCGTGAAATGTTACGCAGATGCTAATAGAGACAAAGCTGTTTCCACATATCAAGTATGTAATGGACAAATTCAAGGGCAAGCTACCGAAGGACGATCTGAAGCGTTTCGCGAAAGAGGTGAGACCGTACTGATGGATGCACCGTAGATGGTTCGCTAACAGACGGCGTGCGAAGATTTCGAAGAAGCTTGTGAGCTCGGATTTTAAGAACCATAGGGTAGAAGATCCCACCAAGATTTCGTCTCGACAAGAAAAGCACGTGAAGAAGTATGTCAAAGACTACTTTGACAAAGCGGTTGCCAAGAAACGAGAGCATGAAAAGAACAAAGCCGAGCGAAGGAGCAAGGAAGGAGAGTCGGCAGCATCACCTACTTCGGCAACGGTTGCTGAGGTGAAGAAGGAGGAAGAGGAAAGCGATGGGGATCAGGATATGGCAATGTCGGATGACGAGGAATATGAGAAGCCGAAGCTGGAGTCAGCAACACCTGTGACACCATCAGACCAACTGTTGCAAGCCGAGGGACTCAAGCGTAAGAGAGTCAACGATGAGGATCCTGCTAGCATGAAGCTCGAGTACAATGAAGCGACGCCAAGCAAGCGGCTCAAATCCGAGAGTCCGCCGCCGCCGCCGCCGCCGCCACCGCCCCCAGCCGATGGCACACCTCCGGATCCAATGTCTTTCTCCAACGGAGAAATGGATGATGTTAATCAACATAACTATGAGGCCAATAGATCGCTAAGCTACATAGAGTCAATGGGAGTGTCGCCAGAAAACAATCGTGACGTTTTCCCACACCGATCCACTTCAAACGATACCACAAGAGCGGTCGAAGATGATGTTGATATCTCAGGCAATGCCCACACTCCAGATACACCGAGCGACCCGGAGTATGATGAGCATGAACGACTTTTTGGTGGCCATGGGCAGAGGCATCTTTCTGATATCGAGGTACATGGGGCCGCGTAAGAATCTATCAACGTACCTCAAAAGGACGTTGACTTGGGCCATGGTGGGAGCAGCTTCCAGGGTATCTCGAAGGTACCTTGTAAAATAGGCCGAATGACAATAGACCAGGCGGGCAGGAGGGGCATTTCTCGCAGCCAGCCTCGGTTACGTTTGCAAATATCAATTTTTCTTGCTGCTGAGTCTGTATCTACTCATACGTTCCGTTTGAAAGTCTCGACAAAAGGAAGTAGAAGCGAACAAGGTAGCTGAAGGGTTAAGTAACAAAAAAGACGACGGATAAGGTAGAGTAACCCTGCAACGTTAATACTTTAGGTACTACAGTAGTACTCGTGCAACATGAGGAAGCTTCAGAGCGGTCACCACCGTTGCTAAGCGCCAACTTCCAACCACCAAAACTTTGCCCCTCGAGCTCCTTCACTTCCCGCCCCCACCCTCCCAAGTCGTCCCACAAATGTCAATATTGAATGGATTGGACCTAGGTAACCCGTATTCTTGTCCATCCGACTGCAATCCAATTGCCATCCAATTGCCATCCAATTGCCATCAGGAGGTAATCATCTTGGAAAATTCCGCAAGACAGGACATAAACCAAAACCCCTCTACCTGAACCCTCTGCAACCGACCCCGCATTTGGTCAAACAGAGCAGGCCATAGTGTATCACAACACCACCTCTCTGCCTCCTTAACCCCAGGATAACCTCAGCCATGTCTTCCATCCTTCGGGCATCGTCTCGCCTCCGGCCTCTCACTTGTCTCTCTATCATAAGGCCCATCACAACAACGACGAAACCCGCGGCCAGTATGGCGACTGCACAGGTAGCTGAGCAGACGGGCTCTGAGAGACCTTTCTTTCCTGACGAACCTTTCAAACCACACATGCGTACTGCAATTCCCGGTCCGGAGAGTAAGAAGGCCATCGAGGATTTAGACAAGGTCTTTGATACGAGAAGTCTGAACATGATGGTCAATTACCAGAACAGCTTTGGAAATTACATTGCCGATCTGGATGGGAACGTCTTGCTTGACGTATATGCACAAATCGCTTCAATACCAGTAGGCTACAGTAACCCGACACTGCTTGCAACCGCAACTTCGCCAGAGATGGCCAGCGCAATCATCAACCGCCCAGCCCTAGGCAATTTCCCCCAGCACGACTGGGCAGAAATCCTCCGGACTGGCGTCCTTAAAGTTGCACCAAAAGGTCTTGACCAGGTCTTCACAGCAATGGCAGGTTCCGACGCCAACGAGGTGGCATACAAGGCCGCTTTCATGTGGAAACGCCGCCAAGAACGTGGTGGCGCCGATGTTGAATTCTCTGCCGAAGAGATATCCTCGGCCATGAATAATAAGTCTCCCGGCTCTCCTCACATGTCAATCCTTTCCTTCAAATCCGCCTTCCATGGTCGCCTATTCGGAAGTCTTTCTACTACTCGCAGCAAACCAGTTCACAAGCTCGACATCCCAGCCTTCGACTGGCCTCAAGCGTCATTTCCTCTCCTCAAGTACCCTCTTGCGGAGAATGCAAGTGAGAACGCGGCCGAAGAGGCACGCTGCCTTGCCGAGACCGAAGACCTGATCAAGACCTTCCACAATCCTGTTGCAGCTGTAGTAGTCGAGCCTGTCCAGTCCGAAGGCGGAGACAATCACGCCTCTCCAACATTCTTCAGGGGCCTTCGCGAAATCACAAGACGACACGACGTTATGTTCATCGTTGACGAGGTACAGACTGGTGTTGGTGCGACGGGGAAGTTCTGGGCGCACGACCATTGGAACATGGCCGACCCACCGGATATGGTCACGTTTTCGAAGAAAGCTCAAACGGCCGGCTACTACTTCGCAAACCCCGATCTCCGACCTAATAAACCATACCGTCAATTCAATACCTGGATGGGAGATCCAGCCCGAGCCATCCTCTTCAGAGCCATCATTCAGGAAATCGAGAGACTCAACCTGGTGGAATCCACTGCCCAAGTTGGCGAGTACCTCTACTCGGGACTTGAGAGACTGGCGGAGCGCTATCCCAACGAGATTCAGAATCTGCGTGGGAAGGGCCAGGGCACATTCCTTGCATGGGACAGCCCTAGGAGGGATAACACTTTGAAGAGGGCGAAGGGGTTGGGAATTAACATTGGAGGCAGCGGAGAGAGGGCCGTCAGGTTGAGGCCAATGTTGGTTTTCCAAAAGCATCATGGTGAGTTTGTTTTCTGTCGTCCTGAACCGGGCGACTTGGGAAAGGCACGAAGCTGACATTCGAATTCTTCATTAGCGGACATCCTCCTTGAGGCGACTGAAAAGCTGGTTTCGACATGATGGATGCTACTCTGACATGGGCATGATTCTCTGAGCAAGCGAGCAACCATGTCTATCTTCAATTGAAGGAAAAATACCCACGCATAAGAACATACGGTATACGGCTCCTGACGTGATGCTATATGCCCTTGTTGTCCGAGAGTTCGAAGAATCTCCGAACGATACCGGCTCCAACTTCGCTTTCCTGCAACCAATTTTATCTGATCTCTGAGCCGTAACAGTCAAGAACGTCGTCATCTGCGAGGCTCCTCTCTTGAGTATCTCTAGTCTCTGAGACTCTCTAACCTCTCAGTCATGTCTGCGACGGCACTTCCATCACTACGCCGTCATTGATTACACTGATGCAATTTTGCATTGAGGTTGTGGACGGCTTGTAGCGCTTGAGAGACTCAACAATCGACTCTTTGGGAGAGGTTTCCGTTGAGGGCTGCAGGAGTTAAAGGGCAAGAGCAACGAAGAAGAGGCATCAATGAGGTGCTTTCGCACGAGGTGGGTCAGAGTGTGGGAACACGGTACCGAGGAGCAGCGAATGCTGGTACAAGGACGTTTAACCATGAGTCAATTTAACATTTGATGCTTCAAGCTTCAAGCTTCAACCATTGGCGCCTCCCCCTCCACGCCTCCTTCCAATTTATCTATGTACCTCCTGCGCCGAACTCAGCATAAACCTAGATAGGAAGACTCCTCATCCTGCTTCGCAGCTTGCCCTAACTTGGGACTGGTATCCAACAAAGCTTTATCATAATCCGTCCTAGGTTCCTTCTTTGTCGGGCTTGGCGGCCCTGGTAAGATCGTTCCACCACAACCACCACCACTCCCCGCATTCGACATCATCCCCATACTCTGGCTACCTCGGCTACCGAGCCGTATCTTATAATGGTGCGATCCATCGCTCGTGTTTGCGTAACCGGACGAGGTACGAAGTCCCAGGGAGCGGAGGTAGGGCTGGTTGTTGACGCAGTGGGGGAAGTATTTTTGAAGGATGAGGGTATACAGCTGATGGGCGGCGGGGGTAGAGGCGACGATGATGCCGATATTCTGTTCGAGGCAAGACCAGAACACCACGGGCACGGTGTGCCCTGAGAGACGACGTGTCAACATCGAGACAGGATTTTGATGCTTTTGGTTTAGGTCTGGACGAGACGCAATGCTTACAGGTAAAGTCCTTGTCTGCGAAGTCGACGGACGTGGCTCTGAGAATCGCGCATGCGGCAGTGCTTCTAGGATGTCAGTCTCGCAGCTTTGACCGGTGTCTCGTGGCATCTCACAAGAGGCCAAGTCCGAGGAGGACGAAAAGACTGATCTTCCGGCCGAGTTTCGCCTGTAGATTCCGGAGGAAGAATATGGGCAGGCCGACGCACAGGAAGTCCATCAAGGCCGCGGCACCTGAGTCCGCATCAGTGTTTATTCAGATTCCAAGATGTGGAGCCACATGCCACACTGGGTCTTGGCGATGATGGTCAAATCTAAGGGTGGGATGCAACGCGCCTTGATTTCCCTGTCCCACGTACCCTGAATCGGGATACATGCGAGGAGGATGGACAGCAAAGTAGCAGTGCTCATGACGGCGAAGAATGCGAGGAAGATGTATGTGTACTTGAAGAATTCCCGGTGTGTGGGAGGTACCATACGTAGAACCAAGAGACACACAGAGACTCTGACGAGAAAGGTCCCAATAGTATAGAGAACCTCAAGGATTTGAGTCATGAGAAGGACATTCCTGATCTGGTCAGGCTGTAAGTACTCGATATGTCGTCCAAACCCGTTGTCCACCCCAAAGGTTGTGACGATGCCCTGGGCAACAGCAAAGCCCTGAAGGATGCCGTTAGCGGGCAACTGTCTCGGAGGGACTTCCTGTGGATCAGCTTACCATAGCAATCACGATCGTCCAGTCATCGGCGCCTGCTGCTTTACGGAGAAATGCTCGAGTATACACACGCAACAAAACGAGCAATGATGCAATGGACACGGTGATCCATTGATTAGCGATTAGGCTGGGTCCACGACTTTCGTTTGGGGGCAATGGGACAGACATTGTTCAAGTGGATAGCAAGATGGAGGAAGAGGGAGGGAGAAGAAAGAAGACGATGTTGAATGAGAGAAGTTGGACGGTATGGGTTTCGGAAGTACAAGGCACGATGCCTATACAAGAGTAGGGAGGAGTCAAATTATTAAAATGCTCTAGCAGCCAGCCAATCCGGCAGTGACGGAAGTCTCGTGTCCAGGAAAGAGTCTGTCAGAGGCACTATAGGCCGGAATGGTAGCCCATGACCGTCCTGCTTGCCTTTGCCTTTCCACATATCCTGCCACAAGTCTCGGAACTTGATTTCACGTCTAGGATTAAAGGATTGGCTGGACGGGATGAGTCTTGATTTCAAATCCATCAATTGCCAACGTCTTAGGTGACAGGATCTCTCATGATTGTAAACGCAAAGATCGTACTTCATCATGTATATTGCGAATCATGACCAGTTGAGCGAAGAGGTAACGTTAAGGTCGTGAGCAACCTGGAGGAGAAAGGTCCCGGACCACGGGCGGCAATCGGGGTGGCTGGAACCCTAAGAGCGTCCCTAAATCGAAGCTCTCTAGGTGCGGAAATGCCCCAAACGCAGGCTTTGGATCAAAGTAGAGTTCCCGAGTACTTTCAAGCCGGACACAACTAAGGGTGGCAGGCAACCTTCAGCATTGTAGTCCCACAAATAGTAGCTCAAGCTAGAACTCGAGCACACTTCGACCATTCGCGAGGTATCTGTCGACAACAGGGACCAACCTGGAGCAAAGAGCAAAGCCTTGCTGATGATGGTGATGACCATCCTAGTGTTTGCACCATATCCTCCCGATCCGAAAGTCGAAGCGCCGCCAAAACTCAGAGTCTCGGTCGAAAGTTGATGTTTGCGGGCTAGATCCTACACCCATTTGATAACGTCGTGGCCAAGAACGCCGCAGCCAAAGCTGCACAGAACGTCACGACTTTCGTCACCCTCAGGCCAGCAGCTCCACTTATGCCCGTCCATGGGCTGTTGCACCACCTAACCTCACCCCCGGGATGAGGACTTCCGTAACTGTAATTCAAGCCATGCCCTTCTAAGGGACATGCGAATTGCAAAGCAGCGGGACAACTCCGGATGAGGTTATAACATATGTCTTTGCATGGTAGCAGCTCCTTATACGGACCAGGTCGGATTACAGCATCAATCATGGGGTTACGACTGCTGTTGAAGGAGATCCTACTGCGGTTATGCGGGCTGAATGCCAAGTCCCCATTAATCCCAGCAATTGCGTAGGATGAGTTGATGAATGAATGATTCACCGCCCTGGGCTGCATGTACGGAGCCGGATTCGAGATATCCTCGCATCTGGGTATAGTGACCGCGCAAAGCCACTGTCTGTAAGCGGCGTCGCAATCGCTACAGTTTCTGGCAAGCGAATACTGAGCGGAGGATGTAGTGTTGCACGGAATTTGTTGGAGTGAGTTCGTAAAGTTTTGATAGATACCAAGAGCGTATTGATCGTAGTGGTGAGCGAGAAGTTCTGTTGAGTTGAAAGTATTAGGATTAGCCGGAGCAGCGTATGCAACGGAAGTGCAAAAGGGCAGGTTGAAGAGAAGGGCGCAATTGTCGTCTGGAATAACGCTGTTAGATTCAGCAATAGGGCAGGTGAATGTCGAAGGACTAACAAGACTTGGTCGTGATATTTGATGGCTTCCACACTGTGCCTCCACCACCCACGACGCCGGACCCTTGGTCTGTGGAGTTGCCAATCATAGCTGCTACGGCGTAATATGTCGAGCTCCAGTTAAGATTCTTTACATAGAATTGTTGTTTTGGTAGGCTATCACCAGCTGCTGTCATAACAGTTTCGACATCTGGGAGACCTTGGATCTGTGCCAGATTTTGCAATCCGCATACTGAGTTCTGCACGCCGAGTATGGAAGGATTGTCCTGATTCTGCACGAACAAGCTAAACACTGGTGGTCTGTTCATCCATTGCTGAAACGTAGAATTTGAGGAATTCGTGGTACTGGTTGTATTGTTCGTGTAGAGGAGCGCGGAATTTGTGTCGCTATCAACAAGTTTAACATTGGGGTCGCTGTATGAAGAGGCATAAAAGCCATCAATAGATGCCGTGAGCTGATAGTTATAGACCCCATCATAGCCCTCATTTGCAGGAGCATAGACCCCAAAATATACATCATTCTTGACGGATATGTTCAACCAGCCAAAGCCCCCAACAATTAGCACGACATGATCACAATTTTTCTGATCAGGCTGTTGATTGTTGGAAGATGTTGAAACGTAGAGCATCAACTGATCTGGGGCAGCAGTTTGATTAGGGTCTGTCGCAAGCGGCTGCTCGCAAGTCGTAAGACTTATGTAGAGTTCGATTTCGCCTGGGGCATCTGGAGTGACAGAGACGTTTTGCCCCTCGAAGTATGATGGAAGGCCAGGTGTCTGAGGCGAGTTGGGTCCAAATAACGTTGTACTGGGAAAAGTCCAGTATTGGCTAGCGCTTTGACCAATATTCAGGATGCCTGGGGCATTGTTCCCCAATGCTGGAATGACTTCTCCAGCTCTGCCGATGATGCTTCGATCAGCGCCAGCGAACTCTGGCTCATATCTTTCTAGATTATGTCCTACATCAACCTCAAAAGCACTATGTGATCGTGGGTGGTTGTCATCCTTATGGGTTATCGAGTCCTCGTGTGCTGCAAAGGCATGTTGAGTGAACAGAGCGGCTGTAGAGGCGAGAAGAAGGGGAAAAGAGGCAAGGGGCGAGGGCACTGTTCGTTGCGGAAGATACGCGCTCCTAGGTAGTCGCATGGGTGAAGGGAGTAGGCCAGCTCGCTCTCCCAGCAGTGGAACCTCGAGCGTCGGTTCAAAGGCACTGGCAATGGCGAGTGCGCAAGGAAGCTGACGGTTTAGACGGCAACATCGAGATGAGAGTGCCCACAGTCCAAGCTGCTATCAGAAACGGCGTAGGGAGAGATGCTCAAAGGAACATTTGTTGTTGGAATTCTAGTGCTGACAGACAGACGTTGATACTTTTATACTTGTTGGAACCTGAGATGATCTACGCCGGCTCCGCTTGCTGTTTCAAGTTCTGTCTGCTGTCGGCAAAGCTGCACTATTGACCGTCACTAATTAGTAGAGACCATGGTCGAACAGCTTGCATGAACTGCATATTTTCATGATTGCAGAGATTTCCATGGAGACGCTATACAGGCCGTATTACGTTGGAAGCGCTCTGCGATGACCGGAAGACGCCTCCTTGATATAGCAGCCATATTCAAGGCTTCCCAAGGCGTTGCTGCAAAGCATGTCGCCCTCCGCCAACACCAGTTGGACGTTTACAGCAAGACATCCTCTCTTGCTAAAGCTGTTAAGTCACAGACTGACCGAGTCACCCTCACGGTGAAAGCTGCCTCGGTTTTGGCAGAACGTTTCAATGGACCCGAACCCGATTATTCTACGCAGGCTTCGCAACCAAGAAAGTCTACCCAGGGTGCGCCCATACCCAGTCAAGATGGGGCTTCTGGGACAACCGAGGGATCGGTGAAGAAGGATGGTCTTTCCCAGGATCATTTCTACGAAAGACCAGACCAGAATGCTGCTGCGGATCCTCCACCAGATGCTAATCTAGGTGTGAGGCAAGAAAAGGCGAAAAGATACCCGCTACCCGATGGATCAATGCTTCCAGCAGATACTGCTGAAGTGCCAGAGCGAGATAAAGACTCATACAACGAGTTGCCGCAAACAGAACCCGCGAAAGCCCCGTTAGCTGATGGAAGAGAGGAGACAGACGAGGGCCTACAGCCCACTCTATCAGGCAGAACGAGTATTCCAAATCCAAAAGGGAACAGATCCTGTGATCGCTGAGAAATCTAAAACCCTACAACGGCAGGCAGAAAAGCGGACCCTATTTCAGGCTGTTGAGCTTTCACCTTCCCGCCCATTCTGAGGAGCTAGATTTGAAAGCAGATCAAGATTGGGATGTCTTCTACACGCCTTTGTCATCAGATGGACAGGTACATTCAGCTCTGCCGCGTGTCACAGTGCCAAAGGATACGGAAGACGCCCAAGAAAGTGATAAGCATGTCTCTGATGCTCAAATCAATCAAGATGTCTTCTCCTCTGCATCTTCTAAAAATGAAGAACGGCCCGTTCCGCAAGCACAAGCTGTTCCAGAGCAAGAGCGACTTTCCGACGAAGCGTACACCGAGTTGTTTCACAGTCCAAGGGTAGCTAGGATGTTGGGTGGTCACCCCAAGCCGAGCAAGCCTCTACATGAGAAGGACCAGGTCTCATCCAGTGTTCGGACATCAGGACAAGAGAGTCAAGACGGAGCTCAAAATCCGCCAGCCGGGATCGTAGATTCAACGCCTTCTCAAGCCAAGAGCAGCGAGGATATGCACGACCTAATCACAGACATGGCCGAAGACGCGGAAGCCAGGTCCGCGGATCCGTCTCAGGCAAGTTTCGTACGAGACATATTCATAATTTGGATACTGATTGACTGACAGCGTTTTCCTAGCTACCAACAGACCTTGAACCAGGTCCAACAAAACCTCCATACAGGATGCAAGAATCTCGGGTGCCGTCTTCTCGGTTTGGCAGATTTTGGCAATACGGAGGTCTAGCCACGTCCATGGCTTTTGGGGCAGTTGGCGAAAGCCTCCGTCGCGCTACAGGAGGCAGTGGTGATGCTGTTGGGTCTTTGATGCTCAGCGCTGGCAATATGGAAAGACTCGTGGCCAAGCTATCCAGGATGCGAGGTGCGGCCCTGAAATTGGGGCAGATGATGAGCTTTCAAGGTCGGTCACCACCTACTACTCCCTGCACAATCGCTCATGCTCGCCAAAGATTCGAGAATGCTGCCAGGACCGATCAACGAAGTTTTGCAACGAGTCCAAGACAGCGCCGACTACATGCCCGCTTCTCAACGTAACAAAGTTCTTGCAAGTAACCTCGGCGCAGATTGGCGCGATCTCTTCTCCTCTTTCGACGAAAAGCCTCTAGCAGCCGCATCCATTGGCCAAGTCCACAGCGCTATTCTGAAATCCTCAGGCCAGCGTGTCGCAGTGAAGGTCCAATACCCAGGCGTCGCCGACTCCATCGATAGCGACCTCTCGAACCTCTCCATACTTCTCACCGCGTCCCGCCTTCTCCCCAAAGGCCTCTTCCTAGACAAGACGATTGCGAACGCCCGAACCGAACTAGCCTGGGAATGCGATTACGTCCGCGAAGCCGAGATGGGCGAACGCTTTCGTGGTCTTCTCGCTGATGAAGAAGATGTCTTCCACGTACCAACTATCATATCCGAAGCCTCTGGCCCACAAGTCCTAACCGCAGAATTCCTCCACGGCACCGGTGTAACCAAAGTCCAAAACTTCACTCAAGAGCAACGAGACTGGATCGGCACCCAGATACTACGTCTCTGCCTGCGCGAGATCACAGAGTTCAAGTTCATGCAGACCGATCCCAATTGGACAAATTTCCTCTACAACGCCTCAACTCACAAACTCGAGCTCCTTGATTTCGGAGCCAGCCGAGAATTTCCGGACCATTTCATAGAGCCCTACATCCGCACCCTGCTCGCTGCTTCTCGCTGCGACCGCGCTGCCGTCCGCGACTTGAGCATTCAATTGGGGTATTTGACGGGGCATGAAAGTCAGGCTATGCTCAACGCGCATGTCGGTTCCGTATTGACGCTTGCGGAACCGTTCGCCGAGAATGCAGCAGAGGTCTACGATTTTCGGGATCAGACGATTACGGATAGGGTGAGGGGGTTCATACCCGTGATGGTAAGGGAAAGGCTGGCGCCACCACCGGAGGAGACGTATAGTTTGCATCGGAAACTGAGTGGGGCTTTTTTGCTGTGTGCAAAATTGGGGGCTAGAGTTCGATGTCGAGAGATGTTTGCAAACGCCATGAGCTCTGCTCATATCGAATAAAAGCCGTGGTGTTTCGCTACAAGATTGGTTGGAGCCATTTCAGGTTTGACAATCAATGCACATGTAGAAGTACAGCATTAGCTTCTTTCTGATTGGATTTATGTACAATATTCATGCTGCTGTTCCATGAGCACACTTCTAAGCTGCTAGCACAGTACTTTTGGTTCCATTGTTTGGCAATTTGGATCTTAGTATTAGTCCCGGGTACTGCCTCAAATCAGTGCCGTTGTTCCAATCAGGCTGGTAAGGCAACTGATTGATGTTGAAGTAGATGTAGCCATCGAATCCAACGTTCGATGAATCGGGCCAAATGATTCGTGGATCCCGAACATACGGCTCCGCCTGCAACGTCGTGGAGTTGTAAATGTAAATGGCGTTCTGCTCCGGCATGACTTGATGATTTTGGAGTCAGCATTAGTCCTTAGGAAGGAATTCTGAGTCGCGAGACATGTCTTAGGAGCAGAGAACTCTTTAGGCACGTCTGACGACTCATAAGACAGCATGGATGGGGAAGAAATGCCTCGGAAAGTATAACTTACGCATGTACACAGCTCCGTTACTGTCGGCGCTGAAACCATTGGCGTTCCCGCCTCGCTGGCCAAGGCTTTTGACATTATTCGATGCTCGTTGCGAGCTTAGGACGTCATCCATGGGATTCGAACGGAGATACTGCGTTTCAATGCTGTAGAGATAGTCGCTTGTCAGAGGTGAATAGTACATCACGTCGCCGTACAAGGAGAGCTCGATGCCATCGAGCCCTTCCTGGATATTGGTCAGAGCCAAGCCGGGACTGCGTTGATAGAAGGGCATTCCTTGATATGAAGGCACATCCTCGAAAGTTCGGAGTGTAGACTAGGACATGGTTTCAGAGTCAGCGTCGCCTATCCGAGAGGGTGTGTTGAGCCTTGGAACATGTCTACAGAGTATACACTCTCAAGATATGTCTAAAGGCTCAAGATCTGGTCCAAAAGAGGATATATAAACTCGAAATACACGTACTGGATGCTGGGTTAGCTGGCGCCATGACTGTCCGGTACCAAGATCGAGCATGATAAAGCCCGTACGGCCCTCGTTGCTGCTGTCATTGATGTACGCTATGCCCTTGCCTGATGCCGTGGCGTTCGCACGCATATCAAATCGGAGGTCGTTCATGTAGGAATCTGGAAAGTGAACGCTTGACGGGAAATTGTAGGTTCGAATGATTGAATTACTCGTCAGATTGAGAGCTACCAGCTTTGGCCCGCCAGGAGACGCGTATGGCATGGTAAGCATTTCTGTCTCGTTCGTGCTGGGTCTTCCAGTATCGAGAACCCAGAGCGTATCATCGGGAGTAATGAACAGGGCTTGAACGCTAATGAAGCTGTCCGTAGAGTTGCTACCGAAAGGGATACCGTTAAGTGAAGTAGACAGGCCTCCGGGAGGAGTATTTAATTCTAGGTTTGGATAGGGGACTTCGGCTGTAGTATTGAAGACCTCGCCCAAGGTGTATGCCTAGAAGGTACTCAGTCATCTGAAGCATATGGTAAGGCGATAAGGTTCACTAACGTATGTTCCCCTTGTATAACAGACGAAAATGCGACCTTGCTTTGAAACCGCCAGTCCGATTGGCCATTGATCATAGTAATAATGGACTTCTTCAACTGGTGGACCGGTTAAGCCAGAATCGCGGCGAACATTTGCATATGTCAGATTCTGATATGTAATGGACTGAGTTGACTGAGCAGCTGCAAAGCATGACAGACCGCCGACGGCCAAGAGGATATTGAGCTTCATACTGCCGAATTGATGCAGTATTGAGGTGTTGAGTATGGAGAGTATGCTGATGAAAGCGTTGCTTGCTAGAAGAGAAGCTATCAAGCGAAGAGTCTGAAGCAATGTAGAAGCAAAAAGCGAGAGGAGATGGCAGACAGCATTGCCATTAGCAAGTATGGAATTATTTAAGAGCCGTACGTTCCTTCCCTTGCATCATCATTGCGTCGTCGGAAGGGTTTGGGTCTAGACTCTCTCTCGAGAGAGAGAGAGAGAGATGGAAAGCACTCGAGGCAGTCTCTTTGGAAGCAGGTGGCCTTGCTCTGTATGTGTATCCGTGACTGAGCATAGCATTGCCGATTGTTTGACGCTACCAAAGAAGTTGGTAGAGCAAGCTGATAGAGTAAGTTGATGAGAATCGTTAACAGTCACAAGTCACGGCAGTCAATAATTCGAGCGACGAGGGAGGAAGGGCATAAGCCATAAGGATAAAGTAGACATACACTAGACAGAATCCGTCATTCGGTCATTCTTTTCACCATTGCCGGATGCCGGATGCCGGATGCCAGATACCCGATGCAAGGCATCTCTCCCGACAATTCATTAAAGACTTTATTTTCAAAAACACTTAATCACTGCTTTCAAAACATGGTCAGCAATGATATGAAATGCACTAGGAATATAAATTACATGTAAAGCAATGTACATATGTACGTACCTGTATTCCGGCAGCTTGATAACATGCCAAAGCTGCTTTAAAGAACAAATACCTCTCCGTACTTTAGAGTATAACAAATTCAAAACCCTGTTCCGGGGATTAGCATACCTTAGCCTACCTTTAGCGTGTCTTCCATAAATCCAGCGGCGAAAGCTCTGGTGTGACTTTCGTCATCCGACTGAAACGGGTGCCCTCTTGAACGTACTTATCCTCACTGGTCTAGGCTGACCGTGTCAAAGATTACTCCGACTTCACACAAACAACACCATGAATATGTATGAATCGATAACACACACCCTCATTCCAAGTACTTAAACCAGCAGACCATCTTCCTCCTTTCCTTCATCCCTCTTCTTCCTCTTCAGCATCACCGCAACCGATACACCAAAGACACTCATCCTTTAGCAACTGAGCTCCCACCTGCACTCTACCCTTCTTGACCAGTCAGCTTCACGCCATCCGTTGAGTCAAGATGGCAGCAAGCAAGATCCTTCAAAACGAGTACAAGGCTCTATCCCAAGAGAAATGGGTCAACGTTGAGGTCAGCCTTCGGCCAATCACATCAACCCACAATGAACCCTCACTAACCTCTCTGCAGCTCAACAACGATGACATTTTCAACTGGAACGTTGCTCTTATTGTTATCAACCCTGGTTCCCTCTATTACGGTGGCTACTTCAAAGCCAAGATGAACTTTCCCCACAACTACCCCTACACCCCTCCTTCTTTCCAGTTCAACCGTGCCCTCTTCCACCCAAATATCTACGCGGATGGGAAACTCTGCATCTCCATCCTACATGCCCCAGGCGACGATGAGATGTCCGGCGAGAGTGCTGGGGAACGCTGGTCACCAGCACAACGGGTGGAATCCATCCTCCTTTCCATCATCTCGCTCCTCGATGACGCCGAGTGCTCCTCTCCAGCCAATGTCGATGCTGGTGTGATGCTGCGGAAGAACACAGAAGGTTTCAAGAAAAAGGCCAAGGCAGATGTGGAGAAGAGTAAAGAGGATATCCCAGCAGGCTTCGTCATGCCGACACACGAATCTACGGCGAGGATACCGGAAAAACCTGTCGATGATCGAGAGTTCTGGGTCGATAGCGATGAGGAGGATGATTTTGGGGGAAGTGACACCGATGCCGAGATGACGGAGGATGGGAATGATGGTCTTCCGGACGACGATGATCAAGAAGAGGGTGATGACGAAGATCCAGAGAACGAGGATGATGAAACCCTTTAGGGAGCGGGCAGCACAAACTCAGCTACAGATCGCCAACCTGCAAACTTCGCCCCTCCTTACTCGCCTTTGTTAGACATTTGCTTTGATCGCGGCATAGCGAACGGTGTTCACAAGGCGTTGGTGGTCCTTGTCCCTGCATATCATTGGTGGGTCATTATCACGGACGGAGTCCACATACATGGCGCTGAAGGTCGTGCCAAATTGGAGTCACAGCAGGAGGCTGGTGGAATGCTCGACTTACCTGGGCCTTACCCTGAACGATCAAATCTAATAGCATAGAATTAACACAATCAGACACCCCAACAGTGCAGTCATTCATTCAATGTCGTTGATGCTCACGAATATCTTCTCTCCTGGATGTCAGCGACTGAAACTAGGTCTCTTCACAACGAATAGAATACTTTTCAATCGCTACTACTGATAAAGAGTGCTACTCAAAATATCCCAATTCTAACCACCCAGCTGACCTTGCTCGTCGTTTTGGATAGCCGATGTTTGCACCCACTGTGCACAAAGTCCAAGCGAGGCAACCTACCCTTCCCTTTCCCGCCCCTTCCGTTTCTCGGCACTCCTCGCCGCCAACCTCGCCTTTGCAGCCGCTGCCCTCTCAGCCGACAACGCCGAACCTCTGGCCGAGGTCATGGTGCTGGTCCGACTGCCTACCCTTGACGTGAAGCTCGACGATCGACCCAGGGTCGCCGTCGAGGGTTTGACACTGGGCCTAAGGATCGCCTTTGACGGCTCGAGTTCAGCAGGACTTGAGGTGAGATCAAGCGTGGCCGGTCGTGGCGAGCTGATGGTGGGTCTCCGATTATGCGTGCGGTGGATTGGTGATGACACGCCTGATTGAGGCTGAGGCGTGGTTTGTGTAGGTGGTTTGTGGGCATCATTTGCCTGCGAGAGATGGATCTTAGGAAACGACTTGGTCCCCGGATGCTGTTCAGGGATAAGGTTCTGATCAATCTCCTTTAGCGTCCGTTGTATGTCGTGTCTGACACTGGAAGGAGGAAGCTCCGGGGGTAATTTCGAGAGTGATCCACCGTCAACGGCATCTCTGGGACTGCTCAATGTCCATATATCGACCACAGACTTTTGCAATCTGCTCTTGCGAGGCGAAAGGTATACCTTGGAGACGCGATTCTGCTCAACAGGCCCATGATCCATTTCATCGCCAGTTGCGAGCGCCCCTTCTGATGATTTTGGGTTCCCATCAAGTCCTCTTAGATCGTCCGAGCACGCCGATGGTTGTGGTTGAGCTAGACCTTCGGCTTTTGATGGCTGACCAGAGGCAAGCAGGAGATTTTGATGCTCGACGGTAAGCTTCGCAAGTTGAGCTTCGCATACCTTCTGATCGGCCTTGCACTTTGCTTCCCTTCTCTTGAGCCTCTCTTCTCTTGCTTGCCGCCGTGATTCATAGCTCATCATCTCCCCTTTGACTCTCGCTAGGCTTCGCTTGAGTGCACCGTTCTCAGCTTCGAGCTTTGCGGCTTGATCTTCTGCTTTTTTCGCACTCATACGCAAGCTCTCCAGTTGGGCGTGTAACATATCTTTTTCTGCGGACCGAGCAACAATTTCTGGAGAATTTGCCTCCTTGGTTGACCATTCATCAGTCTCTTCCATTGCCTGGATATCATGTCGTTCGCCAACTGAGCCATCAGCACGATTCTCCTTCTGCATCGCTCTTCTGTACTGGTCGGCTTTTTGCTTGTATCGTATGGCCAAGGCTGTCTGTTGTGCCAGCTCACTGACAAGCCTAGTCTGCTCGCTCTCCCCTTCTGGACCTTGCGCGTGAAAGTTGTTTAGCTGCGCGGCTAGCTTCGATACTTTTTTTCCATTGCAGCAACCTTGGCCAGCTCCTTCTTCAGCTTCTCGCCAAGGCCAGTAGCTTCAGAGTCCTTTTTAACGGCATACGACTTCACATTCTGGCCATACATGATGATCTTCTTCATTTCGCGATTCGACCTCTTGTGGTATTGCTCATACTCAGTCTTCCAATGCTGCCCCGATCTTGAGCATGGTTGACTCAGATCCACAGTCTGATCAGCGACTTGATCCCTATTCCCCGCATGGGCGCCAATACTTGCCGCGGATTCTCTAGTAGGTCCTTCCTGGGTGGACGTAACTGAAACAGCCTGGTTGTTCGGTTTCTGCTTGGATAATTCTATGAGAGTTTTGGTAAGACTTGAATGGCAAGGTTGGATCCTAGAGTTTTTTTCCTGGCATTTCTGGTTTATTGCTCTTTCTTAGGGCGGGATCGCGATTGGCCTCCGTTGATGGCGATTGCTCCTCTATTTTCTGGGCGTTGGATATCAGGGTCCCGAATGACACTGTCTTACGACGAGTGGCGCCGGTACCGGGAGTTAGGAGGATGCCTTTGGTTGGAGACGCTAGTGGATCAACTTTGAGGAGCGCAACGGGCTCATCGAAATAGCCATTTACCGCATCATGAGCTTGGTTGTCTTCCACCTTTTCTGCGGGCTGGGTCTTTGCAACATCCCTTTTTGGCTCCACTAGCAGCATATGGTGTCTGACATCGTTTTGATCTGGGTGAGGCGTCCCAAAGATGGCGGTCTTAAAGGCACGGACCGCGAACAATGGCGCCGGGGTTTCAGGCGGTTCTTCAATGTACGATAGTCCATCATCTTGACTTCTCGTAAGCTCAATCCCAATCCCTACGAATTCGGATTGTATACCTGCTCGAGGGTATCGCGCGTCTGCTGGCCGCGTGGAACCCGTCAGCCATTCTAACATCCTGCCGACGTTCTTTCTCAGCTTCTTGAATGATTTGGTCTCATAGTAGGAGTATGCGGGCGGAATGCGGAAGTGTGGAATGGTGCACGAAAGTCATAGGTATCACATTGTCTTTGATTGTTTACACACGTGACACGGGTAATCGGCGTCAAGGATTTTTAGCGCGCGTGATCTTTAGCGGCCCCTCGGCCTGTCACAGAGCTCGGAGTCCGAGAGTTCCAGGGACTATTAAGTTATTGAACGAAGAATACTCCGTAAAATACATGTAATCAGGGTCCAAGTCACGTCTCAGATGTCGCATTGTTGCTTCGAGCCACGAACAAAACCCTGATAAATACTCCCGACAACTCTCCATATCCGAGCCCTGATACTTGTGTACGAGTACGAGTCAGACTATGAGAGTAGAAACTACCTAGGTACTACACTTACCTACTTTAGGTACCTTAGTAAACGGCGTGCGAACCATGTGCTGGATGTGGAGAGCGAAATGCGCTGACAGTCTCTCACTAGCACCAATGCGCATAAGTTGCCGGGGTTGACCGACGGGATCGTGCTCTTCCGAGAATTGAGAATTATCATCCCTGACATTAGTGCACTACCGTAGGGTAATACGTATCCGTGGAATTGTTCGCTCTAGATCCTCATCACTCATCACCGCCATCTTCCTTCTTTTCCTTCTTCTAATTCTTCTTCCTCTTCTTCTTCTCCGTCTCTTGTCTCATTTCTACCCTTTTCGTTCCTGGCCACATTTTGGAAGGTGCTACTTGAGAGTCCCACCTGCGCATCCTCCCTCTCGTGTTTACCACTGTAAATACTGCTAGGCGATCCCTCACAATTGGCTATTGAATGGTTGCCTAGCCCGATTTATCTCGCTGCTATAATATCTTTCCAGTCCCAACCTTGAATCCGTATCGCTTTCGTTTTCAGGCCTAACAAAAGCATTGACTGTGAGGGAGCTCCTCCAGGCAACCGTCCGTGATGGACAGCACCGCCGGGGATCTCAACCATGCCGTCAGAGAAGTCGACGCAGGCATCGAGAAACAGCTGAGCCGAGATTCGTGTGATGACTCTTCGTCAGGAAGAGACCTTGTGGGGGAGAAGCACGAGCAGGGTCCGCACTCTTCGGGCTCATCTTCAGACCAGATAGAGCAACTGAAAGAAGTTGATTCCCATATTGTCAAGGTATCTGAGGTCAAGGAGGGCGAAGAGGCTTACGCGCATCTACCTCCGCACGAGAAGGAGATTGTCAAGAGGCAGTTGGACATACCAGAGGTGACGGTCACTTTCAAAACGCTGTACCGATATGCAACAAGAAATGATCTTATCATCATTGCTGTTAGTTCTATTTGTGCTATTGCAGGAGGGGCCGTCTTGCCGTTGATGACCGTTAGTAACGTGTCCTCGAGTTTGTCAGATATATAGCCTGCTCACGGCATTCCAGGTTATTTTTGGTCAGCTAACAGGCATCTTCCAAGGCTACTTTCAACAAACAATATCGCATTCACACTTCAATGCTGAGCTTTCACACTTCACGCTCTATTTCATTTACCTTGCAATTGCAGAGTTTATTACCATCTACACCTGTACTGTTGGATTCATTTACACAGGAGAGCATATCGCAGGGAAGATCCGTGAGCAGTATTTGGCAGCCATCCTGCGTCAAAACATTGCATTCTTCGACAAGCTTGGAGCTGGAGAGATCACTACACGTATCACGGCCGATACCAACCTCGTACAGGATGGAATATCTGAGAAGATAGCCCTTACGTTGACCGCATTCGCTACCTTCGCGACCGCTTTCGTGATTGCATTCATCAAATACTGGAAGCTCACCCTGATTCTCTCATCTACAGTCTTTGCCATAGCGTTCTTGATGGGGGCTGGGTCGACATTCATCATCAAATATAACAAGCAATCGCTAGAGTCGTATGCCTTAGGCGGTACTGTTGCCGAAGAAGTCATAAGCTCCATCAGAAATGCCACAGCTTTCAGTACTCAGGACAAGCTTGCCCGGCAATATGATACACACTTGGTAGAAGCTGAAAAGTGGGGCCTCAAGCTCAAGGTCGCCCTAGCAGTCATGATTAGCGGTATGATGGGTATCATCTACTTCAACTATGGCCTCTCGTTTTGGATGGGATCACGATTCATTGTCGATGGCCAGATGACGCTTAGCGAGGTCCTCACAATTATGCTTGCTATTATGATAGGAGCTTTCTCTCTTGGAAATGTGGCTCCAAACGCCCAGGCTTTCACCACCAGTATCGCTGCTGCCGGCAAGATTTTCAACACTATCGATCGAGCCTCTCCTTTGAACCCTATGAATGACGAGGGTGAGAAACTTGAGCATGTGGAAGGCACAGTGGAGTTGAAGAATATCAAGATGATATACCCGTCAAGGGCCGAGGTGGTGGTAATGCAGGACGTAAACCTCAAGGTACCGGCTGGGAAAACAACAGCCCTTGTTGGCGCATCGGGGTCCGGAAAGTCCACGATCGTCGGCCTTGTAGAGCGCTTTTACGATCCTGTGGGTGGCGAGGTTTGCCTCGATGGCCATGAGGTCAGCAAATTGAACTTGAGATGGTTGCGCCAACAAATTTCCCTCGTCAGTCAAGAGCCAACATTGTTTGGCACGACTATATTCGGTAACATCAAGCACGGGCTCATTGGCACGAAACATGAGAACGCCGACATCGAACAGCAAAAAGAACTCATTTTGGCTGCAGCTAAAATGGCTAATGCGCATGACTTTGTTATGGGTCTTCCCGAGGGGTACGACACAAATGTGGGAGAGCGCGGCTTCCTTCTCTCGGGTGGGCAAAAGCAGCGAATAGCGATTGCTCGGGCCATGGTCAGCGATCCCAAGATATTGCTGCTGGATGAGGCTACATCGGCTCTAGATACCAAATCAGAAGGGGTTGTTCAGGCTGCCCTCGATGTTGCTGCACAAGGACGGACAACAATCGTAATCGCACATCGCCTATCTACTATCAAGACAGCCGACAACATAGTAGTGATGTCTCAAGGGCGGATCGTTGAGCAAGGCTCTCATGATGAGCTGCTCGAGAAGAAATCAGCGTACTACAACCTCGTCGAAGCACAACGAATATCCGCAGAGAATGAAGAAAAGAATGCAGAGGAGAATGTAGAAATGGACGAGTCCGAGGAAGAGCTCGTAACGTCCCTCACTCCCGAAAAGGAGGTCAGCCGGGAGAAGCTTGAGCGGTCGACCACTGGCAAGTCTGTGTCAAGTGCAATACTGGAAAGCAGAAATGCAAGCTCTGGACGTCAATATTCTCTATGGACCTTAATCAAAGTTGTTGGCAGCTTCAATAAGAAGGAAGTTCATTTCATGCTCGTTGGACTTGTCTTCTCCATCATTGCTGGAGCAGGCAATCCCACTCAGTCGGTCTTCTTCGCCGAAGAGATTGTTGCTCTGTCCCTGCCTCCTTCGATGTACTCTAAACTCAGGCACGACGCTGATTTCTGGGCTTTGATGTATCTCATGCTGGCCTTGGTGCAAATTTTGTCATTCAGTGCTCAGGGCATAGCTTTTGCATTCTGTTCCGAGCGCCTAGTACATCGAGCCCGAGACAAGGCATTTCGGACTATGCTTCGACAGGACATTGCTTTTTTCGACAAGGAGGAAAATTCGGCTGGTGCCCTGACATCCTTCCTATCAACCGAGACGACCCATCTGGCAGGCATGAGTGGTGTGACTTTGGGCACCATACTTGTCGTCTGTACGACACTCATTGCGGCCATCTCGCTATCTTGCGCCATGAACTATAAGCTCGCTCTTGTTTGCACTGCCACAATACCAGTCCTGCTTGCTTGTGGCTTCCTTCGCTTTTGGATGTTAGCTAGGTTCCAAGACCGAGCCAAGAAGGCTTATGAATCGTCTGCTAGCTTCGCATGCGAGGCTACTGCTGCTATACGCACCGTCGCATCTCTAACTCGAGAAGAGGACGTTTGGGAACATTATCACCAAAACCTTGTCGCTCAGGGGAGGGCAAGCTTACATTCTATCCTTCGATCTTCGATACTTTACGCTTCATCTCAATCTTTCATGTTCTTATGCACAGCCCTAGGCTTCTGGTATGGAGGCACACTCCTCGGCAATAAGGAAATAACCGAGCTTCACTTCTTCATCTGCTTTTCTGCCATCATCTTTGGTGCGCAATCTGCTGGAACAATCTTCTCATTCGCCCCAGACATGGGCAAAGCGAAGCAAGCTGCCAAAGAGCTCAAGACGTTATTTGATCGAGTACCGGCAATTGATTCATGGTCGCAAGACGGTGAGCGATTCAGCGACATGGAAGGCACCATTGAATTCCGAGATGTGCACTTCAGATACCCAACCAGGCCGGAGCAACCCGTGCTGAGAGGTCTCAGTCTTACGGTCAAGCCGGGCCAGTACGTCGCGCTTGTTGGGGCCAGTGGGTGTGGGAAGAGCACGACCATTGCCCTGATGGAGCGTTTCTACGACCCACTTTCTGGAGGTGTCTTTGTCGATGGCAAGGAAATCTCCAGCCTCAACATTAATGACTACCGAGGCTTTTTGGCATTGGTCAGCCAAGAGCCAACGCTGTATCAAGGCTCCGTTCGGGAGAATGTGCTGCTCGGTGCTGATAGAGAAGATGTGCCCGAAGAGGCTATTATTCAGGCTTGCAAAGATGCCAACATTTACGACTTCATAATTTCTTTGCCGTGAGTTTCGTGTCCTGTTACAGCGTAATTCGCAATATGGCTGACCTTGATTGCAGTGATGGCTTCTCCACCGTTGTCGGTTCCAAGGGCAGTATGCTTTCCGGCGGCCAAAAGCAACGCATCGCCATTGCCCGGGCTCTTCTGCGTGATCCCAAGATCCTTCTACTCGACGAGGCCACGTCGGCTCTTGACTCTGAATCAGAGAAAGTGGTGCAAGCAGCTCTTGATGCTGCGGCACGGGGTAGGACAACGATTGCAGTGGCACATCGCTTAAGCACTATTCAGCGGGCGGATATGATCTACGTATTTGATCAAGGCAGGATCGTGGAGCACGGAACGCATAACGAGCTTTTGAGGATGGGAGGGAAGTATTTCGAGTTGGTGAACATGCAGAGTTTGGAGAAGATGCACTAATGAGGTTCATGGTTCATGCTCATACTGTCCTGTACCTGTAGAAGTTTTGGGTGTGATTTGAGGGTGTGCTTTGAGCGAGTTAGCATGGCGATGGCGGTATTAGCTAGCGAAATAGATGCCTCCACTCGTTCGGCTGGGCAAATAGATTAGCCACGATGTATGGATTTCTACTCGCTTCGGACATACCTGAAGGTATAAAAGCTTTGATCCTACAGTTCTTTCAATCGTACCATGCCTTCCAATATCTTCCGTTGGTTCCAAGCGATCATTGCTACTCACTCTGTCCCCAATCTACGAAGCATTCTGTAATATCCCTCACCATGGTGCATCCCTCTTCCTCAATCTCCCTCGCCGACATCAAAATCTTGATAAACCTCTCTCACGGGTACGCCCCTGTTGTCGGCTATGATGCCCATCAGACCTTGGCCAATGTCGCGGATCTCGTTGTAGTCGTGCAAGAGCTTGATGTGGGCTTTCACTGTTGCTTGGGGATCTTTGGTTCTGGAGCAATCATAGGTTAGGAGACCGCAAAAGAGAAGAGAAAGGCGGCAGAAGTGGGTGCGACGGAGGCGAGCGGTGAGGCAGAAAGACAGGCAAGTGTCGATGGACCGATTGCCGGGAGAAAAAAAGGGGGGTGGAAGCATGCTTGGAAATTGCACGATTTAGACAGAAATGATGGCAACGTCTGAAGCGTTTCTGGATTTTCTGGCAGGTAGAGCGCACGGCTTTCAAAAGGGAGACGACTGTCATGAAACTCACTTTAGCTGCCCATCCACCTCTCTCCGCTTGTCTTCGGTCTCTCGGATCTGGGACTCTAGAGCTGCGATCTTGGCTTCTAGAGCTGCCTAATCCTCGTTGTCAGTCTTGGCCTGGTCATTGTGGCCGGGGTTTTGAGAGTCAGAAGAGAACAGACAATCTTCTTGGCCTCGAGCGGATCGGCCTGTGCCGGTGATGAAGGAGACGCGGTAAGAGGGCCGGGCTTAGGGACTTCTTGGGTTGATGTTGGAGATGAAGACATGAGAGGAAAAAGGGGAGCTTTTTGAAGTGGAGATGCTTGAATGCCTTGAGACGGCCAATTGTACAGCGGATTAAGGATGTGGTCTGAATCAGAAGAAAGAAGTATTTTGTAGGAGAGTGTCGAGAGCGTCTAGATAGAGGCAATCATAAAGCGATTATTAGTGCTTGGATTTGACTGGTGGTCTAAAGAGCAATCAATGGAAATGATGAGATGGAGTGAATATTAATGTCCGGCAATCGTTGTTTTTGTTATCAGCCTTGACTGAATGGCTCTTTTCCCTTTCTTTACCAGGATCCTCTACTCGTAGAATCGCGACTTGCTCGAAGGCTCGGAGGGTTCTCAATCTTCCTCGGTCATTCTGACTCTATCGAGAGCGAGACTGTGTGTGTCCGCTGGGAGCCTCGGAGCGTAAGCATTTGCGGGCGGGAATGGCGGCATGTCCGCCCGACCACCACCAAATTTGCCCCCCTTCTATATACATGTATTGTCTGGAAGAAAAGAAGCTCCAGTAAAGATACCAAAGACACCATTCCAACAAAAATAATCATCACCACCACCTCAGGCAGCTTTAAGTCTCTGCCAACTCTTTTCTGGGGACAATGCAGGCACATATACCCCACGGCAAACCACTTGCATGATGTTCTCCAACGCCCTTTCCACGTCAGCAGCACGGATACCGACTATGTCTCGCCCTCTCCGTCACCTTGCTCTGCTGTGGCTAGCAGGACAAGCGTTCGCTCATGAGCACCATACCGATGAGATACCAGAAGGCGAGGCGATTTCTGCACAGCCTATTGTACCTTCCCCCAGCATTGAGCGCCCTAGCCATTCTGACATTGGAATATCAGGATACTACGTTATGGATCCATATAGCCATTCAAATAGCCTCCTTTGGCATCATCTTCCCCACTGGAATGGTCCTAGGGGTAACGTCTACTCCTACTCACGCCAAAGTCAAATCCCTGCAAGTCTGACCGCTTCTTTTAGATCATTCGCTCACGTTGGCACGTACCTCTCCAAGTCCTCGGTGTCATTCTCTCAATAGTCGGCTACTTCCTTGGCCATGCCCACGGTGGTCGCCAATTCGCCCATAACGTCCACGCTTCTTTCGCACCATTCCTGATGCTCATGCTCATTGTCCAAGTCGTACTCGGCGTCTACCTGAAGCTGCATCTGGAGAAAGGGATACATGCTAGGATACGTCGCTACATGGTCATAGGGCATGGAGTAGTAGGGAAAGCATTGCCGGTAGTCAGCTGGGTGCAGATGCTGTTCGGGGGCATTACGGCCTTGGGATTCTGTCAAGGGGACCACCTAGGTCAATGCCTGGCCCACTTCATTATGGGCAGCGCCTTCATCGGCTACGGCATTGTTCTCACAATCCTGCTGCTGGTTGGTCAGATGTGGCTCAGGAGGACCGGCCGAAGCCAAGAATTCTTTGACAGTCTGATAATAGCAGCATGGGGCTGCGTCAATACATTTACGGAGCACAGGTGGGGAGGCCCATGGGTGGCTAATGACCTGCAGCATACAAGTATGGGTATCGTATGGTGGTGTGCGGGCCTGCTTGGAATGTGGCTGTCAAGGAAAAGAGATGGGAGGCCGAAGAGGAATCTTTTCCCAGCATTGGTTATAATGCTTACAGGATGGGGCATGAGCGCTCATCCTCAACATCTGGAGCTGAGCACGCATGTCCACACGGTCTTTGGGTACACGCTCATGGCTGCTGGAATGGCCAGGATAGTAGAGATTTCGTTCGTTCTTCGGGACCAAAATACAATATCTGATACGGAGGTGGAGGACACTAATAGCTTTCAATACATTACGCCTTTTGTAAGTAGCCCTGCAAATACCTCTCTCCTTATAAAGATTTGTCTGTGTTCAATTGCTGACTTCTACACAAGCTACTCTACACCTCCGGCTTCCTCTTCATGGGCGCCACAGAGGAACAAATGAACCTCCTCACCACCGCCGGCGTCTCCCACGTCTCTTACATCCTTCTCCTTTTTAGCATTTCTTTCTTGCTCTTCCTATTCGTCTGTATGCTGCTGCACCTCTACGCTTCATACGCCTGGCCTCTCGACCGTATCCAGCCCAAAGCTATGGCCAAGGGAGGGTTAAACGGCCATGTTGGGCACGTGAATAGGAGGGTGAGGGATTCCGAGGAGTTCGAACTGGAAGGCCTCATGAGTGATGATGAAGTGGCAGAGGATGGAGTCGGAACCCCTGCTAGTAAGAAGGCGAATGGGACGCTGACTTAGATAAATGGGCTTTCTAGGAGTTGCATATTACATATCTAGGGCGTTGAATGGGTCCCTGTTCTTTATTTTGGCCTGCTTATAGGCACATAGCCATCATACATGTATTGCCTAGAGCCATATGGAGGGAGAACAAACCTTCAACCTATGCCTTTGGTTGGCAGCTGTCCTATGAGTTGATTCTATGCACAATTGAAATCAATTTACTGGAGAATAATTGTAAAACAAAGCGTTTTTGTTGGTCGCTATCCTATCATATCTGCCCTAACAATGGGCACACATGCATGATACTATTAAAAGGAAAAGATTCCATTACTGATCACATGAAAGGGCTTGCTACCCATTTCATCAACACAACAAAGACTTTTCCACCTGATCATAATTCATCCTCACATAATGTTGTTGATTCCATCCCTGCTCAGCGCATCTCATGGTACTCCCCCTCACCCTGGCCAACAGCGGCAGGAGCGCGTGTGGGACCGGCGCCCAGGTCGTCTTTTGTGGATGTCAGCCAGTGGATGATGGACGCACTCCATGTGACTGTAGATCCATTAGTACTGTCATACGGGGAGCAAGCCCGTAGAACGGGGCAAGCGACGAGGAACATACTGTCAATGGTGCATATGGTGAAGCAGAGCCAACCGTTTTCGTGTCCGTTCAAAGCGAAAAGGATGACAAGGTTTGCGATGGTCGGCAAGATGATGGCTGAGGCGCCCAGTCCGGATCTGCCCATGAAGAACTCGCACGCGATGACGGGGTCGCGCAGACCGGGCACTTTGCGGAAGGGCAGAGCCATGGCGATGCAATGCAGAGCGTGTTGGAAGTTTCGGATCTTGACCAGACGCGCACCTCGCATCACGAAGACGAAGGTGAGGGCGAAGTTGATGATGATGTCGTAAGATAGGAGTGGGATGGTGATGACGAGAGGAAGGCCGATGCGGCATTTGCCGTCGATATGGGAGAGGGAGGTGACCGGATGGATGAAGGCAAAGACAGCTAGCACACCGAAGCCGAAGACTACGATGGCGATTCCCAGAAGGTAGATGGCGTCGCGGAGTCTTGGAAGCTTTGTCGCCACAAGCTGGTGCGCTCGCTCCACCAGGAAGAGGTATAGGCAGACCTTGCTACCAACGTAGAAAACGAGGCAGAGATCAATGGCAGCGCGGCAACGGCCTTCGGTGGTGAAGTCCCACGCGTTGATGAGGAGACCGGCCGAGAAGATAAAGGCAAGAGTGCAGGAGTAGATAGCCAGTACGAGGACGCGGATGGAGTTCAGCTGCTTGAAGTTACCGATCTCAAGTGTTTTAACGCGAGTGGCTAGGAAGAGGTTAATTATTTATATAGAAAGCAGCAATGGTGATCGGCTGTTAGAGAGGGGCTTGCAAACATACTAAGCATTCCGGAAACCATACAAAGGCCGATTAGTGATATCATCGAGTAGATAACATGTCCTTGAACCGGCGTGCGGTGAGAGTAGTCATAACCATCACGAGTTCCTTGCAGAATTAATTTCATATTTCGCTTGCTTCATATTAAAGGGGTTCATACCAAGAGGCGACGGCAAAGCATTTGCTAATTGCCCAAGGTATACCGCAGTCGATACTAGGAGGATGGCAAGATTCACGCGGGTAGACATATTGACTGGGTCTGCAACCTCATTAGTAGCCGATCAACCTCATAGCCAATTTCAACATCGGCGAATGCTGATAAACTTACGACGACGCGATAAATGATTGAACGGTTAATAGACTTAATTGTTTACCGTGTAAGAAGGCGATGTATTGGTGGAACGAGATGACGGTGTACGTAGACTGTAGAGTTGGTTAAGGAAAGTGAGGTGTCGACCGGAGGAAAGTGATAGATGTGAGGCAATTATTTTAGCGTGTTTATGGGACGATCATAGTAATACAGAACAGGATCACTTAAAGCACAGCACATATCACGGCACTTTACCTTTTATTATTCAACACTATTTTATCTAGTATCATTTACGCAGAAACCGGTATGCGTAAAGAGAAACTGAATGCAAGGTGGTCCAATTGTGTGACATCTTCAAAGGGAGAGACCAGCTTCGATTTTTCTCTTTAATTGGGCATGCTGCCACCGAACGGCTACTCCCAGCCACGCGGTCAACCCTATCAAAGATGTGAAGCAAAAACAATAATGTCCGTTCATGCATGCAAATTCAGAATATTAGGGGTCGCTACTGCAATAACATGTTATCTGCAAAGGGCGAGACCATTATGTGGTATATCCTGTAATTGAATATGCTACCATGCCAGTGCTACTTACAGGAGAGGTATTCCGGAGAGGGTAAAGCAATGGAGATGATGGCCCCAGAATGTAACAAGATGACTGTATTGGGCATAGAACGATACTCGCAGTCTTCCCTGTGATCAGGTGTCATCCTTGACTACTCACAGATGAATATTTAGTCTGTAGAGATTGTACAGCAATGGGAATGATAGCCAAGAAGGCAGGCAGAATGGTGGCAAAGACAAAGAACCACATATTCATAAAGATGGTTTCTACAAGGTGCCACCTTCAAATAGCGACCTACAGAGAGATAGTCGCCGCTGCAGAGATTGTAGAGCAATGAGAATGAAGGGATGCTCGCAGAATGGTGGCAGAGGTGATTGGGCAAATCCACAAAGAATTGCTGATTTGTCAACTTGGCGGTACTCAATTTTGGATCTTACCCATGTAAATACATTTGAGAAGCCCTTGGACTCTCCGGACTGTCAATCTGAACTGACGGTGGTGAGAGTGGCCCAAGCCGTTCAACGGAGAAAGAAGTGAAGTCGAGATTTGCCTCGGTCCCTCAGAGCGTGCTAAGCCCCTTCGGATTAGCCCCTTCTACTTACTACGAAGTCAGCAGGCTAAGCCGAAAGAGCTTAGTGACAGGCTAGGCTGGTCTGAGGAACAGAGGCAAGTCGATCCTCAGAACTAGGCCCTATCAAAGTTGACCAGTGTGCAGCAGCTTCTTCCTCTACATATCTTACATCTTTCTGTCCCGCGAAAAGACAACATTTCTCGCCTCTTATATTCTGACCGCTGATTGTCGACATGCCTAAAGCTGAAGTAGGCAGTACGAAATACCTGAATAATAAACTCAAATCCAAGGGTCTGCAGCGCCTGAGATGGTAAGCTTCCGGCACCTTGCTCTACTGTTTGTGATTGCTAACCCTTGTCCAGGTACTGTCAGGTAGACTCCTTGTTTCTGAAAGTCAGAGCCTAGTACTAAGGGGTGTACAGATTTGTGAAAAGCAATGCAGAGACGAGAACGGATTCAAGTGCCATACGCAAGCAGAGTCCCACGTGAGAAATGCTCTGTTGGTTGGCGAGGCAAGTTTTCTTCGCCCGAACAGAAAGCTCTTGCACTTGCTAACATAACGTTCCAGGACCCTCGAAAACACATTTCAGACTTCTCGAATCAATTCCAAAGAGACTTTTTGCAACTCCTTCGTACGAGCCATGTGGAGAAAGCGGTGCAGATGAACCATTTTTACCAGAATTATATCGCAAATAAAGAACAGTAAGCCGGCTTTGCGTCCTCCATCCCTTCGACTGTCGCTTTGACAGCCACCAGAAAGGTCCCTCCCAGGAAGTTGTTAATCCTAGTGCTGTCGACCAAACAGCGGAAGGAGTTCAACTGCTTTTATGGCTCTACTTTGGCTTTTTAGGACCAACACTGATTTCTATCTGTTATCTAGTATCCACATGAATGCAACAAGATGGCCATCATTAACAGAATTTGCAAAACACTTAGGTCGTGAGGGGCTCTGCAGGGTCGAGGACACCGACAAAGGCCTTCAGATCGCTTGGATTGATAATAGCCCTGAGGCCTTGAGAAGACAAGACGCTATAAGGAAAAAGGAAAGGCAGGACAAGGGCGACGAGGAGAGGGAGCAGAAGATGATCAGGGAGCAGATTGCAAGGGCGGAGATGGATGCTGAGATGAAGGCTCAGCAGGACCACGATGATGAGGCGCGGGACTTTAAGCCCAACGAGGGAGAGAAGATCAAGCTCAGCTTTGGGACCAAGGCGAAGGAAAGCAAGGACCCCTCGCCGTCTGCAGTCGCTAAGCTTGAGAGCGATGACGGGACAGAACCCGGAAAGGAGATAACGAAGTCGATATCACCGCCAACCGGAGTACCAACACCTCCACCTGAAAAGGTTTCGATAAAGATGGGCATGAAAAGCAAGCCAAAGAACATTTTCGCCGGGGTCTTAAAGAGGAGCGCTCTTGGAGCAAAAGTGCCCCCCAAAGAGTTGCCAAGGAAGCCCATAAGTGAAGCGGAGCGGATCATGAAGGAAGAAATCGAACGGAAACGAATGAGAGATGCTAGTGGTCCGGGCCTCAACTCGAAACGACCACGACTTGCATAGGAGCTGCATGTTTTTGATGGATCATGATGGAATATTCAAAGCGCGGAGTCCAGGGGAACGGAGCACAAATCATATCTGGGAATAGCATTGCATATGAAGGTCTTTTTACATCTGGATACCTGTTTTGGTAGTTTACTAGAGCTCTTGCAAAGTCTTGAACTTCGAGACAGGAAGGATATCAATTCTTGAATTCAAAACTAGACATAGTTCTCATTGTGTTAGTAATCTTCTTCTATGTAAGCAGGGAGTAGACCATGCTACTCGTGCTGCTGATTTCCTTTGGCGAGTTTTCTTCAGCCCTACGGCAAAAAGCCACGACTTCAAAATCCAATCCCATTCCTTTCTTTGCATCAAACACATCCATAAGTGATCCAAAGTTCACCGCGCAACGATTACATGGAAGCATATCGTGCAGCCCCTCCAGTGTCGAGGTACGTCATTAATTCTCTCACATGCTCCAACCATTCATGCCTTTTCTAGCAAGGGCAGCCGTTCTGATGCTGATGGGACAGGACCTTGACAGCACTGACGCTTGGTACGTCGCTGCTTGTATACGGCAACATCATTAGTGGAAGTCGAGTCGTCTTCTACCTGCCATGGATATTCAAGTTCCCATTGCCAGAAGTATGGCGGTTTGTCACATCGTTTTGGGTGACTGGTGGAGGTCTAAGCATACTTTTTGATACTTACTTCTGTGAGCCTCATCGACATCCTTACAAATTTCCGTGTTCATGAGTTATCAAGTATGGACATACTCGAGCGGCCTCGAGAAGGAGTCTGGCCGTTTCTCTCAACCGGGAGATTTCTTCACCTACATCATCTTCCTCGGCCTTGTGATCCTAGTAAGTTCAAATACCCTCCTTCTTTCAGCTTGTCTACGCTTTTCGTGTTCACTACCTCCCTGGTTTATCCTTTCCTTGGCGTATATACAAGCATACCTCACATATCTGCCCGCCCAGCCATCATCTAGCTGAAGCGGTTCCTGGAGATGAGGAAGATTACCCTTGCATCTCGCGCAGGCCCGTCATTCGCAATCAATCCTTAAGGGCTTGCGTGCGGTGTAGGCATGGTGGAAGCGAAATTTGAGATAGCCTACGTGATCTTTGAAATTCGCGTTCGGTGGTTTTTGCTTCCTACATATTTAACTTTTTGGGTATCTCATGGCGGTTCTGTTGATCTTCGGATTTTTTTATAAAATTTACTGACTTACAAAAGGCTACAGCTGGTTTTATCCTAGGCGGTGCGGTCTTCACTCAGGGTATGGTCTATTTTGATAGTCTCTGACTATAGGCTAACGCCGGCAGCTCTCATTCTTGGCATTGCATACACATACTCGCAAGACAACAGAGGCAAGAAGGTCTCGTTCTTTATTATCACTTTCAACGTGATTTGGTTGCCGTGGGCAATGCTCCTGATGACATTCATCATGGCTGGACCTGACGCAGCCTTGAAGCAAGGCGCAGGTCTTCTGGCTGCTCATCTCTACGACTTTCTAACCCGCCTCTACCCAACGTTTGGCGGTGGGAAGAACTTCATCCGCACACCTGCGATCGTCAAGCGCTGGTTTGGGGCAGATAAGTCCAGCTTCCAAGCAAGAGGTTACGGGACTGCATTCAGACCTGCAACTCAAGCACCCGGTCGTGGCACGTCAAGCGGCTTTGGATTTTCAAGTGCATGGGGTACTCGAGGGCAGGGTCAGCGACTTGGGGGAGATTGAGCTGCTAGGAGAAGCAGGATAGCGTCGGTTCTTTTGATGTATGAGTAGTAGAATGCAAAAGAGGTTCACCATAGCATTGAGACCCCTGAATATTTGGAGAGTCTCGAGAGTCGGAACTCGGAAAGACGATGCCATGCCAAGAAATGCGCGTTCGGCTAGAGCTCCCCCACATGTCCGCAAGAAACTGCAACTAACAGCTACAGACAATTCTAACTTCTACGAACCCCAAAAGGATGAAAGAGCGACCGCAATAGTATCCATCACGTGTCAGCGTCAGTCGAGTCGAAAGATGGCAGACGTTCCTGCCAAAGGCCAAGAGGTGGACTATACCATTAAGCCAGAAGCTACAACGCCAGCAGTCGATACCAGCAACAGACCATTGCTCCTCAAAAATGACGACAGACTACTCGTCCGAACCGGCCATTTCACGCCAATCCCTGTGGGATGTACTCCTCTCAAGCGTGACCTCAAATCTTTCATTAGCTCCGGTGTGATCAACCTCGCCAAACCTAGCAATCCTTCCAGTCATGAGGTGGTCGCGTGAGTCAAGCGCATGCTCAAATACATTGAATGGTGCTCTTCAAAGTACCGGACAAACAACGTTATTTCGTTTGTTTGCAGCATGAATAACAAACGCAAAACAGGTTTAGTCATGTTCCGAAGCTTTATTGAAAGGCTGGATAGCCCACACAAAACTGGTCAGATTGTTGTTAACGCTGTATTGACTGACGATAAAAGGACCGTAGATACGTCTACAAAGCTCGCGTCGCATAAATTGAACCAGAAATCTTCGACATCTAAGCATATTCAACAAATCCGCACTGCTGTTGAGATAATAAAATAACTCGAAATTTACCGATTTGAAGTAAATCATAAAATCGTCGAGGGAGCCTCCAGCGCTCCCTCTCTTGATCTAAAAAATACATATCTGGTTCTCAAACAGAATGGCTATGACAGCCGACGGCTTCTCCCAAATTCAAGTCATACTCTAATTCAACCTATTCAAAGGTTCCTTGGACAAGTACTGAGACTCGAAAGATCGAGTCTACCTTTTACCTTCAGAATCCTATTTCCATAAGATCCTTTAATTAATTAAAATCACACCGCCGCAGTCGATGCAATACAGATAGCGCAGATCCTACGGCTGCTAGCCGAGTTAACGAAGTCTCCTAAAGAGCGCAATGTACTCGAAGGCTTGCTTCAAGGCTTCGAAAAACTGGCGTGGCTAGAGGACAATGACACCCAGAGTACTACCTTAGATCGTTACTTTGAATCTGTTAGACCCGAAGCTAGCGATACTGCTTTCAACGTTGATAGTGGAGGATCAAATCGCATGGAGGTTGATGATCGGGAGGTCGAGGACAAAGTACTCCGTGGTGAAAAGGTAGCCAACGAAGATGACGATAAGAAAACCAATGACAAACGATTGAGCGACGAGAACGCTGATGAGGAGGCCTTCCATGTTGAGGAGGACTCCGGTGTTGTGGAGGAGGACTTTGATGTTGAGGAGGACTCCGATGCTGAGGAGGACGTACTTCCCGACGCTCTTGATGCAGGTGAAGATATCGAGTAAAGGGTCTTCCGAGAAGCTTTCTATTCTGAGTTTCTTCCAACAGACGATCAAAGTAACGACGGAGAAAAGACAGAGTGACGCCTTCAGAACACCGAATGAGACCCAGGGCAAGGCGCACGTGATAGAGCCCCGGTCTCTCTCAAGACTTCGGAGAAGACGCCGCGCTGTACAGCCTCTAAGGCCACCTTTGGGACCCGTCGACCAGTTGTTTCACACGCGTTATCAGGGGCCGTTTGGGAGCGCTGACGTACGTAGTATTATTGCATGACAAGGACAGGTTCGACTCGTGCACGGAATCATTGCCAACGTAGGGGCCAACCCATCTATCTCACGCAAGATAGCATGGATAGACAGCCACAAGCTCTAGCAATGCGGCGCTGAGTTATATGATTAATTATTTTTCCAAGATCTTCATTATGTTATTGTGAAATAATAGTGATTTCGATTTTAGACGATTGCATGTCCCCAGGCACCCAGGGAATCCGGGATCTTGGCACAGAAGTCTTGGCGTCCAGGACTCTTGGCGCCAACCTCCCTCCGTAATCGCTCCGTAAGGAGCGAATAGTCGGATAGATTACTCACCTAGGTCACCTAGCCGTGCTAGCTCACCCAAAGTATAGCGGCCACCCCCATGCGACCTTCGTAAGTGGGGTGTACATTTCTGTTGTCTTCTAGGTGCCAAGCCCCATGACCAGGTTCTCTCCATCCTTCCTCAACTATATATCCATTGGACAAACAGCAAGACCATTTTGGAGGCAAAACAACAGTATGACCTGATAAATCGACAAGCTCGCATCCAGTGCCTTTCAAACCCCCGCAGAGTCTCTCGCAATGGCCGCCGAACTCACAACCACAAAACTCAATGCGGAAAGCCACCTGCTCTTGGTATATACCCAATGCTCTCAACATCCTGAAAGCTAACGAGATACCATGAACAGGATCAACCCCTCCTCCGCCTCCCACATGAATTTGCCCGAAAAAACTTCAAGATTGTCCAGAAGCACGTCGAGAGGGAGAACAAGGACGTCCTCTCGGCTCTCAAATCCACAGCCAACGCCTCCCTGGCCGGCCAAGATGCATCCAAAACAGTCGCTTCCCTAGACAACATGATAAATCGAATGCGAGGTTTGAAGCGGAAGATGGAAACTCTACACAGCGAAGAGAAGGCTCTGCATCAGGCGTCTAGGAAGCGCATACAGCATCTACAAAATCTATACGAGATACCCAGTTTGGCAGACGTGAAATACGATGAGTGGTCGAGGGTGAGGTTAAACAGGTTACTGGTGGATTATCTACTCAGGTGTGGATATGTCGAAAGTGCCAGGGCGCTGGCGAGGGAGAAGGGCATTGAGGAGTTGGTGGATCTGGAGGTCTTTGTGCAGTGCCACAGGATCGAGGAGAGCTTGAGAAGGAAGAGTACGCAGGAGTGCTTGGCCTGGTGTGCGGAGCATCGGCCGATGATGAAGAAGCTTGATGTGAGAGCTGTCCTCAAGGAGCTCATGAAAGCACGAGATGCTGATAGTAGGAATTCTGCAGAATCGCCTCGAGTTTGAGCTTCGGTTGCAACAGTACATTGAACTTCGCCGGAATGGGCAGCTTGTGGAAGCCCGGCAACATGCGCAGAAATACCTGACCCAACATGCTGGTACATATCTTGAAGAGGTGAACAGAGCTGCGGGGCTCCTTGCCTATCGACCAGACACCCAAGTGCAAGAATATAAGGTCAGGAGCCATACAGAGACGTTCATTGCCTGTATGCTGACAGGGACAGAAATTATATTCCGAATCTCGATGGGACGACCTAGCCAAACTCTTCGTCAATACCCACCACGAGCTCTTCTCACTCCCTGCACGTCCACTCCTCCACATAGCGCTTTCCGCAGGACTTTCGGCTCTCAAGACACCTTCTTGCCATTCGAAGCATGCGAGCAGCACAGCAAATGCAAGTTCGACGACGACATCGGTTTGTCCGATTTGCTCAACGGAGCTGAATGATCTTGCTCGCAACCTGCCCTACGCACACCATACAAAGAGTTATGTTGAGAATGACCCCGTCGTCCTGCCGAACGGCAGGGTGTACGGGAGAGATCGACTGCTTGAGATGAGTGCGAAGGTGGGTCTGGACGCGAGCCAGGTAAAAGATCCGACGACTTCTGTCATATATCCAGCCTCAGAGATTCGGAAAGTGTACATATCCTAATGCCCAGACCTTTTCCCAAACCCACAAGTTGTCTAGTTGTCAGCATAGCCAGTGGAGATTGATAGCGAAGGCGTTATCTTTGGGGAGCACTAAGATATTCCGATAAGGACTGGTCTGTTGATCAGTCATCTTCCGAGTCACTGTCTTCGCTTTTCTTTTTGCTCCTTAGTGCTTCCCGTGTTCCTCCATCGTTGACCTCGAAGACATACGTCCTGGCTGGCCGATCAACACCCTTCCAGCCTCCTCCGCCTTCAATGTTCCCGAGAGTCCTGGCGTGTTGGTATCCTGGATAGGCACAGGCCTGGAATTTGAAGCTCCGCTCAACCTTCAAGCCCACATGTCGCGCGAGATCTCTGACGTTCCAAAGTTCGTACGGCTCGCCGTCGAAGATAGTAACAATGATCGATCCTGAAGGAGCCAGCAACGGTAGCGCAGCTTTGAAAAAACCGACGAGGAGTTCTTCGCGAATCGGTCAGCCGGATTGACAGCCCCCAGCCTGTACTAAAGAAATGTATGGTGTTTCTGACCTTGGTTGTGCCTGACCTGTCGATTCACATCCTTTGTCAAGCCGCCCACGTGCGGGAAATTGAATACTACTTTGTCAAAGCCGCCCTTCTTGACCTCTTTTCCTCCTCCACCGCCTTCTGCTACTCCTGGTTTCCCAAGCTTGGTTGCGTCAACCCCATACCGAACTATGCAATTCTCCTCTGTTTCGAGGGCGGCGATGTTGGAGGCTGCTTGTGGATATTTGCTTCGGAGCGCGGAGACTTTGTCGTAGCTAGTCGCAATCAAATGAGTGCAACGATGGGCGCTGAGAAGGGAGCTGGAGAACGAAAAGTCGCCTTCCCCAACCAGAAGGATGCGGTCGCTAGACAGAAAGGGAACTGGTGGGGATGGAGATTTCGCGTCATTTGTGAGCTTGCGCAAGGAAGATCGAGATTTCGTGTTTGCAGCTGCAGCTTTCGAGTATGGCTTAGAACTGGAAGCCTTCACCTTTGGCCTCTTCGTCTTGCCCATTGGAGAGGAGAGGGTGGTTAGAGATTTAAGGAGAGGTCCGAGAGGTCAAGCTTGGACTCCGCTGCCAAGCCGCCAAGCCTTGCGGAGAAAAAGACAGTCGAGACAGTCAACCTCGTTGCCGAGGCTGGCCTTGTTCATGAGCACACCTAGCTATGTTTCCTCGATGAGCAGCATTACAGACGAGAAAACCGTCACAGAAGAAATCGCTCGTCTAGAGATCCAACTCACCGCTGCCCGTGCCCAATTGAACCATTCTCCTTCATCTCCGCCCGCCTCGGACAGTCACCCCGCTTTTCCTCCCAATGGTCTACCGTCCCACGCTCTTCTTCTTCTCTCCGACTCCGCCCTCCCTTTAGGCTCTTTTGCATTCTCCAATGGCTTGGAGTCCTACCTCGCACATCACCCTTTTCCTGCCAATCCGAAAGCTGCATCAGAAGCTTTCCCCCATTTCCTCACGCTAGCACTTACAACTCTTGCTACAACCACGCTTCCCTATCTTTTGGCTGCCCATAGATCTCCCAAGCGGCTCCCAGAGTTGGACGCTACCCTCGATGCATGCACTTTATGCCCTGTGGCCAGGAGAGCAAGTGTGGCGCAAGGGAAGGCGTTGCTCACGCTCTGGGAAAGGGCATTGAGGACAGGAGCGGGAGACTCGCCCGCTGCATTGGCCCTGGCGCAGTTCTCGCTGGAAATGAGAAAGACGCCGTTACACTGCGACAATGACGATGAGCTCAGCGGACACTTCGCTCCGATCTGGGCGGCGGTGACTTGTGCAATGGGCATCACGCTGCATGAATCTACATATACTTTCCTGTTCAACCACGCGAAGGCAGTGGTGAGTGCGGCAGTCAGGGCGAGTGTCATGGGGCCGTATGCCGCGCAGGGGGTGCTGGCCAGTGGATGGTTAAGGGGGCAGATTGAAGATCTGATGGCCAAGAATTGGGACGTGGGTATTGACGATGCAGCGCAAGGGGTGCCGATGTGTGATTTGTGGCTTGGCAGGCATGAGCTGCTGTATTCGAGGATATTCAATTCATGAGGCTTTCTGGCGACGGAAAGTGACAACACGAAAAATGGGCTTCTGTAGGGAATCGATGGATGTTGTCAAGGTCTCCATTCCGTCTAGGTATGCTCTCCTACCGAGAGAGCATGTATTGGCTACTACCAAAAGCTTGAACGCCCGCAAACTTCGCTTTCAAAACCACCGCCTCTATAGGGGCTCCTCTAAACGCCCGAGTCAGATGCAGTTTCGTCAATCATAAAATCTCCTTCAACTGGCTCTTCTGAGCCAATGTCAAACTCGTTGGAAACTTGACCTTCACCTCCACGATCATGTCTCCACGTTCGTCTTTACGTTCGTCTTTACGTTCGTCTTTACGTTCGTCTTTGTTCTTACCCTTACTCTTCGGCATGCCAAGATGCGGGAAGGTTTCTCTGTAGCCTGGTGGTGTGGGTCCGCCGCCGCGCACTGGGACTTGCTTGCCGTCAATGGTAGATATCGTTCGTTGCCAGCCCGTGAGGGCTTCTTTTAGTCCTAGCTCGATGACGGCTATGAGGTTGTCGTCTTGGCGCTTGAAAAGTGGGTGTTCTTTCTGCAACATTGTCAGCATTTCGAAAGAAGTGTTGGGCAAAGAACATCTTACCTCAGTGATAATGAAATGCAGATCCTGTGTCCCCCCTTCCTCCTGATCTCCCACCCCTTTAAACTTCATCTTCGTCCCAGCCTTGTAGCCAGGCTTGATCTCCATTTCCAGAATTTTGTCCTCAACATTCCGCTTCTGCGTTCGTGGATCGAACGTCTTCCGCTTGATCTTCATCTTCTTATGGGTTCCTTTGTATAGTTCCTCCAGCGTCACGAGCAACGGCCTCTCCACAGTGGTAATTTCCGGCGACCGATCCCTCCTCCTCATTGAGTTCCCAGCATATGAGTCTTTTCTCGACCCCCGTGAACTTCTACCGCCACCGGTGAATTGGGAAAAGATGTCATCATCGTCTCCTATGCCCGCACCGCCCCCCCTCATGAATTCCGCAAATACTTTGAACGGGTCGCCGCCACTGAAGCCCCCGCCCCCTCCGCCCATTGAGTAATGGAACGATCGTCCTCCACCTGGCATTCCCCCACCCATTCCGCCAAAGTTCGTTCCTTCGAAAGGCATCCCTCCTGGTCCGCCAGCGCCGCCAGCCTGCGGAGGAGCTTCAGCACCGCCGCGGAGGAGGAACTCGAGGCCATATTGGTCGTATACTTTGCGCTTTTCCGGGTCGGAGAGGATTTCGTAGGCTTGGGAGACTTCTTTGAACATCTCGGAGGCCTTGGGGTTGTCTGGGTTCTTGTCAGGGTGGTGTTTCAGGGCTGCTTTTCTGCCAAAAAGAATGTCAGTATGGAATGGTTGCAATGGAATAGGAGGAGAGCTTACCGGTAGGCTTTCTTGATTTCGTCTTGGGTGGATTCGGGTTTTATGCTGAGAGCATCGTAGAGCTTTGTTTCTGCTACCATGTTCGGCGAGGGCGTTCCAAAGTCTTGGTATGTCGAGTCGTAGTAGAAGTGGAAGCAAAGTCAATTGACACAGGGTATGGAAGACTACTGGCGCAAAGCTCGACGATCGTATCAAAATGTAGAACAAATTGATGGAACGGAAGGTGGTCAATGGCAGTTTGATTTGTTCAATTGGCGAACCAAGGGCAAGATGGGCAAGATGTTGAGTAGCAAGGTGAAGACAGAATCATTGCTTTTTCGCATATACTGAACAACGCTCAAGTCCTCTTCACGAGGCTTCTGCGGTGACCTTTGTTTGAGGGGCAGGCATGTGACCTTTTCGTCCGGAGCAAAAACAGGCTGTGATTGGTAGAACCTTCGAGAAGCTTCTATGTTGTACTGTAATGTACAAGTGTATTGATTACATGTATTGATAAGATAAGTGTTCGCGCTTAGATTAGGGCTCTAGATTGGGGTTCCCAAATTCCCGTGGCAAAGCAAAATTCCTCGAAAATCTTGTACAAATCATCCACTTGAAGGTATTCCAACTACGTCGGCTCCTTTAGAGTCCAACATCTATACTCATCATCGTTTGCTCATCCGAGGCGATCCAATATACCTCTAACATTTAGTACGAGCGTGATGGCATCACCATCCATTTGCCTTTCATGATCGTATCATTATCAGCCCCGTGGTGTTGACTCGGAAGCCGTGAGTAGAACAAAGCTGCCATTCAACCTATTTGGCGACAATCGAAACAACATCCTCGTCCGCCACAATATGACTTAACCCGACCCTCTGGGGTACATGTCGAGCGCTAGCTCCCCACACCATAGCATACTTGAATGTCTCCTTAAGCGTTCGGTGAACCTGATCGCAGACTTCTTCTATTGAAGATTTGTTTCTGACAATCAGTGCTTCGCTAAAGTCTGGTTCTTCCCCTTTCCTGCAGCTTCATTAGCTGGATGAAGTTCTCGGGCATCTAATACTCCGCACCGCTTCGTATAGATCCGCATTAGCTGCAATTCTTGCCAGCATCTCTCCACCACGTCTTGGATGCCCAGATCAAGCTCACAGCTCATGACCACAGTGTGTGGCTCTCTGGCGAGTTTGTCGAGGAAATCGAGAGAGACGGAGTCAATCTTGTTGTAAACGTACAGGCTTAGTTCAAAAGCTTAGCGGTACTCGTAAGGGTCTCGGAGATCGAGCATACCATTTGATATACTTCCTATGATCCTTCATTATGACGTCGATAAAGTCATCCTAGCACATTTCCGCGTCAGCATTCGAATTCGTTGATAAAGATTTGAGTATCAGGGCATGTATGGGGAGCAGAAAGGGTGCTAGATTGGGTGACTTGTTCCCCCAACATGTCCCGCGACTCTAAAATCAGTCTCGAACAGGATGAGATAAGTACGAGAAAAGCCTCACAACGGTCGCTGCCTATGATTAGCCTCTCCAAGAGGATTCGGGTTGTAACGCTTACCGTTCTCGTCTCGAACAAGCACTTCACAGTTCAGCATCTTGTAGTCTCGTAGTATATTGTACAGCATCTTCTCGTCAAGGTTTTTAGGAGGATTTTGAAATGTGATTTTCATGCCTCCGGCTTTTTTCGGTTTCAGGTAGATATTACTGGAGACTGATTAGGGCACTGGTTTGATTCTTCACTAACAGCATCGCCTACGGTGGCTCTCGATTCAATCGAATGCCAACAGCTTCAAGCTCGCCCTCAAGCAGCGCCCTCTGCTCTGCCTTCTTGGTGGCATCAAGGATCATCAAAACCAGGTCGCTTGTCTCGATGTATGTGAGTAATCAAAGCTGTCGCGAGCCAGATTTTCTTACCTTCGCAGCACTGATGACCTGCCTCCCTCGTCCCTTACCCTCGGAAGCTCCCTCAATAATTCCGGGCAGATCGAGAACTTGGATTTCTGCGCCTCCGTATTCAAGTACACCGGGGATGGCCGTCAGAGTAGTAAAAGAATATGCCGCAACTTCGCTCTTCGTTTTCGTAATTTTGGAGAGGAAAGTGGATTTGCCAACAGAAGGAAAGCCCACAAGCGCAATCCGTGCGTCACCGCTTTTGCTAACATCAAACCCGGTCCCACCGCCGGACCCTGCACCAGGAGCTGGTTCAAGCAGCTGAGCACGAAGGCGGGCGAGCTTCCTAACAATGCACAAGTTCTTAAATTTTTCCATAATGAGAATCAGAGAAGGAGTACCCTTTCAGTAGACCAAGATGGTACTCTTCAGACCGTCAATCTTGGATATCCACGTTTCGGCCGAACGACCATACCTGTCGCCTTATTTTCTGTTATTAAGTCAGTCAACAACTGGTATCGATGTTGCGAATGTCGAATTACTTTGCGTCCTTCGCATTTCATCCTCGATCCTTTGAAGAAGCTTAGCATGGTCTGGTGTAAGGCTTGAGACGCTACTTACTCTTTGATCTTCTCGGTGATGTTGACCATGTCGGCGACAAGTTAGTAACTCCGAGATAGGAGGAGATTTTGGAAGTAAGTTGCCAAAATTTGAAATCGACTTTGGACAATCTACTAGATACTTTGATGTAGAGTAGGTCTCGGCAATACCTACCTACTTTACTTATCAAAAGGAATCGCCACGCGGGAATACTTGCGGCAAACGCGCTTGTTAATGCAGAGATTGCATAAAACATTAAATAAAAGTAACCTTCGAAGAACAGGAGATAGGCAAAAATTTGTACCACCTCCACCGCCTGATGGGGAAAAAAAGAGTGATTATGACCATGGGGGGCGACAACTAGGCTGCAGGCTTGCTCGGGCGTCTTTCTAATTTCATAAGTGGTGTTGTGCGCATTGCTGCAGCCGACCGTGACTTGTGACGATGGCTCCGATTACAACTAATTATTCCGAGATTCAGCATGATGAGATCGAGGCTTTGCGCTCTATCTATATGGACGATTTCCTGGAGGAAGAAGCAAAGACTGGGGCATGGAAGAAAGCTGCTGATCGGGCCTTCCAAATCAATCTCCGTAATCAAACAAGCGAGGAACAGAACATCGCTCTTACTCTTGCTGTCTCTTTGCCGCCTACTTATCCCAAATCTCTTCCGCGTTTGAATCTGCGTTTTGGACACTCGATTCGTCAAAAAGTACAAAAGCAAGCTCAAGATATTATCAGCAGCAAGCCAAAATCTCTACTTGGCTCTGAAATGATCTTCGAAATTGCTACTTCATTGCAAGACCTTCTTGATGATAATGCTACCTCATTAAACATCGTCCCTACCTTAGACGAGGAAAGAGCCGCAAGAGAGGTTGCCGCGAGACTTAAAGCCGAACAAGATGAAGAAGAAAGGCGGCAACAGGCCATTAAGGCTGACGAAGAAGAGGAACAAATGCTTCTAGAAATGGTCAAGCACCGAAAATCACGATCCAACAGGCGCAACAGCAAGTCAATAAATCAATTGGATGAACCGGTTAGTGGGGAGGATATCCTTGGAGGTGTCACCTTTGAACGCCCCGCACGAACGAGAAACAGAAATGACAGTGGGACAATGACCATACACACCGTACATCAAAGGGTTCAATACCGTCAAGGTCCAGTATCTAACGTGGTTACAGTCCAGCCATGGAACGTGGATCAAGCGGTATCCACCCACGAGAATCCGCCTTATTTAGTTCTCAAAGAATGTAAGATTTCATCGACGAAACGAGCTGTCCAGAACTTAGAGTCAAGACTCGAGTTTCATACCCAACTCAAATCCCATCAGAGCATCTCTCAGCCCCTTACTTTTCGAATTCAGCGGGATACTGCCACCGAACCTTCGTCTTCTAGTGATGATGCCAATTGGACCATCATTATACTAATGGAACTTGCTGAGAGACGGTCATTACGGGAAACCCTGGAAGTTGTCGACAAATTGGACGCAAAGCTGGTGCGTGCATGGTCTATACGGCTCATCGAAGGTCTCCAACATTACCATCGACATGGATCTGCACACGCAAGCCTCCACTTGGGTAACGTACTCCTAGAAACAGGCGAAGCAGAGAGGGGTGATAGGAAAGTCACCGTCCCCAAGCTGTCAGATGGAGGGTACCAACGCGACTTGCACTTGCTGAAAAAGGGTAATACCTCAAGGTACTCCTCGATTGCCTGGACCGCGCCCGAAGTAGTCAACAACAACAGCCAAGCGGAGGCCATGCCAGCGACAGATATATGGGACTTCGGCCGTTGTTTCTTGCAGATGGCCTTCGGATTGAGCATTTTGGAACATCCATCCCCAAAGTCTCTGATGGAGGAGCTCAAAATGAGCAAGAGTTTAATGGCATTGCTAAGCCAGATTTTCCAGAACGACCCCAAGAAGCGCCCCTCTGCTTGGGATTTGTTACATTTTGAGTTCTTCCGCAATGATGATCATTTGCTCGATGAGGATCCCACCTTCTCTTCGATTTCTGGAGAGGCCGCACCCTCTGATGGTAAAGGCTTGCAGCGGCACCATTTTCGACGGGAATCGACTGCGGCTCCGCAATCACGCTATGCAAAGGAGTTTGTGGAAGACGGTCGCCTCGGTCGTGGTGGCTTCGGAGAGGTCTTTAAAGCGAGAAACAAAGTCGGTGCGTCGATTTTGGAGCTGATTCTTCCTAACCGGTAGTAAGATCGAGTCACAAGACATATCTTGGGGGCAAAATGACCTTTCTACTCCCGAGACCTGTCTTGCAGATCCAACTTCTGTCTCAAATAGGCTTTGCTAACTCCGAATTCTGCGTAGACGGACAGCCATATGCAGTCAAGAAAATCAAAGCTCGGTCAAAATCCGCTTTAGACCCTGTGCTCAGCGAAGTGACAGTCCTGTCCCGCCTCAACCATCCGAACGTGGTCAGGTACTTTGCGGCATGGATAGATGATGGTATTGCGGTGGACGATCATATTAGTTCAGAATCGTCAGGGAATGAGACCCTGTCTTCGCTCACTAATGGGGGAAATAGACCCGTCTTACCGTCAAGTTCGAGGGGTCTCGACTTCATAAGCTCGAGCAACGCGCACGTTGTCTTCGGCAATGAAATTGACGCAGATACAATCGCGGAGGAATCCAGCCAAGATGAAGGCAGTGATGACGAGGACGCAGACCAGAGCTCTGGCAGTAGCCCCGGACCAATTGAGCCCGATAGTGACGGGAGTCGGTAAGAATATCCCCGTTATCGAAGCAGGATCCTGGTTAGGTTCTCAGGGACAGGCGATGTGGACAGTACTTTACATCCAGATGGAATACTGCAAACCAGAGGTAGGCTCCCTTTCGTTAACCATGTTCGAGGCACGCAGAATGGGACAAAAGCACCAATGATATCACGTCATCGCTGGCAGCGTATGAATGCTGATGATTATGGCGGGCCTCTTATCCTAAAATATGTCGCGCTATAAGATTCAATACATCCCAAGCTGCATTTACTGACAGGCCACTCTAGACTCTACGCGACCTTATCAACTCCGGTCTACATGCAAATGCTGCTGAAAGCTGGAGACTATTTCGGCAAATCGTTCAAGGATTAGTGCACATACACGCTGCTTCGATCGTCCACCGTGATCTTAAACCCGAAAACATATTCATTGATAGTACGTCACTCTGGCTTTCAGTTCTCCTCTCAATTTTGTCTACTCGGTATTTCTCACACTCCATGGCCGCTTGCCAAACCCTTTGTTGTCCTTTCGGGAAATACATGAAAAACGCATGTTATTCTTGGGACTAGTCTTCCTGATCTATGCACGCGTCGTTGCAATCGGCGTTTCAAGTCTCTCCGGATTCAAGGTTGTCGATTTTGGCCGGACATGCTAAGCTATTTCGCTGTTTTCTCAGAGGTTTCTCTTATTCTGCCTTGTAAAATTGCTTTAGTAACTCATTGTTGATTATGCAGGTGACGGCGACGTACGCATCGGCGACTTCGGTTTGGCAAGACCTGGCGACTACCGGACCTCTGTCAACAACCCTCGTACAGCAACAAGGGAAGTTTTTGGTAGCTTTACCAAGGACGTAGGCACTGCCTCCTATGTTGCGCCAGAAGTCCGATCGGCAGGGAATGGAAAGTACAATGAAAAGGCAGATGTAAGTGTCTTTCTTGGCTTTCTGCTTGGACAAAACCCGCTCGCCTGTCAAGATGCACCGCGATTCCTACCTCAATTTTGGGTGACGGCCCTCTATTTATGCTGTCACAAGGATTCCCGGAGCCTTTGCTGAAACCCATGAATTGAGGCCTAAATCCTACAGAGCGGTCGTCAAATCACAAAGAGTTCTGTGCGTCGATCCATTTTGAGGGTAAAAACCCTATGAAGAATGCTTTTTTAAGGCTCAAGCAAGCAAGAATGGCAGTTTAGAACTCAAGACTGTTCAGCAGGCTTCTAGGAATGCTGGCTCAACTGCCATACTACCCTATTCCACCGTGAACGGTAGCCAATGTCTGGATTTTGGAGATTTTTTGTTGTCCGAGCCTTATTGTTCCTCGAAACATCTGCGGCATCTACAACGTCGAGTCTTTCACACATAGCCCTTTTCGTAGTTTATGCTAACGTCTTGACATCAGATGTACTCCTTAGGCGTGATACTTCTCGAGATGAATGTTCCTTTCTTCACGGGTATGGAGCGGGCCGAGACGCTGGAATTGTTGCAGAAAGAGGACCATGCGCTTCCCTCGGCCCTAGACAATACAGAAAAAGCAACTCAAGCAGTGATTTTTATGTCGTTGATCCAGCACAAGTCAACCCACAGACCCAGCAGTTCGGAACTTCTTCAAAGCGGTCAGATTCCAGTCCAAGATGAAGATGAATCCTTTCGCATGGCACGCCGGCTTCTAGCCGATCGAACTTCACACTTTCGGTCACAATTCATCAACAGTCTGTTCAACGAGAGGCATGCGATAGACAATTCGTCAAGTACAATGAGCATCGCACCTACGGATCCGATGCGGGCAGTCACGTTGCTCGAGGATGTAAGGGCTATGTCACGGTCTTTACCCGACGACTTGGATCTTCAGGCCATGGTTAGAGAAAGACTGACAGCAATTTTTCATCGCCATGGCGCCGTTGAAAGAACGGACAGCCCGGCTCTGTTCCCATATCACTCTTGCTATCCGTCAGCAGATGTCGTTCAGTTCCTTTCTCCCACGGGTAAAGTCATGCAGTTACCGTATGACCTAATACTACCGAATGCCATGTTGTTGGCTCGACACTCTAGACCAGAACCGAAAACTTTCGTCTTTGACAACGTGTATCGGGTCGATCATTTACGGGATCAGCCCAAGATATTTGGGGAAGCTAACTTCGATATTGTGTCAGAAAATAGCCTCAACCTTGCGCTTCGTGAGGCTGAAGTACTCAAAGTCATTGATGAGATCCTTGACACATTCCCGAGCTTGGCATCGGTGCAGATGTGCTACCATATTAATCATGCGCAATTACTAGATGCCATCCTGCGTTTCTGCGATGTCGAGGTTTCGAAATGGCCTGCCGTCAAAGAAACGGTCAGCAAGCTTCATACAGGGGAGTGGACCTTTGCAAAAGTAAGGCACGAATTACGTGGACCTTCCATTGCTGTTGCTGCGACTTCACTGGATGAGCTTGAACGCTTTGATTTCCGAGATACACTGGAAAAGGCTATTGCGAGGATTCGGTCAATCATCAAAGACACTGCTGATCTTGAGTCGGCATTTGCTCACATGCAGGCCGTCATCACTTACCTGGTCCGCTTCAATGTCAAGCGAAAGGTGTACCTCAATCCGTTAAGCAGCTACAATGAGAATTTCTACCGTGGAAATCTGTTATTCCAATGTCTCTACGACCAGAAGAAGAGATCGGTCCTTGCCGCTGGAGGCCGCTATGATCATCTTATCCACGATCACCAGCTTATCACGTCAAGGAAGAACCACGTCTATGCTGTAGGGTTTCAGCTTGCTTGGACAGGGCTTTGCGCGGATATGGTGAGTTACCTCAAGAGGGGAACGAAATCAAAGGCCAAGAGGAAGTCTCAATCTCTAATCGGTCTGGCGTGGAGCAAGAGACGATGCGATGTTCTTATCGATAGTTTCGACCAAGCTCACCTCGACTCGGTCGGTGTCGATATACTGCACGAGCTTTGGTCAAATGGTATCAGCGCAGAGCTTGCAGAGGAAGACCACGGTACCAAAGCCGAGAACATATTTGCGAAAAGCAAAGAAAGCCGTCAAGACCATAGCTGGGTTGTGTTGATCAAGTCGGAGGATTCAATGAAAGTCAAATCAATCAGCAGAAAGGATGAGATCGAGATCCGACTATCAGATCTCACTGGACATCTTCGTGGCGAAATTCGTGAGCGAGACAGACTAGAAGGCCGGACACCAAGAGTATCAATACAACATCAAAGCAGCCAACAGGACGTGAACGGAACTGAGACCGATCGTGAAGTAGATATAAAAGTTCTGATGTCACAGAATAAGGGCAAGAAGGTTAATCGAAAGACTATCGTGGAAGAGGGTGAGTTTTCCGCAACCTTTTCCGACTCTACATGTGCTAACCGTGTTAGCCCAACAACATAGGGCGGAATATCTCCAGAATTGTGCAGATGGCCCTATCGTAGCCATTGAAACCAAGGACGACATCTTCGAGGGGATAATCGACACACGCCTCTCAGATCCTGAATCATGGAAGAAGTTCATTCAAAGCGCTGCTCCAGGCGAGCGCCAGTACCTCGGACAGCTGCACAATCTACTCAAAACCATGGCAAAAGAGGCCGTACCTGGGAACTCAACCGCGGTTGTCTACAATTTCCGTACAAAGGCGTGCATCTCGTATAACCTGGGGAAGGCATCCTAATGATAGTATGGACAGGTTTGCTTGCTATTGACCCCCAAAATGACGTTGGAACTAGGTCTATTGCCAGCATAATTTCCTTTTCCGTGCTTGAATCAGAGGTACAGGTATTATGTCCTGAGACCCGCCACCGGTGTTTTTGTGGCGTGATATTTCAATCATGCAAGCATAGCGGTGCTTATACCCAGGGTATCCATCTGACGTTGTTTCATCAGAGTAGTTGTTGACTCAAGGTCATTGTCCCTCCTACCTTAATCCATATGTAGACAAAAGCGCCAGCATAGCGATACGTAGACCAAATGTCTACGTCTTATTCTCTATATCTCTACGCTAGTCAATTTCAACGGGGCATAGGCGTCGATGACTGTGTCAACGTCAAGCTCTTGACCACTGCAATTGCACTCTCCTTGGGTATCACTGTAAAAGTCTCAATCGCTATCATCAGCGCTGTCATAGCCCACCAAAGGACCTGCTGGTGCTGCAGCCGGCGCAACTGTCCGGGTTGCCCCTGCGTTGCTCGAAGTATGCTTCTGTAGGGCCGTCAAAGTTGAATTTGAGAGGATACCCTTCTCTCCTTCAGCCGCTGCTTCACCGTCCTGACCATTCTCAATAAGGTATCTCTCCTCCCCCTTCGAGCGTAGTCTGTCCTCCACCACCTTCCAGCTCCCTACTCCGAGCATACCACACCTGATCGGGCGCCTCGTAACCCTCAAGCCCGAAGCCGGCTTCAATCCTCTTGCGCCGCTTGGCATCGGGATCCCTACCCTCAATCTCCCTGACAAATTCTTCTGGCAAAGCCCTCCTGACCGCCTCGGCAGCTTGCTCTTCGATCTTTCTCGCTTCCCTCTTTTGCGCCATGGGATTCGGATCCACAGTCGCCCATCGTACATTCAGAATCTCGCTGTGATCTAGGCTTTGATGCGCCATAGCTTCCTTTGCGAATTGGCTGTTTGCTTCATTGGTGTAAGTGACGAAGGCAACGCCTCGGGCGGTAAGACAACGTATGCGGTCAACTTGGCCCCACTCCGCGAAGTGACGAGCTACCACTTCTTCGATGTCGTCTGTGACGTGTATCCTGCCAACTGTAAAGATGTTTTAGTTTCGTACGGGCAACTATACGCACATACAAAAAGGATAGAAGACACACACCGTAGAGCGTCCTGTTCTGCCGCATGAAGCTACCGACGCCGCCCATGTCGTCCCGGTAATCGCTATGCTTGTCTCTCCCGAAGCAGTCGACATTTGGGTTGAAGGTATCGAACAGGCCGGGTAAGCGGTGTAAGTACTCGCACTCTTGTCCTCGGGGACATAGTCCCTTTGCGAAGAACAGACAGAAATAGCTCCCGGCTACCTTGTCCGCTCTTGTGTAACCGGAGTCTTTAGCTATGTTGCAGCGACCAGGAGCTGCGGTCTTGGAGAGATATTTGTCTTCGCGGTCGCCGCCTGACCACTTGTTGAACCAGATGTTGAAGATGGTCCCTGTTTGAGGCGGCGGTTCATGTTTGAGGGATGAAGGATCAACTTGAGGTCGAGCTGGCCGCCTTTTCTTTCGTATTATCCTCTTGGTCTTTTTCTGTTCCGGGTCTGGGGTTTCGGAGGCTGGTGCTAGGTCTGTGGTGTTGTTCGCAGTGGTGAGGTCGGTTGATGTGAGGGCGGATGAAGGTACTAGACCGCTATCTGGGGACTGAGAGGGTGAGTCCATGGTGAGCGATCCTGATGGCGGGCTTTGGTTTACAGTCATCAGTTCGAGTGTCGAAACTCTGGACAAACCGGTCTTGGCAGTCGCGCCACTTCTTAGTCTAAGCGAGCTAGGACTTCCCACACAAATCTCGCCAACATCACAACGATCCTCCACAGCGACGAGAAGCATCTTCGCAAAATTTCACAATGCCTGTAAGCGACAATTTAATTATGATCTCATGATTCAAAACTCTCTGCTGATTGAATCAATGCAGTCTCACAAGTCCTTCCGCACGAAGCAAAAGCTCGCCAAAGCGCAGAAGCAGAATCGCCCAATCCCACAATGGATCCGTCTACGCACTGGCAATACCATCCGGTTCGTGCTTGCTCATGCTACACTCCCTGAACGCTTGTGTAAAGGGCCAGCATCCAGTGCGACGCGGCCGCGGCCCATGTGCAGGGATGTTGGTGAGGACGAAGGCTGACTCTGGGTGGTCTACAGGTACAACGCAAAGCGAAGACATTGGCGCAAGACGAGGATCGGTATCTAGATCAAAAGGTGGAGGAGCAGGGACTGTTGCGGAGGACAAGTAGGTTTTGATGGCTTGATGGATGGAGGCTGTGGATCGCTCTGGGCTTCTGCTGGAAGAACCCTGTCGGACAGTCATGTAATCCGAACATTACGGGTAGCAAGTCAAAAAAGACTTGCAGCAGGCACATGATGAAATAACAAGCTTTGCTATCAAACCGTGGCCATTGTGATGCATGAAGTAAGCTATGTGAGACGAATTGCTACGGACTTCGAAGCCCAGGGACTCCAAGTGGATCGGCGACGAGACCGACAAGCACCACCCAATGTTTCGTATTCTTTGCCAGTAAATGCTCTGGAGACAAGTCCAAATGCTGGCTCTACACACAACAGCTTCACAAGCCGATGACTTCTCATACCATAGTGAGGGCTCCAATCGAGGGTGCAAAAGATTTCTACTTGATGGGTATCTATCTTGCACGAGCACTCTTTTGAATTGTTCACGGGGCCACCATTTAGACGTGACTTTGACTAACACCGAAATCAGAACCTTTGTCGGCAAGGCCACCCCATTTCTCGTAAAGCATGCATGCAATTGAGCCACAAACAACCGACCACTGTCAACGCCTTGCATCAATGAATCGTAAGCGGCCATGCCGAGCCATGCCGCCTCCAGCAAATTAACGTGCGAATGATGCAAGGCACATTAATCGATGTCGATCTGAAGGCCGAAGGGCACAGCACTCAGCGACTATGATTGGAGTCAGTAGGTTGATTCAGCAGGAGATCATGTTGTGAACTTACTCCTCGGCCCACTCGTTCTCACGACGAATCTGATCTTCCTCCTCGGGCGTGAAGTCGTTCTGGATATTGAAGGTTTTGCGGATCTCTTCGGGGGACTTGCCCTTAATCATGTTAGCGACGGTCTTGCAGCCGACGTCGAGGAGAGCTTTGATGTCGAGGTAGTTGGCAGCCTAGGTAGAGCAATGTATTAGACTAGAAATTCAGGTAACACAGGGCAGTTAACCTACCAAGATGATCTCGAACAGCATCTCCTGGTCCACCTGCATGAATTTTTGGTCCCACTCTTCGATGTCGGTGGTCTTCTTGCGCGAATCGGCATCATCATCATTCGTCGCAGGAGGGTCACCCTTGTGGTGGACACACCACTCGATCACTTTGTTGAGGACGGCCTCGTTGACCTACGGTGGTCATTTAGTCTCCTGTAGCGGCTTGACAAGTTGTTGGGAGCTTACGTTGGGAATAGGAATGGCCTCGGTCATAGCCTGTTCGCCTATGTCCTCCATCATGTTCTTAATAAGCACCGAACGCTCAGCGACATCACGATCTATGCGCGGTGTTAACAAAGCCCGTGGTATAATCCTTGAGGGAGACGGTATGACAGGTAGGGAAGGGTTGAAACATACCGACAGTGATCTCAGCGCTGTCGGAGCTCATGAGCTTGATCTTCTGCATCTCAGCCATAGTGATGGTAGTGAATGAGAGTGAATAGTAGTAAACTGATGAGTTTGGTGACACCAGTGGTATGTGAGACTTGACTCAATGTGATGTAAGTCAAGAGGCCGAAGATGTTTGTGAGATACGTGGGAGATCTGTGTGGAAGGAGAAGAAAGAAGAAGTAAGAAGTAAGAAGTTGAAAGAGGGAAGGAGGGGGTGGGGGGGGGGGAATTGTTTTAAGTAGTGGCAGTAGCAGTGGCAGTGGCAGTGGCAGTGGCAGTGGCAGATGAATGATGAGCTTGTGTTAAAGTAGTGCAAGTAACGTGTTAAAGAATAAAGAATAAAAAAAGAGGATTTTGGAAAGTCGGAGGACAAGCAGAGCATAAAGTCGCTTCTGCCGCCTAGCCCGCCCGCCGCACGCGGTTACAGACATTGTGACAACTTGCTCAACTGAATTGTGTCAACTTGATATAAATATAGGTCAATGTGTTATTGTTTATTATTCCCTGAAGCTTTCCTTTCTTCCATCACCAAAAAAACCTGGTGATACACAGCGATCCTGTTATATAACTGTAATGGTGTGCTACAATGTCATAGTCTTCTTTACTGACTGTTCCCAATAAGTCAAGACGGGTCGGGTCCCAGGTAACCCCAATCTCACTCTATCCTCCAATGTTATCATGCTACTCTACAGCTATCTGGCAATAAGAAACGTGCAGTCTTAGACGCTACCCAAGACTGTGTACTCATAGCACATTCCACAAACATCCCGCGAATTCTTCTATGTACGAAATGCGAATACATATTCAGCAAACACGGTTCATGTTTGCTGCCACGTCTTCAAGTCTCTGCATTATGTTTGACTTTGCGAACAGTATGAACTGTTACAAGAGCATCTTGAAATACACAGGACACGGAAATCTGCCTGTAGATGGTGATGATCGTGTGGGCAGTCACGCTGAACAGAGATTGCGACTTCCGTCCCCGCTGCTGCGTATCAGCCCGATTACCTGTCAAGTGGCGCCACCAGGGCCGAGAGAATCGCTGTCTTGGGTACAAGCTGTGACGGCGAAAAGAGTGGACGTTGACCTGTATTCCGAGCCTGCTGTTGCAGGGAGCAAGACAGGGGAGCAATGGGCACAGCGAAGGACAAGATGTAAACATCAAGGAAATAACTCTTCCGGCACGCAATGATGGGTGCCACTTCGAGCTATGAGCTACTTCCAGGCATGATTGAAATAATGACTATGAAACGCTCGACCGCTTCTATGCACCTTTTTCCCTTGTCATCATGAACAGCATTGCTCGGTCTCTGTAACGCCTCGCTTCGTAATCCCTAGGTAATCAATCCATGCATGTATTGCCTCTGTACCTTGCCTTATCACACTGCCAGCCTAAACCGCGGGATACTTCATGTTGCATCATTCATCTTGACGTCACCATCAGCTTGGTCGTCAAGCGGTGTTTCGCCTTTCGCAGCTTTCATTCTTGCCTCTTCCAGAACCCGCGCGAAGCCACTCTTTGCTTTGGGTGCGTCTCCTGAAGTCCCTCTCATGAAAAGCTCATCATTCTGATACTGCTCCTTTCTTTCCACCCGTCTAGTCAGAAACAGCGTGGCAGCCCTACCATTTGCGGCCCGTAATCGTTGAATTTCCATATCGTATGCCGTTTCGTAGATATTGGTCTCTGCTGCTGGCGGCGACTCGCTCACGCAGGGTGGTGAGGGGGTCCGGGAGCTGCCGCCAGGCCCGAGTCCAAGGTAGAGATGGTCGGAAAGAGGATCATGTGCTTGACCTCTGCCACCGTGAGGACCGGGCATGGGTGCAGTGGATGCATGCACTGGTGGTCGGTGGGCTTGCGGGTGGGCATTGTTTGTCCTTTTGTTGTTCGTAGCACTTGATGGGGACTGCTCAGGATCGTGTTCAGAGAAGCGTTTTGTTGGACTTGTTGGAGAGTATGCGATGGCGGTATCTTCTCGGTCTGCCAGTGACTTTTCAAACCCATCCAAATCAACATCTCTGTGAACACCTTCTGCCACCAGTGCTTGTTCGATAGGCCTTCGGTCATGGGTATCAACGCTTCGGGTCTTGTGAAATAATGGTCGCTTCTCAGGCCTGGACATGGACAACGGCGGTTGTACCATTCGTGTGTCTTTGCCTAGGATTCCTTGCAGACCTGAAGGTCTCTTATGAGCTATAATGTTTTTGAATCGCTTTACTGCTTTCATCTATCACGGGGTCAGCGTTACCGCACCCTGACTTCGAGAGAAGCACATACGAGGACGAGTATGTTGCTGAGATTGCCTGTAATAGCCTGGTTTTTTTCCTCTTCTGTCGGAGGCTCGACAAGATTCGCGGTGTTCTCCTCTGCCGATAGGAGAGGGTCTTTACCATCCCTCGTTACCCATGGATGCTCCTGACCTCTATCAGCAATGTCTTCTACGCTTGCTTCCCTTATTTACCTACCCGCAGCGCGTCCATTTTGATCCTCGTGACCGGATTCTTATCGAGTATCCTCTCCATCAGATCCTTGAAATTGTCGTCAATAGTCGGGCCACGGGTTAAATCAACGTCGTCATTTTTGATCGATTCGTACAGCTGCAGAACCCCTGGTTGCTCGAAAGGTATCCGCCCAAAGCGTAAGCAATATAGAGTCACACCCATGGACCAAATATCTGCGGCCTTGCCAGAGATGCCTCCGTGTTTGGCGACGCACAATTCTGGTGGTAAGAAGGCCGGTGACCCAGCTGACTTCGCGGTCGTCATATCTGAATGTTTCTCGAATATTTCGGAGACGCCAAAGTCTACAATCTTGAGTACATCATCTTCCGTCAATAGCAAATTGTCAGGCTTGATATCACGATGAACGACTCCTTGGGCATGCAGATACTCGATTCCAAGTATGAGGTCCCGAAACCAGCATCTGCAGCTCTCGTCATCATATGGGTCCGCCTGCTCCTCCATTCCGACTTTCATGATCACCCCCTTCTTGCACATTTCAAGAACCATATACAGCGAGTCCTCATTCGGGTCATCCAGAACTTCTATCAAAGATACTAAGTTATCGTGATTGAGTTTCTTCATGACCGCAATCTCTTCCTTGATAAGGAACAGAGGATTTCCGTCTCCTTCCTGATCAGTGATATTTGAAGACGAGTTTCGGTGCATTGGAGAATTGAAGCCTACACCCGCAGCCAGATGGCCAGTTCTGCGCGGTCCTCCATGAGGTCGACGCAGGATGTTGGACTGTGCGCGTTTCCGTAGTCGAGATTTTGAGAACTCTTTCACGGCATATTCAATGCCATGCTGGTCAACAGCAAGGTGGACTGCGCCAAAGGAGCCCCTTCCTATCTCTTGCTTTATTATGTACTGGTTGATCCGATGTATTGCACCGCCCTCATCCTGGCTGTTGGTGTACTCTGAGCGTGCATGTAATGTTTCCTTGACCTCTTTAGCACTTGATTGTTTGCGCTGGTGGTGTCTGATTGGGCTTTCGTAGGCTGGGGTGGACCTGCATGGGGGAGGGACGTATTAGCTACGCGAGTCATTGGGAAGCATACAATAGAACATAGAACATACATGTGCCTTACAGTTGCAGGTCGGGTGCCATCGCCCTCACCGGTGCTTGGAACGTCAATTGCAATGCCATGGGAGGGCACAATCCCCGCTTTATCTTCTACCGAAATTTCTTTTTAGGGGTGGGAGGCATTGGGTAATAGTGTGCAGGAGATGAGGTTCAAAGAAGAGGACAAGTAATGCATAGTCAGCGTCAAAAGCTCAAGTATGTACAGAGGGATGAAGTATATACACAGCTCATCGAAAGCCTTGCTGAACCTCAACCAGTGGGGAAAGATCGAACGTTGCCAAGACAAATCTCGGCCGGAACTCGGGAAGAGAGCCGGAGGTGCGAGGTGCCTGGTGCTTTTCTCTGGTAGTGCGTCGGCCCGTTGAAAGACCGATGCCAGTGGTGCCAGTGCTAAATGCTAGTACTTCAAAGTGTCTCGAGTGTGACGCTTTGTATGAAAACAATTGTTGACTATTGCTCAAGGTCGCCAGTATGGTGGTCTATTCCTTCTATGTGTTTGATCGCCATGGTACGTTGATCGTTATGGATCACTTGGGCTCAATATCCGACTATTCAGCAGCTAATATGCCCCATAGCCGAATGCATATACAAAAAACGATGGGCACCTCGACCAGGGTCTTCCTCAAAAGCACCTCAGGCGAACGGTGTTCTGGACGTTCAATCACCATTCAAGGGTCTCAGCGTTGAGGATGATGCCAAATTGGTGTTCGGCACAATATTCTCTTTGAGAAACATGGTCAGGAAGCTAGGCGGCCCAGATGACAAGTACGCAGCTTTCGAGGGAAGGAGAGTTGAAAAGCCAGGATACTGATGGTTGGAAGTAAAGCTTCATCTCCTATCGGACGGGTCACTACAAGCTGCACTACTACGAAACTCCAACTTCTTTGAAATTCGTCATGGTCACGGATACGAAGACGAACAATTTGAGGATTGTCTTGCATCAGATATATGTTAGTCTCTATGTGGAGTACGGTACGTCATAAGCAAGCACGGCGAAGAAGTTCGAGTGGATGGAATAGGCCAGTCTGACTTTGATCCAGTGATCAAGAATCCGCTTTCGCCTGTCGAGCACCCAGGAGGCATTGGTGTGAATTGCGAGCTTTTCGAGCTCGGTGTCGAACAGTTCGTGGTGAGTAATACTGAATGAGTTCTTGTCTTGCTCCGGCGCTGATAAAGGCCCCGTGTAGACTGCATCACTTCAGAATTGAGTGCATGCAATTAGGCCAGGTTCACAACTTTAGGCCAGCAGCAAGGCCATTATGCGGACTTTCTGCTTCCTCCTAGGATCGCCCCAGCCTCTCATTTTGCTAAAGCAGCGCTCGAACTTCCTCTGCGTTAAACGAGGGACTCAATAGAACGATTCCACCATGGTATCCTTATTGGTCGTATTGATCGAGCTGGGACCCATTCCCTCACCCAAGCGGAACACGCTCTCCACGACACTGAGCTCGGTAGCAGTCGTATCCAACCCTGTCACCGCCATCCAGTCATTCACCACCATTCCTGCACCTACGACGGATGATCCTCGATTCACACTACCTGCCACCAAAGGTACCTGGAGCAAGCTGGACAGCTCATCTTGATCTTGTATCGAGGTTTTGGGATGTACTATCCCGCCTTGGTTCGAGAGGGCCATGTACGACCCAACAAGAACATTGTCCGCGATCGTTTGGCGAAAAACTTCGACACCCAGAACATCTGCAATGATCTCCTCGGTTTCCCGCTCAATATCAGGATGCACCAAAGCCACGTGATCATTCGCGCATATCACGTTGCCTAATGCAGACAGTCTCTCTTCGATCCGCTGTATCTTGACCTCGTCCGGTATTGAATTTCGAAGATGTTGCAGCTCTTGGTCTGTGGTAGATGTCGGTACTAGGAGACCCTTTCGATTGCTTGACAACAAAAGCAGGCTCCGTTAATATTGGACATAAATGGACTCCAAATATCAGATTCACGCACCCTGCGGTCAATCTCCCAATTATCCTTGTGCCTGCAATCGTAGTACGACATATTGGTACGACATCTTGCAACTCTGCTTCGAAAACACTAGCTCGCAATGTCAGCCATGCATTTTCTTGGTTAGGAAGCCAGCGCACCTGTAGAAGTTCTCGCTGGCTCCGATGGCAACAAGGGCGTAAGCGTTCGTGAGAGTTGAAAAGACACCGACTCTAAGACCTTGGATTAGCAGGAACTCAGTACGGACTTGAGCAATAGCACTCACTCATTCGAGTTCTCGAATTGAGCACGCACAGCCATGGTGGGGTGTAAATTGGGCTAAAAGTTGGTCTCGGAATTCTGACAGTGGAGGCAGAGACGAAGTTGCCTTTACCGAATGAAGAGAAAGGAAGTGACGATTGTCCAACGTATAAGTTGAAAGGTATGAAGAATACAGTAGAGCTGTTTTTCAGAGAGTAGATGTCTGGAGCTTCAAATGTTAGTGTTGCTTGGTGGGGGGCAAAGACCCTAGGTACTTTAGCTTTGCTGATGCCAAGACAAGTCGGAGTCACAGTCTCACGGAGGCCGACCTTCCCATTTTCCGTTTGGAGAATAATGAGTCAAATTTAGCGGCGAGGAGAGGAGTCATTATTTTCCCGCTTCTGTAGAATGATGCAAACCCTCCATTGTAGATGTGTAACAAATTGCTATAGGACGCTCGATGCTCGGATTCCGTCTCCCGTTCTTGAGGAAGTAGAGTAGCTACTTCTTTTTTTCCTCGGGTACCCAATAAAGGTAATCGATGACCTCCTAAATGACCATGAAATGCTGAAAATGACTGTAGGTGCTGTAGAGTAGATCCACGTCCTCCCCCTCGATCTGATAAGTTCCAATGCTTCTCCTCTCTGACCCATCTGCCCGCAACGACTCCCCCAGTATCCTTCCCTCAAGCCATCCCCACGTTACCCTCCCCTGCCTCGAAATACGCTAGCTTCCCCATCCCTCCAATCCAGGTGCTGTCCGGTCTCTTGTCCTCTCTTTCACTGTGCAATTCCATCCGATGGCCCCTCGCGCCTGACTCAATCATCTCAGCTTGGATATAATTGTATGGACGGGGAAGGATGCGGCCCTGGCTCGCCATCTCAGAATCCGCATGCTTCCGATTCGTCCAATCGTCCCACATGACCTTGGTGCTCCAATAGAAATGCTGTTTCGCGCTCGCTTGTGTGTCTTTGTACCTCGCGATATTGTTCCCGTTGGGATCGGGGCTTCTGTGTGTGCGTTTGTTGGAGCCTTGTCCAAGGTTCTCGAGGTCGGCGCCCAGTCCATTCGCTATCTGGACTACCCGTGTCATATAAGAGAGTCTGAGGTGGGTGAGACTGCTTTCACGGATCTCATCAACCTTTTTCTGTTGGGGACGATCAGTCGAATGTCTGCTGTCATGATTCAAGAGAGATCAACTACCCTGTATTGGTTCTCGATCGTGGTCATTTCCTGAAGTGTCTCATGCTGGACCGATACCGCCTTCAACTCTCGATGGGTCTCATGATAGGCAACGCGGCGTGCAATATCCGAACCTCGGACCTTCTCGAGCTCTACAACCAGAGCGTCGTATTGTGCTTTGCGGCGTCCGTCTTTGTCATACGTAGCGTGGCCCATTTGCTGCGAAGTCCGCCCCGCCATTTCGGCCAATGCTGGTCTTAGAGCCTTAGCAACACCCGCGAATTTCACCTTCAGCTCCCCGATCTGCTGGACTTTGGCCTCCATTTCGGCGCATTTTGTGATAATGCGTGGGTTCTTAGCCGGTCCAGCGGCCTTCTTCTTGCCTTTCTTGGAATCCATTTCTGTATCTGGATGGTCAGCAAATGGACCTAACTCGTGGAAAATGATGTTCCTGAGCAAAGTTACTAAGGTATAGGGGCCCTCGCAATGACGCCGCAAGCATGCCCGAGATACAGCAGATGCAGCAAGCATACTAGGGAACGAGCCGATGCAATGGTGTGGAGAGTGAGGCTTAGTGCAAGCCAATAGCCTGCCGCAAAAGGCAAAAACCCATTAAAAATACATACCAGGATGGATGTGCGTGTTGGAGAAACTTCGAGACTAGTTGTACACCCTCTGCAGTATTGGGAACAAAGCTGCTAAGGATTTTGTGTTGATGTATGAGGTGAGGATTTGCAGTAGAGACAAGTTGTAAAATCGAGAAACAGTACGGACAAGAAAATTTCCAACTAGCAGGATTATTCGGGAACATTCCGATTGTTGTGTGTGTTGAGCGAAGGTGGCTGGTCAACAATAGGATGTTTGTTATTGTCATTAGGAGGTCAATGTCAAAGACTGCTATCCATGTGACTTCACTTCTACCACAGTACTAGTGTTTCCGATCCCCTTCCATCGCTTTTAGTCCCAATGCTCTCAATCGCTGAACCCTGTCCATCTACCAATGCGCATTATGCATATGTACTTGCTCACAACTCGTGAAAGAATGTACTAAATCAACCCATCAATATCTGACTGATACGACACAGATCGTTTCATTCTATGCTGGCTCGGACTGGGCTCAAAGCCAGAAGGCACCGGAGGCGCATCCTGGCTTGTTGAGCGTGGGTCCCTCACAGTTGGGATATCTGGAGAGCTCTCCGAGCGAACTAATGCGCTCGGACTCGAAGGAAGGCTGCCAGACCTGGATCTCATGCGTTTCAGCATACGTTCATCAATTAATTGGCCTGCTTCTGGCGCAGCAGTAACAATCGTTCCTGGTGATGCACCCGGAGAAGGAACGGGACTGCAGGTCCTGAATAGAGGATGAATGTGGTCTTCGCTCGGCCCTCTTGAGCGAGAGCCTGGCCGCGAGTGTGAGATGGTTCCCGAGCGGGATATGGGTCCTGAACGGGAGCCTGGTCGAGAGAAATTACGCTTTAGCGGACTAGTGGGTGGCGGATTGGATGACGGAGGGAACATAGTAGTAAAGTTGGGCTGCTCTGAAGGGCTCGGAGGAGAACCTGGCCTTGAGACATTTGGTTGGGGCAGTGGGCTTGCAGGTGGGCTCAATGATGGGCTCGACTGGAAAAACGGTCCTTCCAGCGCTTTTGCTGGTGATGGCGATCGACTGCCCGGTATGGGTGGTAAACCTGAGCCCTTTATCATAGGTTTAGACTGGAGCACCGTTTCCCGAATGTGCGAAGATACTCCAGAGGTATCCCAAGAGTCAAAGCCTTCATCCTTGGAGGGCCCTCCCAATGCGCCGTCCAAAGAAGATCGTTGCGATTGACGTGTATGCGAGTGCTGACGGATGAGTAAACCTCGCCTTGAAGACGATGGGCGCTGTATGGTCGAGAAAGAAGAGCGAAGCGAGCTCGTGCCGTCAGAAGCTATCAAAGATGGCAGCGACGAAGATAACTGCTCGTGGAAGGGATTTGGTTGAAGAGTAATGGCAGTCGCTGACCGGCTAGTCTCGCTCATCTCCTGCGGTGCTTCGTCGAGCGGTTCCTCGATATCAAATCTTTGGAGCGATTTTTTCTGCGTGGACCTTGCGAACCAAGCAAAGTGTGAGAAACAGAGAACGTGAGCTCCGACAGATAATCCCCAGACGACAAAAAGTATTGTCAAAAAGACCGATACAGAAAGCCCTGAGATAAATATAGCTTTCCCCACAGTCCTAGCCTCAGCCCATCCCAGTGCAGCCCCAACAACCACAATAGCTACCAAACTCGGCAACACTCCGAGTAGAAGAGTGGGCACGAATGTTTGCCGGATTTGCAGCCCAAGAATCTGATCATAGCGAAGTTTGTGGTAGATGAGCAGCGCCAGGCTCCCGCATGAAAGAAATTGTATTACAGCTGCAGCCAAAGGAAAAGCATAGGGCTCTCCATGATCTGAAATCAAAGACCCAGCTAGAATAACCATCAGAATGGCAGTGACGAGGCCTAGTAAAAGCGCGACAGCGCCGACGACTGTGGATGCAGCTTGCCGAGCCATTGTGTCTTTGGCGCCCTCTCAAAGTCTTCTCTGAGACACTTCTTCAAGGGTTGGAGGGAGTTTGAGAGTGTTCAATGGCTCAACGGAGCGTCAGCTGGATTGGCTATAACCCAAAGAGGGATGGTCGAAGCAGCTGGCTCTGGCAGATGAAGGTTATTCAAGTACCGTGTGTTGGTGGATGAGGATAGAAGATAACGGAGTGAATCGATAGTCAACTGGAATTGCAGTGCATTCTTTGAGTTGTCAAAGAAGAGTAGAGGAGTCAATGGAGGGAAGTGAAATAGTCGTATTGGCGGAGATGTTAGGGTCCACGTTTCAGATGGTCAACAAAAGACATTGGACGTTTCATAGAGGATGAAGACGTGGTAGAAGTAATTGCAGATAGTCTGGAAGGCCGATTAAACGATCAGATCCATTTTCTCCACACTGAATGACGAGGTGGAAAGAGAAGAGATGGAGAAGGAAAACACCTCAAGGCGCGCGAATCTGACAATTGTGGAGGTTGCAAAACGCGACGCAGGGATCTGCTGCCTTAGGCTCAAGGCTGAACAACGCGGTCGCGACATGGCTGCTTTCACCCGTATGGTCCGCAGAATACAATCCCTGCTAGCTTATCATCGAGACGCTCGATGACCGCATTGATCCAATAATATCAAGCCCGAAATAGGACATCGTGATGGATTTGGTCTTGAAATGAGTTTGCTGAGCGTTGCTTTTCTCCATGGGTCGAAGCAGCAGAGGAGAACAATAGCAATCTTCTAGGCCGCCAAATTCAAGTACGTCGGGATCGTGATGCTTCCCCAGTCTGTTGCCTGCAGACTGATAGCTGCATCGAAGAATCTATAGGTGCGGCATCTGGCGGTTTGTGATGCCCCATATTCCAAAGTTGAATGGTCTGACCTCACAGCTCCATCCACTTCGCAATCCTGTGGAGACCCATTTCTGACCTCAACTTCGTGTGTAGCATACTCTAGTTTCTCTGCCTCTTGGGCAATCTGTATTATCATCATTGACTGGTGAGCGGGTGCCTCCTGCTCTGGGAAGGAGTACTCTTGACCAGCTGGCAAAGAATCTCTCGGGTGATCCTTAAGCCTATATCGGCAGACACGGCCGTACTGGCATACTGATCCCATGAGTTTTGGGTGGGTAGTTGTTCGACTCAGTGCCCCTCGATGCGGCGATGGCAAAGGAAAGCGGAGTCCACGACGGCAGCTTCCTCAGATGATGAGGATTGAGTGGCCATGAAAAAATGGCATCTATTCAATGATGTTAATGATCTACTCAATTACTGTAAGCTGTAAAGACAGAAGAGCCGCGCCGTGGGCTGCCAAGGCGCTACGTAAGCGCGCCAAGTCTTGCGCAGGCTACCACTACCAAGGTGAAGGACCGAGGGGACACAGAGCTTGCTTAACTCTTTGTTTGTCAACCGTCAATATCGCTGAATAACACGACTCACCAACGTACCTGTGTGCTGTGAGCCGTTTCTGTTTAATCTGGACGTTGCAGGAGAATTTGGAAGATACCACGCGGTGGGGCAAGATGAAGCTCACTTTCAAGGTATCTTGCCTCTGAATCATCGAGGATATCATTTGCTATCCAGGCGTCGAGGTCTGACTTGTGAGATAGGACCTGAAGCAGCAGAAATTTGTTGTCGAGGCCGAGCCTTTAGAAACGGTATGATCGAAGCCGAGCAGTGGCTCTCCGACAAACGTCGTGTAATGGTCAAGGAATGCAAGCTAATCACGAAAGATGGACACAGATCGGGCAGGTCAAAGAGAAGATCTCGAGCGAGAAAGGATGGGAGGCTAGCCAGCAAAAGCTTATCTATTCGGGTACGCATGGAAAGTGGAAGGCATTATTTGGTTGTTTTGTCACTGTCCACGTATGGTCGTGCTAATCATGTGCCGCATGAATAGGCAAGATCTTGCAAGACGCAAACACCGTCGAATCTTACAACATCGAAGAAAAAGGTTTCATTGTCTGCATGATATCAAAGGTGGGAGATGCAACATCGTCTGAGCATTAGAACAAAAGCCTGACACTGATCTAGCCCAAAGCAACGCCTGCGGCCTCTTCGTCCACTCTGAAAGCTCCCTCAACACCTGCACCTGCGACAGCACAGACTCCAGCTGCCCCGGCTGCTCCAGCTCCCGCAACATCGAATTCGACATCAAATGCTCCGTCTACACCATCACCAGCCCCAGCCGCTGCTGCGTCGGTAGAAGGCGCAAGCTTTAACGATCCGTCAGCTCTCACGCTTGGTGCACAACGTGATGAAGCTATTGCGAATATGGAGAGCATGGGCTTTCCAAGAGCTGAGATCGATCGTGCAATGAGAGCGGCTTTTTTCAATCCAGACCGTGCAGTTGAATATCTCCTGAATGCAAGTAGTTGGATTGCCAACAAGCGAACATCGAACAACCACTAATTATCTCAAGGGCATCCCCGAAAATGTTCAACGAGAGCAAGCACAAGCAGGTGGTGGTGCTGCGGGAGGAGCACGTGCAGCTGGCACACCCACCCCGGCTTCTCCACCCGTGGCCACTGGCAATACGCCAACTGCCGCCACCAGCGATGAAGGCGACCAACCGATCAATTTGTTTGAAGCAGCCGCGCAGGCCGGCCGAACTGGCGGAGGAGCTGGAGGCGCCCGTGGAGGACGTACTGGAGGAGCAGGTGGTGCTAATCTTGCAGGCCTAGGTGCTGGTATTGGTGCAGCAGCTGGAGCAGAAGGTGGCGCTGGCGGTCTCGGCAATCTCGATTTCCTACGCAATAACCCCCAATTCCAGCAGCTCCGTCAGATTGTGCAGAGCCAGCCACGTATGCTGGAGCCCATCTTACAACAGGTCGGTGCCGGAAATCCTCAGCTTGCGCAGCTCATTGGCGAGAACCCAGATCAGTTTCTGCAGCTGTTGAGCGAGGACACTGGGGACGATACGCCGCTGCCACCTGGAGCTCAGGAGATCAGTGTCACGGAAGAGGAGAGGGATGCGATTGAGAGGGTGAACTTGCCATGCTTTTTTTTCTTTATGTGTGACAAGTTTTTGCTGACTTGCTTAGTTATGTCGCCTGGGCTTCGAGCGCGATCAGGTCATTCAGGCTTACTTCGCATGTGACAAGAATGAGGAAATGGCGGCGAACTTCCTGTTTGATCAGCCGCCGGATGACGCCGAAGGGGGTGCTTGATAAACCTCGCTTTCATGACCAAGAGAACTTCTAGCATGCATTGAGTGCGGAGTCCTCCAAATCTGATGGTGATGATGGATGGCCGACTTCAAAAGCCGTTCGATTTCAGCAATGGCATATATCCATAATCAAATCGGCCTCATGGCTTCGTGCCGGTACAGCTCGGATGCAGCTAAGTAGAAAATGATTTTACGATGTTTTACGATGTAGATCTCAACATGTTAGTATAGCGATTAGAGTCCCGGTCGTCCTTGACTGTGAATAGCTGGGGTATCATTTTTTAGCCTCAGTCAGTCCTGATATCTACCAGTTTTCACGCATAATTCCCCTTACCTCCTCCCCCATGCGGACTCCACACACCCTCCTAACCTTCCAAACGACCAACCCTCTTCTCCCTACCACCCTTCCTAGCGTCCTCCAAATTCCCTCCTCCCCAATATCCAAGTCATCCAGATTCAGATGTTGACCATACCTCCAAATCTCCTCAAACGCGAACGCCTGATTCTCAGCGCTTGTTGCAATCCAGTGATCGATTTCCATGCTAGAGTACGGCGCAACGAGTCCAACGCTTTCGTTCGGGTTGCATTCTGACCCGAGAGCTGTCTCGACCTGCGTTTGTAGTGTTGCGAAAGGTATGCCCATCAAATCGGTGGTCCGTATAGGGTTGTGGTCCAGGAGCCAAATGGGTGGACTGTAGGTACGCCACCAAAAAACCTCTCCCATGCTTACCCCAAGTTTGGTCTGCTGCCCTAGCCATGTTTGTGCGGGGACCACACCGCCTTGGTGGTATACTCCCATGAGGACGCCAAACAAAATATTGAACCCTATCCAGGCTGCCAGCCAGTATTTCGTCAACGATTTAGATCTTGGTAGGTGTATTGATGAAAGTAGAAGCGGTATGGCAGGTAGTAGAAAGCGTGGTTCTTGGTGAGGTATGCAGCTGAGGAGGAGTATTCCGGACATCGCCGACAGCACAGGCAAGCGCGGAACATTTCTGATAGGAGCGGTAATGAATAGGTAGAGGGCTGGACCCAGGAGGAGGGGTAGAGAAGCGACGAGGTGGTGGTAGTGTGGATGTAGACCATGCGTGGCAAGGTTGGAGGTCTGGGTATTGTAGAGGAGAGAGTTTAGGGGTGTGAAAGTGGGATTGGTGAGAAGAGTATTGAGTAGTGGGCTATCTGTTTGGTAGAAGCTTGTGTCTACGACGATGGCGAGACTGATCGTGAGAAGGGTAGCGATGGAGAGGACAAGAAGAGAAAAGGGTCTGTACTGGTAAGTATGATTTCGAGTTCCTGGGGGAACGAGTGATTGTACCTGCGGAAGAAATGTGGCAATAGATAAAGGCTAGGAACGAGGAGGTAGGCAGGAAATGTGACACGATTAAAGATGCCAAAGGTGATTAGGCAGCCCAGGATGGCCGAGGAAAGGAGCGAGGATCGTTGCTATTCACTTTCAACTCTTGCTTGTCTATGTCGTAGGCGTTGCACATACTTTATTGTCGAGAATCCGCTGGACCATGACCAGACTCCATGCCACAACCAGGGTCTCGACGGAATTGGAGAAGGTGTGTGTTTGGTACGTCCAGGTCACGTATGAGGACGCGACCAATGTAACGGCCAGCCTTCGATGTCCGGGAGATTGAACGAGTTCATGTACTGCCCAATCTTCCAGTACGAAGCTCAAGATGAACATCAGGATTCGTAGCGTATAGTAGACAACCTGTGGAGGGACCTCGTTTGTACCTAGTTCTGACCAGATCCAATGGAGCACCACCATCGGAAGGCCGTATACCGGCCATAGTGGAAAGACACTTCGGACGGGATTCTCGGTTGTGAACTCCCAGGTCAGATGGTGAGGAAAAGCGAACGTCTTGCCTGAAATTGATCAAGTGATCAAGTTAGTGATGTGGTTTATTCCGACGGAGAAGGCAACGCGGAGAAATCAGTTCAATTCAATTGACAAAGAGGGGACACGGTTCCAGGCCAAGATGCGAGGATGCTAGTCTAGAGTTTGGTATAAAGTAATGCACGACATTTTGGCGTTGGAAACTCACCGCTGGTCGCGGCAGACGTCGAGGATTGTCTTTAAATAGGAGGAGGAAGAGGAAAAAGATGTTTAGACGACCGCGTTGGAGACATACCTGCGATGACCTCTGGGCCTTGAAAGTTTTCATCCGGATGGATATAGCTCGGCTGGAGAGCCAGATACAAGCGAACCACCAGCAATACCAGGTAGGTACGCGTCCACATTGTTGTTGTCCGTGGGCAATCTCACTCAAACGCATGGTCGAGATATGAGGAATATTGGGATATAATCCCCCCATATTTGTCAAATTTCAAGATACCTAGGGTACGCTCAGAGCTCCAAGGTTAAAGTCGAAAAGAATACTACTACTACTTGCTTGCTTGCCGCGTCAAGCGTACTCTATACACTTAGAGGGAAACAAATGATGACGCTTCAGGTCCGACAGGTTGGTCCATTGCCCTTTGGCTCTGCCATGCAGTCAATGCAGTCAATGCAGTGTGGTGATGATGCCACCTGGTTCGAATCTCTCTCTATTATTACTGACTATGCATGTCGTTACGAATCTACTTGACAAGACACCTTCTCCACTGTTTTCTAGTGTGCCATATGGGGTTAGGCTCTGTGCTTTACCTACCTCACGAGCAGTCTTTCAACTACTACCGCTCCTCTAAAGTACTCTTACTATGCCAAAGGTCGAGGAATGGCACTTGGTGGGAGAAGCCAAGTATACGAGGTTGGAGATCTTTTCTTGAAAAGGGAGGCAAAGACAGAGGCAAAGAAAGCGTTACAGTTGTACGCAGCATCGGCAATGATCGACCATTCTCTTTCCCACGGGTTTCTTATCAAGGAATAAAACACCTGCCGTCTCTGTGTATAGATCTAAAACAGTCCGCTGCGCTCAAAGATCGCCATGCTACATCCTCACCTTTCCCTTGCTCAACGCCGACATGTTGGAACGATGTTTCATTCCGTCCAGAATACCTATTGTTTTTCAAAGAGAGCCTGTAGCGTTAAGACCCTCGAGTTTGACGGGTAAGACCCGGCAATCTTTGCTAGGCTGTGGCGGGAAAACCAAGTATTCGTCAAAGGAGAAGGTTATCCGCTCAAAGGCTCATGGGCTATGCTTTCTTCGGTATCCTCAATCTTGTCCTCGAACGTAGCCAGCCAAGTGAGGTATCCAGAAATAGAGAAGGGGCCTTTCGGAGACTGACACTGTAATCCTGTCTTTGATCGTGATTGAAACTAGCTTTCCTTGGCTATGATGCTGTTGATCGTTCTCGTGGCAACAAAAGGCATGCAGAGCAGTATGGGACGTGAGATGGGCCTTGGTCGTCCTATCGAGCCATTTCATGCCGTCATCCTGTTCGTACACTACTAATCACTGCAACTCCGACGCATGGTTGGAGTGCGATGATGGCGCTGAGTGTCATGGTCATCTCCGATCCCAGACGAGACTTCAACCGGGAGCTGAGCAATAGCATAGCAAAGATAAGAAAGGAGGAAAACGGCATGAGCAAGGTACAAGACGAACGGACGATTAGCACTTCTTGATTGCCTGATAGCATCACATCCCTGATGTTTTGCTTCGCTGGCAAAGTCTACCAACAGTGAGAAAAGGGAGAGATGCGCGGAGGGTGAGTGTAGTTGCATATGCGTGTGACGATTTTCAGGATCTCCCGAGGGGAGTTCAGCATGCTGAGCAGAGGCTTGAGGGACCCCGGATTGCGACGTTGGAAAGCAGGTATATTCACTCTCCACTCTCTCCACTCTACATCCACTCAAATAGTATATGATGGCACGTGTGTATGAAGACAAGGAGCCTTGATTTGCCAGCAGCTTGTCGTTTCTTCGGACGCACCAAAACGGATAAGATGGCGACAAAGGCCGCGGAGCCTACACAGGGAGGGGAAGGGAAGGCGAGCAGAGCTGCATGCGCGATTTAATATTGAAGAAAGCACCTATGGGGGATACAGTAGTAGTGGGGAAATCTTGATGATCTGGCAGGTCAAGGAGTTGATGCAACCTTCTGATGCCGGTGCAGATGTACGGTCAACTTCCCCCGACCGACAGGAATGATTGGCAGTGCCGCAGTAATCGGCGGTGATGAGCAGGCCCAGGAGTGGCTATCTCATTTTTTTTCTTCTTTTTTTTTTTTTTTTCTGGTGGTTGAAAGAAGACAAGATGCTTACAAAGGAGAATTTTGTTATTATTATTATTGCGCAAGATGACGAAATGATTGAGATGCATAGTACATAATACATAATACATAACTAATGATAAGAATAAAAAAATTACATGTATTTGAGGCCAGACTAAGACGCCAAGCTTTCTCTCAGCTTCTGACACAATGCAATATTTGCCTCCGTCCTCGGTCCTACACCAGTATCTCGTCTGCCAGGTTCAAGTTCTTCGCTGTGATTACAGAGCAGATATCAATTATTGATTATTATTATTATTATTATTATAACCATGTCTTCCCCTCGGACAAGAATAAAATATTCCATTTTTGCCCCGCCTACAATTGACTAACATCTAATTTCTGGGGGTGTGTGGTTAGAACAAAACATTAAAATTCCACACCAAATTCCCCACCTATTCTATCCAAAAACCACTTCCACACCGACCCAGAACACATTCATCCATCCTCATCCTCATCCTCTTTCCACTTGCTGAAGAGGAGGTGTCTCTTGCTTCCCACCCCTTCGATAACTTTGCACGCACCTTCGACAATCCAAAGGCATCCTCGTCAAATCTCTGCTTCGCTCGAGACGCTGCTCTTACTTAGTCCACCGGTTTTGGTCCTCCACTTCTAAGCATCGCTGCTCCTCCACCCAGCAGGACTCTTGGAGTTGAAAAAGAGAGAAAAGCTTCTCCCAGTCTCTCTGTCTGAAATTTTCTTTACCAAATACACCCAATTAACAATTCACCTTCAATTTTGAGCCTCTCACGCGTAGCAGGCAGGGCACTTGCCCGCCTGGACGAAGGTCCACCGACTTTAATCCCTCTCTACTAAACCTAATAATTCCAGTACAAGAATGAACAGCCAGACAAGCACACTGACTCATCGTCCACCACCAACGCCGTCCCCGTCCGACTCTACGTCTACTCTACACTCGCAAGATGGGAAGCCTGGTTTTCCGCAACCTTCCATACCCGAAGAGCCAGTGGTGCTGCCCAATGCCTCCCAAGTCCCAGGGCCTACACACAACGCGCCTGTGGCTGCCAAGAAGCCGACAATAACAAACCGCCTGACTCGCATGTTCTCGCAGGCAAAGGTACCTAGTCAGTCCGAAGCGAGCAATGGTCGCGAAAGCGGGGCATCCGATACCGACAGCAATAAGGGGAGCTCATGGACGCCTAATCCGCCCTCAAGGCAGCAGTCATACACAGACAAACAGCCACAGTCTGCCGCAGAATCTGAACGAAGACTCAGCACGACGAACGTTAAAAAGGAGACTAAGGACACCGATCACGCCCAGGCACACAAGAGGTTCGAGATCTCTCCAGACGGCACTCACCAGCATACGCTCAAGAGCGCCAAAAGACAAGAGAAGTTATCGGACATGCTCCGCGACATGCTGGGAGGGAAAAAGCGAGACGATCATAGTCAAGACGAGCATCAACAATTGTCGCTGATGTCGACATGGGTAGATCAGCTGCGGAATGAACGCGAGAAACTCGCTTCTGACAAGAAGGGAGGGCCAAATGCAACTGCGACACTCGTGCAAAAGTATGGCAAATGCCAAGAGATCGTCGGTCGTGGAGCTTTCGGTATTGTTAGAATTTCGCACAAGACAGATCCCAAGGACTCCAAGGCCGAGCAATTATACGCTGTCAAAGAATTCCGCCGCAGGCCTCAAGAGTCGCCAAAAAAGTACCAAAAGCGCCTTACGTCTGAATTCTGCATCTCGTCTTCGCTTCGCCATCCAAATGTCATACACACGCTCGATCTCCTACAGGACGCCAAGGGAGATTACTGTGAGGTCATGGAGTTCTGCGCGGGAGGAGATCTCTACACTCTTGTGCTAGCCGCAGGAAAACTCGAAGTCCAAGAAGCAGACTGCTACTTCAAGCAGCTCATGTGCGGCGTGGAATACTTGCACGAAATGGGCGTCGCCCATCGAGACTTGAAGCCAGAGAACCTGCTCCTGACCACTCATGGCTCTCTCAAGATCACCGACTTTGGCAATGGCGAGTGTTTCCGGATGGCTTGGGAAAAGGAAGCTCATATGACTGCTGGACTTTGTGGCTCGGCTCCTTACATTGCTCCTGAGGAATACACAGACAAGGAGTTTGACCCTAGAGCCGTTGATGTTTGGGCTACAGGCGTCATCTACATGGCCATGAGGACTGGGAGGCACCTTTGGAGGGTTGCGAAGAGGGACGAGGATGAATTCTTTGACCGTTACGTGGAGGGGAGGAGAGGGGACGATGGGTACGGGCCCATCGAGACATTGCATAGGGTAAGTCACTTAAACTTATATGGGTTCCGAACTTGATAATAATAACATGTTAAGCGTCGTTGTCGGAATGTCATCTACTCGATCCTCGACCCTGACCCCGGCCCGACACGTCGCCTCACGGCCTCGAAAGTGCTCAAATCGGAGTGGCTCCGCGAGATCCAGCTCTGCAAGGCTGCTTTAGAAGGGTTTTGATCGTGGCCGAATTGGAGCAGACGACTCCCAATACTCTAGCTTGAACAATGAACGATGGATATGTCCCTGTGCCTTGACTGCAGGAGTGCGTCAAGCGTTGCATTCTTTGAATTCATTACGATTGACTACTGCATGTCGTCTTGACTGCTTCTTTGCGCTGCATACCCACCAGTCGCTTCGACGTACTCGAAACATGGAGTTATGATTGAATGATGGGGCATAGGAGGGTATTTGAAAGAGGTCGGCGTACTACGATCATTTACGTATAAATCGTCTCATAGCTTGCACCGTGATACTTTTTTTGCAGATTTAATTTACAGCAGCCAATGAGAACCCCACCACATCATCATCTTCAAACCTTGCACTGGGCGGTAAAGGAGTGAGGTAGGGGCACGTTCTTGGGGGTCTCAATAAAAATACTGGGAAATAGAAGTAGTAGTAAGGTAGTCTCAAACTATTTACCCGAGTGAATGTCGAGCTCCAATATGGCGCCAAGACAAATAACGAGGCAGTACGTAAATCACTGCATCCGTACTTCAAACATTCTCCCAACAGCTACACCACTTACACTTGCCGCGTTTTCCTTATGTGCCTGATGTGTTGTTTTCATAACTTGAGACAACCTACCATCATTTCACAGGCTACAGCCAGCTAAAATGTCATGGGCGGGTATGGTCTCTCTCAAAGCATTGCTTTGGCTGACATGCGAATGGCTGACTCTATTCCTAGGGTTCAAGAAGGTTGCCAACCGGGCAACCACCCAGGTGATGATGAAGACGGGTAAGCCATACATTAGAGCAGAGGTGCCCTGTGGGCGCCACGAGGCTCATGGACAAACACAGGGCATGTTGAAAAGACCAATGATCGGGACTATGAGGTGGAAGAGAGGTACGTGTCCCGCTACGGGCGAATAGAGCAGGAGTTTTACAAGCTTGGAAGGAAATTGTTTCTAAAAACCGTCATCTTGCAACAGGCGGTACCGCACCATGGAGTCCGCAGCGAATAGACTACAAAAGGAAGCGAAGGGATACTTGGATTCGTTACGAGGTGGGAGAGCCTCTTGAACTACCAGACTATGGTAAACAGACTTGCTGACTTCAAAATCCAGCCATGACAGCGTCCCAAATGCGAATCGCTGAGACGATAGATGCTTTCTACGGAGACGCTGGTGCCAATGATGGGGTCAGCAGGAGCTACAAGCAAGCAGTGGAGGATTTAGATGCGGAGACAATAAAGGCACTCGACGGGCCGTTCAGGTAGCGATCCCACGGTCATAGCATGCTGCTGGCAAGACATGCTTACAGGACTGTTGAATAGACAAACGGTCCTAGAACCTATCACACGATTCTGCGCCTACTTTCCCGACATTAACGAATGTACGACTCCTCCTATCAACATCGGAGGCACAAGAGCCCTAACTAATATGCTCGCCTCCTAGGCATCAAGAAACGCAATCACAAACTCCTCGATTACGACGCCACGCGTGCCAAGGTGAAGAAGCTCGTCGAAAAGCCCGACAAAGACCCCACGAAGTTGCCACGTGCAGAGAGGGAATCTGACCTTGCCAAAACAGCTTACGAAGCCTTGAACGAGCAACTCTTCTCTGAATTGCCGCAGCTCATAGACCTGCGTGTACCTTACTTGGATCCTTCATTCGAGGCGTTGGTCAAGATTCAACTCAGGTTTTGCGCCGAAGCGTACTCGAGAATGGCGCAAGTGCAGCAGTTTTTGGACGCGGACACGAGAGAGCAATATGCACAGGGGCACTTGGACAGTCGGGTTGAGCAGGTATTGGGGGAGATCCGAGAGCTGAGTATTGCAGGCACTGTTTGAAATCAGCGGAGGTGTCTGGTCGTCTGGTGTGATGTAGCGTCGATGGTGGGCGTATTGCAGCATTGCCTGCGCTGCTTCTGTACCCTTAGGCTTATCCCCAGAAAGTACCGAGAATAGCTTTGTTTAGCTCCATGCTACAGGACTAGGCAGTTTGGATTCTCTTCAGACATGTTGAGTAATTGTATTTGACAACTCCTTTACACTGATCTCGGCAGCCAATTAGGTCGCGCTCGTCCTCTGTACTCCGGAGCAGCTTGGGAGTCTTCCCCATTATAAGCGATCCAAGGGCAATACTGGAAAGGCGCATGCTGGCATGCCAAATGGGTGAAACGGAGGATTTGTGCAGGCTCTAGCAGGAGAGCAGCCGCAAAAGAATAGTGGCATTGTCTCTCAGCTCGTTAAGCTCTGTTAGACGGTTGTCAAACAAACAAAGTACAGCGAAGTATTGGGGTCGACTTGGATGACTGCCACCTCTGATGATGGTCATATTCACCTTAACGCTCAAGGTAAGTCATGACCTTAAGTACTTTACCAATTACATTAGGTACTTTACCAGTTACCTTATCTCCGCGCGGTACTTGGGATCGCCGAGGTACCTTGCGTCATGTTGAAACCATCAAGCGGTCGTCGGTCACTGATTACTACTTTAGTATAGTAAAGTACCTGGATTAGTAAGGTAAAGTAAGGTAGTACAGCATAGCCGCTATCTAGCGTCATGCCGAATCTCGTATTTCGATCAGCAATATTAGAGTAAAAGTATTTTAAAGTAGCCACAGGCCAAAATTGGCTCCACTGAAGTTCAGTATAAAATATGTACAGTAATCATTTCAAAGCCGCATGCCACCGGCCTGCTCAAAAGCTCCGAGAGACAAGCCTCATATCCTGGTAGCCACAGCCCTAGCCATGAGGAAGAGAAAAGGAAGATACAAGTACAATAGTACAAGCTCCTCAAACTCGCAGAGAGGTAATCTCCACCTTGACCCAAGGCCGATCACAGCGTAATATGCAAGTGATCGTTCAGCCCGAATGCCCGGTTGCAATTTGGGCATTTCCTCGATCGAGACAAAGTCCGTTCCTCGACACATTCATTGCAGAAGACGTGCCCGCAGGTCTTGATAACCGTGTTTTTGAAGTTCTTCTGGCAGACGGTACAAATTGCCATAATCTGGCCAAGGTCAGCGGTGTGGAAAGGCAAGGAACCTGAAACACAGCTCATCCACTCACCCGAAGCATCTCATACTCGCTACTTTGATTGCCTAAGCCCTTATTCTTCCACGATTCCAGGCTTTTCTTCGTCTCCTCAAAGCGCACTTTGAGCGTTGCGATCTCGACTTCTGCTTTCCGATATGCCGCTGACGTGGCACTGGTAGCAGCGTCCTTGGCCTCAAGGCTCTTCTTGAGCTCTTCAACTTGCGCCTTTAACCCTTCGAGTGAGATATTGCGCTCAGACGTCTGCTGTTGCGAGGCGCGATACTTGCTTTCGACTGTGGCGAGCGACTCTTTGACTTCCGCGATCTGCTTCTCGAGATTGACCTGTAAAGCGCGGTTTGCCGCCTCCGAATCTTTGAGTGATGACACCATCTCAGAACTCTTGGAGTTTTGCGCTCGCAATGTCCTGACCTCCTGTTCTCGAGCTTCCTTGGCTTTCATTGCTGCGAAGTATTTCTGGTCTGCCTTTGACTTCTCTGCGCTAAGCCTCTGAACTTTTTCCTCCAAGGCGGCTGCGTTGGTAACTTTCTGCGATGCAAGTGTCGAAGCCTTTTTGAAAGCTGTTCCCATAGACTGGAGTTCATTGTTCAGTAATGAATATTGCTTCTCCAGACTCGAATATCGGCTTTGCAATTCCTCCGATGAAAGATCGTCAATCGTTGGGGACTGACGAGCAGGGTCTGCAGGCTGTCTAGTTTGCACTTTCAGTCTTGCAACTTCGGACTCCAATGCCTTGATCCGCTCTTCCTTCGCACTTGCTAGCTCCTTGACTTGATCAACTGAAGTCCGTTCTTGCGATTGTGCAGTCTTTCGCAATGTGACCTCCGCAATAAGTTCGTCCCGGCCAGTCCTCACCCTCGCCAAATCGTTTTCAGCTTGAACTAGTTGGGCTTCCAGTTCCGACAATGCCATTCCTGATTCTTTCTCGATTTGAACGCGATATGCGGTTCGCTCTGCTTGAAGCTTCTCCGCTTCTTCCCGTAGCTGGACATTGGTAGCTTCTAAATTGTTGATCCTCTTGATCACGTCCTCGTGTTGGGATTTCAAAAGTTTAAAGAGGTCAGTTCTACTATAATCGTCGTCTGATAGATGAGTCAATCGATTGCTGAGTGTCGTCACTTGAGCAGTGAGTCTCTCATTCTCGGCTTCCAGACTTTCCAGCTGTTCTTTCCGCTTTGCAGACGCAGCAACAGCTTCTCTCCGAGCTTCTTCAGCCTCAACCAGTTCTTCCACGTTATCCGGCTTCGAATCTACCTGCCCATTGGCTGGGTCCTGTGCGCCTCCCAGCCCACTACCTGTGTCGCTACGGCCCCCAGAGATGGCTTGTCTCTCAAGTTTGGCAACAGTCGCACTTTTCGATCGGTCAAGCTTTTTCTCTGCCAGCATGTAACGTAAAGATGCATCTTCCAGCCGTCCTACCAATTTCTCTTTTTCCAAACGGCTTTTTTCAAGTTCGACGATATGACCCTTTTCAGCCGTAAGGAGTTGAGCGATCCGACCTTGAAGTTGAGAAACCTCTGGCGCCGATGCTGGCGCTCGAGTAAAGAGTCGTGAGATTGCAGAGGATATTTCTGCAGATCGGAACTTCAGGTGCGTGTTGAAGGCAGCGGAATCTGCGGCCAAAAGCGCAGAGGGGAACGTTGAGAATGTCTTGTGGCTCTCAAAATCCCCTACTAAAAGCCTTATTTCATCGAGCAACTGCGATGCGTATGAGTACACGGACGCGAGACGATAGATACGTCGGCTAGGGTCTGCTCACCTCGCTGAACCAAGCATCAATGACCATCAGGTGCTCATCGTGATAAGTTGCGTTCTTTGTCATTTCATTCAACCGAAATTCCAGGTTACTGCGCTCCCGTTTGTATTCCTGCATCTGTCGCCATATGGCCTCTTTCTGAAATCGCTATCACACCAGCAGCATATCAGCATGGTTCAATGACATACAGGGTGTTGATGAGCAAAGAAATGGTAAGGGTACAGCTTCGCAAATAAGAGAGACGAATATTGAGAATGGCAAGGCCGGCTTACCTCGAGATCATCCTTCCAGGGCATGTCAGCGTCAACATGGCCTTTGGAGGTCCCGTTGACAGAGGTGGCTTGCCGCTTGAGAGGTGGTTCGGAAGGGTCATGGTCATGGGAGGCCGGCCTCTTCCTCTCATCCATCTTAACAAGATCGGATGATGAAAGGGAGACGGCTTGGCTTTGAACGAGGGTCATCAGGGCCACAGACCTCTAGGTCGACAGCAATCACCTTAGAATAAAGGTAGCTACATGGATAAAGAGTACCTGCGGCCGTGGTTATAACGTCAGGCGCAAGAGGTGTTTGTGCAATTCAAATGCTGTGTCAAAGGAGAGCTGTTCAATTTTCACTTCTTTGATTTTAGAGTTGACGCTATCCAAGAAAGGCTAGCACTCCCGTCCCCTCTCCACTGCCTCGAATGCGCAGATCCATCAATACTCACCTCGTCAGTACCTGCGCAAGATCCAACATATCCTGCTTGATGCCATCAGTCCTTGAGTCGACATTTGGTGCCGGTCGCGCTCATAATGTCGGCGCTGGGAAGCGCAGTCATTAGTGCGTTATCAAACCAAAGTGGAGTCGAAGTCCTGCTGATGCCCCTACAGACAAGTCGGGAAAGAAGTTCGCTCCCAAAGCACCTGCTCGACGGGCACCCGCCCCGGTCTCTACGCAGACCTCTGCCAGACCAAGTGTTGCCAGACGATTGCATTCCCAGACTCCTCAGCCTCAATCACTACAGCAACATGTCGAATCCTCGCCTACGCCTTCTACATCGCTACCTAAAGCCGCATCGACCCAACAGCTTGCTACAGCTGCACTCGCAAACAATGCCCGGCGAGATGAGGCTACCCCCATATCAATTCCTTCACGAAGTACGCCGGCGCTGAAGTATGCTTCTCCTGCGTCTATAGTGCCTCAGAAACGACCCTCTTCGCCCCTACAATCGCCCCGCCAGCTTACACCAGTCAGCCAGCCTGTAATAGCTGCCAGTCGTGCTCCAGAGCCCTCAGGTCCAGTACCAACGCCGAATGAAGCTAGTCTCAAGCATACAGGATCCCACGACGCACCGGTCCCTTCTTCAACAAGATCGCCTAGTGGAAGCGTTGCAGAAAGCACCAGCACGGATGTTCCTACGCCCGCTCTTAAACGTCGGAAAATTGAGGTATCTCCGGAACAGAATCGAACAGGACAGTCACGTGCTACAACTGCTGATGCAAATGTACCAATACCAAGCACAGAAGTGAATGAAATTGCCGCAAAGTCATCAAATAACGCCCTAGCCCTAGCTGTCACAAAATCTTCTGGAAAAGCCAAGAAGCCTAAGCTTTCTGTGCAGGAAAAGCGTAAACAACAAATCGCGGATGCTGCAGCTGAAGTCGTCGCCGACGCAACCAGAAATACGTCGGCAAGCGCAAAGAAACCAAGGAAAAACGCGAAAGGGAAGGGCGTTCAAAGAGACAAAAGTGTAGCGGCCAGGACATCCAGGGGAGCTACTCAGGAGCAGCCTAGCCAAGTCGAAGAGGATGCCGACCCTGCAAAATTGAGGAGAAAATACCAAAAAAAGAAGACCCGGCAAAGCATTGAAGATGCTGCAGCTGAAGTTGTTGAAGACGCTGTCCAAGGCTCATCTAAAGATCCAAAGAAGCGTGGCCGAAGAAGAAAACGCGCACCAACGCCTGAAGGTGCAGAGATAGTACAGATAATGCCATCTGAGGTCAGAATGATGGACCTGTGCAGGGATGGTGGAACGGGTAGGAAATCAGAAAGGGAAAAGGAATTGGAGGAATTGGAACGGGCAGATTTCATCCGAAAGAAGCAAAGGCAGCTGAAAGAAGTCATGGATGGAGCTGAGCCTGAAAGCCAGGCTACGCCTGTCGAATATACCGAAGCGCGAGAGGAGCGGCCGGCCCGCCAGAGGGAGCAAGAAGAGAACGTAGCTCACAACGTGCCCAACACCATCATCGTAAATGGCCAGATTCAGATAGATGAGACTTCTCTGGAGATCGATCGTCACGCAGCAGCAGCCCTCGAGCGCAATGTAGAGCAGTTGGATGCCGTTGACGAGACCGATATGACTCGAAAGATCAACTCTGCCACCTGGCTCAAGCGAGACCAAAGTGGTGGGTGGAATGAGATGCTAACAGAGAGGTTTTATGATGGACTGCGCATGTTCGGCACTGACTTTGAAATGCTCAGCAAGATGTTTCCCGGCAGAACAAGGCACAAGATCAAGCTCAAGTTCTGTAAAGAAGAGAAAATCAACGGCGACAGGATTAAGGCGACATTACTGGGCGAAAAGTTGGCCGTGGATTTGCCGGAACTTGAGAAGATGGCTGGTACTGAGTTTGATGATCCGGAGGAATTGGAGAAAGATTTGGAAGAGGATCGCATTAGGCTGCAAGAGGAGACCGCGGCTGAGAAGCAAGCAATGGATGAGGCAAAGAGGGAAAGACAAGAGCAAATTGCTGCGGAGCAGGCAGCAGCCGAAAATGATTCTTCCGCGAAGGAGAACCGGCGTGGGAAGGGAAAGAAGAAGGGGCCGAAGCGCAAGACAAAAAGTACTTCCAGAAAGAAGGATGAGCAGGCTCAGATGGCCGCTAGTGGCAGTGGAGGAGATGTGCTTGGAGAGCTCGCTGAAGCGTTCGGAGTGAAGTAGTTTTGGAGGCCTCCTAAATGCTCGCTTCCATCATGGACAGACATGTATTGGGAAGCAGTAGTGGAGGTCGAAAACATGTTTGCACCAATCTGGGTATTCTTGAAGCTTGACAACACTATGTAGCTAAATCCAGAAGCAGCCTCAGGCCCCTCGACTTTTCCGGAACCAATACTTTTACCAACGAGTCGAGAGTCATCTGATACCTGATCATCTCCTGCTCGTTCCTCCAAAGCCAGAACTTTCGTGTCTGCTGGACCCATAGCCAGAATTCGAGCTTGAACTTTCACTCGATCTCGTTCTTCCACCCCCCACTCCAGCGAGATTGGAACTCCCTTCCCCATTACCACGACCGTTTACCCCACTAAAATTCCGTGTTGACTGATTTCTCGGCTGCTGACTTTGCCCTCTGTTGCCCGCCATATACCCAGCAGCAGCACCTCCCAGCGCTCCTGACCAAAAGCCCGGTCTCCAACCTCCTTGCGTCTGCGCAGGAGCTGCCCTGGGAGCTCTCGAGGAAGTTGCCTTGGCCTTAGGCGACGGACGATATTCGTAGGGTGGCGGTGGGTCGTCATTGTTGCCGCCTCCGCCTCCACCAAACCAGGGGTTGGGAGCTGCTCCTGGTGGCCTCCTTCCCAGGCTATCCCTGATCAATGCGGCATATACCATCCAACCGACGACGGCAATAAAGATGAACCAGAAGATGACAGCAGCCCAGTCACCTCCTTTCGATCTGCCATCATATGCACCCCACATGTCCTTGCCTTTCCCTCCATACTTCTCCTCTCCCAGCTTTGTGAGCATTAATCGATACTCCACTCCACAACTCCCTTTCAGCACATATGGATCCTCAGACGAGGAGAAACCCTCGCATATGACGTCCGTGCTACCAAGTTTGAATTCCGAAGGAAGTGAAGCAGTACATGTCCATTGCACGTCTTCATCTCCATAAGAGGATCCGGCATTTTTGCAGCGGAGGACATCGATATCATAAAATCCTTTCGCTGTTCCACCTATACAATTCAGCTGGGGAACGGCTGAAACGCGATTGTGGGAGGTCTTGAGATCCTTTCGAAGTGTGAGGGATTTCACGTGGGAGAGGAGGACGCTTTCTGAGGATTTGCGGGCTGCGGTACTGGTGGTGGTGAAAGCGAGGATGAGAAGATAGATGTATTTGAAGAAATGCATGGTTCAAGTGACCATAAATCTCTAGTAGGTCTAAGAAAGGGAAGAGACCCGCATTGTTAATGCAAGGGAGGGGATTTTTATTTATTTCTTCTTTCTTTCTTCCTTTCTTTCTTTCTTCTTTCGTTCTTCCCTTTTTATTTGTTGTTTCCTTGGCTAACAATCTGAACAAGTGGTCTTTCCAATTTGTGATGATCGAGTGATTATTGGAATTTGGCAGCTTCTCTGCCGCCTGCAAGGTAGCGTCATCTTTACAGCTCACGCGGGTTCCAGAATTCGTCGTACACCCTAGTCCAAATTAGGCGCTAGGGTGTACGACGAATTCTGGAACCCGCGTGCAGCTCAAAGCCTTTAACCCTAACCCTAAGTAAGTCACCGATTAGTAAGCGGTAAGTCCGTTAAAAAATTAGACCGTCGGGGTTAACCCTTTCTGCTTACTACGGAACTAGCACCGAAGGCTGCGAAGCCAACGAGCTAACCCAAAGGGGCTTAGCGATATTGGCACGCCTGAGGGACTGAGGCAATTTTAGAAGAATAAACTCGAGGCCTCTCCGTTCGTCAACAGTCCAACACGCAACAGCCAGGCTCACTGAGTGACAACAGACACTCATGCGATGAGAGAGCGTATCACCTTCCTTCACCGTCCAGACGATGCATTGGACCCGAAGCAGCTTCAGCTCCAGAATGATACCCTACATGTCACATTCTTGAAGGCTGCTCGAGAAGACAAATTAACTGTCGGCTTGTATGAGCTTCCCCAAGAGGTATCTAACTCCAAAGCTCAAAGGGCTACACCATCGAGACCATCGTTCATTGTTGATTCCTGTAGCTATGGCGAGCTCTGAAGCAATGTTATGAATTACACATACGATGGATCTCACCCAATCCCTACCTCTCCGTAGCGCCCTTCGTCTCCACAGCCTCTCCCGGACTCCATGTCTTCTTCACTCCACAGAGAGATAAATCTGCGTATGTTATAGCAATGCCTTTTCCCTCACAAATCTCCTCAGCCAGCGTACTGAACGCCTAAAAGTGACCTACTTTGTCCACTGCTCTCCAAGACATTTGGAGCACGTGTAGATTGCAGAACGCCTGAGGTATTTCTCTACCGTCCATACCAAGAAAGATTCGAACGAAAAATAAAAAAAAGACATTCAGGACACTTTCATCCACCTTCCCGTCGCATCTAAAAGATTCGCTTCCTCTGCCGCATTTCAACACTACCAACCCCTCCCCTCTTTGACCGACCTGGCCACTTACCTACACCAAAGAATATGTCCCGAAGAAGACGAATCCTGTAGACGTCGAGCAGCTTCTTTGAAGTCTGCAGACTACCTAGATATCGACTATGATACTCTCTCACAATCCCTCGTCCTCAGTGCCTTCTGGCATTCCCCTCCGCTAACAGAAGCCTGGAATGAGCGGATCGACAAAAGCAAAGCTTCTGACAAGGTTGAGATTGGGGTGCTGGCAAGTGAGAAGCCTGCTCAGCCAGAAGAGCTTTCATTAGCCGGCTTTCTAGCAGTGGTTGGAGAAGATAGCAAACCCAGTATGTAATTGACATCAATTTTGCCAGCCTCTGCTGACTTTTGCAGACCCAACCCTCTTCTCATTCCCTTCCCGCCACCATGTTGCCGCTTCAACGTCCGGTACAGAATATTCCACGGCTTTCCTGGAGCCGATTGGTCTCCATCCCACCCTTCGCTTGACATTGTCTTCCTCCACAGACCCTCCTACAGACGGCTGCGCTCTTCATACCTACCTCACTTTGCCGTCTTCTCTGTTCTTAGACAAGTATCAGCTATCTTCTTCAAATTTTCTGGCTTCCAAGAATCTCCACTCTATCCGCTCTCTGGCCGGAGAGACCGACCTTGAGGCTCCAATCTGGACGGTCTCCAAATGGGGCTCCACTCTTCTGCTTGAACTTGCGCCTCCGCCTTCCACTTCCGGTCTTCGTTCTGCTGGGACAGTCAAGGAGCCAGGAGGTTCGTGGCATGCAGACGTCCCACTCCATCTTCGCTATCTTCCACCCAATCGAGAGGGACACGCTTTTGTATCAGTAGCCTGGCCTATCGTCTTCTGGGCGTGCCCCTCAGATGAAGGCACGAAAATGAGTACTAATCCCTTCGATCGTGTGAATCTCGGCTATGATGGATTATTCGGACCAAGGACAATGTTTTATCATTTGCAGCCTGCGAGCGGCGGCGAGTCTTTGTTGGAAGAAATCTTAGTGCCTGTGCTAGATATGGAAGGCTCGAAGATGAAGTGGGTACAATCTGGGACTGTGACGACGGTGGTTCTTGGATTTCTGTGGGTGTGTCTTAAATTGCTTGCAGTGAATCGGGGAAGTTTAGGGAGGAAAGGAGGTAGGTGGAAGGGAGACTGAGAATTCTGAGGCTGCTGTGAAAGCTGATGTAGCTGAAGATTATGAGGATAAAGGTTTCCATGACAGCCATTTTTCCTCCCCACGAATTGCTCTTTGAGCTGGTTCCTATCATAGGTAAACGGCGACTTCCTTTCGAATTCAAATCCACCCATCTGTAAATTCATTTCTGTTAGCAGTGCCAATACTTCAACTGGAGTCCTTCAAAGTATATATGATCCTATTGTAGGACTCTCTTGCGTTTTTACGTTGTCACAACATTTCTACTAATTTCCTTGCTACTTCTCCGACATCCACCATCCAGTCTCCGTACCCATTGAATCGTGATATCTAGAACCATGGCACCTTTTGGTGACATACTGTTGGAGTAGACTTGGAACCAACAAAACCAGCGATCAAGAAGATGTTGAACTTAACATTAATTGTCGTCAACTTATACAGAAACAGATAAGGATCCTTCTCGTGGCCCGCTGGCAATCTTACTGGCATGACATGCTGGCCTAGTCGTTACATGCGTGGTCGGTGTAGCCTAAAGAAGACTTCGCTGACAGAGTCTGATATGTCTCTTTGAGGAGAATTGGCGAGATGAGCAATGGTGCAAGAGTACCGGATATCGCGAAAGGACTTGGGCCTGGAGCCGTTATAAAAATCAATCGAGAACGAGTCACGTCCGATAGAGAAAGCTTGTTTCTTCGCTGAGGTTGTTGCCTAGGATAGCCTCGTCAAACCGAAGCGCAGGGGAATGTTCTAACCCAAACATTCACTCACAATTGAGGCCCCAAGATGCTTCTTTCTCTTCGGTAGACTGGCCGGGGATGAGAGCCAAGTCGGGGCGCCGTTGAGCGATCTTCTAGGGTACCGCCTTCACCCCTTCATTGCGGACTCACCGCTCCCTATTACCTTACTCCAAACGTTCTCGAATCCTCCCCATGCAGCATCGATTACTCCAGTAGCCCTGTCCATGGTGCCTCCTCCTTTTCCAACCCTTACAACCTCTTCCACTTCGGCAGCAGACATACTTCCCGAGCCGTTTTCGTCCTCTCCGCCCTTTCCACCTCCTGCTTTCTCATCTCTGCCTCCAGAAGCCGTAGCATCGGGCGTACTATTGGTCTCAACCCCGGCCTCAGTTTCAAAATTACTACTGTAGACTACCGCTGCAAACGCTTCAAGCTCGCTCACAGCCTCGATCGCCTGCACATATTCATTCGGCACCCCATTGCCGATCTTGTGCGCTTCCCTCGTTATGACGGCTAATATTGTAGCAAGTTTCGCCGAGGCAGTCAATGGGTCAGGATCCCTGACCTCGGTTATCCTGGGTTCTGGAATAGGCGTGGGAGTCAGAGGTGCGAGTTTGTAAGCCTCAGAGCGAAGCTTCCTATCTACGAGGTAGGAAAAAGTGGCGTCAAGGAGAAGCGTGAGAACGTGGCTGAACATCGGAGAGTCGATAAGATCAGATGTCTCGTCAAGCAGGCGGCGGAGAGGAGGAGACGTTGTTGAGACAGAGGGGGGAGAGGCCAGGGGAGAAGGCATAGATGCGGGGTTTTGAACCCTTGGAGATTGTGGCGGCTTTGGAGGGGTGGACATGCCGGACTCTTGGAGGATAGATTCCTCTTGATTAGAGGGCGGGAGAAGAAACGAGAGCCACTTGCGCGTCCTATACCACGTTAGCACGACAAGGGTAGGATGGACGTGGGAAGTCGGCTTACTTCCGCTCTTCAGGAGATGCTCCTTCTACTGCCTTTCTCACATCCAGTATCAGCCTTGATATTCTCTCGAGGGGAATGTCTTCCCTCGGATTTACAGAGCCAAAGACTTCTTTGACCGCATCCTCGACATTCACCATAATTTCTCTCCATCCTCGATGCAGCAACCACCAACTGAATGTGAGGTATTTGCGATTTGTCTCAAAATCGTTGCCATATGCTCGTTCAACAATATCGTTGTCGTGATTCTCTAGGCTGATTGTAGGATCGTGCCGCGGGTGTGAAGCAAGAGATACAACGCTCGAGAGGTAGTTCCTTCGACCCAGGAGGTTCAGTTGAATGCGAGTCAATAAACTCAGCAAAGTGACTGTGTATAGTAAAGTGAATGATCTCGTGATTGCTACAGTTGATCAGTATAAGTGAGATGGGAAAAGCAGACGCAGAGCACTGACAACTGATCTTGAGATCATTCCACAGCTGTGCTTTGCTCGAAGGGGGTCTTGATTCACCGTTGCCAGAGCTGGAAGCTCGCAACTGACTAGCATGGACATAGCCTTCGCTTTGGAAGCTCGATAAGCTTCTTCCATCTTCATCTGCTGCAATTGGGGTCCCTGACGAGAGTTCTGATGGCGCTGCGTCGGACGTGCCGGCGCTCTTACCCAACCTCTCTGCCTTTTTCTGCTGCAACTGTTGTGTAATCTTCTCTGATGGCAAAGCTTCGATGATATTCTCTGCCACAGTAGGTAACAACTCGAGGACAGTTATAGTACAGTCTTCCTGATTATGTTGGAATCGTCGGCGCAAGCTATTTATTCAGTCAGCGCCGGGTTTGGAGAGAGTGCAAAGGATTTGTACTTTTCTTTAGCTATGCGGTTACCAGCCATACGCTCTCTCGCCTCGGTAATCTTCGATAGCACATATTGGCCTGCAACGTAGCCGACCCCAATAACCCCAACTCCAATAGCAACACCCGTGCGGTTTCGCTGCAGCCATCTCCTTGTAGCGGATATCATCCTCTATGCAAGCTCGCGCACTGGCACCAACGCAGACCTCGAACAACGCAAGAAATGAGAGTCGGCGACGGCATTCAATTGCCAATTACTGTCGTTGTATGGTAACGCCGTAAAGAAGTTTTTTTCTCTGAAATGTCCGGAATAATTGCTTTGCTAGTACAGTATACTTGTTATTAGGGTCATTATGCGCGTTGGACCCAGCCCTAGACGTTTAAAGTGGCGTGGTGGGAAAAGCCAAGCCAAGCTTACCTACACTTATGTCGAGAGAGTGGGGGGCGAAAGGTGGGGGTGGTCAACCTAACGTATATCAAATCACAAGCACGAGTGTGAAAACAGTGAAGCACTCGCACAATTTGCCGTCTAAGTTAGTTAATTTATCCTATTCAATCCTTCGCTCGATACGAGGCCAGCGCGTTATACCCTTGGGACTCTTTAGACTCTCTTGCCAACCATGCTGGGAGTGGCCAGCCTTTAGGGTTGCTCTGAATCACAGTATGGAGCAGCGAAAACCCCCCCCAATACATACTCGAAGTCTTTGCGGACCCCACCTGTGTCAAAGATATCGTTCGAGGTATGTTCATCCCGATATTTCGAATACCGAGATCCCTAATCCCAGCTAGGAATACTGCATACCATCTTCTTTCACCGATACTTTCCTTCCATAAGGCCATCCAGCATCGAAGTCCTTGATCTCACCCTCCCTCTCGTTGCCGACCCTGAGCTCGAAACCTTGATAGATACACGCGTTGGACAACTCATACGCCAATTGTCCTCTACTTCCTCCCCGAAGAGCAGCGTGCGGGGCTCTCTAGTTGTACAATTCTTTGAGAAGAAGAGGAGGAAAGGCGGGGGCCTGGGTTGGTTCACGGGTGGAGCCAAGGGTGATGAAGAGGTTTGCTGGGAGTCTTGGTGCTTGGAGGTGACTCTGGCTACGCCAAAGACAGAGATGGGTAGGCCCGCTATGCCAAAACCTCAAACTCAAGGAGACATCCAGCATCGCTTACAATTCAATAGAACGGACCAAGGTGATGAAGGCCATCGGATCAACGTTGCAGAAAACAGCCATGAAGATTATCACGCTTGTCAATCGAGATAAGGATCACATACCACCAATAACCACTAGCGAGACGAATCCGTTTCCCTTCCACATAGAGTTGAATCCACGTGTAGAGGGTTGGGGAAAAGGCATTGGAATGTTTTGAAGGCGCTGGATGGTTATGGCGGTGTGAGCCTGTAACAAGGATGGGCTATGGATTCACCGATCAACTTGCTGATTGTTGTACGATAATGAGCCATTTCTTGAGCATTGACTTGTGGTCGGAAATCATGAAACCTCATAGATTGATGGTGCTCACACGAGACGTGCAGAATGGGAAATTTTTGTGCACAGAGGACACAGAGACTTCATTATCAGCTAGGCTGTATCGTACAAGAGAAAATCAAATCGTACGCTTGATGATCGACTGTAAGACTCGCTGACTCCTACCGTTCGACCTCCTCTGAACACAACCGACCCATTGCTGCTGCCATCCCCAAATATCGACTGAAACATCCTGCTCAGGAAAAGCAGCATAGTCCCGCTTTTGGCATATCCCAGAGGTGACTGTCGAAGGCCAATTTGGGTGCTTTACATGGCGTGAGGCTTGGTCGCCTGGTCAGCCTGAGAGCGAAGGTTGGCAGCAGTAGAGCCGCTCTGCGAGAAGAAACGGGAGAAGACCGGCTGGATGAAGGAACGGAAGACGATCTGGGCACCACTATTGTTTTATTATGAATCATGTGCTACATGGGTGAGACTGTTGCGGCCAAACTTACCCGGTTTGCGGAAGAGCCATCCACAAGACGAGGACGAACTTGAAGGTGTAGTAGAAGGCTATTGCTTGTTAGCAATAAGGAAAGCACATTCTTACATGAGGCCCTGGACTCACGGAACCAATAGACAGCGTTGACAACACTCTCGAACACGGAGAAGAATGCGTAGACGACCCAATACTGCAATTATCATCAAAGCAGTCCTATAGATGCAGGACATCACTCAAAGCGAGCTTGACTTACTGTTAACCACTAAGGAAGCTATCAGCATAGGATTCAGATCAAAGCAGTGTATGGATGGAGATGCTTACCTGGGTGTCATCAACCTTGCTCGCACTGAACAGAGCTTCCAGGGAATAGTATCCTGGGACGAGGAACCCGGCAAAGTTCACAAGAAACTCGCCCGCAATATTGAAGAAGATAAGAAAAAAGTAGATGCCGACGAGGCCGAGGAAGGCGTAGACCTTAGGCACCGAAGTCTGCTTCTCGAGGTTGTTGAGCATGGGATATTTGGACAGCTATATCATCTTTCCGTAAGCCCAATCCTTTAACGAGATGATATAGGGTAGCTGTAGGCATATGGAGATTTATCGCGAGCGGTGGGAAGAACGTACCTCCTTATCAATCTGGCCGATCTGGTGCTGTGTTCGGTCTTGGAAAGACATGTTTAAGGATTGCGGATGGGAAGAGAAGAATTGTGCGGTAGTGAGAGGATCGAAGGTTGTAAATGAGAGATAGTCTTGGACTCGGTTGAATTGGCTTGAATGTTTTGTAGAGCACTCGTAGCTGGAGACGTGTTGGTTTTTCTGGCACATGAGGGATCGACGTAAAATTAAAAATACAAAGCTAAGCTTACCCTAGTGCTAGCCTAACGTCTTGCACTCATCGCCCATCGCAACCAGTTTTGTAAACAACGATCCAACGTCAACTGAAATCCAAGGGCACCAAGGCTCAACGTTCCTAGGGCTTCCTGGCTCAGTTGGAGCCATACATGGTCTAGGGCCAAGGCAGTCTGTTCCAAGTGCCATCTGTGCCAGCGTCGGCACGGTTATCGCAGCGGCGACAGTGCCATCGACTCCAAATCCAGCCACTTCTTCCCCACAAACAAACCTATTTTCTTAACCTTGTGCTGCACAACAGCTCGGGATAGTTACTGAACCCTTTGGAAACCAAACTCACTGACGTCCGACTTCTGAAAACCCATCAGCGCCGTCAAATACCGACCGGTGCACTCTTTCTGTATTTGTTGATCCAATGTATCCCCAACTTGCGGTGCTGACTTTCATGTGACAGTGTCGCAACTTCACACACAGACCACGAATATGGCTTCTGGCCTTGCACGACCACGATCTAGCACATCTGGCTCAACTGCGAGCAGCCGTCCCCAATCAATCTGTCCACGACCGCTCTCCCGCGCTTCAACGACAAGCATTCCTAAAACCTGCGCACAACCTGCGCAGCAACATCAGCATCTGCCTGAATCTTCTCAAGCACCTCAAGCTCATTCAGCCCATAGTATACTGTTACAAGATTCTGCTGAAGACGCGGTCACACGTTCTGAGCAGCAATTGACCAACCCAGACCTAAACCAGCAATATGCGATCGATCCGTCGCTGCAAGACCCTGCTGCTCGACCGCAGGCAATGGGTGTAGAAGATTCGTATAATGGAAACAGTGATGCAATGAGACAATTGATGAACCACAATCGTTCGTTGGATAGTCATGGGCAACAATTTGTCATGACATTCACCAATGAGCAAACCCAAAATGATGCAGGAGCTGGAGAAACGAGGAAAAGAAAGGCTCGGCCTCGAGCATTTCTAATGACAACGAGCTCCGAAAGCTTTTCGCCGCAAACAAAGATCGTGATTTGAACGACGTTGCTGCTTCAGTACTTGCAAATGAGAGAGGACCAAGATCAGAGAAAACCAAACAGATATTTGCAATGAATTGGTGAGACAGCACGTCAGACTGATGCAGGCATATACCAACTAATCTTGCATCGTAGGCTAAATTCTATATGTAGAAGAGGCAACAGCTCAGTTACCCGTAATCGAGTTTACTCTCATTACGCAACGAGGTGCGGCAATGAGAGAGTATCTCCCCTAAACCCGGCCAGCTTTGGCAAGCTCGTCAATTTCATTTTCCCCGGCATTCAAACTCGGCGACTCGGAATACGTGGAAAATCGAAGTACCATTACGTTGATCTCACCTTGATAGATGACCCCCCTGAAGGTCCCGGTGGTGAGCACTTCCAAAATGAAGGAGATATTGTTGGAGCAACAGATGGCTCGGTTACAAGAAGGTAAGCTACTCCATGTCGCGACGCTTTCGTCACGTTGCTACGTTGACTTAGAAATTGCTGTTTATCTTTCTTTCAAGTCCTGACTCTAGTCTGCACAACAGCTTCAGATCCCAATGCGGAGCTGACACTGCTATCTTTCCTTCCCCTAACACCCATTTCATACCGGATCCTTCACATAACAGCATGCGTAACCAAAAGGCCCCGGGCTGCCTGTATCTCAATCCTGCTTCGCCCAAAATCTACCATGGTCCCTCTGGTCGCAATATGGTCAGTCGAGAGCTCAAATTCCCGACTCAACAAGAGCCTCCCTACGCACATAACGAACCTATTGAGCTGCCCAGTCTGCAACGCTACCTACCCACCGGAACTGACCCCGATGCTGCAAACGCATTAGTAGCTCTATACCGCACTCACTGCATATCCGTCATAGACACCTTTCGGTTTTGCAAGGAGAAAATGTTCTGGCACCATTTTTCTTCATTTCATGGGACGTTGACAGTCCCGGTCCAAAAGTTGCTCGCTCACCTAAACATTGCTAGCTGGATCAAAGAATGCGACTGGCTTATGTATCAAAAAATGATACGGTTTGTATCTCCTCTCGCTCTCCAAGTCATGCCACCGAAAGTCACGGAAACCTTCCGAAACATATCCAGCAAACTGAGCACCCACATCTCAACAACTTTCCAAAACCACCCGCAGCACGTCCGCGATGCAAAACTTGGTCCTGCAACGATTTTCGCCGGCCTGATTGATCGCCTTCTTCGTGTCAACGCTACAGCTCACGCAGCTGCAAACATGCTTACAAATGATGCCAATCGGGATCAAATGTGGCACGACTGGGTCTACTATGTCAAGCCCGTAAGTGTTGTTGAGAGCAGCCTTCCGGGTCGGGGATACACACGCACTCTACAGATCTTGACGAATGAGGTCCGCGAGCTACTCGGACCTCTCAGGGACGCCTCTTATCCGGGCATGCAATCAATCTACGCCAACGCTGCGTCTAGCGCGGGCCTGAAATATTCGCAGCAATCACACCATGAGATGGATGACAGTTCGACATCGGGTGTCCTAGACCGGTGGACCACATTTCTGTACGACCTGTCGTCTCGCTTTCCTGGTATCGATGCTCGCCTCCTTCTTCATTGTGTTGGCGAGGTTGGCTCGGCTGCATTACGCGATATCACAATGGCGCAGGCATTGAGCTTCGGTTCGTGGTGGGTTACTAAAGTTTGGGTTGACGAGATGCTCCAATGGATGGCCGAGAAAGGAGGCTTCTTGGAGCATTCGCCAAGTAGCATGGAGATGAGACCGCAAAAGAGGTCTGCGTACGAGGCAGGCTTCGGCGTGGATGATAATGAGACTGAAACTCGCGGAGGCTCGAGACCAAGGACTGGAGTCAGCGACAGCGTTGATGTGCCTAGTCGCTATGGAAGTGTTGACACGAGGAACAACTTTCCCCGTGAACATGGTCAGCTCGATCCACATCTGCAGCATTTCAGATATAATCATCCCGCTTCCCCTGCCACAATGGACGGATCTGCGCAAGAACACTTCGACGAACCATTACCCCAGCATATCACCAAAGAAACAGATTTCGAGCTCGTGCAGAGTCACGATGACAGTGGCATCGGTATGGACGTGGTGGAGCTCCCACAGCACAATAATTCTAGAGGTATGCCAGATTATGGAGGTTTCATAGCCTCTGGGGTGAATGGAGCGTCTGATCCTGCGGATGTGGTTGTCTGCTGAGACTGTGTGGGTTGCCATTGATCGAACCGTAGCCATCAGTGCACGAACGACAGCATTGCCATTTCAATCATGGGTTGGACCGATCGTCCTTTTGGACACATATGAGAAACGGCAATGTTCATGAATGGGATGATGATCCAGTGGAAAGGAGAAAGAAGTGGGAGGGTTGGAAACGCTCAGCGTGGGAGGACCTTAGTTTTTTAGTGTTCAAGAGCTAGGCGTCCGATGTTATGGATAACAGTGGGTGCACTCCTCGCCATTTCCATCGAGCGGTCGTTTGCCCCAAGATACTCCTTTTTGCACAGCATACTTCCGATTCTAGGCTTTTCTAGTCGACTGATTGGCGAACATTTCTCTTCATAGCCTAAGATACCATAGCGAGACTGAACTATTTTTCATTCCACGAACTTCACTGGGCTCAATCATTCAAAATCCTGAGGCCTATCATCAAAGGCACCTGTAAAGATCAAATACCCTCCGCAAACAGTTCAAAGCATTCCTCACGATCTATCGTTTATGCCTAAGAGAAGGCAGGATCTCAACCAATCAAATGCTTAAAACAACGAACTCCTCAATGGCTAGCAGGGGCCTTCACGTCATCTGTGCAGCAGGAAAGAACCTCGGTCCCGCAAAACCATACGCCACGATGCTTTGAATATCGATGTTCTGTTCCTTGGATGGACTCCACAGCTTCAGGAGGATGAATTTGCCGGACCTGAGTGATTACCATCAGCCAAAGGGCCTCCGCACTACGTTCGGTGCTAGACGGGAGTCAAGAAGGAGTGTATAGACAGGTATGTACTCACACAGGTGGGTCAAATTTGACACTAACCACACTGTTAAATATTCCGGAGTCAGTACAATCCTTTTGAGACAAAAACACTTCCAAGACACTTCCAAGACACTTCTGAAACATGAGAACATTCCCTGGCTTGCAAACCTTGTCTTATGTTCGAAATTGGGTACAGAGTAGGGTTAAATCATTCCAAAACAACGTACCTGCGAGTTCTCTCGATGAAGAACCTGGCATGCGGAGCCAAAACTTTTTCGTTCTCCGTCCCATCTCCACTAACGTCTGCAGCACCGACAATTTCAATCTTGCTCGGTTCCGCCCTGCGACTGTTTCTGCGATAGTAGGTATGACTCGAAGAAACCCCCAAGACCCTTGCACGTCGCATACCGCGCTCTAAGCCGTCTTCTGTATCTTCTTCAGAGGAGAGCTCAAAAGGTGACGGAAGGTGGTCGCGGCGGAGGCGATCGGCCAGCGTAGCGGCGCTTGACGGTTCTTCTTCATCAGAAGATGGGTCGTTACATGAGGTTGTTACTGCGAAGTCAGCAGGCTCTGGAGGAAGGAAAGTTTGGGAAGGCGGAGTAGAATCATGGCGGAGGTCGATTGCTGGAAAGGGTTGGCCGCTGGTCCTGAAACCTCTGGTATGGTAATATCGATTGCTACGAGCAGCTAGATTCGAGATTGGAGGAGGAACTGTGCGTTGGGCACTCGAGTCTCGTCTGCGAGAGGGGGGTCGACTTTCATTTGCGTCGTCTGAGAATAGAGGCTCCAGGTCCTCGCTTTCCTGGAGCGGAGAAGGATCCCGCATCTGATACTGAGCAGTACGAGTAAGGAGATCAGAAGCTAACATAGAAACGAAGACCATGCCTTCTTGTATGCTAGCACAGCAGATTAGCTCAACAACCATTTAGACACCCGTGAAGGCTCACGGTGCTGTAAATCCTCTTTCGGGGGCTTTGATCACAAGCTTCTTTAAACAAAATGTAGTCTCCCCCATATGACGTAAAATCAGATTGCATTTGTTGTTATCGGTGCAATAGACGCTCTTGTCGTTACGGAGCACGTTCTCAGGCCAATACTCTCTGCCATGTCTGGCTGCTTCCGTGTGTAAGCCACCATCGCAGCTGACGATTTCCATCTTCAGAGGTCCGGGTACTACTTGTCCACGGTACCCATAGCTAAAACCTCTCAGGTGGCCAGCAGATGAAGGATCAGCATCCAATTTTCGGCGCTTGGCCCGTCTTCTGTTCACTTCTGCCTCGCCTGAGTATTCTCGAGCACTCATATCTGGAGATTCAATCCTCGGAATTGGTTGGTCGAGTAATGAGCTAAGATTAGAGCTGGCTTCGTTGAGTCGCTCCACCGCTTGTTGTACGGTTCCCCCACTTCCCGACGGAGTCGTTCGGTCTTGTACACGTTGACGAGCTCGGTAACGAACATTTTCGAGTCGGGATCTCATAGCAGAAGTTGGAGCTTGGGCATCAGACGCTGTATTCCCATTTGCAGGCCTCGGCTCAGCAGTGGTTCTACGCCTCAACTCTTCTCGCACCACTCGCAGTCTTTGACGCTCGTCCGAGTTATTCATATGGTCTCTCAATCGCCGTACTTCTTCGATCCTATGTCGTAGAGCGTTGCGATGCGATGCAGTTTCTCGAACAATGTTGGAGGCATCGTGGAAGGAAGGAGCCTGGCCTTGCCTCGTAGTTGCAGGTGGGAAGTCGAAGTTGCCAGACTTGCTTGGCCGTCAGTGTCAAGACTGGCTAAGAATGGGTTTCAAGCGGGTATAGGTCGTGGTCCAAGGTAGACTCACCATGGTGGACGAAGCAAATGGACGTGTCATTGGACGGCAGGCATGAGTATTGTAAAGTAGCTAGTTGATTGCATGGAGCTGGTTCGAAAACGACTTTGATCAAACAACGTTGACCAGAGAGATGGGAGACAGTGGATAGTCAGGCTCCAGAGCAGTATGAATAACTCATCACTATTCAGTTGAAGTGTCCAGTTGGAGTGTGGATGTAGTCGATTAGTCGAGGACTCGAGCGTATGGCTGATCTGATGAAATGATGGCGAGTGAGCCAGGCGGACACGGCGAGCACCCTACTTACACTAGCAGTCTAGCAACACCAGCACCATGGCGAAGGTAAAATAAACTTGTAAAGTACTTTACTTAATGGTGGTGGTGGTGGTATAGACTATAGTGGTAAAGTACTTAACAAGTTCACGTCAGTAAGGTAAGGTTTTCTTTATTCTCCGCGACTAACGAAATTCATGCAGCGCGCGTTTGCTAATAAGGTAAGGTAAGCTTAACAAGTCAAAGTACTTTACTCTGTAAGTACTGTATTCACCCCATTAATAGCATACAGTACCTGTTATTCAGAGGCTCAGAGTCAGAGCACATCAGCATATTTTGCCTTGACACTTGATTGCTACTTCCTCTGCCCCATCCATCCATCATTCCGCTCCTCCCATTTCCCTCCCTTCTACTTCATCAAGTGCCACATATCTCCTTCCTTTGCTACATATCACAAAATCATGAATCCCGGGCATCAGCCAATGACGGAGCCTTCGGCAACCAATGGAGTCTCATCAACCACCAATGGAGACGCCTCAGCTCATGCCACAAATCAGATTCACTTCCAAGATCATCCTCAACTACAATCCGACATTTCAGATAAGCCTCAGTCAATCAGCGCAGGTGTGTGTCAACGCACACGCTTCCTGTTTCTTGATTCAAATTCACTAATATTTCGGAACTTTAGATGAGATTGCACTGTATGACCGACAGATACGCTTGTGGGGCGTCAAAGCTCAGGAAAGGTGGCAAGCTTGCTTGTTAAGTTGCTGATCCATGGACTTACGATTCGTCAGGCTACGAACTGCAAATGTTCTCCTTATCACCATGAGAGCTCTTGCGAACGAAATTGCCAAGAACCTTGTGCTTGCTGGTATAGGCTCTCTGACTGTGCAAGACAGCCAAGTTGTTGTAGACGATGATCTTGGAGCGCAGTTCTTCATCTCTGACCAAGACATCGGCATGAATGTATGACATTCAACATTGCATGCAACAGAATCTACCTCAAGGCTAATCATTTGACAGCGTGCCGAGTCAGCAGCGCCTCAGATACGGCGGCTGAATCCCAGAGTATCTCTTCGCGTTGATACCGAGGACATTACTCTGAAGCAGCCTGAGTACTTTGCTCCCTTCGACATGATCATTGCAACCGATTTGGATCTTGCAACTCTTTCAACCATCAACGCTTCGTGCCGCCTATGCAACAGACCGTTCTACGCTTCAGGAACCCATGGATTTTACGGCTACATATTTGCAGACCTAATCTCGCATGACTATGTAGTTGAACGCGAAAAGTCAAATCGTCCAACAGCTCTGACAGCAGAAACCCTCACCAGATCAATTGTGGCTACTAGCACCAAGAAAGAAAATGGGAAAGTGATTGAAATGGTCACCAAGCGAGAAATCTATTCGCCAATGGTGCTCGCAAACACCTCCCCACTACCTACCGACCAGGTTAATTCTCGAAGACGCAAGCTTCAGGTCTCTCCTCTTCTGACTTGTATGAGAGCATTGTGGGAATTCCACAGTATCTCTGGCGCAATACCAACACACAGGCACGCTGATCTTGAGCTCTTCACCACGCTGGCAACGGAGAAGCACAAGGAGTTGCAGCTCCCGTCCGAAACTTTACGTAGTGACTTCCTCCGAAGCTTCCTGCAAAACATTGGAAGCGAGCTCGCGCCAGTAACGGCCTTCTTGGGCGGCCAGCTTGCTCAGGATGTCATCAATGTCTTGGGCCAGAGAGAACAGCCAATTCAGAACTTCCTGTTATTTGATGGCGAAGAATCCAAAGGGCCGGTGTATGCTTTGCATCCCGTCTTTCCGCCACTTGATTCCACGTTTGATCCTCCGATTGCCGCCCCATTAGCTGGAACACTAATTGCGTAGCGATGCTTCAACGAGGGTCATTCCGAGGTCCATCAAGCTCCGCCATCATCACTGCCTTGCCATAGCATCTCGAGAAACGAGTAGTGCGTCAAGAATTTTGACGAAGCCGATCAGGCCAGTGGATTCTTTCTCATCGACACCCATATACCTTGCTGCAAAGCGGAGATGTGGAAATGAAGTCTGAAGGCGAGAGGCCTCGTCGCTTTTTCAAAAGCTCACCAATCCGTTCATGGACCTTGACCGAGCAGCAAGCTTTCGACCTCAAGAATTTTGAAAAAACGACTTGGCAGTCACTACTCATCTACTAGCTGGCTAGCTAGAGAATTGGAGATTTATTGGCTATTTCGGTCGAGATTAATCCCAGGTACTAAGAAAGCATTGAAGACATCATCACATGGGTCAATCAATCGGAATTTCTGAGACAGTTTTGCGAGATTCTTTGTGAATGCTATGCTTTTTTGTGACCAGATCTATGATAGCGGGGGTCTAGTGAACAAGCTTCTGTGCTGTCGCAAGAGGGAGTGACCATCAATTCGTCAATCGCTTAACAAGACGCGCTCAGCTCTGTATCACGTATAGCAGCTTTCCATGTTCGGAGTCATCGTTTCTCTGACAGCTATTGATTTTGTAAACAGGGTTTACTTGAATACTTTCCCGTCCGCCCACTCATATGTCTTCCCTTGAACCTCGACCGGCTTATCCCAACTCCACTGGTCATTGACGAATTCCTTGTCTTCGGCTTTGCTGGGATCAAGCTTGATGAATTCGTAGCTCTCGTAGTCGGGTGCGACGTCAAAGGCAGGTAGAGCTTCCTGGCCACGGATGACGAAGGCACCTTGGACAATGGAGTCGTTCTTCATGCCGTAGACAGAGGCGCAGCCAAAGATGTACTTCCGGGAACCTTCGAGGCGGGTGAAAAATCCGCCTACAAAAAAATTGAAGCATTAGCCACCAATGTCAGAAAAAAGAGGAGCAGCGTAGAGAGGCAGAAGCGTACCAATGAGATTGGCAGTCATGAAGGTCTGCGTAAGCTCGTCGTTGTACTTGTAATCGCATTTCCACAACGAATAATCTTCCGCGTTGAAATTCTCCCAAAACCAGGGCAGTGCGACTGCCCGTGTCTCTTCATTGGAGTACTTGCGCTTCCAGTCGTCGAGAGCTAGTGTCGGCTTTGGTAAAGCTTCTAGAGGGTGCTTTGGCTTGGGCGCTGGTTTGTCCTCCTCTTCCTCTTCCTCTTCAATTTCTTTAGCCTTTGGCTTAGGTTGTGCCTTTGGGGCTTGCTCCTTCTTAGGCTTCTCCTGCTTTTCTGTCTTGGGAGGCTGGTTCTTGATGGCCTCATCAATGAAATCAAGTTTGCCAGCAATATCCGAGTAGATCGGCTGGTTGCACACAGTCTCGTACCATCGAGTGACATTAGGGTTCTCCTCACGCCAGTGCTTGTCGAAGAAGAATTCAAAGCCGCGGGAGATGATGCCGGCTGTGAACAGATCGGCTAAAGTGATACGCTCCCCAACGAGATAGGTATGTACGAGGAGGTGTTCATTGAGTACAGAAACCGCTTTAAGCGCATTTTTGCTGGCTTCGTCAACGTTCTTTTTGTTGTAAGGATCGCGGCCAATGAGTGGGCGGAACCATCCCCCAAGGGCTGGGAGGACCTCGGCGTTGGCGAAAGACATCCAGCGGACGATGGAGGCATAATCTTGCTTGGTCTTGCCGAGAAGGCTGGTTTTCTCATTCTGAGACGTGACTGCTGCGCATTAGCTCATGTCCTGAGTCTTGTTTCAAGTTCAGTTTTGGCAAAGGTAAGATATAGTCAGAGTGTGAATATTTCTCAACAGTAGTCTTCAGACAGGGATAACTGTATTTGATAATATTTTTCATCATGTATGGGAGGGTACTGTTGGGGCCAAGAAGGAGGAAACGTACCGTATATGGCGATGGCAATGCACTCGGTCAACTCGTATCCATCTGCTCCCACAAAAGACGGTATTCTTCCAAGCTTGTTAAGCTTCAAATACTCGGTACTGAGAGGCCCTTTGGAAACGTCCGTGTCAACGATCTCAAGGTCAAGCTTATTTGCCTTGGCGACGGCTCGAATGGCTGTGGAACGTGCGTTCCCCTGCAGAAGTTATGATCAGGAGGTATGCTCCAGCGCGAGTACTACAGCATCAGGAGGCTTACCTCGCGTGTGTATAACTTTCCGAAAGACATATCTGCGGTTGTGAGCTGTAGAAGAGGGATGTGACTGGGATATGAAACCCGTGTCAAGTGTGGGATGCGAAGCAGATTTTTGTTCTTCGCAAAATTTCGGCGCGCTTATTTCTTTTTTAGCGCCGCCTCTTTTCCTTCGAGGCTTCAATTATTCAAAGCCTTGAGCTCATCTCCTTCAAGATTATCATCCTTGGTTTATGATTGCATTTCAATGGTTTGAGCCATGGCTTCCAAGCTATCCTGGCCTCTATCATCACGGTGGACTATCCAATGCCCGAAATGTCACGGTGAAATCCTGCGGAAACGAACATTCACCTCTACCGGCTCTTCTCGAGCCATTGCTGCACCCCCCAGTAAACCTCACACAAAACTCCCCATCCAATCCTCAAAACGCCCGCGTCGTCCCCGCATCGCCGTCCTACTTCACGGGCAGACCTGACTCCACGGACAACTACCTCAATCTCCTAGCCCTCTTGCGCCGTTACCAAACCCTTCCAACCGTTGCCCCAGCACAGGCTCCAAGGGTAGCATGGCGGACTGTCACACAATACCGCCTCCTGGTCGGCGAACCTATACGAGCATCCAAGTATCATAAGGTTGTTGAGGTTCTGCAGCGGCTGAACAGGATACACCCCGCTGTCATGCCCGCACCTTTGAAAGAAGCCATGGAAATTTACAAACGTGACATCGATCCATACGCTGTCACCAAGAGGCCCAACATTATCGATGCTGACGGACGTGCCTACGGAGTCGGACGACGAAAATCAAGCTCCGCGAAAGTGTATCTCGTACAGGGGGAAGGGGAGGTGCTGGTGAATGGCAAAAGCATTAATAGCGCATTCGGGAGGATACACGACAGGGAGAGCGCATTGTGGGCGCTAAAAGCTACTGGTAGAATGGACAAGTACAACGTCTGGGCGCTAGTCAGTGGAGGGGGGAGTACAGGGCAGGCCGAGGCAATTACCTTGGGGGCAGCGAAGGCGCTGATGGTTTTCGAGCCCGCCTTGAAGCCGGCGCTGAGAAGGGGTTAGTCTTCAACCGATCTCTGAATTTGAAGAAGCTAATGGATTGCGCCTCTAGCTGGCTGCGTCACTCGAGATCCCCGGCGTGTTGAAAGGAAGAAACCTGGTCACGTGAAAGCAAGAAAAATGCCGGCTTGGGTGAAGAGATAGATGGATACTGCCATCTTGACAGGCTTGGTTTCTATGTACATAGAGCGTTACATCCCCAACAAAGAAACCCCCCGGTACTAGCAGTTCTGTTTGCGTTGCACTGCACGAAAGTATCTTAAGTGTCGAGAAAGAGTCTTGAACCGCATACAAGAGAAAGAGGAAGTTCTTGTAAAGAACGAATCAGCCCGGTTTATTTCTTCCGTTGTCCCCTCCATGGACTCGTCTCGAGCTAACAAAGACTCCGAGCGCTCCAAATCGCTCCAGAGGTTCAGAGCGAGCGGTGGGGTCGATAGGGAATATAAGCATCCTGATACAAAGATTCTGGGATTGCAGGATTGGCTCATTTGCATCATAATGAGTTGGCTAGTATAATACCTGAGCCGGGCAAAATGTTTGGCGAAAAGGCCGGTGAAGCACCAGCTACACAAAAGCAAAGGTACTTCTCGAAGGCTCGGCACAAGGTCTCGGAGATGACAGTCACTGTTGCAGATAGGAATTTGTCCTTCCGATCGTCTCCCCACTGAGCAATGCCATGGTGATGTGATAGTACTATAGCTAGCGTCATGACCTCTTTATTATGAGCAGATGTCGTCGCATATACATCCAGCTCTCCTGAGTAGCCAGAAATCCCGACTGCTATGCCTTGTTGAATTACCAGCAGATATGTAACCGACCCCACACTGGGCACGAGCACAGCAACAAACGCGCCAAAGTAAAGTGACTGTGGCTAGGGTTCGGTCAGAACATGCGGGCCAATATTTGTTCAACTTGTAAACACGGTTGAGCCTGGTTAGTAGTGATACGGTTAACTAGAAGGCATTTCCACGAGATTTCGCAATTTTACGCAGAACCCTTTCAAGCCTGGTTGTTCGATCGAACGACCGCTACTAGTCCTCAGGTTGTCGTGACAGCTTGAATACCTGTTGGTAAAGCCGCCCAAGACAGACTACCATGCATGCCATGGTCCACATGTTCCGATTGAGAAATCCACCGTAGGGAAGCAGACCACAGCAACATCGTCCATCTCTTCATGCAAATAATTCAAAAGGCAGACGACACGACAAAAGGAGGTGGATCTGCAGCCTTGCGAAACAGGACGCCAAGGCGCGGGAAAACAGCAGCAAAGCCGGCGCACTCGACGACTGCTTATGACTCTGCTACACACTGATTGTGCCCCTACACACTCCACCTGCGCACAATCTAAAGACAGACAGACAACTGTCACACTTAACGAGACACGGATTGGAAGATGTTGGACAATGACATGGCTGCGGTGCTCGCTCTGCCTCTCTCCCCACCCAGAGCCTTTGCTCACTTGTCACCATACTGCTGTGAGACTTTTGCATTCAGGATTCGATCAGAAATGAGAGGACCACTCTCCCTGGGCGGTTTTCCATGAGGTGGTTTGGATGGATTCTTGACACCTGCGGAGAGCCGCTGGCGGCTTCAGCGAATATGATCTAATACTGCGGGCGCATTGAATACTGAAGGAGCATATGCTTATTCAGAATGATTTTATTAGACTGTTCCAGGAGCTCGTTCCCCCATCACGAACTGTGAGTGGCCTGGGTATGTTCGGAATCGCAAGACGGAGCCTCCCATCACAGGTCTATCCGTTGTCGGAAACCTCGTCTGCCCCTATGGACCATAAAAGAGAACCTTGTTTTACCTGGAAGAGAAGTCGAGGTATGAATAGACGGCCAGACGTCAGTACCCTGCAGAGCCATGCGCAACCAGCGTTTCTCAATTCTGGAGACGATCTTTTGCTGCCGCCAGCCACCGAATACTCTCAACACTGACTTGATGACTCCTCAGTGCTCTATGCCAGCACAATCCGGGAGGTTTGGAAGATCACAAGACGCTTGTCGAAATATAGAACCGGTACGTCACCAAACGTTGGCTAGGTTTAGCCTCCTCAGCCTTTTACCCACTGACTCCGAACAGACCTTGGTGTAATAGAGTTGTTTTCCTGGTCGGTATCACATGCTCGTGAAGAAAGAAACTTGGAACGCTGCGGCGACTGGCGAACATGTGACAAAGGGGCAATGCAGGATGTCGCGGTTAGCTCTTTGCATCAGTGACAACCTCTTTAGCTCCATACAGAGTCATGAGAGCCTATATTAGATCTTTTTGGTAAAGGTCTTCAGGGATACTTGGAATGCTTGTTACGACACACTCTGAGCTCCTGCGGATCACATGAAGCTGGTGGCTCCGCGCGAATTACCATGTTGCGCACGGTTGGCAAGGGAAGTCTGGCTTCAAGACCTTGTTCTCAAGAAACCCTAATGCGCAGAGAGAAGAATTGCGAGGCAAAACGGCTCACTGCTACAGTGCAGGCGTCGAACGATCGGCTTACGATATCGCCTTGCATTCAAGGAGGGTTGAAGCGTAATCATCAAGATTACGGAGGGCGGTCATTCCGGCGGACGATTGTCTCAGTTTTGTAACGAGACCAACACGCGAGGAGCCTACGAAACATTTGACGTGTTGGAAGATCCTCCAATCTTGATTACACAATGGATGAATTGTGTTGCAGTCTGACGAAGCTCAAGTTGTCAATAATTAATAATAAGCAGTTGGAAGTTGGAAGTTGCAAGTTGGAAGTTGGAAAAAAAGGAGGGGAAGAGAAAGAAAACAATGAAATGAATGATTTGTTAGGCTGTCAGATATTACAATAATGCTGGGGGACTTTCCAATACCTAAGCGAATACCTATATCAAGGTCAGCATTGACTTTGGGGGGAGTGGCGCTAAGAAGTTTGGGTACCTGCAGTAGATCCCATGTGGAGGGAGTCTAAGGAAAAATGAGTCGATGAGTCTAGGAGAGTTGCAGCAGTGCAGGTGACCAATCACATCAAATCCTTGACCAATGGCACTTTCTTTTCTTCTCTCGGGGCCGGAAAAACAAGGGCAAAAAAGGGCTTTCCTTCGGGCAAAGAGATTGAGGCGCTTGAAGCTTGAGGCTTTGAGGCTGAAGGCTGAAGGCTGAAGGCTGAAGGCTGAAGGCTCGACTCACTAAACCTGACTTGGGTGTGTGGAGGCGAAAAGATCGACGATGTAAGTCAGTGTCGGTATCCAATCAAAAGCCTCGTCTGACCATGCGAGAGTTATCCCAGATTCCCAAGCGCACAAAAATAAATCAGACGTTGATCTCTTGCCCTGATTTTCCGGAACATTTGCATCTCTCTTTTCCTGCGTTTGTCAACAAACCGGCAAGAAACCAAGTCGGGTGGGAAAATCTCCGGCATACCCTACCAAAACTGCTGCCCAACGTCGCATCTGATCCTCCCCCTGGCCCTCCCTTTGCCCCGTATTCTCGCCGTCTCAGCGTGGCAATGAGACGAGTCGCAATTGATTGCCTTGGCAGTAGCTGAACAGGCGAATGCGAGAAAGTGGCAAAATCCTGCATCTTGACCCATGAGAGAGAGACCTTGGCCGCAAACGCCTTTCTCCCACACATGGGGACGACTACCGTCAGCCTCGGCTGCCAATAGACGCATTTCCTGGTTCAGAAAACCGATGTGGCGCCGCGGTGGCCTGTCGATTGATCATCAGGATTGTTAGTGACCAACGGACAAACCCTTTTCATCTCCCGCATTGCGGGTTCCATGGTAAAACACGATTGTAAGAGATTCAGTACTTCGTTTCGTCGGGCATAGCCGTCCGCAGAGAAGCACTCAGGAGGCAGGAAATCAGGTGGTGAAACAAGGTAGGCCCGTCCTGCTCAGCCATCATTTTGGACATAGGCACCAATCACGATGAATCTAGGACGAATTGCCTTTCCTCTTGGACCGCATTTGGATCAAGAAGCCGGTGTTGGATGGACAGACAATTCTCTTCTTCTCTCTTCTTCTTCTTCTTCTTCGTTGTCTGATCCCTCTCACCTCCGGGATCTGGACTCTGTGATAAGTTTGGTTCACCAGTGAAAGGTCAAAGGTAGAAGTTGGTCAAGAATTTGTGAGAGGCGCTAAAAGATCATGCTTTAGCCCCCGCCAAAACTCGAGTGTTCAGACTCTAATACTTTGGTGCTTCTACTAATAATCTGCTACGGACTAAGGTACTTCAGGCTACAGACTACTTTACGGACTACTGACTACCGACTACCGACTACCGCCTATTGACTATTGACTATTGACTATTGACTATTATTGTCTATAGACTATCGACTATCGACTATCGACTATTGACTATTGACTACTGGCTATTGGCTGTTGGCTGTTGTTGACGGCGGTCCTTTCGAATCATGTCATGGCGTGGGCATATGCACGACATCTTTCCCTTTCTCCCAATCCTCCTTTTGGAGCACTTCGTTTCCTCATCTTGCTTTCGCATCGTTGCTTGTTGAGGGACTGTCCGGACTGTCCGGACTGTCCGCAACACCAAAAGACGTCCTTCCTAATCTCCCAACTTCCTAACCCTTCATGATTTAACCTTGAAGGCGTTCAGAATACTCAAACAACTCAAAATTACTCATTCCAGATCCATCGCGCTTATTGCCTCATTTCAGTGGAAAGCGCTTCGTCTCATCCGCGCCTCCGTATGGTATGATACGTAACATAAACACGCGCGATTCAAGACGGACGCAACTTGCTTTCCTGCCTACAGTAGCTCCTCTCTAGCTGTTTCCACACGCCTTTTCCAGGCCTCTCACAGGTCACCCTGCACTCATAGGCCAAAGGTTACAAGTCATATCAAACTAGGATGTGCGGATGGTCAGTTTGCGCATGCTTACTTACCTGATACATCCATGCCAGCCAATTGGATGCCTCAGTAATAGCGTCCTGTTCTTTCTATCATCAAGCTCCCTGCATCTCTCGCCAAGTCGCCCGCAGTTCCAGTCACTGTATCGCCTTCTCTGGTGGAGTCGGTAAGGAAAAGGTATGATAGGGTTATTACACAAGCTCGGGGTCGACAGTGCAGTCAGTGCTTTCGGGTGTAACGTCTCACCTCAGTACTTTATCGGTGTTGGTACCTTACGTACGACGATCCTTCGCTCGCGAGCCTGCAAGCATTAAGCAAAATCCGCCCATTGCAGTTCTATTCACGCCTAAGGCCGCCTCCCCATGATCATCCCAGTTGCACATCACATTACTTGCGTATTCAAGGGTCCCAACTTACCGACTTTCACCACAATCCTACCTTTCAAACATAACAACACATTCATTCTTTTTTTGGCTTGCCACAGCGACGTCCTCCCCATGCTTCCTTCCTAATCTATTCAATTGACATTCTAAGAATAATTCGCCCATTCATTTCTTCCTCTTTCCTTAAGCCACCATCCTTGTGTTAAGCCGATTCACTTGCCTCACTCATTCCTTTTTGGCAGAGATTCATCCACCTCCAATTAGCCTATGAATCTATCCGCGATTCACACTGGGTCCCCGGGCCACGTTATCCGTGAGATCCTACCCAGCCATATATGACTTCCCTCCAACCCATTCCTAACCATCCAGCTAGTCTTCGACTCTCTCCTTCAACAACAGCTCAATCTGAAGCCGTCTTCCTACAAATCTACATCGGAGGGGATACCCCCTTTGCCTTTCAGCCTCCACGGAGCGCTTCGGTGCTGTCGACAACCTGGCCCTCTACGCGACGCCTCCTGCTTCGCCAGGGACTTTTCCCATTTCGGCATTCGACCCGGCGGTGAAGCAGTCCAAGAGAAGCTGGATTGGTGGCATGGAAGGTGACGAACAGCGAAGAAGGCAATATGAGCAGCAAAACTATCCCCGCGGATATGTCCCGGAATATGGAGGGCATGGAGTCAATGTGCCAAATGTCCAGAATCTAAGAGGCGCGCCAGGTGGAGATGGCTCTGATCGTTCCAGACAAGCGCAACCCTTAACGACTCGGCCTTCCACATCTGCCCCTTTGTCTGCAGGTGCAGGGAGCTCACACGAGCTGGGAAGCTACGACTATCCGCCAGGCCAGCAGTACTCAACGCCGCAAATGCACGGTCCGCAATTCCAGTACCAACTCGAGTACTTGCAAGACCCCCAGAGGCAACGACAGTTCCCCCAATACACGTCGCAGATGATGTACCACGTACCGCAACAAGCTCAACCGCAATCTCCGTATGACACTGTGAGCCAGTACCAATCCCGGCAGTCAGCAGCGCAAGTCTTGGGCAGCCAGTTTGGGGCTCCCCAATACTACAGTCCAGGCCACGGTACCAACGTGACGGGACCCGCTGCAATGCCTCAACAGTACCCCACAGCAGCATATCCCCCATCCATGCAGTATACCTCCGCAGCTCCTCTCGGGCGTTCGACCCTTGCCTCGTCCTATCCTACTGTGGGACCCGACGTGAATCCTAACGTTGAAACGGCAGCTTCCGAGCAGCCTGAAGAAGAGTTAGATACTTTTGCTGCTGCCTACGATCGGTATCAGAGAAATATCGGGGTAATAAACGACCAAACCTCGAAAGGACATCTCATCAAAGCTGGGGAGTCACTACTGGAGATTTCTCATTGGTTGTCAGAGAACGTGGATGCTCTCAGTGAGGTGACTCTAGAGCTACGGTAGATTCAAGGCTAACATTGCCAGAACTTACACAAGATGATCAGAAAAAGCACGCAGAGCGCATTGAATTCTGGGACAGCTTCAACGTATGCTGGCTTGCAATGCTACAACGTCAGAAAGACGATACACAACAAATGTTAGACACAGGGCGACCTCCAGCGCAGCCTCAAAGCTTGCTGCCGAAGGAATTTCTTGAAGAGATGGGAAACGAGGTCGTTTCACTTTGCGATGGCCTAGAAAAGCATGGGCTCGTTGATTATCAGATGGGAGTCGCCGAGCAAGAGATTATCGAAAGTAAGCCAAGGAACAGTCCAATTTATCGTGACAGACATGAAAACTATACCGTCTAACAGCTAGGCAGTTCTAACCCAATGCATTGATCTTATTAGCAGTGACGACGAGAACGACGAAGAAGCGGAAATAGACCCAATGCTCGGCCAATCTGGGCCCGGTGCTGGCAAACAATAAGCAGTTGCTCGACCATGACCGCTAGCTAATGATTTCTTAAGAGTCCACTCTGTTTGCCGTCCAAACCCTTTTCACGACCTCACCCTTTCAGTATCACAATTCAATGTCGCCCACCTCAAACAATTACCTGCATGAGAGCTTCTTAGTCCGCAAACGGGTGTATGTCTACGCAGTCCATGGCCGCATCCTGCGCAGATTCTGTGTACACCAAGAGAACAACAATCAAGACTACACACACACGCAACCACCACTTGCAACCCACGACCCTTGCGGAGAATACGCGCACACGGAATCGCTCTCTTTTCTTAACAACATCGACGACCATACCATACATCCACCACGGCATAGAATTAACGGGCAACCGGACATTAGGTGTTAGGTTATATTGCTTTATTTAGAACGGTTTGACAAAATACCCTGGGAGGCAACTCGTTATGTATACTGCGCTGCTAGCACACACTTTGTACTCTACTAGACCACCGATTACATAGGCGTCTCCTTTCATTGGAACTTATGCGAACTGAAGGGCAAAGGGGGAGCTCTCGGTCATAGAAGACTGCGAGCTGGCTCAAAGGATCGAGAGTCGGCCAAGCAAAGCGCGATTTGATTTGGTTTTTTTGGAGGGGGGGGGTGTTTGAAAAAAAGGGGGTTAAGGCCCAGGTTGTTGGGAAGCATATCACGCCTGGATAGATAGATTGGCTTGGTAGCATTTTCAGGACATAATCGCCTGGCGTAATTTTACCTCAAATCAGACATGAAGCATTCTACCATTCAATCATCATGTAAATCTATAACCTAGGCTTCCTTAGTCATGCATTGACATCCGAGTGACAAAGTCGTCCCTAAAACCGTGCCTAACCTGATGGAAGAATCAAGGAGGTCCTCGGACTTGACCTGATGGACGGTGCAAGTTTGGGAACCATGTACTCTCTCTCAGTGCGGACTGCGGAGTAACTTCAGAATGATCGACACTGCAGAGGGGAAATTGAGGTACATGCGAGTAGTGAGCCATGTCTTGACTGTCCGACAAGTATTTGAAACAGCAGCAGACAAGTAATCTATCAGACTGAGTCTGTTCTGCAATGCGATGCGATGCGATGCGATGCGATGCAATGCGATGCGATGCAACGCGATGCAACGACGCCACGCAATGCACCGAGGCAAATCGCCGGTCGAGGCTTACCATGTCGCTCTGCGACAAAGAGAACGGAGCAAGTCTCTGTTCTGTCATGGCAAACACAAAACAGTGGTCAAGAAGCGATCTTTGTTCTCGAGGCTACTTCATAATGGGTGCTAAGGCGTACGCCAAAGCTATTGTAGACTCCGTTTGCTGTAGCGTCGCCCTGCCCGCTCCTTTGGAACAGCTTCACAATCAGAATGCCGCAGCGTGAAGAGAATGCAGAGAATGTTACCGCATTATCTACGAGTCTCCATTCCTTCATCTTGAACGGCTCAGCTGGTTTGGTTCGCAAGTTTTGCACATTATACGAGGCCGTAAAAATTCATTCGTTTCAGCTATCGCTAGCAGGGTATCGACTAGAATTGATCTGCGGCAACGTCAACACTTGAACTTGGCGCTCTAGGAGATTGCGATTAAGAGGCAGCAAAGAAGGACCAATGGAGGCACTGCAAAGCTGAGAGGCATACCTAATGTCATGCTCATTGAAACGTCCGTGTTCTCAACCATCTTTGTGAACTCCTCGAAGCTGATCTTCCCATCCCGATCCGTGTCTGCCTCCATGATTGTCTTATCCACGATCTGTCATAGTGCACCAGTTGTCAGCCGTCCATCGAATGCATAGATAACCCTCTACTACCACTCCGCCCCTAATGGGAAACACCTTCTCCATTCTTGACAAATGGCTGGGGTATATACTTGTTGCAATTGCATGTCCTTCAAATTGCTTCCCACCATCATTTTCAGTACAATGAACAGCTCCCCATTGCTAATGTATCCGTCGCGATCGATATCGTAGACCTTGAAGGCGAATCTTAATTTCTCTTCCTTGTTGCCCTTGGAGCTGAAGGCGCTGAGACCGGAGACGAATTCTTGGAAGTCGACATCGCCGCCTCCGTCTTCATCGAAGATGGCGATCATGCTGCAATAGAAATGGGAATTGGTTAGCCGCGAGTACTTCTGGGCTGTCAGGGTCATCGGGGTGGGGGGCAAGTACCGGGTCGCTAGAGGATTTGATGAGACTTGAGGAAGCGAGAGGAATTCGTCGCGTTCTATTGTTCCCGAATTGTCCTGCATGTATAATGAATATGGCGAGCAGAGCATTGATCAGGATGGAGATGCACACACTCTATCCAGCTTCATGAACCTCTTTCGCAGTCTGTCAACTTCATCTCGATCGACTATTGCGACGCAATCAGCGTCCTTGATTCCAAGTCAGGCCGTCTTCTCCAAGCCTCACAATTTGAACCTTGTATGATGCTATCGAGCATTTGGCTGCTTGATCCAGCTCTCCGCCGGGCGTCAAACAAGGCTGCCTGATTGGCGTCGGCCATATCTGTGTAATTGTTTTTCCAAGTGTGGTTCTTTTGTTCTTTCTCTCCTTCTCTCTTTGTTTGAATCTCCTGTGTTGTAGTCGCTGTAATGTTTGCTGTAGAGAATCCAGGCTCTAATATGATTGTAGATGAAAGAGGCGTGAGTGGGATGATAGATTACCTTACTCTAGATGCAGCGTAATGATTTGACGTGGGGCTGACAAAAGACGAGGCTAAGGTGCAGCCCACTACTCTGTACTCTGTAAGCTTTAACTCGTAAGAGGGATGCCAAGGAGATGATGCCAAGGAATGCCAAAGAGGAGGCATAACACCTTCACACTAGGTCCAAAGACAGTTAGTGGTAAATACATAACGCGCTAAGAATTCAAAACAAAAAAAAAGGAAAAAAAGAGGGCGAGCTGCCGTCCTGCCCGTCACGCCGAGCCTTTCTTTCAGTGGGCACAACCACCCTGACCCTCGGACCTAGAAAATCGATCAAGTTGTCGTCTTCATCCAAATCAAAAAAAAAAAGTCCCATCCACCAACCCCCCTTCATCATCTATTTTTACGGTCGGACTTTGTCTCATACTTTGGAACATGCCTCATATTTTAATTTAATGAATGATTTGGAATTATCAAATCGCTCCTGAGAGAGCAAAACCATGACTCGTGCCGGCGCACTCAGTCAAAGTCGTATGAGGCAACGGAAGCTGAATACTAGAGCTGCGCTTCAAATCATTCGTGAAGACGATTTGCACGAGGCCGATGATGATTTGCCCAGAGTGCTGTCGGGTCTTGACAGTGGCGTCGAAAAGGCGGAACAGAATGTATGTTCTCCCCAAGCACAAAGGATCAACACGTGACCAACGCAACAAGGAACACCATTTGCAAGCTGCACTTTCGGCTTCACAAGCAGCCGTCATCGGTGGTAAGGTCGCTCAGATATACATTCCCACTCCAGATGCTGTGCAGAGCTCTCTGCAATATGACAAGCTTTACCCCCTCACGTACGCGCAGCCGGCGACGTATGTTCGCTTTTCTTCCACCGTAGAAGACTGCGCAGGCTGTCCGTATGATATGGACGAAGAGGATCAGACTTTCTTCAAGTTCATGAACAAGAAAAAGAATGCCTCCACGCAATGCTCTGAAGATCAATTCGAAGAAATCGTGAACTGCTTCGAGGAGACGGCTCAAGTGAAGCAACCATTTGCTGCCGTAGACAGCCCTCCTGTTCTTTCTTATGATGAAATCGAAAGCTCTATGGACGATTACCTTGATCATCATGCGCGGCCCTTCGCTAGAGAAGTTTACGAGCACTGGAAGGCCCGAAGATTAGAAGCTGGCAATAAACCCCTAATAACCGGGCTCAAGGTAAGTCGCCTGCCCGTCCATACTGGGTGCAATCTTCAGCTAACAAAGTCAAGTTCGAGACAGGCGCGGATACCGATGATGCCGACCCCTATGTCTGCTTCCGAAGACGAGAAGTCAGACAGATTCGGAAGACTCGTGGCAGAGATGCCCATAGCGCCGAGAAGCTTAAGAAGCTCCGAAAAGAGCTCGAAGGGTCTCGGGAAATCATGGCTATGATCAGGCAGAGAGAGATCACCAAGAGAGAGCAACTTGCCGTAGAAAGACAACTTTTCGAGCAACGGGCCAATCTGAGGCAAGTCAAGCTGAACCTTCCCGATCAATACAAGGAAGGCGACGAAGACATCCTCGTCAATCAAAAGGTAAAAGCATTTCCCGAAAACTTTCACAAGCAACAATACTGATAAGCTAAACAGCCGAAGAAAAAGCCCTTGGAGATTACGCAACGTGCACCAGGGAACCAGTATCGCTTACCGCAAAGATCAGACGGTCGACCTGCTGATACTGATCTAGTCCTTCTCTCAGATCTTCTGGCGGAACAGGAGAAACTGCTGACACAAGACATCGACACAAAGATTGCTCAACATCAGCAATGGAACGTTGGTTACAGGGACATGACCAAAGCCCCGCTGACTCCGCCGTTGGAGTCAGATGCTGGATCGACTTTTCGTACCGCAACAACCGAGTATTTGCCTACACCTCCTGCATCAATATCTTCAGAGCTTTCTGGTGATGTTGCGCTTGATTTCAGTGCCGTGAACATGCGCAAGGCGGATTCGGTAGCAGTACGCTATGCTTCTCCATCCTATGATGGACCTTGTCACAGTCAGCCCTCCTTCAGGCGTAGGTATGGTAGAGGAGGCCGGCTGTGGATCGATCGTAGGGGCATGCGCTTGCCACCCAAGGCAGGTTTTGACTGTCCTGGCGCAGATCGATTCAAGTACGATGACGACGACGACGAAGACGAGGTGTCAGTGTACTTTGTCGATCCATTCGACACAGAAAGCATGCAGTTCCGGGCAAAACTCTTCTCCGCACAGTCGAGTCAAGCTCAAATGCAAGCTAGGCGGGCCGCCCAGATGGAGGCACCTTCGCACGGGACAAGCCATGCTTCCACCTCAGCACGTGCTTCTCGTCAGGCCGGGCCGGGCTGATTATAGGCCGAGCACAGGGTCTACAATCTGCTTCCAAATATTCGAGGGTGGATGTAATTTATTGACCACAAGCAAGCCATCTGAAACGAGTATTGACCGGCTTCCTCGAGCGCCACCCAAAGCCGCTGTTGTTGAGATAGACACAAGCCGTCGAGCTAGGTTGTATGTGGATTTCGAAGTAGGCTTCGGAAAGGCCCGACAAAGATGTGTTGTGAGGTGAGCTGTAGGACGGATCAACGCAGTATCCATACTGCTTGTGTGTACGTTAGAGCTGCTGAATGGCTGGGGATCTGAGTCACCAGGAGACGCAGCTCAATCGATGCTTTCGGAGAAAACCAGAATTAGGAGATACCCGAGTTGATAAGCATTCAAGCCACATCTCACATCTTTCTCCTCTTGACGTGACTCGTACTCTCGTCCTCTCTAATGTCGGCAATTGTATCGTCGACCCGGAGAGCTGCCATGGAGAGAACTTCCTTCTCTCCTAGACGAACTTCGATAGCCATTCTCCGCCGTCCTTGCACAGTCAGGTCGTGTAACAGAGCGATATCTTCAGCCAGTGTCGTTTTGTAGGCTTTCTGTCTGTCAGATATGATTTCTTTGAGAACCAAACGCAACGTCTTCAGCAGGTGTAGTGGTGGCTGCTTTGGCGTCCGTGTCCTAGCAATTGCTTGCTTAGCAGCATCCGTATCAAGCAACAACGCGGTGATAGTAAGTATGAGCGATTGATCAAATTCAAGCGATCCCTTCTCTGGTGGACGACTAAGGTCATAGCCGTCTTGCAATACTTGCCACGTTGCTGCAAGCTCGAGCTACTTCGCATTAGTGGAAATTGACTACTTCCACAATCCCAAAGAGGATTACCCTGGCATCTCGCTCTCTGTTATCAAGTTGATTATATTTGCTAGCAGCGAACACAAGCGTCTCAACATCCACTTCAACGACATCCCATTTCTTGTAATTGTCAGTAACGTAGCCGTAGCGCCGCTTCATGTTCTCGGAGTCAGCATGCCGTTATGAAAATGGACTCGGAGGTAGAAGACGAGCTCTTTGGGTAAAACATTCTCGAGATATGCTTCACAATTCAGGATCGGGTACTATATAGAGAGTAATTGGCCCGAACCGTCGACTTACAAGTAAATCTGACCTAGGCAATTGGCCAAAATCATTGAAGATCTGTTGGTCTTTGAGAATGGGTTTAATCGCGACCATTGTCATGCCATCTCCTTGTTGGATCAAGTGAGCCTGATTCTGTCAGACCTGCCGTAATACTTCATGACATAGAGACACACATTGTTCATGTCACCCTCTTCATGTTTTCGGAGTCAGTGCTGCTTCTTTGTTGGGAATCATACACAAAAAAAGGTCAATGAGTACGATGCTGGTACAGATCAGGGAGAAGTCGCTCCGAACGATAGACGTACCGGCGTTGAACAGGTCGGCCAAGGGGACCAGTCCCTTGTTCATCTCGTAGGCTGATTGAGAGAAGCCATCATCTTCTTCTTCCTCGTCTTCTTCTTCAGAAGTAGATGTCTCTTTTTCTACATCGAAAGCATAAGCCATAATCAAGGTGGCCATTCTGTGAGCAAGGTTGAGTAGAACGGTGGATGCGTTGGAACCAACAAAGTCATGGGCATGCCGACCAAAAACCTCAGGCTGCTGTTGCACGACTGGCAATAGAAACTTTTGGAAAGACTCGTCAGCGTCATCTTTTTTTATCTTATTCAGCACAGCACTGCCCTCCAGCTCCGCTAACTCGGATAAAGACCAGTATATCAAGGTGTCGAAATTTGTGGGCAACAATTGAAGGTAGTTCCACCACTTTGATTCTTTACCCAAGCCATCTTCATATATCATAACGAGGACTAGTGAATTCCATGGATCGAGACGCTCGAGTAGGTGTGGCTTGACTTTCTGAAGGCTCGAGTTTTGGACGGTAAGAACATCAGACTGGGCGATTCTGAAGAGCTCCTCATCTTCTTCTATGTCTTCCACAGCAACTACTGGACTTTCAGCAAGTATGGAGACCAAAGATTCTGGGCTGAGTCTATTACCTATTCCTCTGCCAGCATTGTGGTCCCTCAGATCGATTATCTCCAGCTTGCGGCTAATTGTCGTGCCTGGGCGCTCTCGCAGCCATTTGAGAAAGTCAGCGGTTTTTGGGTGGAAAGTGTCATCGCTCGCATAGGTAGCCATGCTGCCATCTCACAAGAAGGACATATGGTGCGTCGTGGGAAGTAGGAGAAGCGTGTGAATGGGTTTGGACAGAGGGTGGACGTTTTATTACGGAGAAGTGTGGGAATTGTATCGGGCATGCACTTTTCTAGACGCGGATCGACCCCGCCCTAAGGGCGCCAAGGAGAGAACCGAGGAGCCTAAGGTATGCCAAGCAACCTAGCACCTCTGCCTGGCTCGATTTACTTGTAAAATACCTGCGCCAAGTCCAACCACTTGGGGCTCGAAGGCTGCCTCTTTCTTACCTCAACTACTCACCTTCCATTATGATAGCCCTAGGTCTTGAAGGCTCTGCTAACAAACTTGGTGTTGGTCTCATCTCCCATCCTGCCAAAGGTGGTGCTGCGCACATACTCTCCAATATCCGCCACACTTTCATCTCCCCACCCGGCGAAGGCTTTCTTCCAAAGGATACCGCAAAACACCATCGGTCATGGATAATTAGACTTGTAAAACAGGCCATGAAAGAGGCTGGACTTCGAGTGGAGGATATCGACTGTATATGTTACACCAAGGGGCCAGGCATGGGAGCCCCGCTGCAGAGCGTCGCTGTCGCCGCGAGAATGTTGGGTCTGCTATGGGCAAAGAAACTGGTGGGCGTCAATCACTGTGTTGGGCGTACGTCGGTTTCCAGCTATCGGTCATGAGGCAGCGCTAAGGGGTTTTATCAAGATATTGAAATGGGTCGCGAAATCACGGGGGCCCAAAACCCGGTCGTTCTATACGTTTCAGGAGGAAACACGCAAGTCATAGCTTATGCTTCGCAAAGATATCGCATTTTTGGAGAGGCACTCGACATCGCCGTAGGTAATTGCCTTGATCGGTTTGCGCGGACGTTGCGTATATCGAATGATCCAGCACCGGGCTATAACATCGAGCAGATGGCGAAGCATGGGAGGCATCTGGTGGACTTGCCGTATGCGGTCAAAGGAATGGACTGCAGCTTCTCGGGAATTTTAGCAAGCATTGACATTCTGGCAGAGAAATTGGAGGCACATCGTGGGGAATGGAAGGATGAGTTAACAAACGAAGTGATCACGAGAGAAGATCTATGTTTTAGCCTGCAAGAAACGGTCTACGCTATGCTGGTGGAGATTACCGAGAGGGCTATGGCGCATGTGGGCTCAAGCCAGGTGTTGGTTGTGGGCGGAGTGGGCAGTAACGAGCGGCTGCAGGAGATGATGGGAATGATGGCTAGGGATAGACGAGGAACTGTCTTCGCGACCGACGAGAGGTTTTGTATCGACAACGGGATCATGATTGCTCACGCGGGATTACTTGCATATGAGAAGGGGTCGATCACGGCTTTAGAGGACAGTACGTGTACACAAAGATTTAGGACAGACGAGGTATTCGTCAAATGGAGAGAATGACTAAATAGGAAGCTGCATCCGGTGGTTATGAGACCCAAAGGCCATCCTCGACATAAGCCATGGTATCAATTTCATGTTTCCATATCTTGCCGCACGACGAATGTAAGACTTTGTTTTCCAAGCCTTTGAGGGACTATCCGACGCTGGAAGTGTGACGACTCCTTTTGCAATCTGGGAGGACCGGACAGGCATAATTGTACCTCGTTCTTACAGGAATCCTGTGTCGCTAAGGATGCCGGGCAAGCCCCGTGAATTATATCGGTCGGATTATCATCAGAGTATGGTGAAGCCTACTCTTCAGTGGGCTTGTATACGATCGTTGTCACATACTATTCAGACGTGAGCTAGTCCTTCCAATTTTACATTGCATTGCAACATGTCTTACCTTCCGCTTATAGCGAGTAGTAATGCTTGTAGCAAGTACGTCGTGCTTGATACTGCTCGTAGCTAGATGATTCAAGACGGTGTGATTTGGCATATTCAAGACGCTACTGTCATCCTTCATGGGAGTTGTGCCATTGAGGATTGATTTACCGAGAAACAGTGGTAACCCTGGAGGCGCAGAGAAATCGGAGACACCTCGTGCAGCTCGCTGATAGCGTCTGGATTGCTCCGATAGGTCGATATCATGAAGGTACTTGGGTACAACCTTCCCCCAGAAGACTGGCTCCACCTTTTGCTCCTCCTCGACAAGCTGAGTCTTACCAACAGAATCCGGTGCATGGTCTTTTGCTTCTGTGCCTTCATGGAGCACTTGAGGAAGCACTTGAGGCGGATGAAACCCTTGTGGGACCCTTCCCTCGTCCGGAGATCCCTTGGGTATGTCATCGGCACTCACCTCCAGATAATTGACAAGGATATTGGTGTAATCCACAGCTGTAGGCAGTTCATTGGAAAGCTGCATCTCCCCGTCGACGATGAATTTAACATGATGGGTTCCTGGTGGGAGTTGGAGAACTGTCGCGTGGTGTCCCGTTGTAGAACTATTGAGGAGCATGAGGTCAGCATGCCTCTTGATTATTCGAAGTCGCATAAGAGAACCAGCTAATCCTCGCAGGCTTCGCAGGAGCCACAAAGCTGTGGAAATCTGGTACGGACGGTGGAGCATACTGTATAGAGAGATACATGAAGCCACATCATCCGCAACATCGATGTGCAGACACACAAAGGAAGGGGCTGCTCACTCCCTGCTCATGCGAAACTTTCTATTCCAACCGGCAAACGTTCCGGTGACATAGATCCTATCACCACCTTGCGTCCATTGCAGCCGAGTTGGTACAAGCCCCTGAGGCGGCGCTTCATACGGATATGGCTGAAGCTCATTGCCTAATTCTTCTTCTTCGAGTGTTGTGCTGCTTATGACAGAGGATTGACGGGGTATAGCGCCGTCGAAGTCTTCCTCGTGTAAAGAAGAAGAAAATTCCTGAGGTGCGATCGTTGGAGAATATGGAGCGTGGAACTCTTCCTCGATGGGAAGGGGCATCCGAGGGGGGAAATTGAGGTTTGAGTGAGGTACGAAATTGGGATCTCTGGGAGGGCCAGAGGATTCGAACTGTGAGTCTGGTCCTCTTTGTCGTCTTGGATCAGAGCCGCGAGGGACCTTGACGGGCGTTGATTTCCCCGTTGTCCTGGACTTTTCCTTCTTATTTTCATCCTGAGGTGCTTGCTTCGATTGATCGTTGCCCATTGAGTCTTGATATTGGGGTCGTTGCGATGGAGAGGGGCTGGCAGAGTGTTTTTCGAGGTGTGGTGGTCTTGTTGCATTGTTGTGTAACGTCGGAGCCCTATGCTCCTTCTCCTTCCGTGTATTTACGGTGGAGGAATTTGAGCTCGACGAATGATTTGCTACGGGTGAGGTAGGACTTTTTTCTTTGGAGCTCTGATTGCCCATTTTGTGATGTGTTGACGGAATCTAGTCGAGCAGTAAACATTGTTTGTCTTGCATTATAGTACGAAGAAAGCATATAGTATTAAGATGGATTGGTCAAAAAGTGTTGAGAATTGCCTTAGGTACGAGTACAGCTTCAAATGCTCTGAATGGTTTAGTCAGATCACTAGTCGCTGCGGGTGGCATCTCCGCACTCCTCCACCTCCAAAGTTGTCCAAAGCATGGCACCTCCCAACCAGTGATTCATTATGATCCTTCGGAAGCGACCATGAAAACTTCAACCTCGCAATGGACTACCTGTTCGCTGCTTGGACTGTCATCTACTTCATTGCATACCCGATCTTTTACATCCTCAAGTTTATCCTCTTCCTCTCGGCCATAATCACCGCGCCCCTGCTCCACCTTGGCCATTACTGTCTCTACGCCTGTTGGTACGTGTTACGCGGTCTTGGTAAATTCGAGGCAAGTCAAGTGAAGCGTGATATGGTTGACACTTGTCTCATGGGTCACTAACGGCATCACTGCAGACTCTCTACATCTTCTTCGGAATCGCAATGCTTGTCGGTCTTGTCACGGGCACGAGCCTTCACTATGTCTCGGGCTTCATCACATCCATACTGGACCTCGATTCCTTGCCTGAAGAGCAAAGAGGGCGGACCTTGGCTTCTTATCGCGCAGAGAAGCAAGAGAGACGTGATGCGAAGGATCCAATTATGGAGCTTAGGCAAAAGGATGAAAGTCTTCAAGGGAATGACCTGAGGTTGAGGGAGGACTATATGAACTGGAGTTTATCAAAACAGGGCCGCGGACGGGGCGGGCCTAGGTTTAATACCATTCTTGAAGAGGAGGATACCTCAGATGGCTTCTGATTCCGAAGCGTCAATTCTTAGCTTCTCGAAGCTCCGTACTCCAAAGACCCGTAGCCAAGCCATATCCAACGCAAAGTCTTCTCGCCATTTGAACTCTTCAGTTTTCATTTTTCACAACGCCGTGTTGTGCAGACTCAAGAAAACTCCGCCTTCATGGTATCATAGGTAACGCCAGTCAATCAATCAGTCAGCAGAAGAACAACCACGACATCCACAGCTCACACATTCGATGGTTTGGTCCTCTTTTAGCTGTGCCTGTGGTACTCGACAGATGCAGGTTGCGTTGAAGTTCGTCTCTTTTGTCTGTATGCATCGTAGGCAGCATAACTGTAATTCTTTCCCCGTCAGTGTTGTACCAAGAAGCCACCCTGAAAATACGTACCTTTTCATATCCTTGCTTCTTCCATTTGGCAATTAGAATCCCGTCTGCATAACCATTCTTGATTAGCCACTCGTAGAGCAGCTTGGATATAGCTTCTTTGTCATAGTATAGATCGTAGATATATCTCGAGCCTGTACTCAGAGAGTCGGTAAGTCACAATATCACCTACCGATGCAGATGACATACGCTGATGACTGATCTGAAATATAGGCCATAAGACCTCGTGTCGCTTCTTGCCCTCATGTGAAGCATTTTCGGCGTCTTTCATCTTATTGGCAAATTCAAGCAGGGTATCTTCGATGTCGTCGAAGCCATCTGGTGGTGGCTTGCGGTTTCGCGCTGAGCGGACGGGAGGCATCTTTGATGTCTCGTGTCCGGATGAAGGAAGCTGCGACAGCTGCTAGAAAGTTTCGACTTTTGCAATCGGGTTGAGAGTGACTTTGGTAGCTGCAATTCTCGGTGTTATTTTAACGTATCTAGAATTAACGAGGTACGGTAAGGTACTCGTAGCCCCCGCAGCTACGAGGCTTAGCTCCCGGCCCCCACTCATGGGAGGCAGCAGGTCGGCCTCACTTTTGCTGCTACCCTCCAACACAACGACACAATGGTGATCAATCCCACCTACCTTGCCCAGAAAACGTGCTCGTGTATGATATTAATTTGTCCCGGCGCAAGCAGGGAAAAGAATTGAAGCTAACCATACACAGCGACGAGTTGGAAAGATGCGCAGCGGAGGGTAATCCATGCCTACCGGCAATGGCTGAGATCAGTCAGTCACGATAGATACCCGCCACTTGACTCTCCAAAGGCTGACCTTGGGCTGCGCATCAGGCTCCTGAAATCCAGCAAATGTACTCACTCAATCTGCCCGTGTCCCAGCTACGAACGAAAATACGGCAAGAGTTTGAAAGACACCGATACGTCAACAAGCTGCCGGTGGTAGACATGCTACTGTTTCAAAGCCACTCGGAATTTCAGGTATGCCGCACTGCGGATAGACAAAAAGAGAGCTCATGCTGGGAGGCTGGAGAATGGGGCGAAATCGACGAGGCCCTCGAACAAGAGCATATCCACTGGGCGGATGCTAACGCAGAACACGGCAGGAAACATTGAACTACTGGAAGCAAATACCACACGTCATGAAGTATTTTCGGGAAACAGAAAATCCGACAGCAAGATTACCTGCAGGTTTTATGCAAGGCTTTCTGGAGGTAGGCACTGCGGTTCCAACAGTGAAGTTCAAGATGGCTAATCGCCATCTCTACAGGGTCGCAACTGAGATATCTGCTATCGAAATGCATCCTGCTTTGTGTAGTACATAATGCGGTCTAAGTCTTCGGGAACCCATACGGCTCAGGACGCCTGATGTCCACAGCTTCGCCTATCTAGATTCTTCAAGATTTCTCTGTAGTATTGAACTCGTCTCTAGCAACCGTGAACTTGTCAATTACGACATCGCACAAACCCATAAGATCATCGAACCCTTTCTCCAATGCATCGTAGACGGTCGTGCCATCTGGAAGAAGACGTTAGGGAGGATTTGATGTCTACCTGGTTTGCTATGTACCTACCATACGTCTGTATCCTCAGATTCATTTTAGCCTCGGATGGATGCGGTATCGAGTAACCACACAGCTCAACTTCAGGACTACCATTCAATTCTAGTGCCAAGACTAAAAAATGTGGGACTGGAAGGAACCCTACTTCTTCATAATTATGTACCTCAAAGCATTCCCTAGAGTATGGTCCTCTGCCTCCAATTCAAAGGACGCCGCTGTGTCACTTGCACCAGGGAGCTGCGTGGAAAGATTAGGCGATTGCTTTGGGTAATTGGTTCAGCTCGTTTGTTACCACTCTTATCCGCTGATCGATGAGGCTTATGAATGTTTCGTCAGGGTTTGTCGCGGCGTTTTCTCCGCTTTCTGCAGCAGCGTTGTGCATAGATTGATCTTCGGAAGCGAGAACTGAAGGCATTTTGTGGATGTGTCTCACAGTCAGCGTGTTTGTAAATACTATTGTGATTGTTGTTCTTGTTTTGTGTTAAGGGGGAAAGGTTTCAAGATCGTACTGCAGGATTATTTTTTCTCCGCCAAGCGGGAGGCCAAGAGAGAACACCGCCTCGGAAGTTTGATACTATTTTTTTAAAATTGTCGATTTGTTTTGCCATCTACCGTACATGCATTGCGGGTTCGCCAGGTTGGAAAACATCCTGTTCATAATTTCATAGCAGTGGCTCGATGGACTTCTCCCCAGAGGCCGACGGTTTTTTATACGGTCGCGCACCAAAATCACAGCAAGCGCGCGCGGCAACAGCCAGCACCTTTAAAGTATTTTACTGAGGCTGAGCCTCTGAGGTCATTGTGCAGTGAAAGCACCGAGTCGGCGAACCATAGGAGTAGCGCGCGATTTCGGGACGGGAGATCCTTCTATTGAGATTTGAGAAGCGGCATTATGGCTCAGAGTCACGGACATGGAAATGGGAGTGATGCGAGATACCTTGCCTTGTTTGACATTCGACAGTATGAGTAGTAGCAGTCTGTGACACATCCTTTGCTCTGTGATTGGATATTGACACATGCTTTACTCTCTACAGAATAAGTGTTTGGTGTATGTGACGGAGGTCCAAGGGGCTAGGGGCAAGGGTCTGTTAGACTCATTCAGGGGTGGGCAGGCCGTTTCATTAACAGATGGAGGTTTGAGGTTTCGCGGCGAGATACAGTAGCAGGCTAGCAGCTGCATATCGCATGATTTGATTGGACATATGCCATCCAGCAGGAAGAACGTTGTCGTCTTAACGTAACATTGATTCCCTCATGATAATAAGGTTGGCTGTTCGCTTCGGCGGAGTGAGCGACCGCCTGTCAATATTTATGGCACAAAGCTAGGCACGTCATTATTATTACTCTTTAGATCGCCTCTTATATCTCATGTTGAAAGAATGGCAAAGAGGCCAAGGACAATTTACCATGTGAAAGGATAGGTAAGGCAATATTAATGGAGACTTGGTGCTGTCAACTGTAATTGCCAAGAAGCAGGATGATAGGCAGCCAGCCCCACAGTCTACAAGTAAAGCGATTCTTGCTCGATTGATGCCTCTCTCCCTCAGCCGTCTCGGCGCTCAAGAAGGATGTTTGTCCCCATGAGGCGCACACTCATCCTTTTGGTCTCAGCTCATGGCGTACCTCAAAACCTTTGTAGGCAGCCAAAGTAATGTTTGAGAGAGGTCGCCACACCTCAGTCATCCTCCCTTAAAGATGTTAGTGCGAAACGTTCTATCCGTACCCGCCCCAGAATCCCAGATAATAAAGTAATAATTCCTACTCTGTACACCCCCTCCTTTTAAAACCAACACGACTGGACAACATCGATCCTTGACTGCAACCGAAACCCCTCGTACTCGTTGAATTCCCCCGTTTCAACATACGTTACGCACCACAAGGCCTGCAAACAAGACCTCACTCAACCTGTCGACCTTATTCCCTTTTCCACTCTGTACACTGAAGCACCTTGACGCTTTGCTCATCGTGCAAGCTACCCCTCCCGACCGAAAGCATCGCCTGCTGCTCTTGCCATCCTGCCGGCAGCTTCAGGCCAGCCAGGCATATCCTTCTCTGTGCATTCGCTTCCCATTTCCACAAGGGTTGCCCTGTTAAGCGATCTTTGAAGCGCGAGTCTCGTCTCTTGCGCTTCTTGCTCGTGTCTGAAATATCCTCGTAGCCATCTGCTGTCGCTGCGATATCATTCTCCTACAACCTTCGCCATGTCTACAGCTGTCGCATCTGTCGCAGCGCCGCTCGCTCCGCCTCCATCCGAACTGGGCTCGAGTCCTCAGTCAAGCTTCCCAACCCTCGCTCCCACACACACACCTGCTTCAGCCGAGCAAAGGTCTGCGTCAGCCACCTCCCGAACCACATCGCCCAACGCTCCTGTCGTGCTTAGTGAAGCTGCGGCAAAGCAGAAATATACCCCGGAAGGGAAACGTTCACCAAATTCGTAAGTTGTCTTTCTCGTCTTCTCTACAACTCTGCACCATGCTGCTGCTACCAACGTACCATCGTCCTTCTCACACCATGTACAGCGCAAGGCATGGGCCGCCCAAGATTATTGTGAAGAAGGAACCGCCTTCATCACCAGAGGTGCCTGCTACCTCCAGGCACAGGCCAAGGAAATTGGACTTGTCTTCAAGTACATCCCAAAGCCAGGCTGCCATGTCATCGAGGCCATCGGCGCCATTGACAGCGAGAGAGAGTGGAGGCCTGGCCATGGTTGATGTTGGACTAGCATGTCTGTCACCTGGCTTCCAGACCCAGGATCCTACTATGCAGCAACAATTGCAGAGAAGCATATCCGTTCGAGATCAACAAAGGCACATCATCGAATCACGATTACAGAAAACCGCGAAGCCTACTGATCCGGATGGGAGGAGCACTTCGGATAATCCGTTCGGTGGGGGCTTGAAGACACCCTCGACGTCAAAGAAGAGGCCACCCAATGGCTTGTCCATAGTCCCGCCATCCCATGAACAATTCGCCAATGAAAGAGTCATCCAATCGGCACCTCTCCATCAAAGCTTTACCGGCAGGCATCAGCATCCTATGACTCGACATATCGCGAACCAACCCTCCAATCTCTCCAACACTTCTCATATTCACCACGTACCCGCAACTCAAACGAACAATAGGCTACCGCCAATTTCGGATGTCTTCGCTGGCGATGGTCTTGGTATGCACAGGAGAGAAGGCCATTACCAATCCAACTCCAATTCCAATTCTTCTCATTCCAACCACCGCCCTGCCTTCCCCTCTCCTGGTCTCCCACCACCATCATCACACCCTCCTCCGTCTAGTCGAGCTCGAGATTACCGGTCAGCAGAAGAGGCAGTAGCCGAGATGGCTGGTGGCAGAGAAGATTTGCTTCCAAAGATAGTCCACTACAGTGGCCACCAGCCGCCCACGCCCCCTTCTCCTCCATCGAATCATGGTGCGACACCCGGCAAGCCTCCGATCAATCTTGTCAACGGCGAGTCCAGCCGGAGCGGCCATGGCCGGAGACGCGGCCGAGCAGAATACGAACGGGACATGGGCACACCTCCTCTCGGCAGTGGACCCGAGCCCCGGCGCGGGCCATTTGGACTCGGCATAGACAGTCCAGAAACGCAACGAAAGAAGAAGGATGAATTTTTGGGTTTGTGTGCCAGGGCCTGGGATTTGTTCCATTCTTGATCGCATTTTTCCACATCTGACATATATACTCGGCGTACAACGTGTGCGTTCCAGCTTATAGATTGAGGCTCTCCGAAGATGAGGGCGTGTCTCCTTCGTTTTCAGCAGTCGGAGTTCCGGCTGCCTTGGTCTTGGAGGTGCTGGGCGTTTGTAGCATCCTGGGGTTTGCTATTCTATTACGGAAAGGGAGAATGAACGACGGCTTCTTTGGAAGCCACAAAGCATGGATCACGAGAATTCGAACGAGACGCGCAATAGTGGTTAATGTCTAGGCAGCTATGTATGAAGGAAAGCGAAGGAACCTATCGAATTCTTACTTATGTGGAGATGGATCATTTCTATCTATCTGATAAGCTTTTTTAGAACTAGTGCTACTCTTTTATGAGTCTCGAGAGTACCTCTCCTTGATTGATTTCCATTTCGAGCTTCTTGAGTCTGCCGTTGACCTGTCTTCTCACTTAATGTTCCAGCTTAGTATTTCATAGCACCTTGGCATGTCATGGAGCCTACAGACCTAAGGAGTACGAACATCGACATCGGTTGAATAGGGGCTGGGTATGATGACGTAATGGTTCACCTTATTGGCATCACTATCGCGGTCTCTTGATCACACGCGTCCCGGCGCCCTCTCTCTTCTCATTTCCTCCTCTCCCGAGACTCTTTCTGAGCACGCACGATCCCAAAGTTTGTGAGTCGACTTTAACATTGACGAGAACCACTTGAACAAAGCGCTAGAATCACCTTGATTCACAATCAACCCCTTCTCGCATCTGGCATTCCCTTCCTCTCCTTAGCAGCCTTTTTCTTCCGCCTTCTCTCAATAGTCTTGTCAACTTGCTTGTCCTTCATGCCCTCGAATCTCTCAACCAGTGCCATCTTTTTCTGGTCGGCCTTCTTCAAGTAGAACGGTCTCTTCCCTTGCTCAATCTTCTCCTTCTCCTCCCTTCTATGCTTTCTCAACACCCCCTGTTGCTGCTCTTTCATCCCCTGGGCCTTCTTGCGAGACTCCATGCTAAGAAGGGCGCGCTTGAGTTTCTCCTTGGCCTCACTGTCTTTGACTTTGCGAATGGCTGATCTGAGCTCTGACATTTCGGAGTCGCGGTATGTATCCAAGAAGGAGTAATTTCTCTGGGTTTTTTGTTCGTCGACAGCCCCACTGAGGGGCTCGAAGCGCGGGTCACGATGATTTATTTTTTGCGTTGGCACGACTTCTCGTCTGCGAGAGACGGCCTTTTTGGAGGAGAGCTCTGCAGGGGCGTGCTTGGAAGTGCGTGAGAAGTCGCGGGTATCTTTTTTCCCGGCTTTGCGCTCCAGTGCTTCATCATTAACGAATTCGCGAGGTACTTGAGTCTTTCCAGCGGATTCTTGGGCGTCTCCATAGCCATCGTCATCATTGCCTCGCTTTCGCTTGCCGAATGAAGCGTGTGCTTTCGCTAAGGCGCCGAAAGATATGGAAGCAGCTTCGTTCCCCGGAGCTTGACTCGAATTCTCTGACTCGGACTTTGATTTCCCGCCAGCCATTAGCTCCTTGGTCGCCGGCCCGTCCTCCTCAGTGGGTCACTTACCTCTTCCTCTTGGTGGTCCTCATCGTCACTGTCGTGGTGGGAGCTTTCTTCGCTTTGGCCAAGTAGAGAAGAGTGTCTAGCATCACCGGGAGCACCCATATCAGAACCCGAGTCAGTGTGGGAGCCACTATCGCTAGCATCTTTTACTGCTCTGATCCGACCATGTAGTGAATGCGCGAACACCATCGTCGGTTCTGGACGTCGAGGAAAAGAGGGTTTCATGTCACGGACGACGTCGCCTGGAAGCACAGTAGTCAAGACTGACAAGTAGATCTCTTAATCTGGAGACACGAACAGCGCAGAATCATTGAGATGGCTGTTTTGATGGTTCACAACTGAAACTTTTTTTCTTTCTCTTTCTTTGGGGTGCTCCCTTTGGTGGAGACAGGAAACATTTACTTCATAAGAGTAGGGAGGGGCTCGTTTGAAGATTGGGATGACGCGCGGCGGAACTTTCCGCCGCTAAAGAAAGATAAGCTGATAAGGTACATTGAGTTATAAATTTATAGTACATGTATACTTCCAAGACTCATCTTCATCACATCTTCATCACATTTACCTTACGTTAACAAGTATATGTCAACCGCTCTCAATAATCCAGCTTCACACCAATACATCCTAGCATATTTGGTCCAACTATTGCCCTTCCATTCATCTACCTGTGTATCCCATCATGCCCATCAATCTCATTATGTCATTCAGGTACGAGTAAACGCAAACTTCATCTGACAGGTAACATCTGCTGAATTATGGGGACTATCCAAAAGACCAGCTTCACCCGCCATGTTCGCGTCAAATCCTTGAAGCACAGCATGGAGAAACAGGAAACCCTTGGCTTGGAGAATTTGGGCCTCGAGAAGTCAGCGGCACCTCGAAATGCCAGTCGCGCGAACAAAGGAAAAGGTAGACGCGCAGAAGACGATGCTTCTATGCAGTCAAAACTTCAACAAGCCTCTGGACAGCATACTTCAAGCATCAGCTCCTGGGATCCGTCCGCGCCTCCATCGTATCACCCATTACCTATCGCCCCACTCGGCAGCTCTGCAGATACCCGGAATTGTTGGTCTTCGCAAATCTATCATCATGGTTTGGCACAAAATTATCCAGCTGTTCCCACATGTCATCCTGCGCAAACCTCCGTCTCTCCGCCGGGCCCGCCAAGTGTGTCCAGGTACCAGTCCGGGCAAGGTTTTAAACCCGTCAGTAGACCATCGATCGCTCCTAGAGTGACTGCAGTTCCTTTTAAGCAGCCCAGATTCCTTTCTAGAGGCTCGGAACCTACCGTGCAGAAGTCTACCATGTCAGTCCTGACGTATCGTGGTCTCCCATCCTCCCGTGTTGACAAGCAATACAGGTACTCAAAAGCCAACCCGCCGCTGCTCACTGCGGCTACTCTCGTCCAGCATGGAAGATGGACAGACTCACCACCAGCCAACCTCCGACAAGCTGTATATCAACCGAGTAGATCTTCGCAATCCACAAAAACTAGAGATCTCGAAGCTAGCCCGCCCGCTCCTCGCAAATCCTCGCCTTCCATTGTTAATAGCAAGGATGACCTCATTCACCTACCGGCTCCGGCCCCCACGTCGGCCTACATCAATGATGCTCATGTCATACCCAACCTTCTCTCCTCACCACAACGCCTCCTTCTTGTATTGGATTTGAACGGAACTTTGCTCTACCGTTTTCGAGCATCCCAGAATTACACCCCTCGTCCCTGCCTTCCTGAGTTCCTCGAATACGCTTTCGCAAATCATAGCCTTCTCGTATGGTCTTCTGCGCAACCATACAACGTTAAAAGTGTATGCGCACGAATTTTCTCTCGAAGCCAGCGTGCAATACTTTTGGGCGAGTGGGGAAGAGACACGCTTGGGCTGACATCCGCACAATACAAAGAGCGCGTCCAGGTCTACAAGCGCCTTGACCGTATCTGGGGTAGTGAAAATCTTCAACATTCTCACCCTGACTTTGAACGTGGTGAGAGATGGGGCCAACACAATACCGTGCTGATCGACGACAGTGCCCTAAAGGCGAGCGCACAGCCTTTCAACCATGTTGAAGTTCCGGAGTTTGTGCGGGGCGCCAGTGAAAAGGATGGAGATGGCCGAGATGTGCTTGGACAAGTCGTGGGGTATCTCGAGGAAGCGAGGAAGTGGAGTGATGTTAGCGGGTTCGTGAGGCACGGGCCCTTCGAACTCGATCGATGGCGCTGGGAGTGGCAGAAGAATAAAGCACAGGAGCGTGATCAGTGCGGAAGATGACGAAGACGGTAGACTGGGGCTGTGAGTACAAGACGCCGTGTTGTGGTTGTTGCTCCGAGGTGACAATTGGGGTCCTCGGGGTCCTCCCACTTGCCCAAGCTTTACTACATACTGGGGACCAGGGCTGCTGGGGATTGCTGAGATTGCGAAGATACCCTGTATAGCGTGAAGAGCAGACTTCATTGTTTACAGACACATTTCATACGAACTTGCAAGAAGCACAATATCCAAAGACTTTCGCTATGTTGGAATTGCTCTTCCATTGCATGAATCTGAATATCAAGAGACTAGGCGCCACGTTGAGCGCATAAGATATACATGAAGAGTGTCTCGCAGGAACCGTCATAAAGCTGAACAAAACCATGTCGCTGATCGTCGTTGTCTTGGCTATCGTAAACTCGTGCATCCCTCACAACTCCCAGATTTTCCGAACGACCCCTGACCCCTGTAATCTCCTCCTCCGTGCCGAGTAAGAATAGAACAAAAGTGAAGATTCAAGTCTGGCGAATTATATAGGCGACTTGCAGATCTAGCCTAGCGCCAATGTGAAAGAAATTGAAATGCTTCTCAATCCGACGCACTCTGAAGGAGGTGAACATCACTCGACACTAGTCTCCCCCAGTTGGCCTACAATACGCACGACCGCGGAGACGGTCAAAGACCCTCAACTTCTAATGCTGAAATCGAGATCCCTAGAAGCGCGAGGGGCCGGTGTGAATTCGAGCCCCCAAATTTGGCCTGGACACTCTCTGAGCAGTGGAACCGGTATGCTGATTCCCTCCGATCTTCTCAAATCCTTGCAAGATGTCCACGCCACCGAAATCGTCGGGCTCCTCATCGTCGTACTCGAGACCAAACAACTCCTCTTTTGAGACATCATCGAGTTTGCTTTCCCAAACAAGCGGGTTTTGGCTGGACTTCTGCGCCAGGGGCGACTCCAAAGCATGGGCCTTCGCATTCGATAACAGTCCTTTGCTGTTCAGAGTCGTCCCAGTAACGTCGGCAAGAACGGTAGCCGTCCTGCTTGCACGCTCAGTGCGCGGGCGCCGTACTGATCGTCTCGCAGGAGACGAGGAAGAGCGCCGACGGTAATCATGTTCATCGTCTCTAAAAATGTTGAAGCTTGTGTCGAAGTCGTCGTTGAACAAGTAGTGTTCCTCATCAACGATGTTGAAGGCTGGACTGAAAGACACCCCCTCGTTGAAAAGACTCGTGTTCTTCACAGGGGAGCCGACCAGTTCCCTTATCTTGTTGCGATGATTCCTGAGGTTTGTGTTGGGCGAAATGGAAGCTGGTGGCTTTGCCGGAAGTTTGAATCTCACTGCTGGTGTCAGGGGTGGAAGCATCAACGAGCTATCAAAATGGCGCAGCGGAGAGGACGAGACCGGTGGCCGCGACTGCTTCACCGCCGCGCGGCCCTTACTTGGACTAACGTCATGTGATGAAGAGCGGATTCGCGCGATCTCTTCTTCGGCTCGCCCCCGCTTGATTCTCGGTCTATCAGCGGTAAGGCTGGGGAGCATAGGGTTTGCAAAGGGCCGCGTTGCCGAAGAGTCCAAGGAAGAAAAATAACCGCTATCGTCCATCGCAGCCAATTTGCCCCTTCGTGATCTAGAATTGCTCGAGGGCAGAGGAAAACCAGCTACGGGAGACGGCGTGTCTTCACGCGGCAATAACGGACGGGGGAGCGGCGGCGATGAGTGAATAGGCTGGAGTGGAGGTGATAGCGGGAGACGTGAGGCAGGAGGTGGCATGTTCAGGATCTCTTCGATTTCGTCTTCTTGAGATGGCGCATCTGACGCGGGTATCGTGGCATCGGACGACGGTTCAGTGGCTTCAGTCACACGTCCGACTTCCCTCGAAGGAGGCTGAGGTTGACTAGACCAGATACTTGCTTCGCTTGATAGTAGTGACGAGCTCTTCAATATCGTTCCGGAGGAAGACGTTGGGCGACGAGAGGCTTTGTCTTTGATAAATTGAGTCTCCATTCCCGGTTCTATCGCCCAGTAATTCCCCTTTCCCGGGTCATCTTTAGGTCTCTCTTGCTTGATGAAGGCCTTGTTGAGACTCAGATTGTGGCGGATGCTATTCTGCCAGCCTGTTTGCGACGCACGGTAGTAGGCGAAAGAGTCGGAAATCCACTTGTATATCTGAGCTAGGGTTAATCGACGTCCTGGAGCGCGAAGTATCGACATTCCTATAAGTGCTGCGTAACTGTACTGTGGCTTTCTTCCGTCATCCTCGATCAACGGCATGTTTTGAGGTTCGGGGATCTCGGGCGCCGACAATTCATCAGAACGGTTTTTCTTCGCCTGTCTATCATGCAGTGGAGCGGCATTGCTCAATATTCTCTTCAAAGGAGCTTTGTAACCATAGGAAGGATCCGGAAACTCTGCAACATTGTCGCTGTGATATGTAGGGGTGAAATTTTCTTTGTCCGCAGATGCGTTGCTTTGAAATGTGGTAAATATAGGCTTCAAGGGCTTAAGGTGCACGATCGGGTGGAAGGCCGAAGAGGTTGGCCTCTTTAGCGGAGAGTCTGTGGTGAAGACAGGGGCTTGTGGAGGCGGTAGGGAGATGTTCGCCTGGTTGTCGTACAAGGCTTTTGGTGGAGAGGAGCTCGGCTGCCGGACCGGTTTGAGTGGGGAGCGTCCACTTGCCCTTGATATGGGAGGATTGAAGACAATATTTCGGCTAAAGGGAAGGCCGATGTGCAATTTTTCATCAGAGAACACTGAGCTCATCAGATCATAAGAGGGTTGTGATGCCGAGACTACATTGTCGGAAGCGGAGCTGGGATCCTGGTAAATCTCAGGGCGGCGCGTCGACGCCATCGACAACGAAAATGAACCGTATCTTCAATACCAGGACCTGATATTAGATGTTGTAAGACGCGTGAATATCGATCGTCAAAGCTCTCGAATAAACGTTGTGGTTGTGAGCGACTATGCAGGATGTAGATGCGGTGCAATCTCTGGGCCGCTAAAGCTGCACTTGGGCTGCGGGCTCGAATGGAGGCAAAAGCACCGAGCGAAACCGAACGGTCTGCTTGAATCAGAAGGGCAGACAGCAGTTGTTCTTCCGAAGTTTCGAGACAAAGAAGGGCAGAGAGTATTTTGTGAGACGTCGGCGCAAGTTGATCCGCGAATTCTGTGTTAAGCTTGGGACTAACTCCCTGCAAGCGCTGAAGGGCAAGGTAAAGTGGCAATGGAAACAGTGAGTCTCTATGCAATGTAGCGGTATGATGTTGTGAGCAATTGTGACCCGAGAGGGTAGGGTAGAAAGTAGAGCTGAGAAATGGGAAGTGGATGGAGATATCAGGTACTACAAGTGCTCAGGAATTAGGGAGTGGCCCGAAGCATTCCCCACTTCGCCTCAATCTCATTCGCTAAAGCGAGAATCCAGCTTCATCAAGAAGAAATGCAATAATGTCATTCATAACCTCTAAATTCATGAATGATGAGACATGGACTGACTTTAAGGACTTTTGCCTCCTGGCGGTTGCAGTCCAGATAGAGAAAGGCTGCGACCACTATCGGGTCAAAACCATTGGCTACCAAGTCTAGCAGCCAGCGCTTCTACAAGTAAGCTGCAAGGTGTGGGGGTACAGTGAACGCGTCGTCCACGCGCAGCTGTCATTGTGCAAACTGGCACCACCGCAGTGAAGGCCAATGGACACCCCCAAAAAACTCGCACTCCACACACGTTAACCAGACTGTAAGAGGGCCAATTCATCGACAAAGGACTTCGTTATCCCGAACGACGGAAGAAGTCAACATTAAGATGGCAGGGTCTACAGAGCATGCGTAAATCTTCATCCATCCGAAGCTATGAATCTTTGGAAGACGCGTAGCTAGATAGCGGGCGTCTAAGCAACACCCGGAAGTTTGGCCTCTGTAAAACTCTCCGCATAGTCAAAATCCGTTGAATCATGTGCTGTGACGGAGACCTTTGTCCACCCAACTCCGGATAACTCTGATCCAGCCTTCAAAGCAGCCATGCCATTAGATTTCATAAAACGTTCAGGACTGGGCTCACCGCCGATAAAGCTCCCTGTTACGATCTCGTTCAGGACTTCGACTCCTCCTTCGTCCAGGATCTCGATGTTCTTGCTCCCTTCTCTCCCCTTGCCGCCCTCTATCACCCCTATCATCTCGCCGCTGACCGTCATCTCGACCTCGACGTCCATCATCACGGTCACGATGTCCTTCATCCCTATTAGCATAGCTCGGAATGTAGGTATCCACCCGAGACCCTCCGACCACACCTCCTTCACGCGGCGGAGGCCTTCCTCTTGTCTCATCACGCGGAACACTTCCTCGGTGAACCTGGCCTCCCCATACGGGATTTATTGGAGGTGGGGGGTCTTGGCGGTAACCCATTCGCTTCTGGAGGCCAAGCCGGACGTCGACTTTGCGGTGGCGGAGGTCCCGGAGGTGGAGGTGGCCCTCTGAATTCTCGCTGCAGACCATGCTGTCGATTGTCGTAGCCAGTATGCCTAGGTGGATATGCTTGCTGCTCGTTCGAGTATGCTCCGAGGCCTCCGCGAGATCGGTACTGACCATTATGATTCAAATGACCAGCAGCGTTGACAAAGTCCCCATCCGGACCCATCCCGACAGTACCACCAGCTGGTGCTGGAGGGAGATTGGCTTTCTGCTCGCGAAACTTTTTTCGGTCTAATTCGTGTGATTCTTGGAATTGAGGAATCTCGCCAGGCTTGGCTGGAAGCGGAGGGTTTTTAAAATACGGATGTTCAAGAGCGTCGATGGCGTTGACGCGCTTGCGCCAGTCAAGCTTCAGCAGCTCCCCTAACAGAGAGATGAACGAAGGTCCCTGCTCTCGAAAGGTTTGCGAGAGGGTGCTCTTTCGTTGTGGAAAGGATTTGACTCCCTCACAGCCGAGTAAAGTACTCCATCCAGGCATGTTTTCTTCGTTCGGTGATCCCATTAGATCGAAGATTAAATGTATCTGGTTGAGGTCGGTATTTCCTTGGAGGATGGGTCTCCCTTTGAACATCTCTCCAAAGACGCAACCCACACCCCACATGTCTATAGCTGAAGTATATTTGCGCAATGTAAGAAGTAGTTCGGGAGGTCTGTACCAGCGAGTGACCACAAGCGTAGTATAGTCTCTCGTAGCTTCGCCACCGCCCTTTCCTCTTTGCGGCGGAGGATCGTCGTAAGGTCTAGCCAGACCGAAATCGGCAATCTGAAGTACGCCGTGATTGTTGATGAGGAGATTAGCAGCCTTCATATCGCGATGCAGTATTTTGCTCGTGTGCAAGTAAGCGACTCCCTCGAGCAACTGTATCATGTAGCATTTGATCTGAGGCTCGGTGAACTGTACTGAAGGGTTTTCGAGGAGGCCGGACAAGTCATGATCCATATACGGGGTGACCATGTACATTATCGCTTTTTTCCGCCCTTCTCCTTTTATTCGCTCAATAGCCATCTCTTCCAGCTTCAAGATATTGGGATGAGACAGCATCTTCAGTAGCTTTATCTCTCGGATCGCAGTGATTGGAAAACCATCCTTCTCGTTGTGCATCAGAATCTTTTTCATTGCCACAATCTGTCCGGTGACGCGCGATTCGGCTTTGTGTACTTCTCCGAAGGTTCCCTCTCCAAGCTTGGACATCATGATATAATTCGAGATTTTGGAGCAGCCATGGAACTTGGGCTTTTTCCCGTCTGGTCCTACTTCCAACGATGCTTGAACAGCGGTCCTTTTACTGGCTGTGGGATTTCCGTTTGGAGTCTGCCCACCAAAGTGGCTTGGTGTGGAGGCCATGAATGTTGTAGAGGCTCGGTGACGGATTGGTAAGTGGGGATTATGTACGGTAGAGGACCGAGTCGACCAGTATTTTGCATCTGATACTCCCAGGTGGCAGCTGGCTTTCAGTGTTGCAACGATGCTGGGTGTGACATTGACCCAGACTGGCACGTAGTATTACGTGTCAACCTCCTGGATGCTTGCGAGGCTAGAAGCAGATCACCCAACAGCTCAAATGGGATCTTCCTTGCAGGGTACTCAACAATAGCCGTAGGTTGCCTGCATTACGCAGAGTTTGTTCGAAGCTTGCGTTTGTGGGAGACAGGGGCAACGTCCATGTCAGAACGATGCAGCGCTGACGTTTAGTAAGGCAAGAAGATATCAGTCTTTGAGTTGTACTTGTGAATTAAACGGTAGTTTTCAAGAACTAATAGGACACCCTGACAAGTAAATGTCTGGACGTGAATGACTGTCAAGCAGTATAGACAATCTGATCTTTCTTCGGAGCTGTTCGAGCTAGCGCGGCAAAGGATAATCACCTTTAAGCGCGTTGGCGCGCTAAGCAACTGAATTGAAAAAGCAAATCAGTGCGTTCATCATTTCGTGGTCAAGGGTTGTTATTGACTCTTAATTTTGTTATAGCAGACAATGGCTGGCAATTCGGGAGGTCATGGCAATCATCCAATCCACATGCATCCAGTGCGTCACCTCACCTTCGAGAGCGTGCTTCTCGAATACTAGTGAACTTGTATGCCTAGCTGACAAAATTTGCGTCACCAGGTCCGGCCTTTATACCGATATTCTGCAACCTTGTTAGGCGCCTCGATGTGGTTCTTCGTAGGCTCTACACGCTTCCGGAGAAATTGAGGTCTGCTGACTTTCGTGTAGCTTATGTACCGTGCAAAGAAAGATGGGCCAGTACTGTTAGGATGGAGGCACCCGTGGGATCATTGAAGTGTTGGCTTGTAGTTTTGAGATTTGCGAGTCGTGCACTAGGTGGCGGCCTGGCTGCAAGTCGATGGAAGGCTTGCCAACAGCTCTTCACCATCAGTTTTGTGTGGGTAGGCTATCGGGGTAGGCCACTCGGCAGCCCGATCTTTCAGAGCAGCTGTAAGCGTGGAGAACTCTATATAAGAAAGTTCCCCACTGTTACATTCTCGAGCGATCTCACAGTGGCCCTATATACATTTCGTGTTTTGTAGGGGTGATTAATGAGCACAGTCATATGAAACATAAACCGCCCATTGCATATATTTTGCATGGTGCTATGGCTTTTCAAACAGATAATGTGATACCCCCCAAGTATCCCCACCCTCATACGCAAAGAGCTCAGCGCAGGCCATATAAAAGATCTGCCATCTGTAAAACCACATAGCAGCACTGTTCTTCCCATATGTATCTTCCAGGTGAGGCCAGATCTCTTGCTTGCTGTCGTTCATTTTTGACAGCCAATCCTAGACACAGCATGAGCTAGACGTTGAGTATGGAAGGCCGCTCGACAATGGCTCACCTCGCAGGTCCTAGCATAATGCTTCCCGCTCACCCACCATTGCTCCTGCAATTTAAGGTCCCCTTGAAAGTAGTGTAGCAGGTCCGCACTGGGCATTGTGCCCCCAGTAAAAAAGTGCGTGCTCATCCACCCTTCTTCGAAATCGTAGGGTGTTGTTTTATGAGCGAATATGTGAATGAAAAGCTTCCCACCTGGCCTCAAGGCGCGCGATACCTTCGCCATTAGAAGCTGATAATTCTTCATATGTTCGAACAGCTCAATGGATATCACACGGTCAAAAGCATCTTCATCGAATTCGTAATCCACGACATCTCCAGTGAGTACCTTGATGTTTGAAAGTCCTTTTGACTCGGCCTGATCGTCAATGTATGCTTTCTGGGTCCTTGAATTGGAAAATGCTGTGATCCTGGCGTTTGGGAATATCTCGGCGAAGAAGAGTGCTCCAGATCCCCAACCACAACTTTGTTGGCCCTGTCAGCGATTGCTGCATGATCACGGGCAGAGTTTCCGCACCCCAAATCTAAGACTTTCATCCCATCGGCTAGTTCCGCTTTTTCTATATACGTCTCCAGCATCTCCACCTCGGCGTGTCCTAGTGTCTCTTTCCCAGTGGGATAGAGACAGCAGCTATACTTCATTCGCGGCCCCAGGCAGGCCCTCAAAACCCCTGTACCGACCTCGTAATGCTGAGAATTAGCGGTGGCAGTTTCAATTGCCATTGGTCGTGTTCGTAGCGCCTTCACGTATTTCATCTTCGCCTGATATGCTTCGTCGAGCGATGTTGTCTGGATAGCATGAATGCGGTCTCGTAGCTGTCGTCGAATTCCATATCGAATGACTGCTTGGGGCAGCCAGCCTCCGTCTAGAACCCAGTCTGTTTCCTTCTCAGCCGCCTTCGCATGGGGACCGCTGCTCTCCACAAACATACCGTGATTCATATTGCTCGAATCGTTATTTTTGAGCTCACAATTACTTTGATGTATATTGCAGAGAAGAACAGTTTGCATGAGCTAATTTGAAATTGGAGGGAATAGAGAATTTCTATAAGTAGAACAGTTCCGAGTAAGACTTGTTGATCTAAATCTGGTGCTTCGTCTACAATCTACAAGCTCGTACCCGTACTCGTACCCGTATTAGTGTCCTATCTTACATGTCATGAACGCCTTGGTTTAGAATAAAGCATGGGTATTGTTTATTTATCTACATCCGCATCTCTTGCAAAAGACGTTTGTATTCCTTTTGCTTCTTGCGGCGATGAGGCCATAGCGTATCATGCAGCTCCCCAAGGAGCCGTGCCAACCATAGGAACACTCGCCTCTCAGCTATCCATGCGCATGCCAGACCGCCTAGTGCTAAGACGAGCACGAAGACCTTGAAATCAACAGACATGTCTGTCAATTGCATAAGGTTGGCAAGCCAGGCTCCGGGGTCGAACAGCATGTAGGCAGAAAACAGGGAAGTCGCGACAATGGTCACCACGAAGGGCACTGGGCAACCTTATCAGTGTGTCTCTCTCTGCAAATGACCGCGAACGAGCTTACGATTGTTTCGCATTGATTGCCTGAACGGCGGGCCAACACTGAGCACAATCCCAGAGAATATGTACTGGAAACAGGATATCAAGAAGAGAGTCGTGTTTTCCGAATTCTTTATATTGGACTTTTGGGTGTCCAGCTGTGGAGGAATGAACCTTTGTAATGGTTAGCCAAAGCTATTTGCCTTCAGGACTCCTGATTACCAACCATGTCTGCCGTTGTACGAATTCGAAGCCAACCAACTGGATAATTATGCACAGCAGGACTTGACCCAACAACGGGGTGAGGACTTTTCGAGACACAAGGCTCGCAGTTGGTCGCTTGCTACACAGCGTTGGATAGGCACCAGTCCATCCCACTGTAGAATCATTAGCTAGCTGATTGGATTGTCCTCCGTAGGTACTAGACTTACTAAAGATTGCGACTGGCAGCACCAAGAGAATATCTATGAACAAGAACTAGTCTCCCATTATTCTATGATATTCAGCTCTGTAGCAAAGACAGTCATACCTGGAAATCCCCTAAGTTTGAGGCAGAGGCATAGAGGAAGCTGACCGATGTGAACTGGATCGCGGAGTAGAGGCTCATATACTTGAAACAGCAAAAGCTCGTCACAAGAGCTGCACGTCCTTCACTATTCCGTGGATTAGCATAGTCGAAGTGGCTCGCAGCTAATGGAATTGTCGGTTACCGGATGACCTCAGGGACGCAAGATATATCGAAGACCCGGCTTGTGAATGGCGCTGCTACAGAGGCTTCCGCCTCAGAGAGAGATATGCCGACATCCGCGGCCTTTAGAGCTCCGCAGTCGTTCGCCCCATCACCGCAGAAACCGCAACAATAGTCTAAACTCTGCAGCTTCTCCACCAATTCGTGCTTTTCATCTGGCGACATTCGTGCGAAGACTTGACCACGGGCAAGCATCTGTTCCCTTTAGTACTCTGCTCAGACATGTGATCAGAGATAGAGAAAGAGATTACCCTCTTCAGTACGTCTTCGCTACCAAACTCAATAATCCATCTAAAGACATCTCCACTCACAGCGAGTGAGTAGTTTCGAAGGTTGGAAATGTCATATGGTAATGAGGCGTCGGCTTCTGCGGGTGGTGGCAAAGGCTGCATCAATCAGCAGAGCTCGTCAATCTCCAATACATTGCTACCATGAGTGTATTATCGTCCAATTCAAAGAGCGAGTTGTCAATGCTCTGCCATTTCAAAAGAGCTTTAGGGTCTCGGTAGTCGCCTTACTTCGGTTAGTGGTGTCATCATCCTTAAGCGGTTGGATAGCCAAACCATCCACGAAATGTGGAATGAAGCAATGAGCTGTACGATCAACCAAATTACACTCTCTGGCCACACTAATCGCTGTGAGTATGTTGTCTCCTGTACACATGACTTTTCGAATGTCGGCATCATTGAGTTCATCGATTACTCCTGTAGTGGAAGGTTTCAACTTGTTTTCAAAAATAATGAAGCCAAGGAAATCGAGGTCAGACTCAGCATCCTGGCGCCTCATCGTCTCCACCTTTGTCCAATTCAGCGCTTCGATATGCTTGGTTGCGCAGGCGATGACCCGAAAGCCCCTATGAGTGTAAAAGCTAAGCAGGTCGTCGTAATCAACAGGAACTACAGAGAGACTATTAGCACTCGTGACAGCATTTTGCATGCTCCAAAGAAACTCACAGCTATCCTGTCGACAGATGTCTGTCATGCACTCGGGTGCTCCTTTTACGTAGATGTCACCACCTGGAAAGCCAGATTGACCAACGACAACACTAGCTCGACGCAACTGTGACACAAATTCGAAGGACTTCAGAATCCCTAGCTCGATCTGTGCATTCTGCCCAAGCGGTGAGTCAGAACTTCGCAAGATCATGTTGTCAGAAGACTCACAGTCGCTGATTGCGGCATTTCATCAATGCCGTACTCCAGACCAGGGGGTGGTCTAGCTATCGATGAAGGGCTGTTTTGGCCATCTTCTTGGTCAATGACATTTGCCTTCTGTGCGAATTCTTCGAAAGACCAGCCAGTGAACTCGAACATCTTGACATCGAGAGGATCTCCTAGTAGCTCATCGTCCACAACACGCAAGGAGTGGCAAGTAGCCATTGTATACAGAGCGGCTTTATGGATCTGATAATTAACCGTGGGATCTCGTTGATAAGCAGCACCAGGCAGGAGGGTTGAGGAATCACCAAGTACGCCACTGAATCTGATGGTAGTTAGTAAAGAAACACATAGCATTACAAGATTATGCACTACCTCATCGCTGGCCGATGGACAACTCTTACCCCTAAGACATCAAGGCCGTCTTCGGTCAGGGTTCCAGTCTTGTCAAAACAGATGACGTCGAGCTTTCCGCCTACGTTGACCCTGTTGAGGTCAGTGCATTGCCTTTGAGCTATCGGCGGGCCAAGTGGCTTGCCTTTGGGGACTTATGCAAAAGATTTGCTTCTTTTTCAATCGGGACAGAGCGAAATTGGTTCCGATGGATAAGGTAGCGGGCAGGGCAGGAGGGACAACAATCGTGATCAAGTCTAGGGCGCGAACAATGATCAAACGCCATGCAAGCTGTTCGATGTTAGCGCAAGATGCGAGCAACGCTTTTCGAAACACTCACGTTGAGCCTAACGAAGTTTACAAAGGAGGCAATGAAGCCAATCGCAGCAACACCAGCCATGACGGATATATACCGGAAGGCATCCTTGTAGAATTTGAACCCTGATGGCTTGGGAAAGAGCATTGAACGGACGAGAGCGCCTTTGGTTGTATTGAAGCCGGTCCTGACAGCGATAGCTAATGCAACGGCCTCATCGTCCTGTCCTTCTTGAGGCCGCCTCGCTCTGATGATCTTCGTCCCGCTGAAAAGGAAATGCTTGGCGACTTCAGGATTCATTGTGCTTGAACTCATACTCAACAGTTGTAGGGATCCATCGGTTGCCGGGACTTTTGAGACCGGCACAGACTCGCCTAAGATGCTTGTCAATATAGTGGCTTCTAAAGTGTGAGGATAGCAGCTGAGTACCAGTAAGCATGCTCTCATTGACGATACAGTCTCCTGCGAGCAATAGGCTATCACATGGAAATTGGGTCAAAGATGGATCGGAAACTTCGTATACATCTCCTGGCACAAGCTCGCCATTTTCCACTTGTCGCCCTGAGGAGTATCAGACTGTGCATTTCACCTGGGCATGGAATACCCACAGAACCCGTTTCGCAAGACTCTAACCTCGCACTCGAAGCGCGATATTTCGCGCAGGCGTTTCATGGTCTATCCGTCAATATATCTCCAGGAACGTGTGTTGGTTGACTTACTGATCTGGTTTCAATCAAGGTTGTCGTGATGCTGACTACTGAAATGAAGAAGATGCACACTGCGTAGTAGTAATACTCGTCGAGGGACCAGAGAATCAGGCTCGCAACCTGGAAGATGTAGAAAGGGTGAAAGGCCTAAAGGATATTAGGAAGTTCCTAGGGTTTTTAGGATCATCACTCACCTCATCCACAAGTAGCTGGAGAATAGATTTCTGTTTGATGTCGATCTGGTTCTTGCCAAAAACCTGTTCCCTCCTATGGCGCTCATCACTGTCCAAGCCGGCCCTGATCAACTTTACGTCTGTCCAGTCAGGATCTTTCCAATCGCTACACAGCACAAAGTTGTCTTTCAACGGGTGAAAACAGAAGCTGATGTAACGATAGTCTAAAAACCGCAGATGTGTCATTATAGGGTCATCATCCTCATCGTAATCGAGAGGAAAGCTTTTCTTTTCCCTCAAGCCAAAGACAGTCGAAGTGACGTGCCCGTATTGGATTGTGACAATGTCTTGTACCATAAACTCGCCCCATTGGTTCTGGTCGATTTTAGCTGCTGTCTTTGATCGCCGATGCTGATATCGCTGTCTCACCTCAACGACAACCCAGTTGCACTCGCGTAACGGTTTTGGAGATCCTGTCAGACGGACTCGCCAACGAGGAAGCCAGCGAAGAATCAAGTATCCCAAGCCCAAAGAGAAAGCGCAAAAGGTCAGGTAAAGTATCAAGCCCAACGGCTTTGTGATAAACCCAGCGACAACGATGGTCAAATCCTCGGACACAACATAAATCTTCTGGCTTGACCTTGCTCCCCGTCCGAAGCCGCTCGCGTCAGTCTTGGTAGAGTCGTTACGGTGAAGAAGAGGCTCTTCGGCAGTACTTTTGGAGAAACCCGAAGATTTGCGTCTCTGGGACGATATGGTGCCTGACTCCAAATCGTACTCTACGTCTTCTCCAGGCTGCTTGCCAATGTCCGTGTCTTCGTCCTCCTCATCTATGACAGCCTGATCCACGGACCATTCAGGAGACTCATCATCCTCTTGGAAATATGTAAAACTTGCTACTGAATCTGCCCTCGATCGCCGGTGGGCAAACCCAGTCACACTCGATGGGACGCTCTCCGACATAGGTCCCGCAAACACCTGAACTCGTTAGCCTGGGTTGTCAATTGTTTTCAATGCAATGTTCGAATTCGAACCTCCTCGTGAGCCATTTCGACATCGGACACAAAGCTAGCACTGTGACTGTGTTAGACCGTGTTGGGTTTGGGTAGCCTAATGACAAGTGCCTCACTTGCTGATGTTAGAGTCTCGCCGAAACAAGGACCCATTGAGGTTTCCGTTGCTCGCTGCACTGTTTTCGCAATTGATGCTTGAGCTGCTCCTATGCGTAAACGCAATAGGCCGGGGGCCTGAATCCTCCATGGTGTGATCCTAATCCAGCCCTTCTTCTATCAAATCTCAAAGACTCGTTTCTATCTTACTGTTATGGCTACCTGCATCAATGGCTAGGTAGGTCGACAGCACTCCACCGGTCTGGACAAAGATATTTGCAAAGGGATGTCATGATTGCAGCTTGCCAAATTCCTCATCTGAGCGAAACGGGTATGACATTTTCCGTACGTACTCCGCATGCAGAATGTGGGAGAGACCAGGCCTATAGGAGGTGGGAAAGAGAGCAACCGTTGGAACTCTAGGCCAAGGTCATAAAGCATGGAACAGACAAGCAAGACCGGTAGATTTTGTAGTGAATACAGCCTGGGTAACTTTAAGCACGATTAAGCTTTTCTTATCTTAGCGTCGTGTATCCGCGCTTGAAGAACCCCCCCCCGGCCCAAAAGCACAAACCACGAGCATTAAAATTTCAGTACACACCCTCTCTCTGCCTCACCTCACATGGTCATACCTACAATCAGTCACAACAAGTCAAACATGTCAGAACCTATCCGCAACAAGAAGCTTGATCTTTCAACAGCACCGTAAGTCGAATCCGTCAAAATTCAGATGTACGCTTACCACTCCAACCATGTAGTACGCCTCAGAACACTCCTGCCAACAATGCACCCATCTCCTCTCACGCTCAGCAGCCAGGTGTGACTAGCATCAAAGAAGGTAGGCCTTACGAACCTAATCTCTCCCACATATTCCAATTCTCGGACCATTTGAATGCTGATTATTTCAACACAGAGGATCTCGACCGTGCTGCCGCCGCCTCAATCTTCGCTCAAAATCCTAAGCTTGTATCGATGATACAAGGGAAGCTTGGCACTCTGGTCGGCCGTTCTTCTGGATACGTCGAATCCCTCCCTGCTCCCGTGCGCCGCCGCGTCGCTGGTCTCAAGGGTGTACAGAAGGAGCATGCCAAGCTCGAAGGCGAATTTCAGGAAGAGGTGCTACAGCTTGAGAAAAAATACTTCGCAAAGTATACTCCACTTTATGAGAAGCGCGCTAAGATAGTCAACGGTGCTTCAGAGCCCAGCGAAAATGAAGTCAAGGCTGGTGAACAGGACGAGGAGGGAGAAGATGATGAATCGAGCAAAGAGGAGACGGTCGAAGGTCGCCAGGCCGCCGAGGACATGGCTGGCATACCCGAGTTCTGGCTGTCGGCTATGAAAAACCAAGTATCGTTAGCCGAGCTGATCACAGATCGGGATGAGGCGGTATTGAAGCTCCTAACGGACATTCGCATGGAATATCTTGAAAAGCCTGGGTTCCGTCTGAAATTTGAGTTTGCTGAAAATGATTTCTTTTCCAACAAAACCATCACCAAGACCTACTTCTACCAGGAAGAGAGTGGCTACGGGGGCGAGTTCATCTATGATCACGCTGAAGGAGATAAAATTGACTGGAAGGCTGGGAAAGACCTGACTGTGAGAGTCGAGAGCAAGAAGCAGCGGAACAAGAGTAAGTCCTCATAGGAAGTCGGTCACTGAAGGCGGCAACTCTAATCCGTCGTCAGACACCAAGCAGACTCGTATCGTGAAGAAGACCGTACCAACAGAATCTTTCTTCAATTTCTTCGATCCTCCAAAGGCTCCAGAAGCAGACGAAGATGACGCTGCTTCAGATGTTGAAGAGCGCTTGGAGCTTGACTATCAACTGGGTGAGGACATCAAGGAAAAGCTCATTCCTCGCGCGATCGACTGGTTCACTGGAGAGGCATTACAATTCGAGGAAGTTGATGAAGACCTTGAAGAAGGCGATTTCGAGGATGAAGACGATGAGGAAGACGACGATGCTAGTGAGGACCGCGATGACGAGGAAGAGTCAGACGAGGAGGTACGTAGATGTTTCATCTTTGTACTACACATGCTGACCTTGACATCAGGACGACAACTCAAAACCCAAGCAGGAGGCCGCTGAGTGCAAGCAAAGCTAGATCCTGCCCCCTTTCGTTTGGCGTCAAAGGATGGCAGGATGATGTGATGATTCTAATAAGTTCTACTTTATCGAGCAACCATGCTCCCCAGTTGTTCTCGAAGATCTCTGCCGCATTTTCACGCTGCTGTCATCTTGTGCTCTTACCATCTGATATAGTGCACAGCTTTATGTGATCAATATTAGTTGGTACACTCCATGGTTCTTTTTAAGATTCTATCTCTGGCTTGAAGCACCAATACAAGCAACGTCCTGTGAGTAGACAGCTGAGTAGCACGCCAAACTAAAGTAGATCTTGATACAGGACTATAAGTTCGTGACGAGGCACAAGTCCGCCTCAACAAATTCAAGGAAATCCAGCTTTGTTCGCTCCACTTTCAGGAGCATATTTGGTGAGTCATGAGGATCATACAAATGCCGGAGTTTAGCCAGATAAAGTCATCGACATTTCAATCAGTAATGTAGCAGTAAGCGGATTTGCAACTGCGAGTAGCAAACGAAGCCCCAATATGAATTCGGCTTTAGATGCGACCGAGGGTATAGATATAGAGCCGCCGTCGACAGACCTCGCCAGGCGCGTATCCTCCAGTCTTGGTGTTTCAACGTCTCCAACAGGTTTCCATACCCCATCATGGACCAAGTCTGGGTCACCTTTACGCGCAGCCACTGGAGGTTTAGCCAAGCATCTGAAACCTTTTGCTACGGAGGACATAAAGATTCTTCTGCTCGAGAATGTCAATGTGACGGGTCAAGGCTTGCTCGAAGCTCAGGGTTACCAAGTCACCCATCTGAAGTCCGCGTTGCCCGAGGATGAGTTGATAGGGAAAATACGGTGGGGTAACGCATGAGTCTCTTTGGATGCGCAAGTTTCAAACTGATCATTGCAGAGATGTTCATGTCATTGGCATACGCTCGAAGACCAAGCTTACCGCCAGAGTTCTTCGAGAGGCCAAGAATCTGATCGTCGTTGGATGCTTCTGCATAGGCACAAATCAGGTCGACACGCAATATGCTGCCGAACATGGCATTGCAGTGTTCAATTCTCCCTTCAGCAACTCTCGTAGTGTTGCTGAGCTGGTCATTGCGGAAATCATCTCCCTGGCCAGGCAGCTTGGTGATCGCTCGAATGAGCTACACAAAGGAACTTGGAACAAGGTTAGCAACGGTTGCTGGGAGATACGTGGAAAGACGTTGGGTAACGTACCAGGGCACCGCTGGATTCCTCCTATCTGACATCCGTCCTAGGCATCATAGGCTATGGACATATTGGATCCCAGCTTTCCGTGCTTGCTGAAGCGTTCGGTATGACGGTGATATATTACGATGCCGTCAATCTAATGGCCTTGGGAACTGCGAAGCAAGTACCAACTCTGGAAGCCTTGCTGCGGGCTGCTGATTTTGTGACATGCCACGTACCGGAGTTGCCAGAAACCAATAACCTCATTAGCCGCAAAGAAATGGGTGATATGAAAGATGGCAGCTATCTTATTAATGCCAGTCGTGGCAGTGTCATTGATATCCCGGCTTTGATCGATGCCATGCGCTCTGGCAAGTTAGCTGGGGCCGCCCTGGATGTTTATCCAGCGGAACCAGGAGGCAATGGCGACTATTTTACGAATGAGCTCAATTCCTGGGCTCAAGATCTTCGAAGCCTCAAGAACATAATCCTCACACCACATATAGGAGGGAGCACTGAAGAAGCCCAAAGCGCAATTGGAATTGAAGTGAGCACCGCTTTAATACGCTATGTAAATGAGGGTACTACTTTGGGTGCGGTCAATATGCCCGAAGTCTCTCTGCGGTCTTTGACTATGGATGAACCAAACCACGTGCGGGTAATATACATTCACCGTAACATACCAGGTGTTCTGCGGGGAGGTGAGATCGAGCAAAGTCGTTATTCGCTTGACATAACGCTTATGCCTTTAGTCAATGCAATTCTGGGCAATCATAACGTCGATAAACAGATGACGGACAGCAGAGGCGAGGTAGGCACAGACCGTCTTGAAACAGAGTGCATGGCTAATGGTTTCTTAGGTGGCATACTTGATGGCTGATATTAGCGGTGTCAATGTTGCGGTCATCAAAGATCTTTATCAAAGACTAGAGGGGTTGAGCTGTACGAGGCTTCGGCTATTGCTATCGCTATCAATTCCACTCTGCTGACGACATCTAGCTCGAATAATGACGCGGGTATTGTACTGAACCTGAGGTCTCCCTCTGCACTCGAATTCAGTCTTTCGTAATGCGGACGATCATACAACTGGTGCAACCATCGGAGCTTCGTCACACTTTCTTGGCCGCATAATCGAAGAGGTGATTTAGGGGGTCCTAATGGCCGCCGGAACTGTACCAAGCACATGAACAGCAGAATGAACCTCGTTGTTTGCTCCAGCAGTATGCTTGCAAATGAGATGGAGAACGCTTTGGCGCTCCGGCTTTGAACATTGAGTTAATTGTTGGCAATAACGTAGATCATAGACAAATTCATAGACGCATAAAAGAGTGAATAAACGGTGCGTTATTGAGACAAACTGATAAGACTCATCACATGGCGCTGTAAGATGTTTTCGAGCAGACAACAATCTGATTATCACAAGTCGTTGGTGTTTTCAATCTCATGTGTGTAATAGGGGCTGAACCCCTGCATTACTGTGAAGTACGAGTGGCGGTTTGAGCCAGCCGCTTAGTGGAAAGCAACCAACCCAAATGCGGGCTTTTCTCTCACTTTTTCTATCAACCATTAGACCTCTATCAGACACCTGAGAGCCTCCGTTGCTGCTGTTGCTAGAGCCCCCGGCCATTCATAGCCTGTCAGCCACGCGGCCTCTTTCTCCACTCACCCTAATAATTACATCAATTTGGGAACGGGCGAGCGTTTCTTTTCCACACTGGCGGCCTTCAGGAGCCCCTCTCCTTGAGGTGCTATGGCACACAACTATGATGTCGGGACACGGGCATGGCAGCCCGATACTACAGAAGGATGGGTTGCCTCGGAGGTGGAGTCGAAAAACATAGAGGGCGACAAGGTCAAGCTAGTTTTTCAACTGGCTAACGGGGAGGTAAGCTTCGCGCCCATTCACGAATGGCCCATCTGGATATGGCTCACGCAGACGGAAACAGTCAAAAACAATCCAAACCACCTTGGCCGCGCTCCAAGATGATAACAATGCCTCTCTTCCTCCCCTCATGAACCCTGCCATACTCGAAGCCAGCGATGATCTTACGAACTTGTCACATCTTAACGAGCCAGCCGGCATGTCCAGACATGGTCATTCCTCAACAATGCCCAGCTAACACATTGACAGTCCTTCAAGCCATCAGACTACGGTATTCGCAAAAGGAGATATACACATATAGCGGTATTGTTCTCATCGCCACCAATCCGTTTGCTCGGGTAGATTCCCTCTATGTGCCTGGCATGGTGCAAGTTTATGCGGGCAAGCAAAGGTCTTCTCAAGCGCCTCACCTGTTCGCTATCGCCGAGGAAGCTTTTGCGTAAGATGTTCTGGTTCCAGTCGTCCAGTCTACGTACTAAACGGTTTAGGGACATGTTACGGGATAACAAGAATCAGACCATCGTTGTCTCCGGAGAATCAGGAGCAGGCAAGACCGTCAGTGCCAAGTACATAATGAGGTATTTTGCAACTCGAGAATCGCCCGACCAACCAGGGAAACGAGCCAAGGGCATTGCGGATGCAATGAGCGAAACGGAGGAACAGATTCTTGCCACTAATCCTGTCATGGAGGCCTTCGGTAATGCCAAGACCACCAGGAATGACAACTCGTCTCGGTTTGGAAAATATATCGAAATTATGTTCGACACTAAGGCAGAGATCATTGGTGCAAAAATAAGGACCTACCTACTCGAACGCTCAAGATTGGTTTTTCAGCCATTGAAGGAAAGGAACTACCATATTTTCTACCAGCTGGTGGCTGGCGCTACAGAACCGGAGCGGCAGGAGTGGGGTTTGCTTCCAGTCGAACACTTTGACTACCTCAACCAGGGCGGCGCCCCAGTCATAGAAGGCGTTGACGACAAGGCAGACTTCGATGCGACCAGGCAATCATTGACAACGATAGGGGTCAGTCAAGATAAGCAGGCTCAGATATTTGGCCTACTCAGTGCCCTGCTTCATCTTGGGAATGTCAAGATTGCAGCCACAAGGACGGACTCGGTCCTCCCTTCCACTGAGACATCGCTCCTCCTGGCTTGCCAAATCCTTGGTGTCAATGCTGGTGAATTTGCAAAATGGACTGTCAAGAAACAGCTAATTACGAGAGGGGAAAGAATCATGTCAAATCTTACCCAGCAGCAAGCACTCGTCGTCCGGGATTCTGTTGCCAAGTTCATCTATTCCAGTCTATTTGATTGGTTAGTCGAAACCATCAACAATGGTCTCGCCACCGAGGAAGTTAGCAGAAGGGTCGCAACGTTCATCGGAGTCCTGGACATCTACGGATTTGAACATTTTGCTAAAAATTCTTTTGAACAATTCTGTATCAACTACGCCAACGAGAAATTACAGCAAGAGTTTAATCAGCATGTGTTCAAGCTGGAGCAAGAAGAGTATCTACGTGAGAAGATTGATTGGACTTTCATCGACTTTTCGGACAATCAGCCCTGCATTGATCTTATTGAGACCAAACTCGGAGTCCTTGCCTTGCTGGATGAAGAGTCAAGGCTACCGATGGGATCTGACGAGCAATTCGTAACGAAACTACACCACAACTTTGCGAACGAAAAATCGAAATACTATAAAAAGCCACGATTCGGCAAATCTGCCTTCACCGTATGCCATTACGCCGTTGACGTGACCTACGAATCGGATGGCTTTATTGAGAAGAACAGGGACACGGTACCAGATGAACACATGGAGGTCCTTCGCCTTTCCTCCAACGCATTCCTCGGCGAAGTCTTAGAGGCTGCTTCCATAGTCCGAGAGAAGGAATCTGCGACGGCGTCAAATGCAAAAGCCGTGTCAACTCCCAATCGAAGGGTGGGCGTCGCGGCCAATAGAAAGCCCACACTTGGAGGAATCTTCAAATCATCTCTCATTGAATTGATGCACACAATTAACTCAACGGAGGTGCACTATATTCGTTGCATCAAACCGAATGAGGGTAAAGAACCATGGAAATTCGAAGGCCCAATGGTCTTGAGCCAACTGCGAGCTTGCGGTGTGCTAGAAACTGTGAGGATCAGTTGCGCGGGGTATCCTACTCGATGGACGTACGAGGAGTTCGCAATGCGCTACTACATGCTGGTTCCCTCTCAGTCGTGGACTTCGGCTATCCGAGAGATGGCAAATGCCATTCTGAAGAAGGCACTCGGACAAGGCAGTAACAGAGGTCTTGACAAATACCAATTGGGACTTACCAAGATTTTTTTTCGTGCCGGCATGCTTGCCTTCCTCGAGAATCTACGGACAACAAAGCTCAACGAATGTGCCGTTATGATACAAAAGAATTTGCGCTGCAAATACTACAGAAGGAAGTACCTCGAGGCTCGAAAGTCTATTCTCCTTCTTCAGGCATGGACCCGAGGGTACCAAGCTCGTCAACGTGCGGAAGAAGTGCGCCAAATCAGAGCTGCGACAAGTATACAGAAAGTGTGGCGTGGCCACAAGGACAAAAAGCGGTTCAATGAAATACGTGGTAATATCATCATGCTCCAAGGAATGACCAAGGGATATCTTTGCAGGAGATATATCATGGAGACAAGAGTTGGCAATGCGGCTGTCACAATACAACGTGCATGGCGGACACGGCGACAATTGCGCTCGTGGAGGCAATATCGCAAGAAGGTTGTCATCATCCAAAGTCTATGGCGCGGCAAGCAGGCACGAGGGGGCTATAAAAAACTACGAGAGGAAGCTAGAGATCTCAAGCAGATATCGTACAAGCTGGAGAACAAGGTTGTCGAATTGACTCAGTCTTTGGGTGCTATGAAGCGCGAGAACAAGGCTTTGATAGCTCAAGTGGAAGGCTACGAGAATCAACTAAAGTCATGGAAGACACGACACAACACTCTCGAAAGCCGCTCGAAGGAGCTCCAAGTCGAGGCCAACCAAGCCGGCATCACGGCCGCTCGCCTGAATGCAATGGAAGAAGAGATGAAGAGATTGCAGCAAACATATGACGATTCAGCTGCGAATACAAAACGTTTGCAAGAAGAGGGGAGGAAGCTTCGAGAGTCGCTCCGGACCACCAACATGGAATTAGGAAATGCGAAGAAAGCTGGGAGTGACCACGAAAATGAAAAGATGTCGTTACGTCAACAGCTGGCCGACCTCCAAGACCAATTGGATCTTGCTAAGCGCGCCATCCCTATAAATGGCGAATTGACCAACGGACATGCCCCACAGCCTCAAATCAATGGCCTCATCAACCTCGTGTCTTCGAAGAAACCGAAGCGCAGGAGCGCTGGTGCGGAAAGGGCGGAGCCAGACCGTTTCAGCTCCGCTTATCATCCGCGTCCAAGCTCTATGGCCATCATGGGCACCAATGCCCACCGTGAGAACCTTTCCGGATCGAACTTCAGTCCTGTCCTAGACAACGTCGAATTTGAATTGGAGAATCTACTTTCAGATGAAGACGGGTTGAACGAGGAAGTCACCATGGGCCTGATCAAGAACTTGAAAATTCCGGCACCAAGCACAACACCTTCACCCACTGATAAAGAGGTCTTGTTCCCCGCCTACTTGATCAACCTAGTTACCTCTGAGATGTGGAATAACGGATTTGTCAAAGAGTCAGAACGATTCCTTGCTAACGTGATGCAATCTGTGCAGCAAGAGGTCATGCAACATGAAGGTGACGATGCTATCAACCCTGGCGCTTTCTGGCTCTCCAACGTTCACGAGATGCTCTCTTTTGTGTTTCTTGCAGAGGATTGGTACGAAGCGCAGAAGACCGACAACTACGAGTACGATCGGCTCCTAGAAATTGTGAAGCACGACTTGGAAAGTCTAGAATTCAACATCTATCATACCTGGATGAAAGTGCTCAAGAAAAAGCTGCAAAAGATGATAGTACCAGCAATCATCGAGTCGCAGTCTCTCCCGGGATTTGTCACGAGTGAGAGTAATAGATTTCTCGGCAAGCTCCTGCAATCCAACAATACGCCAGCATACAGTATGGACAACCTCTTGAGTCTACTGAACAACGCTTTCAAGGCTATGAAGGCCTACTACTTGGAGGATTCAATCATCACTCAGACGTTGACCGAGCTCTTGAGACTCGTCGGTGTAACAGCATTCAACGACCTGCTTATGCGCCGTAACTTCCTATCCTGGAAACGTGGCTTACAAATCAATTACAACATAACCCGTATCGAAGAATGGTGTAAAAGCCACGATATGCCCGAGGGCACCCTGCAACTCGAGCATCTCATGGTATGCGTGCCTGCTCCCACCTGAAGTATACTGCTAACCTTGTTTTAGCAAGCAACAAAATTATTGCAGCTCAAGAAGGCTACCTTGAATGACATCGAAATTATCCAAGACATATGTTGGATGTGAGTATTTTAGTCGCCGCTTGGCTGAATTTGTCGCTGACAGTGTTCACTCAGGCTGTCGCCGAATCAAATACAGAAGCTGCTCAATCAATACCTGGTAGCAGATTATGAACAACCGATCAACGGCGACATCATGAAAGCGGTGGCGTCGAGGGTAACCGAGAAAGGCGATGTGCTACTCCTGACGGCCGTGGACATGGAGGACAGCGGACCCTACGAGATCGCCGAGCCCCGGGTAATTACCGCTTTGGAGACTTACACGCCGTCTTGGCTGCAAACACCCCGCCTCAAGCGTTTGGCAGAGATCGTGTCAGCACAGGCGGTAGCTCAACAAGAGAGGCTAGAATTCGAAGTACCTGAGCCGCAAGACATTGGGGAAGAAAATGGCCTTGCGGAAGTCAGCGACGTGGAGCTGGAGGCAGGACCGGCGGCAGCAGAGGAGGAGGAGCGAGGCGGTCGAGGGATGTAGCGGAGACGCCTATGACGATACCCTTTCATCGATCTTCGTGTACCATATTTGGAGCATAGTGGTGCGATTGCCTGGCTTCGCGCGTTGGATTTAAGCGGGTGCTTGATGATGTTTGCATTTACGATGTTCTGTCAGATGCCGCGGCATTTTTGGCAGGCTGCACACTGCTAAGTACTATAAAGCGATGGCGATGGCGCAAGTGAAGATGGGTTTCAATGGGCGATAATTGGCATCGGGCCAGCATGATGGAGAGGATTGCCCGCTGGGATTGCTAGCGGCGCAGCTAGCGGCCCCGTTCCTCATGAGCGATGTATCTTACAAAATATATTATTGTACTACTATATTCATAGATGAATTGAATGTTGGTACAATCTGTAGAGAGGATTAGGAATGCGGATTAGTCTGAGTATTCAGACTCGCATTAGTGGGGTATCCTATGGCCAGCCCTACACTCGTTCCTCGCTTCGGGGGCCAATCATATCGCAAGCTCATTACGACATACCCCTCCTATAGAGTCTAAGTAGAAAACTATAAAATCGCTATATTAATCGTTATTAGTATATATAAAAGAATAAGATAGAGCTAAGTTAGAAAATCTTAAATTTATATATATAGTTAATTATAAATTCGTTAGATCTACGCTTTTTAATTAAATATCGCGAGTAGATAAATTAGCGTTCGTAATTATTAAAAATCTCTTTCTCTACTTTTAACCCTTTAATAACTTATACTATTTTCTATTAAAATTTCGAATTTTTTTTTTAAATTATAGTCTAAATCTTACGCTTTTTAATAATAATTTTTTTTTTAAAATATAATCTTATAATTATTAAAGCGTAAGAAATTTAAATATTACTTATTAAAGTTCGCTCGATAGCTTTAATTAAAAAATAGATATATATAATTTAATTTTAAAATAACTTTTTTATTTCTATTAAGATTTTAAGATTTTTTATTTAAATTATAGAATATAATATAAGCTTTTAGATAAAAAAAGAATTATTAAACTTAGTCTTATAGATATTTAAAGATAAAAAAATTAAATATCGCTTATTAAAGATTACTTATCAAAATTTACTCGATAGTCTCGATTTAAAAAAAAAATTATAAATTTAATTTATAGATCTTTACTCGTAATATATATCTTATTAGAATTATTCGACTATCGAGCGAACTTTAATAAATCTAAAAAGTTCCTTGATTTCCGCGGGTCCGTACCATAAGCACGATTTAGCACGATTTAGCCTATTTAGCAGACTTTGCCTATATTCAACCCTTTCCGCCGGTTCAAAACTATCCCAACCCTTTCCGCCAGTTCTATCAGTTTAGCAACTTCAAAAATTTTCAGCAACTTTAAAAATTTTGCACTCTAATATACTCTAAGTACTATTCTATATACATATAGCATAATATATATTATCAACAATATACGTATCATTATACGCCATATTAGAGCATCACCCACGCGACTAATTTCATTAAATCGTTTAATTCCGTAGCCAAATTTGAGTTGACGTTAATACTCGTTGTTATAGAACCTTACCGTCGTAACGTCGATTATTAGAACTTTTCTTTTTCATATATATTACTACTAAACTGATAGAACTAGCGGAAAAGATTAAAACAGTTGCTGAACCGGCGGAATTTAGACGGATTCTAATTAGATTTGCTAAACCGGCGGATAGCGTGTGAAAAGCAGACCATAGTTGCTGATTGGGCGGAATTTGGGCGGATTTAAATCAGATTTGCTGATCCGGCGGATTTTGTAATTTCCGCGACAAACGCGCGATCAGCAATTTCAAATTTTGCAGGAACTTTCAGATTTGCAGATGAAACTATTATAAATATAATAGAGCAGAAACGAAGAGGTAGGAGATGGCGCTATAATAGCGCCTTGACAGATACTACTTTCTAGTAGATTTCTCTATAAAATCTCAATTATCTTATATTTAACTTATAAATCCACTATAGTAATAGTAATTAATTTTCTACTACTATAATAATAATAGCAATACTAGATTACTATATAGTAAGCATTATATAATCACTTACTACGTACCACACTTCTAGTATATTAATAGTTCTTACTATATTAAAGATTTAGTTAGATTCTTAAATCCTTACCGCTTCCGCTATATTTCTTTCTATATTACGAGAATCTTAATTCTTTAATACGAGAATCTCGCTCCTTTCGAATTATTCTTTCTACGTTATAAAAATTCTAATTCTTTAATATAAGAATCTCGCTCCTTTCGCTATTATTCTTACTATATTATAAGAATCTCGAGAATCCTAATTCTTTAATACGAGAATCTTAAAAATTTTAATTCTTTAATTTGAGAATCTTAATTCTTTAAAATAAGAAAGCTATCGTTAAGCTAACTTTATTATTAATAAGAGATCTTATTAGTATTAATTATTAGATTTATAAATTTCTTATAGCGATAGATTAAGCCTATTATTACGAGATTTCCGAGTTTATTAAATACTCTATCGACTATATCGTTTAGAATTATAATTATTAACTAAAATAAATACTAGAATTATTAAAATACTTAAGAACGTTATTAATTAAATTCTCTACTTTTCTATATAGCTAATTTATAGATTAATCTACTTTTCGAAAAGTAGTTAAAACCTTTAATAATCGAATATATAACTTTTAAAGTAAGTCTAAGCTTATTTAATACTTTAGAAATTATAATTTATCTTTTATAGAGTTTATATCTTATATCTTATTAATAAATACTTCCTTTAAATTTATCTAATATTATTTTAAATTCTATTAAAAATATTAATTAAATTATTAGAATAATCTTAATAGAGAAGATAATCTATAAAAATTTAATTAGTTTAGCTATAATAGAAGACTAATTATAATAGAATATTAGTTTCTCATAATTATAATAAATAGCGTTATAAGAATTACTACGTAGTATTTCTAGTTAATTAAGCTTATAAAAATCGTCTAATAAGCTAAAATCTTTCGAAGCTATTATAGCAGAGAACGTTTCTAATTATATATATTAAAATCTTAATAATCTTAATTTCTTCGATTCTAGCTACGATAATAAATCTATTAATATTAAATTATTAATTAAGCATATCGATAAAGAAATATACTTTCGAGATATATATCTATTCGTAGAACGAGCTAAGGATCTTATTATTATTAAGAGTATTAATCTAATTCGAGAAAACTTATAGATAAACTTATATAAAACGATATTAAAATAATAAATGATAGAAATTTCTACTATCGAGAAACGTATTATTAAGTTTAATAATAGCGTTAAGAAATAAACTATCTTATTAACTACTAGATTTAAAAAATCTACTATAATAATAATTAATATTATACTTCGCGAGCGTTATATTATATATAACGTAATTTCTTATTATAAGTTATATAAGTATATTTAGAAGATTTTAAGATTAGCTAAGAACGTAGATATAACACTTATTAAGAATTAACTTAATATTATCTATAATAATATTAATCTCGAACTTTAATATAATATTAAGAAATCTAAGAATACTATAACTATAAATTTATTTCTTATAATTTTTAATAATTATAAATATAAATAATAGACTTATATTAATAGATATAAAAGAAATCTAAGTTTAGAAAGTATAGCTTCTAGATCTTTCTTCTAGATAAATTAATAATCTTATTTTTACGAAAGTAGACTTATAGAGTAATATAATTAATATAATAATTCATTTAATTATAAAGATTAATCGAGCTTTATTTAATTAAGTCTTCGATCTAATTATTAAATAGAGTATTAATTTCTATATCGATCTAAACTATAACCTTAATATTCTTCTTATTAAAACTCTTAAGCTTATTAGCTATAGTAGTCTTATTACTTAAGTTATCTAAATAGACTAATATAATTAAATTAACGCTTAAATAAAAATTAGCTAAGAGTTTTCCTATAATACCTTTAAATTACCGAGTTTATAAATAGATTAGATTTTTAACCTTAAGAATAGTAGTAGCCTCGTTCTTTTTAGCCCGCTTTTAATAATATAAATAAATTATTTTATTCTATTAGATTTTAATATAATTTAGAAAATCGCTTTTAATCTTAGTAATAGAGAGCTTATTAAGTATTCGAAGATATTATAAATAAAAACTTTAATAATAAGTATAAGAAATCTATGAGATTCTATTAGTATTATACTATAAAAGAATAATATCTAAATAAAACTTTCTAAAAAGCTTTATTCTCTAAGTATAAATCTTATAATAGTAATAATTATAATAATATATAGAATATATACTTTATAAATAAGAAAGTTAATTATATATATAATAAATATAAAGTATATTTTTTTTTAAGAAATAAATTTTTTAAGTATCTACGATTAAACTATTAGAAGATTATAAAAGTAAAATCTTCTAATACTACTATCGAAAAGATTTTTAAATCTAAAGAATTTAAAGTAAATTTTAATAAGTTTAAAGTACTTATAGTTAATAATATCTATATAAAAATAATTATTAAATTTATCGCTAAACTAAGTTATAATATTAAGTTTAAATATAATTTTAGAAATTAAAAGTATACTATTATAAAGATTAAATATACTCTAGATTCTAGAGTTAAGAAAAGCGAAGTTTTATCTAATTTCGACTATAGAGTAATATTAGAAGATTATACTTACTTATAAAAGTATATTTTTAATCTTAAGATTAAAAAAATAGCGTTCTCTTTATTAATTTAAGAAGTAGATAATAAGATTATTAGTATAGCTAAGTATACTAGCGTTACGATCTATATTAATAATATTATTAATAAATTCTAAAAAATAAAAATAGCTTATTTTATAATAAAGATATATATTATAAATAATTTTAAAGCTAATATTCTTATTAATATAGATATTATAACGCTATAAAAAATAATTATAAATCTAAACGCTTAGAGCGTTAGACTAGAAAAATATTAGAAATTAAAGATATTAATCGATATAATAATAAGAATTTA